GTTTGTATGTTAAATTGGAAATTTTTGAATTACATCCTGATTTATTTAGCTGTTGGATTAAAAGAATTAAAATTTGCATTTGTAAGTCATCATGTGCTGTGAAGTTTGTTATTCATGGAACTGTCATTAACAGTATCCTTTATTCAAGATTTGAAAAGCTAGTGATCATTACATCTGGCCAGTTTGCTGACATTCACCGATGTCAATAGAAACAATTTTCAGTGTTTATGGGAAGAGAAGTAATTAGGTGGAAGAATGCTAAGGCATTAGCATAATCATCGAAAAAAAGATGAAAAAGGAAAAAGCGTAAAGCTTAAAGGTCAATGAGGAATGAGAAGTGCACCCACGTTGCCAGTTAAAATGAATTCCCATAGTGCATGCTGACTGATTAATGAAATCTAGTTGCCAGGCATGTATAGAACCTAGGAAGTTCCCATTTACGCCAAAGAGTTTGAATGTGATGTTAAGAGCAAGATTGGTCAGATATTTTGTGTTATTTGTATATGATTCACTGATCTTTTGACTCTCCCTTTTGTCTTCATGCCGGGTGAGTGATAATCCGCTGTATAAGATTAAGGGTCTATTGTTTATGTGACCTGGGAAGTTAGAGAGATAGAAGTTGTTGCCATTCTAAATAGGAAACAAAATGAAGACAAAAGCAGGACGTTCTACCACAAGATAGCAAAGCACAACAAAAACGTGCCCCTCGTCTTACACAATGGTAGACTAGTAAACGGAGAAAAATAAAAAAAGAAGAAAACATGGTTTTCCTATTCTTGATCAAATTCAGCCCGGAAGCTAGAAGGTCGTCTTCCATTTTCTTTGCACCTGACCGTGAGAAGTTGGTTACAAGCTTGTTGTTGTCTCTTTCAAAGTTCTTGTCACGCACATTAGCTGATATTGGTTTATCCACCATTGCTTTTTCCCCCGCCATTGCCTGAAGAGTAGATACTAGGATGCTTTCAGAAAACATAATATTTATTACTTGCTAAATATCTTGAATTTTGGGTCAGGGGCTTGAGTGGTGAGCGAACTGTGAAGAGATTGCGGTTGTCAAAGGCCTTGACAATACCTGAGAATACAACTGTTCATGAAGCTTGTCGCCGGATGGCTGCTCGTAGAGTTGATGCAGTTTTGCTAACTGACTCAAATGCATTGCTTTGTGGAATCCTCACAGACAAGGTTTATTAATAATACTTGGTTTGGTAGCATTGGTATGTTGCTGTCTTTTGGTTCTGGTCATGACATTATTTGTACTTCTACTTATTGAAGGATGTAGCAACAAGAGTCATAGCACGTGAACTGAAGCTTGAGGATACGCCTGTATCTAAAGTCATGACACGGAATCCCATCTTTGTCCTTTCAGACACTCTAGCTGTAGAAGCATTGCAGAAGATGGTGCAAGGTTATGTCTGTAAATTATGCTAATGTTTACCTTATCATATAAAACTCATCCCTCATATTTCATTCCCCACACCACCCTTTAAATTTTTATTTCCACAGGAAAGTTCAGACATTTGCCAGTTGTTGAGAACGGTGAGGTCATTGCATTGCTTGACATAGCTAAGTGCCTCTATGACGCCATTGCACGAATGGAAAGGGCAGCAGAAAAGGGAAAAGCAATTGCAGCTGCAGTAGAAGGGGTTGAGAAACATTGGGGAACATCAATATCTGGTACATGGAATTATCATAAAATGCAAGTTGTTGCAATCTTTCTTTTTTGCTTTTCCATATGCATGAAGCTAGTACGTTTGAATACATCCTTGTTTCATGCACAAGAAACAATAGATGCAGAAATTCATCTTCTTTTCTCTTGTATTGTGTAGGGCCTAATACGTTCATTGAAACTCTACGGGAGCGCATGTTTAGGCCATCATTGTCCACCATCATTTCGGAGAATCCAAAGTAGGTAATATATTTCGTTATTCTTGATACTTCTCTTCTATAACCAAAGTAGCTTTCATTTTTTGTGTATTTTTTGATTTAATAGGGTTGTCACAGTGTCACCAACTGACTCAGTTCTAACAGCAACAAAAAAGATGCTGGAACTCAAATTGAGCGCAGCAGTCATAACTGTTGACAGCAAACCCCGTGGAATATTGACGTAAGCTACCTCCATATTCTTCGTTTATCGTAGGCAAAGGAAAGATCTTAGCCTGAACCTTCTTTTAGGGACGATATCATTTTCTTGTGAGCTATTCTGAGAAATTTTCCTTATTTCATACAGTTCAAAGGACATTTTGATGCGCGTCATTGCCCAGAATCTTCCTCCAGAATCAACACCTGTCGAGAAGGTACATTATTGTCAATGTGTGACACCTGGTTCAAGTTCTGCTTTGCTTTGACTTGCAATTTCTACCATGGATATGGGAATAACAGATATTCCGAGTTTTTTAAGTTTTTGCCCGCCCCATATCAATGAAAGTGCAATTAATGTCAATAACTACAGTAAAAACGGTTTTTTCCAAAGAAAAGAAAAGAACTTGAAGTATATCTTTGTCTGCTACAAATTTTCAACTCACATCAGAAGCTTCACAGATATGAAAGTATTATGATTTTAGACTCCTAATGAATATGATACCATCCCGCATAGATTCTCCTTAGAATCAGAACTTGCTATTATTCTTTCTTTTCTCGTACTGGATTAGAGTTTCTCCACACATTTGTAAATAAAAATTATATTTTAGGTATCTTTTGTGAGCAATAAGATTTCACTGTAGTCAAAATCATCTCTTGTCAAAAGGAGAACTTAAGTGGTTAAAACTTTTTGTCAATTCATGTGTACCCAGGTCATGACTCAAAATCCTGAATGTGGAACAATTGATACACCTATTGTGGATGCGTTGCATACCATGCATGATGGAAAATTCTTACATCTTCCTGTTGTAGATAGAGGTACAGCTCTCTATCCAGACAAGGAGCAGTTACCGTTTCATAATTTATGGTTCCTTCCACGTTTGTCATCATACAGATACTTACTTTTTTTGTTTATTTATACAGATGCAAACATTGTATCTGTGATCGATGTTATCCATATTACTCATGCAGCAGTGGCTACTGTAAGTTTTCTGTTTTGTTTGTTGCGTTTCACTTGATTTTCTCCTTTTATTTATCACAAATTGACCCGAACTATTCATCTGCATGCGAAACCATGATGTATTCCGTGAACAATTTTTTCTCAAATTTATCTTTTATCAGACAATATGATAAAACCAGAGCATTTGGAACATCATATGCATTGATCATTCCGCTTAATATTCACTTGTACAATATGGGACATGACTCACATAATTTTTATGTTTACTTTGTAGCACAATTTATGAGCTCATTAAATATAATTTTCCAAGAATCTCAATCAAGGAAGAAAGAAAGGACTCTCAACATGGGAACCTGATTTTAGAGTTTGTGCCTGTGGAGACCGACTTTGTCTCAATAGGTCACCACCTCCCTTTTTGTATATTTGTATGTGATTAAAATATAAGGGGCGAGCTCAACATTAAAATGTAGGGTAGTACAGGCAAGATGAATGGAAACGAACTGGATCGTGTTTATTGAATCTCAATACTCAAAGCCCTAATCTGATCTCTTCAACACATACCTTAAGCTAATTTTATAAGTCCTTCCTTGTCAACTTACTCGAGGTGGACATAACCCGATCCTTGTACAAAACTCTGATGAAGATACTTGCTGCTAGGTCCTTCAATTCTTCTCTAAGATGTGTGCATAAATGTTGTGCTCCCATTTAGGCTATAATGTGACAACGAAATGAACTTTACTACAAAACCAGTCCTGTAGAGATTTTAGTAAAAAAAAATTCTTCTCTTTATTCCTCTTTCCCTATTAAGTTATTGGTGACGGCCAAGTGATGGCTGCTTCGCAGACTCTGATCATTGCACATCTCGTTCTGGGTTCCCTTCCCTTCTATTTCTAAATCACCATCCTAACCTTCCGGTACATAAGATTAAAAGGAAAATTTCATGGACTGGTGTTGCGATGCGATACCAATATCTTGACAGGACATTAGATTGCTTTCCTCAACCTGAAGCTGTTTTCCTCCAGAGATCTGGCAAGAACCTGAGTAACAATAATCTGTTGTCATTACTGTTTTTTCCGTGATTCTCCATATCAACAGTCTGCGCTCTGTCACCTTTAACTAGATCCTGCTCTATCGTTCTCCAAAGTAGGACTGGGTTTATTGGCCCAACATCTATTTTTCTAACAACTAGCAATCAAAGTTCTGAAACCAAAGTCATTTATTTCCCATTCAAATATTCAGATTATGCTTTCTGTTTCTCCTCTCAAATCCTTTCTCGAATTATTTCTGAATCTTGTCTGGAGTGATATGTCTGTTGGTTGAATTGAGAAAAACGTCTGTCCAGGTGGGAAGTACTAGTGGCATCGGAACTGAGACGACAAATAATATGATGCAGAAGTTTTGGGACTCTGCAATGGCCTTTGGACCGATTGATGATGATGACGATACCATGAGGTTTTGACTCTGCTAATTCTGCAGAAATTTAGTAGTTGACCGAGGCTATGGCGTGACGTCATTCTTACAATGTGTTGTGCATATTTCAGTGAGGGATCAACCAAACTGGCGTCCGAGGGAACAGACGTGGGAAAACATGCTTCTTACCCATCTTCAGGGCTGGTCAACACTTTCAGCTTTAAACTCGAGGATAAAAAGGGCAGGAAGCACAGGTTCAACTGTGGTATGTTTCATTTTATTATCTTCATCTTCGAAAACTCCTCAGAGGAATTGTGAAGTTTACGGCCCTTGCACAGAGACCAGGAGCATGACGGACCTAATAACGTGCATTCTTCAGAGGGTGGGGAATGATATTGATCGGAGTAATCTCCCCCAGATTTTGGTAAACCATCTCTGTTTGGCTGCGTTTGGTTTACCCATTGAATCGTTTCACCCTTTCTTCGCAAGTTTTAATGACGACATTTTTCCCTCGTAATTTTTAGTATGAAGATGAAGATCACGACAAAGTTGTTCTTGCATCAGACAGTGATCTTGCGGCTGCTGTTGAACATGCCAGGCTTGCTGGTTGGAAGGTGCCGGACTGATAATTCGTCTGATCCTCTCCATTCTCTGCTGTTTTCTTCTCTTTTTTTTTCTCGATTCAGCATCATTTCCTCTTTGACACTGACCGTTCTTCTCCACCATCACCTCTTAAGGAAATTCTTCTGACACTCGGTTTTTGACACTGCCATTTAATTGTGCATCATTTCCGTTTTTTTCTCTAAGAAGAAGCCCGTTGACTTTCCTCCCAACATCAAAAACTGCGGATCCCTTTCCTTTTGTACTGCAATGGAGATCTAACCTTATGGGTCCCCTTCGACAGGGTCTAAAGCTGCATCTGGATTACACCGGTGCCCGTGGGAATAGAAAAGAGGCCGGTTCTGGAGGCCTGGACTTTGCCCACAAGGACGCCTGGGCTTCGGCATACAGCGCAGTGGCGGCAGGAGCGGCGCTTGTGGCGGGGCTCGGTGTCATGGCCTACTTGAAGAGAGCAGGTTCATAGCATTGCCCCTCTCATGGAAGAAGAAGAAGAAGAAGAAGTAGAAGAGAGGAGGAAATCCCACTGGGTTCTTCTCGGTGATGAAGAAAAACCTCGGGGGGGAGAAGTCGTCCTTCTCTCCTTTCCAAAGCTAGTATACTGGGTCAGAATCGCTCGCATTTGTTCACACAGGATTGTGATTGGGACAAGGATATATCTGTCGGTAATGATCCCCATACGAGTCCCCAATATGTTAGACAATCTATGTCGGTGATTGAGAAAGGCTTGGATTTTCTTCTTTATTTACTGTGTCAACCGCATTCTGGGTCAGAATCGTCCCCATTTGTTCACATGGGATTCTGGTCGAGACGACGATTCCGCCGCCCGTAATTATCCCCATATGGGTCCCTGATATGGCATTATCCTCAAATGGATCCGGAAGTGGAAGATGACGAGGAGGCCTCACATGAGAGCCCGCCCTGGCTGCCATCTCTCCTTTTGCCTCTTCTTTGAGCCAAATACGATCCCCAGAGATGCCACCTGGGCTTGGCTGAGATAGACATGACCTGGCTCCGGTGTGAGCCTCAGAGATAGCGCGAGAGAGAGAGAGATTTGTGCGTTAGATTCTGACCGAGTCTACTGGCAACAGTGCCGTCTTCGTCTTGATTGGAGTTAACACATCATCCCAACTCGCAAGAGTTGGCCACTAGTCAATTGGACCCAAAATGAAGGGGTCAAATCAGCAAGCTGCCGAGGTTTCTGACCATGCCTTAATAGTATATAAAGATAACACCTTTCCCGATAATCGAAAGAAGAAAATCTCGCGGAAATAGGAAGAAATGCAGATGAGGACAGAGCGTGCTGCTGGTTTCGTTCCTGTCGTGGAGAGCTTGAAGTCCTCTTGGGCTGGCGCCAGCAGCTACCTCGTCTCACATTCTTCTGAGCAGGAATCCGACGGTGTGGCAGGCGCCAGGGAAACGACCAAGAAGTAGGGAAGACTGGGAAGCAGAAAATCAAGCGCTCGAGGGCGCGCGCCTCTTGTCTTCTTCGGCTCGAAAGCTACCATTAACCCAGATTTTTCCCGTCTTTGGGCTCTCCTCGTTCCGTTTGGTAGACTTTTTATCCGCAGGCCACGCTCGTTGGCGTCGGTTTGTTTGTAGATCGCGGAGGTGTTGCTGCGGAGACGGCAGCTGCTACGTCGTTGTTGATGGGCGATTGTCCTCAAATTCCCCTCAAATCTTTCTTCGGCCGCCCCAGTTCACAACCCTGACTCATATCAGTCCTGGCTACCCGTGGTCTCTCTCCCTTGCTCGTCTTCTACTCGATGACGTAGCTGAAAGTTGCTGTGGGGTCTCTCCCAATCGGGAAATCTGCAAGATTGCGGCGGGGATTTCTGGCAGCGTGTCTGGAGAATTGGTTACCATGCGGCAAGGTGGGAAGTGGTTCTTCCCCCCCGGCACTTTCATCTCTAGATTTTCACGAGGCACCTTAGAAATTCCTTCTCTGGTTGAAGCTCTTACACCGGTTTCTGAGCCTATTTCCAATGGTTGGGGACACAATTCGTTAACGAATGTCGAAAATCTAATGAAAGTTCATTAAAGCGATATAAACCCATAACTAGAACTCCTATAAACCATTGATTCGTTATTGGAACAGATAGCAATAACCATTTCATCTGACAGTTGGCTGGAAAGGAGTTTTCGTGGCGCTCGTTGAGGTTCGGTGGTTGCTCTGCTGTAAATTGCAGACTTAATGTTCCTGCAGTCTTTAAATGTCCGTGGGGAGCTCTAACTTGGGTTTTTTTCACACTTACCATGCCGATGGGCAATTCATGTCTTCAGTGGTATTTCTAAATAGAAAAAGGATCCCCGACTCCATTATTTTTGTTCCTTTTTATCAAAAATGCCAGTCTTATCAAAAAGGTTCCTTTTTGTTCCATTATTTTTTATTTAATACAATGACTTGTGAATTATTTGTTAACTGGGTCTGTGGACGGTCCAATTCCAGGATTTGATATTGGGACGCTGTATCCGGCAGCTAAGTCTAGATGGCTCAAACCTTCAGAAGTTCTGTCCATTCTGAGTAACCATGACGAAAGTCAAATATCTCCAGAGCCACCAAAGAGGCCACCTGGTAACCCCCATGTTCATCTGGTGCTTTGAAGATTTAGTTTATTCATTTGATAACGCTGTGATGAACTAATGATCTTAAACGGCCTTTTGACTGGTTGGTCAAAAGGTGGGTCTTTATTCCTCTTCAACAGGAGGGTGCTCCGGTTTTTCCGTAAGGATGGTCATGTCTGGCGGCGTAAGAAGGATGGTAGAACTATTGGGGAAGCACATGAGCAGTTAAAGGTTTGTCCTTGAAATTTTCATCTGTTGGTCAATCGTGCTCTCTAGGCTCATTTTTTCTTTTATTAATGTGAAATTCAGTTGACTGTATGGGGTTTATTCTGTGTCAAGTTTAAGATACTTTTAACTTATTCTTTTAGACTGACGAGGATAAAGGCCTACTTCTTGCAAATTTGTACCCAAAGGCAAATAATTAGTTAGTAAGAGTGCATGATTTTTCCTTAAATTTAGTATATTCGTTAAGGGTTGCATGACCTTTTTTTTTTCCTTCCAATGAGCTATGATACTCTATTCGTACATGCAAAGGAACAAATACATCTCAATCTATACACAAAATACTGTGCATGACGATCATGGAGGTTTCTTCCTAGTGGGTTGGACCTTTGGGGGTAAAATGGTACTATAAAATCAGAGTGCCCTGTCAAAGAATACTGATATGAGAAAATTATCTGTGACATGTGAAGATCAAAGCATCATTGTAATCCAACTAGGCTTCAACAAGATGCATTATAATGTTTTTGGCCCTCCATGATGATGTTGTCTTTAGTTTACTTAGAGTTGTCTCTTGGTTGACATGCGTAGTTGGTATGACTCCCAATATGGTGTGCCGATAGATGCCTCAGCACCCATGGAGAGAAAGAATATCTTTATTGATTAGAAGAAAAAATATTACAAGAAGAGCAAGGTCTAGTATTTATACCAGACCCCTAGAAAGTTCTAGACATACTGACATAGATGCAAACATATAAGAAATATGAGGGCATATCTGCCAACACCTAAAACACACAAGGTTTATTTATTAAGTACATCCCGGCAACACTCCCCCTCAGACTAGTGAGTGGATGTCATTTATTCCCACCTTGGAAATAATCTTGGTTAGTTCTATGCCCGAAACTCCTTTAGTAAGCATATATGTCAATTGATTGTTCATTGAGATGTATGGCATATAAATCAAATTGGCCTCAAGTTTTCCCTTGATAAAATGATGATCAATCTCCACATGTTTGGTACAATCATGTTGTACCAGATTAATTGTTGAGTTATTGTCACAATAAATCTTCATAGGACTAAATAAAGGGATTTATAACTCATCAAGTAAATTCTTCACGCAGAGTAACTCGCATATTCCTGAGGTAAGTGTCCTGAGTTCAGCTTCAGCACTTGAACAAGCAACTACATTTTGTTTTTTTCTTCTCCAAGTAACAAGGTTGCCACCAATAAATGTGAGATGGCCAAAAGTTGATCTTCAATCAATTATTAATCTTACATAGTCAGCATCTGTGAACATTTAAACTTCTACATTCTCGCTTCATTTAAAAATAACTCTTTTACCATTTGTGAAGTAATCTAGCACTCGATGGGCTACATGAAAATGAGATTCTTTTGATTGATGCATAAATTGACTTAATATACCCACTGCATATGAGATATCTAGTCGAGTATGTGTTAGATAAAGTAGCTGGTCAATGAGATGTTGATACATCTCACGATTAATAGAAATTTCTTCATTTGCCATACATAGTTTGGTTTATATCAATAGGTGTATTGGCTAATTTGCATGCATATTTCCCTAGTTCAATCAACAAAGGTATTATGTACTAATGTTGAGAGATGAAAATGCCTCTAAAAAAGTAAACCACTTCAATTCCTAAAAAATATTTGAGTCATCCCAATTTCTTGGTATCAAACTCTTTAGCCAAACAATTGCTTAAGTTATGTGTTTCCACTTCATCATTTTTTGTGATAATAATATCATCAACATAAACTAAGACCGTAATCCCCCTGAAGAAGATTGTTTAAAGAATAAGGTATGATCACCATTACTCTAGCTATAATTCAATTTTTTTTATTGGTGTTATAAACCATCCAAAACATGCATGTGGTGACTATTTTAGTCTATAAAGGGACTTCTTTAATTTGCAAATAATATCAGGTGAATGTTGACTCTCATATCCTAGTGGAAGAGTCATATAAACTTTTTCAATTAGATCACCATGTAAGAAGCCATTTTTAGCGGCAAACTTTTGAATATCCTAACTAAAAATTACTAGTAATGATAGCAAAAAATGGACAGTATTTATTTTGGCAACTAGTACAAAAGTTTCTTGATAATCAATGTCATATATTTGTGTATAATGTTTAGCTACTAGTCAAGCTTTATATCTCTCAATCGAATCATTTGATTTATATTTTATCGTATACACCGATTTGTAATCAACCATCTTCTTATCTTGTGGTAATTTCATTAAATCCTAAGTTTGATTTTTTTCTAGAACTCTCATTTCATCATCCATAGCTTGTTTCCACTTCATATTGGATAGAGCCTCTAAGATATTTTTTGAAATAGTAGTGGTGTCTAAGGAGACAAAGAATGACTAATAAGGTAGAGAAAGTCTATGGTAGGATAAAAATTGGGTGTTGGATACAAAAGTGTTTTAGTACACTTTCGTATGAGTTTTCTCAAAGGAATGGAAAGTGAATCACAATTTATAATTACTTGATCATCAAATGAAGTAGAGGTAGATTTCTAAATATTTTCTAAGGCCAAATCAGAATCTTGGATTTTTATTGAATCGTGAATTTCCCCTCTCCTATAATAGACCTTGCCAAATCTGAGTTTTTCAGGTAGTGGATTCGGAATAGAATGAGATATTTCAGGGACTAGAATGGGAATGAACAAATTACTTGTTGGGGGCAAAATTTAAGAATCTATATGCTGATCAATATAATATGTAGAAATATAATATGCAAAATTCAAGGATCTATATACGTTGATCATCAGATGAAGGGTTTTTAAAATAAGATTCTGATCCATGAAATGTAATATCCATTGAAGTAAAGAATTTTCGAGAAAGGGGATGGTAACATCTATACAACATACCCAATGAATACAAATTTAAGTGATTGTGGTTCTAGTTTTCCTTTGGCCTGATTGTGATGGTGATCAAAAGAGACGTAACCTAGTTTCTAAGGTTCTAACCTAGTTTTAACTTGGTGGTGTGGAAAATGGTCGGCCAATGAGTCTATAGGGCTGTGAAAGCCCAGGGTTCTAGAAGGCAATTGGTTGATAAGGTATGTGGCTGTTAAGACAGCCCCACCCCAAAAAAAATTGGCACATAATTTTGAAATAGAATCGATTGAGTTACTTCTAAAATATGCCAATTGTCCTCTCGGCTAGTATATACACAAGAAGATTCATGTATGATACCCTCTGTTTGGAAGCATGAATTTAGACTTTGTCTAAAATATCATTTAGGATTATCGGATATGAATTTTTTTTTGATATTAGTGCCAAACTGATTTTTGATTATGGCATAGAAAAATTTTAAAATTTCACACACATCAAACTTCTGTTTTAGAAGGAATGCCCACATAAATCTTGTACAATCATCTATAAAAGTGGCAAACCATTTATTACCATGAATGCCATTAATTGGACAGGGTCCCCAAATGTTATTATGAGTGCAGAAGAAAGAAATATCACTCCTTTCTCCTTGAGGTTGAAAGGAAGCATAAGTTTGTTTAAAGAACACACATCACACTTAAGAGTGTCTAAGGGCACCTTTTGAAACAAAGTAGGATTTTTTTTTTCAAAATGTTAAAGGAAGGATGACCTATCCATTGGTGAAGTAATCGTATTTTACGGACATCTTCTAGAAGCTCTAGATGTTGATCTGCTTCCACTAGATATGTTTAGCTCAGTACTTCTAAAAGATAGAATTCTTTACATTCTCTATCAACTCCAATCCTCTGATGATGTACCTTATCAAATATTACATAAATATCTTCATAAAAAAAGACACAATAAGGTGAATCCTTCACAGGTTTCTTATTAAAGATGAAGTTTGTAAATAATTTGAGAACATGGAAGATATTAATAAAAAACTCAAGAGGTTCAAGTTTAAGGTCTTTTATACCAGCAACAGTTAGAAAAGATCCGTTTGCAGTAGATACTTTTCTGTCACTAGGATAAGGGTTATATTTGGTAAAAAATGTGAGAAGAATTTATCTTATGGTTTATTGCTCTTGAGTCTACTACCCAATTGTTAGAAGTATCTCTAGAAGAGGCCTTGATTCCAAGAGAGTTAATGAAGCATACCATGCTAAATTGATTAGTACTATGTTACCATCGACTTCAATTTTTCTAATTCAACTTGAAGTCATTCTATACCGTCTATCTGAGATGAAGAAGAATGTTGGTTTTTTTGAGAAATCTGATGGCTGATTGGTAAGTAATCCTCCTACCAAATATGTTTGACTTTCACATTTTTCAGTGCTGAAATTTTGTGGTCTACAATGCAACTTATAACATTTATCTCTAGTATGACATGATTTCCTGAAGTGTGTGCACCACAGGTTATCTCGAAAATTAGTTTTTTGATTTCTTCCTTGACCAAGTTCAGGATGTTTAGGTTGATCTGTGGCTTTCTTCATAGTTTTGCCCTGTTTAATCATAAATGCAGGATTGTCAATTTCAGGCACTGATAATATTAATTTCCGATGACTTTCTTCATTCAAAACAATTGAAATAGCTTCATCTAGATTAGATTTCCTCTCACAACTCAAAATTTGTTGTCTTATCTGATCAAAAATAGAATTAAGTCTTGCCAGAAATTTAAACATTCTTCTTTGTTCTATATGAGCCTCATTGTTTTTTTTTGAGGATTTTGTGTGAACCGTTTCCCACACATCTTTAACAATAGCCAGGAAGAATTGGTTAATTTGGGGAATCATTGTTCCCTAGAGCCAGGTCTTGATTAGTGCATCATCTTCTCTCCATCTACGAAATTCACGGGACAAGGAATCCGGTTTTCCCCCTACTAGATGATGTAACATTCCTCTTTCAGTCAGAACCTCTCAAATGTATTATGACTATTGTATCAGATTATATCCAGTCAATTTGAACTCTGCATGCATTGTAGAAAATTCTATAAGTAATCTTGAACCAGTAGGACCAAGATTAACTTCTCTCATGGAAGTTGGATCCCCACAGAAATGAAGAAATGTCTCCCACATTTTCCATTTCAGGGAAAAAATAGCCAAATTCCCGAAAATACCAAATTTCGTGAACAGATCTCAACAGAAATGAAAAAAATGAACTTTGAATTGACTTGTGAGGTTGAATTTCCTTAAAAAAGCCTATATCTCTTGACTTTTAGGTTTTTCAACGAGTGATTGAGTCTGGTATAGTGATTGTTTCAGATGTCCTCTGGTAGGTTTTATGGTGACGAGAACTGGGAGCAGGGTGGACTCGAGAAAGATGCTTTTATGCAGACATTTCCTTTCAAGGTTAACATTTTGACAGTGAAAAGAAGGTAGGTTCCTTAGTTTTACAGATAACCTAAGAGGAATAAATAACCCACCAGAGAAATTGACGGCCTTGTTAGAAAGCGGCTGCATCATGAGTGACGATTGGGTTGTGTGGCAATGGGATGTTGGTCCCATCAACATCTCTAGTGTCAGCAGGAACACTTGTTTCCCTTTTTCTTGGATGGCACCTCACCCAGCGTCTCTATTGAAGGCCAAGTTTTTCTATGGAGGAATGGCTAACTTAAACCTTGCACATTTGATTGGGAAGCTTACTTTTTCTTGGAATGTAGGGATACAAAGAGCACATGTAGAGGTGCTTATTTTGATCAAGGCATTCTTTTGATCAAGTATGGATCCAGTTATAAAAAAGGCATCAAAACCAGGATTACATATTTTAATATAAAAATATAGATAGAAGAAAATAAAATTATTGATTTTGAATATGTTCTATGTCGGACAGAAATAATATTAATCATATGAGAGCTCATTTTTATGCACATTTGAAGGAGCTCATGTTTGTATGTATATGGATAATTCATTTTAAAGTATAACCATAGGTATGTGGAAAGAATACAGATGAAAAGACATAGGATAAACTAGGCTCCACTTATATTCTCATTCAAGTTGTCTCCATTTTCTATATACTGAGGTGAGTGGATGAAGAGCCGTCTCCTGTATGGTGTCTGGTAGCTGTATAGACTTGGTAGGGTTCTGTTCATGGGTGTCATCTGTTTGGAGTCAAACTGGTGTTAAACATGGAATTTTCTTACTGATCTGGTCAGAATAATGACAACGTCGTCCAAGGATCTCGACATGAAGATTTGAAATTTCATGAATTGGGGGGAAGATCAGGACGTTCACTGAAGACTATAGGAACATGACGTTTGGTAATTTCATATTTATGCTGCAGAGGACTCGTTGCCTTTGGGGGGTAGTTAGTATGGTTGCATAGTAAGGTTTTGTCTGGATATCACTTCAGACTATTGGAAGAAGAAGATAAAGGGTCGAAGGAAGCATACGATAATTTTACAGTTTGTAGTTTCCTCTTTATATTGTAGAGGACACATTGCCGCTTAGGGAAAGTTAGTTTGCTTCTATGGTTAGGCTTAGCTTGGATATCACTTCAGTCTGTGGGAAGATGAAGGTCGGGGCATGGACTAAAGCATACAGCAACCCCTCGGTTGGCAATTTAGTATTTATGTTGAGGAGGGTGCATAGTCCTTGGGGAAATTTAGTGTACATATACAGTTAAGTTCTCTTCTTCCTTTTGGGTATCACTTCTGACTGGGAGATGGTGAGAGTATACATTTGTATGTGGAGCCTTGAAGGTTTTACTGTGAGTTCTCTTACATGTTAAAATTTTAGTTGTTTCCAATGCGCTTTTCATGGTGTTCTTCTAACATGCTGTTTGGGGGTATATTTTCTGTAATGTAAAACCAGAACGGAGGATGCTAATTCTTTTAGAGATGTTTGGAGCACGTGGACAACAAAATTTTATGCTGGAGGAGAGTTATTTCTATTTCATGATCAATATTGAATTTTAGCACCATTTATTTTCATGATGACCTATCATTCACTTTTTTCCCCTAGTAGGTAGCAGCAGGGGCATCTTCAACATTATTTATCATCATTTGTTATTTTATGTGCTTGATTTTTTTTTTATGTGTGCCATGCCTTCTTAGACAATTATCTGTTCCAAGTAAAATGTGGCATTTATAATGTATATTTCTTTCTTTACTGATAGCTATCTCTTCTTTATGTTACTTAGGTCGAAAATACTCCTACTTTGAGTTGTTATTATGCTCATGGAGAGGAAAATCGTAATTTTCAGAGGCGTAGCTACTGGATGCTGGATCCGTAAGTCTTTTATCAACCCTGGTACTTGGACTTTAGTTATCAACCCTGTCTGTTGTTGCCTTTTTTTTTTTTAATCTGAGATGCATGATTCCTACGTTTTATTTGCTTTAGTTATTTCTTTTATTTCTAAAATATATTAAAAATTGTTAATTGAGTGTATATAGTTATAAGGTTTACATTTCATGCTTAAATGTGCTTTGACATTAGGTCAAGTGGAATGATTGATGACAAGAGTACAATCAGAAATCAAAAAGTATTGGTGAATTTAATGCAACCTATGAAAACACTAAGATGGAATAGACCCACTAATATAACCAATGTCTCCTGCAATATGATGAGAAGCTATTCCTCCTGGAACAATGATAGGATCTCAGGACAGTAACATGAAACAAAGAGGGATCGACAGAGAATACTCGGAAATAAGAAGGGAAATAACTAAAAGAAATATAAACCTTATAACTTTATACACTCAAGTAACATTTTTTAATACATTTTGGATATCTGAATGAGGCTATGAATTATCTTAGCTTACTGCTTTGTATGAATAACGACTATATGTTTCAGAGCTGAGTTCTAAAATTACAATTGTATGAATAGTAGAATTGGGTGAAGTAGATCATCCATTGGAGGGTAAATGAAAACGTAAGATTATTTGCAATTGATGAAGCAAGGGAGAGTCATCTATAAAATATCAAGGGGCGAATGCAGGTCTTCAATGGTCTGGCTCATCTCATCACGATTGTGACAGTCATGAGGCTCAGTGGAAATGGTTGAGATTGACTTGGATAACGTATACAAATAATTTTTTATGGCTCTCTAATGCGGTAAAACACTATTCAAAGACCTACAAAAGGCCCGTTTTCCTTGTCATCGGTATGCTTTCACTCTGTATAATCAATTCCTTCCTGACAGCTAACTTACTTTTCTTAGATGTGATAGCTTCCTGTGCATAGGAGGATGTGTAGAAGTGGCTCTTGTCTTTGATATGAGTATGTAGCAGTTTACTGATTGTTCAGGATTGTGGGTATGCATGTCATTTTGTGTCCGATGTATGTCTGCTTCTTTAACTTAGTCCAATTATGTCTTTGTGATACTTCCTACCAATCACATATGTTACTAGGCGAGATGTGTTTATTCTGTTCAATTTTTACTTGAATTGGTCAACAATACTTTCATTCGTCGTGCTTGTTTTTGGATTTCTCACAGTATGTGGACTATGTTCAAAACACTGAAAATAATGTCGGCAGAATTAACGTGTATGACACAGGTATGCTGACCTTGACAATTGGTTGCAAAATATACTTTTTAACTTTAAAACTGAAACCCTGTTGTTGAAATCCGTGCACAGAATGATGGTGTAGAAATGTGTATAAGGATGGTACATGCATGCTAAATCCCTCCAATCACTGATGAGAGCATTCTGATATAATTCTCACCTCGCTAACAGCTACTCATTGAAATGCAAACACTTGAAGAAAAAGCTGCATGCTCAGTTGTTACTTAACTATATTCTTAATACGCGATATTAGTATTTATTGATTAGGAAGTATCTTATGTGGAGCTTATGCCACGATATATAGCTCTTAACAATTGGGACCTCCTCGATAGAGGCAAATTACTCTTTTAGTATTGAAGTAAAACCTCAGTGCTTCAAGCATTCGTTTTCTGCTTCTAGGATGTAACATGCAATATGCTTCTGGAATAAAGATTTCTCCATTTATCTGGCGACTTTGTATTTATTTATTTTTCATTCATGTGCCTTGTGGATCTGACCTATTAATGGAGAAGCATGTATGATACAAAAAAAGAACTGTAGATAGCCCCTCAAAATTTCTGTAAAGAAAGAACTAAGCGCTCTCGGCTGAAAACTAGCACACATTTAGGAAAGATGCAATATAAAGCCTACTTCAAGAAAATTCTGTGTGTTTCTGTTGGCGGAGGAGAGTGTGCAGTTATGCGGATGATTAAGATGGAATAGGAATTGATGTCGTGGCAAAACAGTCAGAAATTAATTAACCTAGAATTCAACCTAATCGATGAATGCCGCAACTTAGCAGAACGTAATTAGTCATGGCTGCATATGTCTCTGAAAACGTGAGACCAGAAGTAGCACAAATAAAAGGAGGAAGCTGCATTCCTGCCAACGCTGTTTAAGTTCTCATGACCATGGTTTTCTTGTATCATCTTTCTTGCTGATCAGAAATAATTATTTAGAGGTTTTTTTTTTAAATCAAGATAATTTAAAACACAAAGGAGACACTTTTCTACATTCCAGAAATGTCATCCCCATGGGTTTGAGTGTCACATGCTTCTCTTTTTGACCGGGATCAGGAAGCATTCTGTGTATTCATTCGTCAAAATATGCTGACTTCATCTGGTCTTCTCTCTTACTTATGTGATGAAATGTGTCGATGCTGTTGTTCATTTAGACATTAAGGAGAAGCTGTCAAACAGAAAAACCATCTAAGGTTCAATTAATCAATTACACTATGATTGTATATTTTGTTTCACTTTTTTATCTGATGCACCTAAGAAGCCTTCAAAAAGAAAAGGATATGTTTCTATGGGGATTTGTGGTTGTACCAAGGTCAACTGTCTGCCAGATTAGTGCTCTATTGCCTATTTACTTTTTGAGATTTTTTCGTTTGGACATGTTGATATCTGTTACCACCTGCTTGTCTTTTTGAAATCTGATTCGTAGGTGGCTTAACTGCTGTTTCTTGTAAGTAAACAAGAAACAGGTTCACACATGCCTTCTGCTAGGCTCTCATAACTCAGTTTAGTTTTCTTTGGCGGACCCCATTGTTAAGTGCAGTGCTCTTGTCTATGTGTTTATATGCATGTGTCTGGTTTCACAAAAAATTAACAATGTGCGTTTTTTGGCTAATATTTTTTGTTTCAGGGCTTATGAGCATATCGTTCTTGTTCATTATAGAGATGTTACTGAGGTTAGTAGCCACCATCATATCTACCTGCTGATAGCGAATTTTCTTCTTCATGTGATTACAACTTTTCCTGTCTTCGGCTCCACTTCTAGTTCATGGCATTCTTTAGTTGTTGGAAAATTTTCCATTCCCCTTGTAATTCAGACGATAAATGTGCAACGGATGCCTGCTCTTTTGGAAAAAAATAAAATCCTGTTGCAGCGCTGTTATCTAAGTCGATCCAGGGATCATCCGACCCAGATGTCCTCAAGCTGATTTTTATGTATTTCAGGAAAGATGTCCTGGATCATCCTGCAGCTTATCCGAAAATGTTTCTTTGACCTCCAGTCAGAGCAGTAGTCCCGCAAATGAAAGTCAGGGAGGTAATGATTTGTCTTCATACAGTCCTGCTTATGTGAGCAAGCGACTTGTGAGGCGAATTTTCGATATAATATACCTGACTAGGGTGGAAATGATGGATCAGGAAATTGTGGTCTGCCTTCACAGGCACAGATGGATGAAGCACTGAGAAATGTAGAGCGGGATTTATTGTCCGATGATGATAATGGTTATCAGATATCTGATGAGCAAATATTTCATCTACACCAGACACTAGATAACCTGGAAAATCAGATTAATCATGGAAGAAGGAGCCCTACACAGGATATGTTTGGAGAGTCAGAATATGTGGAATATAGTTCTGACATCAGTAGAGATATCGGATGGGAAGATAACACTGCTACATGTATGTCACCCAAAACTTCAAGTTCACTTTTACATATTTCTAGCTACAATGAGTTCAGGTTCTGGTAATTTTTATTTTTTCCTATATTGTTTAGAATTATATCTATGTAACACCGGGACTTGTCTTTGTGCTATTTACAATCTCAGAAAAGGATCATATAATGTCTCTACCTTAGATATTCGTGGATCATCTTTATAGATGGAGTCCAGAACGTGATCTCTATGCTATGCATTTGCAGTTCCTTTATGTATGTTTGGTATATATACTGGGTAAAAAGAGAATCATCTAATTAGCTTACGTGCCCAGATTAAATGTCCTGATCCATCAGTTGCATTTGAAAACAATGGCAACGGGTATTGTGTTATCTAATATCTCGTTTATCCATAGACAGTCAACCATTCTTTATTCATCTATTAGGACATTCTTCTCATCCAATAAGATACTCTCTTGAACACTTAATCGATTCAGATGTTGTTCATTTTTCTATAGGTGACAATCTTAAACAGGAAGACCAGTTATCAAGTTCACAGCGTACCGTTGAAGGGGAAGTCCTCCCCATATTGAAAGATCCGCGGATGCATACAACATCCACTACCACAAGTGGGGATAACACACTTCCTGATATTAAAACAAATTCAGCTGAAGACGAACTTGCTGCTACGGATACAGAAGTCTATCAAAATGTGAGTAGATAATAGCGACCAATGTCCTCAGTTCTCTCTTTTTATAAGCATGCCTTCGTAATATTGCCTGAGAATTTTTGTTTTTAAATCCTGATGGTCTAAAACTGATTTAATGTTTTTAATGTGAATAAATTAGCTATCTATGTGGTATTTCATACGCAAATTTCTGATTTCGTGTGTGCCTATTGGTAAGTTCAACATCATATTTCTTCGTGTTCCATTCCAGAAGTGAGTTTTATGGAAGATAGCCTTTCTTTTTGTGGAACTGGGCATGATTTATGGGTCAAATGAAATATTCGTAACATAAAAATAATTTTCAGGGTATAAGGCTACCTTCTTCAGATATGAGGAATATGCATTTCACTTCATCTATGAAAATTGTCAGCAGATTGATTATGGAAGACACATTGAAAACTCTGAAACTACCAAAGAATCTTATAATTGCATTGAATCATTAATGTCGGCTAAAAATTTTCAGGAACCTGATGACGGCAACTCCATGGTGCGCAGCAACGATACCATTGAGTGGAAGGATAGCATGCAATTACCAGTTGAGAATACAGCGTTTCACCCTATCATTTCGCCGGATCTATTTGATGGGAGTGATTATATGATACCTCCTGTAGAAGATTCAATCTTGACCTTAGCTCGGAAACAGCTCTTTAGCATCCGTGAAGTTTCACCTGAATGGGCATTTTCCTATGAAAATACAAAGGTATACTCATCAGTCAATACCTTGGATTATGGATCTTTCAATTGTGTTTACAAAAAAAATTGCATCCTTGGGTACTCATGCAGGTTATTATTACGGGAGATTTTCTTTGCAATGATTTGGAAGTTGACTGGAAGGTCATGTTTGGCGAAGTTCAAGTCCCAGCAGAAATCATCCAGAAAGGTGTGATTCGTTGCCAAGCTCCTGCACATGATCCAGGTAGGGTCAGCTTGTGTTTAACTTCTGGCAACAGGGAATCTTGTAGTGAAGTAAGAGAATTTGATTATCGTGCGAAGCCTGAAACTTCTGGTTCAGAGCGAAATGTGCAAAACGCCTCTGCAAGCAGGAACACGGAGGTGCTTTTATTACTTGCCAGATTCACACAGACTCTATTATGCGAATATGGTGCCGACTTGCCTCAAAAAGAAGATGGTTTGCCACAAAATGATTTCTCAGGGAAACTGAGATCAACTAATGACCAATGGGATAAGATTATTGCGTCACTTGTGGACAGTAATGACAATGCATCAGGTGTTGTAAATTGGCTTTTGCAAGAACTTCTAAAGGACAAGTTGATGCAGAGATTACTGACCACAAGTAAGACTGGTGCAATGGCAGACTGTTCTTTGTCTAGGCAGGAGCAGAGTATCATACATATGATTTCTGGTTTGGGCTTCTTATGGGCCTTAAATCCCATACTCGAAGCAGGTGTTGGTGTGAATTTCCGTGATTCAAAGGGATGGACTGCTCTCCATTGGGCTGCACATTTTGGAAGGTAATGGTGTCTCATTCTGTTCTGACATCCGTGGACCAAGCATTGTACCTCTGTCAGTTTATTAGAGTATTCGTCAGAAAGTCAAGGCACTCAGTAGAGAGCCTCTTTCAGAGTTGTCAAGATGTGAGATTAATGTAAGGCTTACATGCCTCACCTTGTGCAACCACCAGGCATCTTCAGGACATCCTACGTGCCTAGACATTCTTAGATTTCTTTTAACATTCCCTAATTTGAGTAGCCCTCCTGTAAGTTAGAGTTCATCATAATGGTATGAAAAAATGAATTAAATTAGATAAATTTTGATTAAAAAACATTTTTTAAAACAAATAATTTCACTTCTAAAAAAATGGCATGTGGTTGCATGACAATGCAGGGAGGAAATGGTTTCTGCACTCTTAACTTCTGGTGCATCAGCTGGAGCAGTAACAGATCCAACCGTACAAGACCCTGTTGGGAAGACCCCGGCTTCTATTGCGGCCGCCAATGGCTACAAAGGTCTTGCAGGATATCTTTCTGAAGTTGCTCTGAATGACCACCTTTCTTCTCTGACACTGGAAGAAAGTGAAATCTCCAAAGGATGTGCAGAGTTGGAGGCAGAAAGAGCTGTGGAGGGCGTATCCGGTGGGAATATATGTGTACTTGCCGGCGCAATAGAGGATCAGATTTCACTCGAATATTCATTGGCAGCGGTCCGGAGAGCTACTCAAGCTGCAGCACGTATACAGTCTGCTTTTCGGGTCCATTCTTTTAGAAAGAAACAAGAGAAAGCTGCGCAAGCTCGTGATGAATGTTCTTTGACTCCGCAAGAAATCTATGAGCTTTCATCTGCATCCAAGGCTACCCACAGGCATCATGATCTGAAGTTTTTCACAGCTGTTCTTTGTATTCAGAAAAAATATCGTGGCTGGAGAGGACGCAAGAACTTCCTCAAGTTACGCCAGCATGTAGTGAGAATACAGGTACTTGAACTTCCCCTTGTTTTTTTTTTTTTTAAAATGTCTTTGGATCGTGCTAATTAGACTTCATTTACTGTCAGAATAATGGAAAATATTTATCTCATGGCAGCTATGCGTACACTTCAAGGATTAAAGTAGAACACACACTCAGAAGTGTTTTTTTTTTTTTTTTCATGCAAATACACAGCTTTATATAAGGCATAGAGAAACTCCCAATCCATACATACCCCATACTTTGGGTAAATATTTATCCTCCATGCTATATTGCTGATTGTTAAAAGGGGATTTTCTTAAGTTGCTGATGGTTGACAATATATAACCATTAATGGAAGGAAACAGTGTGCAAGCATGACATTCTGAGAATCATCTCTGACTAGTATTCTCGTGCCCATCCCCCTAGAAAAATCGACAATGTAAATCAGATGAGCTGCGAAGGAACAAGATCTTTAAACCAGAACAGTAAACATGACGTCCGAAGAGGTTTGACTTATGAAACTAATGCATCTCGCGTGACTCTTCAATGAATTCTTCATTGGGTTTGACCTTGAAACTAGGTGACAGCTAGATGTATTGTTCTGTGCGCTTTTAAAAATGTGGAGAGTACCCAGAGGATCGGGTCTGGTGCTGGATAAATTTCCTTCTTGAGAGGACGCAGTGGATGCATACCATTCATAAATAACAGAAGAGGTATGCATTTACTTTGAATCATTTTCTCTTTCGAACAGATTCGGCGGCAAGAAATAACCCACATGAGTGGAATTTGCATTTTTATGTAGAACTTAGAAAAAGAAAAACATATCTGTTTATGCAGGCATAATATATGATCTAGATGGTTTTAATATATGAACTAGGATACTTGCTTGCTTGCATGCTCTACTGGGTCAACAGCCCAGTTTAGCATCGGATTGCAGCCTTCTTGAGTAAATGCTATTTCTCCACGGTTCTTTATTACCTTTTCCAGAGAGCTCAATTGACCAGCATGGGGTCAACTTATGAGCGACTTGGCATGATTTTGCACGCACACCCTCCCCGTTCGGAACTCCCTACAGCAGAACTACTCGGAAATCTTCATTCTCGTTTCTATCAGTTTATTTATTAATTTTTGCGTGGTTCCAATTTACTCTTCGGAGGAAGGATGAGCCCCGAGGTTGAGTTGCTCTCCTGATTTCTGCATCACATTCTCTCCGAGCAGGCTCACGTGAGAGGCCACCAAGCCAGAAAAAAGTACAAGGAATTCCTCTGGACCGTGGGTGTCTTCGAGAAGGCCGTGCTCCGATGGCGCAGGGGAGGAAGGGGGCTGCGAGGATTCAAGGTCGACTCAGAGCCCATCGATGAAGAAGATGACGAGGACATCTTGAAGGTCTTCCGCAAGGAGAAAGTCAACGTCGCCCTCGACTTGGCTGTCAGGAGAGTGCTTTCGATGGTGGCATCTCCTACGGCCAGGCAACAGTATCGCCGGATGGTTGAAAGCTTCTGGCTGTCAAAGGTAGAGACTTACCTAACTACTTACTCTTTTTAGATGACCACCCGTGTCGATCAACACTCGGGGCCATCTCAAAGGAGGCAAGCCCCACGGCCCAGACCTCACCCTCTTCCAGTTTCGACGATTTCAGGTAGTCCAAGAAGGTGGGGCCAGGCCCACGTCAGATCTTCACAGCGACACCACCTATTTATTCCCAGATGGCTCAGAATGATCCCAAAAAGCTCCTCTCCCCTTTGTGGGTCGTCAAAGATTCTCCAAAAGTTGTATATAAGTAATGCCAAATACTTTCTCTCTCTCTCTCTCTCTCTCTCTCTCTCTCTCTCTCTCTCTCTCTCTCTCTCTCCCAATGATGATGGTGATAATTATTATTATTATGATTATTACTATTATTCTTATTGTCATACAAGTTAGGATCTTATTATTATAGTGTCTCTCTTCTATTTAGACCCTTAAGTGAGTCAGTTATGGACTACTTAATGGGCCCTCCCTTTATTTCTTCAAAATAGGAGGGCTTTGCCCACTATAGATGTAATTGGTACTTAAATCAGTGTAGACGTTAATTGAAGATGACTTTTTGAGAAAGTACTCTAATAGGATTTTCTAGGCAGATTTAGTAAGAAGGGAGGATGAAGACCTGATCGAGAAGATCAAGGTCCTAGTTTGACATGATATCAAAGCTGGTTAAGACATGAAGTATCGCAACGACAAGGACATACCTTTCATCAATTGGAAGCAAGCATCTAAGAGGTCAGTTGAGAATAATTCTTGATTTCAAGAATCAAGAAATAAGAGATGTCAATAGGTCAAGAAACTTTTGTATCCCAATTGTTGGTGGCCATGACAAGACAATGTATGCATTGCTAGGTATGCTTGAGCATTTGAAATTTAATGGTATGAATTGGTATCAATGAGAGAAGTTTGTGGAGTAAACCCTCTTTGGGACAGGTTTGTTAGAGTATCTAATTGGGGATCTTGTTGGGATGAATGATTTAAATTACAAAATGCAAAATGCAAAAATCCAAAGAAGCTTGTATTTATTCATGGTTCTTTAGAACTATGACAATAAAAATGTTTGATAATTTTTTTTACATGACTACTATGAAAGAATTGTAGCCTGAAGTTCACAAAAATTATTATAAGCAGTAGAATGATTGAAAGGTCTATGGGCTGAATGCCAAAGCAATGAGAGCAATACAAGGGGAGAAGACAATCATAAAGTTATCATGTGAATTGAAGGCTATATGGTGCAAGATTGATCATTATTGGCTTGTGAGGAATCCTTACTCCAAAGAAAAAAATTACATATTAAAGTAAAGAATATTTACATTCCTAATGGCTTTAAATCTAGAGTATGAGAGTCTTTGGAGTCATATCCTACATAAGAAGAGGGTACCAAATTTGAATGAAGCCATCAATATTATTATGGAGTAAAAGAGTTGATGTGCCTACTCTCATATCCATCAAGGCCTAGCCTAATAAATCAAGTCAAAAAGTTCAGCAAAATTAAAAGAATCTAATTGATTAAGAACAGAGGGTCTCAAATGACTATAAAGATAGTCTTTGGTGTTCTTCCAGCAAACACAAAAGACATACAAGAGAAACCTGCTAGAAGTTGCATGGTAAGCCCCAACAAAATTGAAAGGTATATGTTGATGCTTCTCATAGTCATGAAGGTGGAGAACAAGGGTAGTTGGAGGAGCAAACAAAAAAGCATACTCATGAAAATGAGGAGGACCTTATGGAGATAAGAGGAGAACTAGAGCGACTCAAAAACATGTTGAGTTCTACCTCCTTAACATGTTCAAGTGAAAAAAATAAATCTTTCAGTAATACTTTTATCCCAAAACCAATAGAATACATTAGATTATTGATACTAGTGCTACATATCACATGACACGAAATATTTCTAAATTTATTAATTATTTAAGGATAAATAGGTCACATAAGGTCCTTATAGTTGGAGGAGGGATCTTATCAACGGAGGGTATTGAGAGCATCCAAATTAATGGGCTGAGTACACTTAAAGATGTACTTCATGCGTCTAGACTTGAGGCACTTCATTTATCATAACAAAAGCTTGTGCGAGATTATAAGTGCAAATTTATTCTTGAAGATTATGCATATTGTATATTTGACAAGGTGTCTGAGCAAAGGACTAGACATGTTAGCCATCAAGATGGCCTTCTTTATTTGGAAGATCAAGATGCAATATATATCTCATCTCCTAGTCTTCTCGGAGATGCTAGGAGTCAAATTATACTTCAGTGTAGTCATGTTGGACATCCTTCTTTTAAATTGATGAAACATTAGTCTTCTATCATTTGTAATAAAGTTGATGTCAAAACTTCAAGTTGTGAGGCCTATCAATTTATCAGACACAAATGATTGATATTTTATTTTATGAATGAAACGAGTTTAGCACCACTATATCAGATTTATAATGATATATAGAGGATGTGTCAAATATCTAATATATCTAGTGGTAGATGATTTATGCTATTTGTTGATGACTATACTCGATTTATATAACCTTATCTTCTTAAGTCCGAAGCTAAAACTACTCAAATTATTCTACATTTCTTTAACATGATAAATAATTAATCTAGAATAGTGATAAAATAATTCAAAATAGACAATGCTAAAGAATATTTCAATATTGTCATATCTCCTTATTTTGCTCAAAAAGACATAATTCATGAATCATCGTGTGTTGATACTCCACAACAAAATAGGTTAGTCGAAAAAAAGATTAGCCAAATTATGGAGATAGCTAAAGCACTATTGTTCTAGAGAAATGTATTAAAACAATATTGAGGAGAGGCTATATTGATAGTTACACATCTTATAAATCGTGTACCAGTAAGATCAATTGGACATTGGTGTCTAATTGATTTACTTCTAAAACTTATCACAATGTAAAGTTGAAAATAAACTTAACGTACAAGGTATTTAGTTGTGTGACATATGTTCACATTGTTAATACTCAGTTGGATAAATTGAACCATAGAACATGTAAGTATATATTTATGAGATACTCACCGTTTCAAAATATTATAAATGTTACTACCCATCATCCATAAGATATTATATCTCTGTAGATGTTACTTTTAATAAATACGAGATGTATTATAAGAGGACCAAAGAACATGATATTTAAAAATCAGAAAATCCTTTAGTTATTACCTCTAAAGACTCTTGCCCTCACCTAACACAAATATTTAAGAAATAAGTTCAAACAAAGTCACCTAATACAATAGTCACAATTGAAGAAAAAAAGGTAGAGAATAAAATTGAATTAATGCAGCCTAGCTGAAGATGATTAGGTAGGATGGCCTATTGCCCTGCATAAAGGATTAAGAAATTACATAAACAGACTAAGGTATCTAATGGCCAATTATCTATCATATAATAGATTGAGTTAGGAGTATAAAGTATTATTGAGCTTACTTAATATGACACATGTACAAAAATAATTGATAATCATTAGCTAAGAAAAAGTGGAGTCAAGTAATGGATGTAGAGATGAAAGCTCTACAAAAGAATCATATATGGGATATAGTTATCTCTTAACTAATAAAGAAGGATGTGGGGGTATAAATGGGTATATATCTTGAAATTCAATGCATGAGTCATTTACAAGTTATAAGACATGATTAGTAGCAAAAGGCTATACTTAATCATATGGGATTGACTATCTTGAGACTTTGTCTCTAGTTCCCAAGCTTAACACCATGAGAATATTAATTGATATAGCAACTAAGCTAAACTAAGAGATACATCAATTTAATGTCAAAAATATATTTTTACATAGAGAACTTGAAGAGGAAGTCTATATGATTATACCTTTAGAATATTCACTATCCAATCAACTATGAGTGATTTTTAAATTAACAAAAGCCCTCTATGGTGTCAAACATAATGCATATCGTATTTTGTTCATCAAACATAATTCGTGTGAAGGTATGATTGTATTAATTGTATATGTCAATGATATATTGATCACAAGTGATGACACAAATGAAATTCAAACTCTGAGTAAAAACCTCTCACATAAGTTTGGTATTAAGTCTCCTGGAAGACTAAGGTATTTTCTTAGTATTAAGGTGGCACACTCGAAAGAAGATATCTTAATTTCTTAGTATTGTTAATCTACTCTACAAAATTTGAGGACTTACTTGTAAACCAATAGTCACACTAATAAATATAAATGTGAAACTTGGAGTAGGAGGTGATAGTCCTCCAATTAATAAGGAACCATTCGAAAGGCTGATTAGAAAATTGATTTATCTAAAATTATATTAGATCAAATGTGGCATACATTGTGAGTTCCTTGAATTAGTTCACAATTGACCCCAAGAAAAATTCACTTACAAAGCAGTTTATCATATTCTAGCATATTTAAATAATAATGTGAGACAAAGCCTATTATTTTCTTGAGGTGGTGATAGTAGATAGCATTGTGAAAATATGTACAGACTTAGATTATGTAGGATTAGTAAGTGACAGGAGGTCAACATTTGACTATTGTTCTTTTATTAGTGAAAAATTAGTCTCATAGAGAAATAAGAAAAAAAAGGTGGTGTCTAGATCCAGTGCAAAAGCTAAGTTTAGAGCTATGGCTTAAGATATATGTGAAGCAATATGGATAAGAATAATACTTGAAGATTTACATTTATACTCTTAAGGTTGCATCAAGTTGTAATGTGACAATCAATCAGCTATTATTATTGCTCATAATCTAATCAAACATAACAAAATAAAGCACATTGAAATAGATCACCATTTTATCAAGAAAAATATTGAAGTGATAATAATCTTATTTTTTATCAATTCTACTAATCAAGTACAAATATATTCATCAAGGGGCTGTCAAGACTAATTATACAAAAATTTGTATTCAAGTTGGGCATGTCTAACATCCATACCCAACTTGCAAGGGGGGTGTCAGACAAGTTAGGGTCTCACTATTGTAGTGTCTCTCTTCTATTTGGGCTCTTAAGTGAGTCAGTTGTGGACTACTTAATAGGCTCTTCCTTTCTTTCTTCAAAATAAGAGGGCTTGGCCCATTATAAATGTAACCAGTATTTAAACTGGCATCGAGGTTAACTGAAGATGACTTTTTGAGAGTCTACTCTAATAGGATTTTCTAGGTGGCTTTAGTAAGAAGGGAGGGTGAAGACCTGATCAAGAAGATTAAGATCCGGGTTTGAAAATTATGATTATAATTATTCTTATGATTATTATGATTATGATTATCATGCTTTTCTTGAGAAGATCGTATGTTTTATTTTATTTTATTTAGACAGAACAAGGAGCACGACCCTTGCCGCCCTTACTCTTCTGTTGTTGTCTGAGTTGGGTCCGTTGACTCGATGGTGAGGATGTTCGTTATGGGCCTCGACGTGGTGATTGAGTTCGTAATGGGCCTGTTGACGTTCGTACGGATCCGTTTAGATTTATTGGGCCGACACGCGTTGCAGACTAGATGAGACACGCGCAAATACTCATAGAGACAGGATGGGCCCTCCGGTCCGGCCCATTTACTGAGCTGATTAGGCGTGACAGGGGGAGGTGCTAGATGAGAGGAGAGGAGAGTGAGCGAGTGAGTGAGGATAGAGAGAGAGAGAGACTGGGAGACCCGGTTGAGAAGGCGGCGACAACGGACGGAGATGGATGAGGTGGAGCAGATCCAGGAGGCAATCCAGCAGCTCGTGGACCGCCGGAGGAGAAGGAGGAACGAAGGCAGAGCGGCCTCCGAGCTCGACGAGGAAGAAGAAGACCGCCTCCTCTCCGATTTGCTGTCCCAGGTCTCTAGAACACCAGAACGAGATTTACGGGATCAGACGGCGGCTTTCTCCGATTTCCCCTCTCTTTTCCTCTCGTCGTTCGAGTTCCGATTCTTCCCGACTCCATTTCAACTCGTCTCTCTGTATTTCTTCAATCGAAGTCGTGTTTCCTCCTGAAGCAGATGGATTCCGGAGACGAAGCTTTTCACCTAGATGATGAGAACTCGATGATTTCTACTACTGTCTGTCAATCAATAGCAGTTACGATAAGATATCGATCAGGAACAGCGTATCCGCCATCACAAGAAATATATATCCTCCTCCTGGCTGTCCATCCCGCCACCAATAGAGACTGGATTCACCAGGCTCTTTCTATCCTAGGCTGGTGGATCCTGGTCAGCAGAGCATTCCATTTTTTCCATTAAACGTCGTGTTTTCCGGTATTGTATGATCCGGTCCGCAAGAATTCACCAAGAAATTCCAGATATCGTATGATCCACGAGCTGTTTCCGTCTTCGATACTCACCTAATCAGCCATGAATTCATCGCCGATGTCTGATTCCTTGAGAATGCGAACTGTAAACTCTAAGCATGAACTCATTCGTGCTTTGCAACAGCTGGCCTCCTTGAAGGTCCCATCTGCAGCGGAGGCGGACAAACGAGGAGCCGATGATGATCTGGCGAGCGAGCTCAGGAAGCTGAGGAGACAAAACACCATCACCCACTGCCTCTTGTCCGCCATGATCGTCGTCACCGCCGCTTGGCAGCTCTCGGCGGCCTCCCTTCTGCTCAGTCTCAAGAGCGGGCTCACCAATCCATTCAAGACCGCTGTAAGCCTGATCGGGAGCGTTCTAAAGGGAGGAGGAGGAGGGGACCTGCAGGAGTTGCAGAGGCTATCTTCCAACTCAAATCACCAACAGCTCGAAGGGCCCTCCTCCGCCCCCCAGCTCAGCCTTCCAGAGCTCCCAGCCATAAGCTTGCCATCTCTGGCAGGGGATTCTTGAACATAACAACTGAGCATGTTCTTCTCCACAGAGAGCGACTGCAGAGGAAATAGACAGCGGAAGATCTGCATTTTTTTCACGATAATACCAGGCCCAGGTCTTTAATTGACTCAACAAGAAGAACAACGAGGGAAAGAGGGATGGGGAAGATGCCATCGAGGTTTGAAGGACACAGGAAACGACTGACCCACACCGAGCAGAGACCACACACACCGAAGTTCATGGGAAACAAATGGAGAAGAGTCTGTTCCTCTGAGCAGCGCCCTCCTCAGGCGTAGTTCAGCCGGAAGATGTCGTTCAACACGTAGAAGCTTCCCTGGGGAGTGGGCATCAGATGAAACATCTGCCACCCATAAATCAGAGGTGAGAGCAGACGTCAGCGATTAGAAGAACAGGCTGTGCGAAAAAACAGAGGAAAATTCTGTCCGATCAAATATTAGGCCAGAGTTTCTTCTTCTGATTAACCATGGAAAGAGGTCAACTGTTGAAGAAACTCTAGCCGGCCACAGACTCACAAATCAACAGGCATGGATGCTTTTCAGGCAGGGCTTCTCGTCAACTGGGCCCGCATTAAAGCAGAGCAATTAGTCAACTCAGGAACAGAAGTGCTTATGGAGGAGAATCAGTGAATAAGAGAATCATAAAATCCCCCCCCCCCCCCAAAGTCGCAGTTACCTCCCACACCACACAAACCCAGCAATGCACTAAACAGGCATTGAACAAAAGTGTGAGACTCTCTCATCAAATTATCGGCAGATTTCTTTCCAAAACCTGCATAATTCTGAAACCAGAACCCCCTGGCGTCCCATCATTGTTCCATGGCTCTTCTCCATCTATGTGAAAACAGGTTTGGTACGGTGATGTGCCTAACTTACCTAAGAAAATATCAGGCCCCATGAAGTCATTACCGTTCAAGCAAAAACCAGTGAAAGGATAAAGGATATCAGGCACTTGGTGAAGGAAGCTGTCTAAGATCCAGTAATGACTGATATTTGGCATTCATTCCTCCCAATGATTACAATGAACAACGCAGAAATAAGGAATGAAACAATTTACACCCTTCACAAAGTATATACAAATATATATATATATACATATATTATATATATAATATATATATATGTATATAATGTTTCAAAAAAATGAAAATGTCTAACATGGAACCCAGCAATGAAAATATCGGTGCCTTTGTCAACAGTATCGTTGCTAAACTCGAGCTTTTTGAAAACCAAGATAAAGTTAATAATTAAATGTATTTTCTATTTAATATAAAGTGCAAATGACAACATAATTACAAAGAAATGAAATTTTCTTCAATAATCAGCGTTTTTATTACACTGGACCCCCTTTTTATTGATTTATTCAACCATCATTGGTTTACTAGTGTCGAGTACTCATGGTCATTAGAAATGTCAGCGTTCAATGCTGATCGCACAACACAACTGCATTTTACGAAGATCATTCACTGTTTGATCATGTTTGCGGTCGCAGTCAAGTGTCTATATTCATCTGACTGCGGCCATGCGTAAGCTCTGGATGCCTTGGCTTCCAGACTGCCTTCATCCCACAGCGCGTCATCTAGACAATGCCTTAAAAAACTAGATTTTAAGAGTCTGTTTACTTATATAGGAAGCCAATGAGCTCCATAAGCGCCAGAAACGGCGCTTATTGAGCTCATAAGGGGTCTATCGTTCACAGTGACAGATGGAGAGAAACGGCGCACGCATGTTGCAGCACAAATCATGCACGAGAGAAGAGCAATCAGGCAAGACTATGTAGTTAAAAAGTAACTGAAACGAAATTTCGCATAAATCCCAAATTAGATCAGACTTCACACAGTATCAACCCTACCCAATTGACAAGGATTACGGACAGAAACTGAGTAGGAGAAGAGGAATATCAATGAAATTATGCAGTCTGTCAAGGATATTGAGCACAGGCTGAAGACAGAGTCAGAAAGACAACTACACAAAGTAGATGTGTAGATATAAACAGCATAGAGAGAAGAAAGCCCAAAGAAGAGGGTCGAACCGCAGATATTGTTCCCATGTACAGAATCCAACGACAGGCCGTAAAGCATATTAAGATCGATCTAGAAACAAATGATTCTTGTCCCGCATCTCAGGTCTACAATAAGTATTAATCGATCACAAAACAATTCCCCAGTGAAACTTTCAAAAAAAATTCAGCGAAAGGATCATACAACCGTGGAGCTGCGATGGATCATTGTCACCCGAAAGAGTGCCATAAGGTATCAAAAGGGAAGAAAAGAAAGCCGACGAATTACGAGCGGCTAGAGTCATCCTGTCGATTCACAACAGGGTAGCAATTAAAAGGGCAATCTAATGAACAAAATCCTAGATCTGTCAACAGGAGAAGATCATACAGGTATCAGACGTTGAACGATCACATAAAACAAAAAAAATCGGATCACAGAGATCGTAAGAAAAGTAGATATATCTCCCAATGAAATCAAAACAAACTGTCAAACGAAAAGATGCTGGAGTATAAATGGAAGCAAATCGATTAACAGGAAGCAAGAGAACATGGGAAAAAAATTATGCCTGGCTGAACTTAAGCGCGTGCTGCTCGCCGGAGAGCTGGAGGGAACCGCTGACGAAAACAAGCATGCCGCCGCCCGGGCCGGATGGCTGGCAGTCGACGGTGGATATATTGTGGAGACATTGCTGGAAAGGAAGACTAGCAAGCTTCTCAACAATGGCGAGGGAGCCCTGAATCTTGGCCCCCTCGAAGGTCAACATGGAGCTCTCTTGGTACAGATTGCCGAGCCCCGCTCGGTTAGAGTCGAACATCTTGTAGTAGTGCTCCACGAACGCCTTTGCCAACGAATCCGGATCCATCTCCCAGCCCCTGAAAACTCTTGCGAAGCCCTAACCCTAGAAGCCCCTGAACGCCTTCCTCCCCCGATTCCTCCGATCTCTCCCGCTCGTCTCTTCAGCGGCGGCGAGGCGGAGCCCTGAAAACACGCGAGCCGCTCGGAAGAGGAAAGAATATCGCTAAGGGCAGCAGGGAACTCCTTCGTTCTAAACATTTTTCAACTTTAGTCCTTCATAATGTTTCTATCTACATAATGACCTTTTAACATGAATATTGTGTATGATAGCTAGATATCAGTTTGGGCCCAAAACAAATGGGCTAACCTACCCATGTGGCTCCTATTTGGGCCTATCTAGCCCAGCCCAACTTGAAAATTTACCAGGGCATAAGAGAAATATATAAATGATGGGTGGCACTGGTGTAATACAGGCCAGCCCCGTCGTCATCATCCTCGGAGAGGCAGAGAACGGCGACGTCTGCGCTGACGTGAAAGGGGTGAGCGATCTCCAGGGAGAGGTTTGGAGAATCAGTGACGAAGGTAAGCAGTCGCATTCAATTCCGTCTGCGCTTCTTTCCCTGTTTATCTTGTAAGCAGTTTGACCTAAGAGGGGAAGGAGAAGGGGGGGGGGGGGGGGGGGAGTCCACCCCGACCACAGTTGGCTACTATTAGGGTTCATCGGAGCAGCGGGCTAATAGTGATTCCTGGCCTCAATTTGTGAGCGGCCTGCCCTTGCCAGTGCTCGTAAATGCCAATACGCGCGGCGGTCGGACCGGCCCTCTGCGGCGATTCATGATGCTCTTCTGCAAGCCATCTGTCGCAGAATAGTAGATTGTTGCAGTCAAGGCCAGGGCGTCTCCCCAAGCTCATAAAAGTGGACACATTCGATCCGAATTGCCCCCCACTGGTGCGGCGCGGCGTGTGAGAGGCGTTCTCTCGCCTGAGGGCCTGAGCCTGGTTTGCTAGATCCCGCCGGCGGGAAGGCATTCATGACCTACGGCACCGCCGGAGGGCCGCGGCGGAAGGATGTGGGGGAGGACGGAGGATCGCCTTGCTTCGACGGCTCAGATCTTATTTTCAAGTATAATTTACAGCCATCGGAGCAGGGCTCCGATTATCACAAATGGAATGAATGAACAAGAAGAATGAGAAGCCGGGTTCCCTATACACCCCCCCCCGCTTGTATCTATGCTGAAAAAATTCATCTAGCCCTGTTAATATCTTACAGCGAAGAGGATTTCTTCGGCCCCGCGAAACAAGAACCAGACGGCACGATTTTGCTCCCGGGTAAAACTGTCGGGAGGGAATTTACCTGCCCCTGGGCGGTGGTACTGACGCAGATACTACAATACTTTACACCTGAGATTTTCCAGCATATGCTCCGGCTGAAGAGGAGTTCTTGCGATCGATCTCGCCAGCTCCTGAAAGCGAAGAACAGCCAGGTCAAGAAGATGCGCAATGGCTGTTTTCGGTGGGTCGATCCCGCCGATAGGGGAAACCAAACAGAAGCTTAGCCCGCCAAGGTTTTATGGCTTCTTCTTCAACCTGAGATTGAAGCTGTGAAGCGCGCACCCTTGGGAGGGCGTGGGCGTGGGCGTGGGCGTGGTGTCGAGTGTCCTGCGGCGCCAGCATCCCCCATACTGAACACGAACCGAAGGCCCTACTGATTCTCCTTTGCAGGCGACTTAAAGAAGCGTGCAACTTCGCGGTAGAGCTGCTCTCCTTCGAATGGCTTCGACACATATCCATCCATGCCACACTTCAAGCACTCCTCGTGGGTGGCCTGGATCACATCGGCCGTCATAGCCAGAATGGGGATGTGCCACTGATCAGCATGCCTGCAAGCCTCGGCGGATGCCTCCCCACATCTGATCAGCTCATTAGCGCTATGCTCCATATCTCGAATCTTCTTCGTCGCCTCAAATCTGAAAGACGAAAGGAAAAATTCAGGGGCACTGGGGAATTGAGAGAAGGTGCAGTCACATTCCTCGCCAAGTTCTGCGGTGAATCAAGGTGGAGATTCGTACCCGTCCATCTCTGGCATCTGGATATCCATGAAACAGGCATCGAATCTGTGGGGGGGCGTCAGCAAGGTGATGGCTTTTTTACCACTGTCGGCGCAGGTTACTTCGGCTCCATACTTCTTCAGGGCACCTGCGGCCACCCGGAGATTCACCATATTGTCGTCAACGACCAAGATGTTCTTCCCACGGAGGAGACCACACAGCGACGGGTGAGGGGACCTCCCCCCACGGTGGCTCTCCTTTTCTCCACCGCCCATGGCTTGCTGCAGGGTGACGGCCAGCATGCTCGTCCTGAGAGGCTTGATGATCACTGCCGGCATGTTCTCTGAGGACTCCACAGCATTCACCTTTGAGCAATTTGAAGGGTTGGCGAGGATGAAGATCTTCGGACATTCTGAAGGCCCCAACTTGCTCGGCATGCCCAGAAATGAAGGCCAGATATCAGGATCCCTGAGCCACTCCTCCCTCTCGATGAGGATCATGTTGACAGAAACCTTTGGGATGGTGATGAAGGAGAGAGCTTCATTGAGGTCAGCGACTATGTCAACGTGGATGCCAAGCCGCTGGAGCTGGTACCTGGCGACCTCTGCACGCACCGACCTCGGATCGACAACCAGAGCCTTCAACCCCTGAAACTCCAACGGTCTGAGCTCATTGGAGTCGCTGTTCCCCCGGTCGAGGACGGCGGTGAAGGAGAAGGTGGAGCCGACATGGGGCTCGCTGACAAACCCTATCTCTCCCTTCATGAGCCCGACCAAGCACTTGCAGATGCTCAGACCGATTCCGGTGCCTCCATGGATGCGGGAGACGGAGGGACCGACCTGCATGAAGGGCGTGAAGACCCGAGACTGGGCTTCTCGGGGAATCCCCACGCCAGTATCCTCCACAGATACAATGAGGTGGATTGGCTCGGAGGAAGATGAAGATAGCGACTGCGATAAGACAGCTCTTTCGCGGTTCAACTTGCTGAAAGTTTCCCAGCTTCGCTTCTTCTCTGCCACAGGAGACCCGCTCAAGGTGTTCCCCAATGGGGATTCACTCTCCTCATCTAGCGAGCTGATCACTTCCTCCAGGAGATGGACAGTCACAAAAATATGCCCCTTCTCTGTGAACTGGAAAGAAAAAAGAGAGACAAAACACAAATTTGAGTCAACGTCTCCCCATGCTTTGACTGGATCATATAAGTTCACTGCTCACTTTGATTGAATTTCCCATGAGATTCGTGATGATTTGCCGCATTCGTCCAGGGTCGCCGATGAGGATCTCAGGGATCTTATCCGACACATAAACAGCCAGCTGTTCTTGCCAGCGCATTGAAATGGATCAAAGATTGCAAATTAGATGGTTTCAAATCGTGATATTATGAATAATAAGAACAGGGCACAAAAAAAAAAAGGAATCACCGGGGTGGTTACCTCAATGCCTTTCTCTTGGGACTTCCCTGAAAACAGTGAAAGGACGTCATCCAGGACCGCCCTCAGATCGAAGCGGACGGCCTCGAGCTCCAGCTTCCCAGATTCAATCTTGGCCTGGTCGAGGACCTCATTTATGAGCGACACCAATGCCTTACCACTGGCCTGAGCAGTCCTCACGTAGTCTTGTTGGGTCAAATCCAGATCGGTGTCCATGAGCATCTGCAGCATGCCTGGAGATTAAACAAAGCCCCCCAAGTCCAAATCATCAGCAACTGTTTCATAAATCATCATCCGGGAGATGTCTCATCTATTTGCCATATTAAGCATTCCTATTAACAAATCAGCAATCACCCATGTTTCGATGCTCACCAAGAACACCATTCATGGGAGTCCTGATCTCGTGGGAGACGGTCGCCAAGAACTGCGAAGAGCGAGATATATCAGATAATTATATCAGACTGAACTGAAGAACACCGGATGGAGAAAAAGGATTCAGTTCAGAGGAGCACGAGCGTGCCTGAGATTTCGCGATATCTGCCAGTTCCGCTCGCTTCTTCAGCTCCATCATCTGCCTGTAATCGTCCTCTACTTTGGCAATGCGATTTACCGCGGCATTGAATATGTACCCAACGAGCAGGGCGATCACCAGGACTCCGATCGAGGTGGTCACTGCAAGCAAAGGCAGCGGCGGCTTGTGGGTGAACCTGTCGGAAACCAGATGATGTGTTTCAGCCATCGATCGAGATATTTCAACCATGTAGACATAAAATAAGTCAACGGCTCAAACTGATACCTGCAGTGCATCTCATGTCGCCTGAAGGGATCACCGAAACTCAGGCTGCTGTTATGAACTACCCCGCTGCCGCCAACCGTTGCATTGGAGCCGTACATGCTGATCGGCTCCAACGGGTCGGTGGTGTCGTACACGTTGACTGTGATCGAATGCTTGCATGCCAGCTGATGGAGCAGCTTATCGACAAGGGACTCGATGTCAAAGACCCCACCAAGGTACCTACACCGGCAACCATATGAACATTTATGCATGTACATATAGTCGTCTAAGTCTCAAATGAGATGAACCCATGATGAAGATGAGGATGGTGGGGAAGAGGATGAGGATATGGACCCACCCAATTGCGGCTTGGACTCGCTCCTTTGGGGTCACATTCGATGGGAGCTCGGACTTGTAGACAGCGAAGGTCAGGATGACCCCCAGCCGATTGGACTTGATCAGCCTCAGTGGAGCGGTGAGGACTCCCTTTCCAGACTCCCTAGCCCGCAGCACGTTGTCTCGGTCCTCCTGCGGATGTTCGACAGAATCCCTCAGACACAGTCCGAACGAACCCAGATTCTGAGAAGAGAGAGAGAGAGAGAGAGAGAGAGAGAGAGAGAGAGAGAGAGATTTACAGCACCTTCCCGGAGAACAAATCGAGGGAGACCACATGCTTGACGGTGTCCTGGGCGAAGATGACGGGGGCGTACTCTTCCTGAACAGGGGAGGTCTGCTGGAACTCGGTGGCGAAGTCGTCGTCGCGGGCAGGAGACTGGTCTTGCGCGTCCATCCTCTTGATGGTCCACCCGTGCTGCCTCTCGAAGTCCGCTCTCTCGGAGTGGAGCACCTTCACCGCGTACGCCACCCCGCTGGTCAACGGCCTCTCGAAGGCGGTCCTCTCTGTGTATCTGGCGAACGTCATCTGCAGATTGAGAAACGGAGATGATGAGGTTGATTCAGCACGGCCCGGACTATCGATGAGGAGAATTTTCGCGAATTGGCACGACTTCATGGGAGATGTGGCCGTCTCCGTACCTGGTCAATGGCGGAAGGCTGCTTGGAATGGTGAAAGGTGGAGATTAGGATGGCCAGGGCTTGAAGGTGGTTCATGCTGACGTTGAACTGGTCCTGCAGCATGCTGGCTCTCTCATCGCACATACTGGCAAGGGCTTCCCTTCTCTTGTCGGCTGCATTGGAGTTCATATAGCAGAAGATCGAGAGGGCCACCAAGGTCCACACGATCACCCACAGGAGGAGGAGCTTCCTCCACCAGGTCTCTCTGAGCTTCTTAGAGCCGAAGTAGTGGCTGTGCAGACGATTCCTCCAACCCCTCATCGAGAGTTTCTTGCAGCTCTCAAGCCACGCTTTGTAGTTGTCTCCGAGGAAAGAGTCCTTCTGCTCCATCTTACCATTAAGGAACCAGTTCATGGGGATCTCAGAGAAGGCCCACCAGCATAGTATCAGAAGCACGTAGTAGACCTCCAGATCGAAGCCTAATGCTAGCAGATAACTCATCCAATGCGGCAACGGACCGATTCCACTGCAGGAAGACGATTAATGGAAGCCAGGAAACCGAGGAGACGACGAAAGGCCCCCCGGGTGAGACAACACCATCCACCGTCGGAGCTTCAAGAACGGATTCGACAAGATCGAATCCAGGCCGACCGAGAGCTCGTCGCGGGGGAGGAGGAGCGCGAGTCTCAAGAAGAAAACCACCTCGGAGAGGAATCTAACCGACGAAGCAACGGAATAGAAGATAACACACAAAACCCCACACAAGTCCGAAGATCTGGTTTCGATCTCCGGAATTCTACTCGGGGGGAGGAGCTCTCATCGGGACACGAAGCACACACCGAGGACCAGCGAGATCTGACCTCTATGTACAATATGGGTCGCCGAGGCGAGAATCCGCAGGGACGGCGCGGGGCCGCCGGGAAATCCCCAGCGTCGGGGCGCGCTCCAGATCAGAATGGGAAAACAAGCAAACCCAACGGGGTTCGCCGCAGCAGAGGAGCCGGAGGAGTAAAGCGGGGGCGGGAGGAGAAAGAGGAAAGGGGTTGAAAATGGTTCCCGATTCACGGGGCCTGAGAAAGCAGATTCCTGCGGATGGAGGGGGCAAGGAAATATGGCTGGGAGGAATGCCTGCTAGCAGACACCGTTATCTACCCAGATTAGCTCCATAAAAATATTAGGGTCACCCCTGCCGGAGGAAACCCCAATGCAGCAGAAAATTCCACCATGGAAGATTAAACAAAAAATATCAAAGCCACTGGAAGAGAAAGAGAAAGAGAGAGAGAGAAGAGAGAGAGAGAGAGAGAGAGAGAGAGAGAGAGACAGGGAGAAGAAGAAAAGTTATATAAAAGGGAGGGAGGCTGAAAAGGCGGCCCTCCTCCACTCAGCCCAAATCGCTGCCTTTTCGTGTCCACACCCTCCTCTTCTTCTTCTTCCTGAGTGGGCAAACCCTACACGCAAGTTCTGAGCTCTTCTTCTTCCCCTAGCGTGGGGCTCCTGCGGCACCCGCGCGAGCACGGGGGGCGAAAATGCCCCTCGCGCCGCAGTTAAGGGCCCGAGGAGGGACAGATGGCCTGTCCGAGTTCGCAGAGAGCCACCGCAATGGGGCTCTCTCCGCCGCCGCCGGAGCTCCGCTGAAGTGGTCGGTGGCTGGCTACGTGGAGGCCACCAGCCCCGCCATAGTTGACTGGCGGCGGCGGAGAGCAGAGAGCCGCGAGGAGGCTTTCCACGGCGGCGCCGCCCCTCTCCGACCGGAGCTCCGCCGCTCTCCCCTCTTTCTTCCCGTTGATCTCGACAGGATGATGATGATGGGTCATGATGAAGGGTGGAGCGGCGCACAGGGAAGATTTTTATGTCGACAAATGATAACAATAAATATCCTGATTTAAAACAGTTTCTCATTTAAAATAAAAGGAATAATTTAAGAAAACAAAACAGAAGAGATTTTTTATGAAGACCACCGCCGCCAATCGGATCCGTTAATCAACCGCACGTGCCGCCCAGAGCGGCGCCCCCGCCCGGGCGGGGTTTGTTCTTTCTTCCTCGACCGCCGCCGAGACGTCGTCGTCGATCGGCACCGTCCGTCCATCCCATCATCGAGGAGTCTTGAGATTCCATGGTAAGAAAGGATTTCTGGAATGCATTCCGAGGGGCACCACCACCACCCACATTCACTGCGGTTTGACCTGGTCCGGGCGGCGAGGAGGAGAAAAAGAGGGAAAGGTAACTCGTCGCCGTCACTGGGCCGCCGCTGGGGACCGCCGCAGACGGCGGCGGGCCCGCCGGCCGGCGAGGGGCAGCCCCAGTGCGCCCTAGGGGGACACATCGCCTGCCCATCCTTCAAATAATTCAGCTGCCTTTGGTTTTATCTGCAGCGGCTAGGACGCTAGCAGATGATGGATGATGACCCGGTCAACTCCCCCCGCTGCCGTCCCCGGCGACGGGAATCTGCGAGATGCCGCCGGCGGCGCGATTGCTCTTCGGAATCCGTGATCGGAGCAGGCGACGACGATGATGTCACCGCCACCGGCCTTTTTCTCCTACGACTCTGCGCGGGGGGGAGGGAGAGGGAGAGAAGAATCCGTCAAATCGAGAGAAGACAGCTCCTCCGGCACGGAACAAGGAGAGATGTTCCCCCGTGGCGGTGCTCTCAGTTCCGTCACGCTTTCGCTGATGCGAATGGTAGAAGTCAAAGGGGAGTCCAATCCAGGGACGTGGATGGAGGACAAAGAGAACGCGGACAGTTGACGTTGACGAGGGGCCGCCACGCCCATTCGTCGTGCCCGCCGCCGGCCTCCCCCGACACAGCGGTGACGGCTGTATCGCACCGGGGGTGGGGTGTGGGGGAGCGGCGCCGCGGCCCCAAGTCAACCCTGGAACAGCCTCGACCTCTGCCGCGCGACGACGAATAAAGAAATCGCCGCTGCCCCGCCGCCGGCTCCCCACCCGGAGACGGCTCGCTTCCTCGTCGTCTTCCTTCTCCCGCTGCTCTCCCCGGAGGCTGCGCCGGCGTACCTCGTCGTCTATTGTCCCCCTCCCGGCAGTTGAACTTCCCACAGTTTCGGATGCCCGCTAGCCTCTCTTCTGGTGCGCAACCCCCCTCCCACCGCCTAGATTAGACGACACGGCAAGGCAACGGGAGCAGACGTTGACACCTCTCTCTCTCTCCATTTATGTGATCTTTGCTTATACTGTCGGTGGGTTTATCGCCGAATTTGTGCCACGTCCGCCGGCTTTTCCCTGGGCTGCCACGTCGAGCAAGCCGGCCGGAACCCACCCCCTCGTCACGTGCAGCCAAAAAGTTCTGTACAAATAAATGATGAGTTTCTCTGTCATGGAAACGGAAGTTTCCACGTATGGCCAACATTGCCACGCACGCGTGCCACGTCATCTGCCACGTCAAACTAGCGGCAAAACCAGGCAGCGACGCTTCATTAATTCTCCCCGCTTTAGAGCTCCTCCCATAGTAAATTGCATTAAAATGGCTTAAATGCGCGAACTCGATGGCGTCATTATTTGCACATAACTTCATTACATTTTTTGTCGATTAATTATCGCCGTCGTAGCACATGATGACACGAGTCACACCTGAACTGCTGCCACGTTTCTCTAATCACGTGCCTGGCTATTCTCCCCCTATCAAGGGCTTACTATATGGTGAAAATAACCCAAGACAGTCATCACGTGAGGATCTCCCCCACCCACTAATGGGGACCTTAACTTGGCTGCGGCGCCGCATTCTGACGAGGTCAGCGCCGGGGGGGGGGGGGTTGCAGGGGAGGCGCAGATGTTCGGGGTCGGATATCTCTGGCACGCCTCCCACCGTTGACCGCGGTCGGGACCCGCAACGTCGGTGCACACGTATTATGTCCGCAGAAGCCCGGAATTAATCCAGCTCTTGCATTACCGACGATATGTGGACTTCTACGCAAAATTCGGCCGTTGTGTTTTTGTTCTAAGGTCCCCCAATTGTTTTCTTATTTGCAGAAGGGGGACTGTTTGGAATTTATCGGGCCGGCCTGGCCGCGGGCTCAGGAGGTAACCCGATTTCGAACTAGGAGACATCGGATTGCCGTTAATGGGCTGATTTTGGTGCCCGCCCGATGGGCCCTGGAACCAATCCTATCTTATCCACTAGTAGTAAGGCTTGATGGACAGCCACGACAGGGGTAGATTTCCAAATATCACACCATTTGACAGGAAGAATTATTTATCAATAATTAAATTAACAGGAAGTTTATCTAGACGGATTGTTCTAGAAGAGATGCTCGCTCGATCCCAACGCAGGCCCTTACCGGGCCGTTTTTTTAAAAAAAATATTTTAAATATTAAAATTATTTTTAAATGAACGTAATATTATTAATAAGTAGGTATGTTTTTTTGTGGTGGGAGGTGACGTGTAATTGAACATTCGAAATTACCTTTCCGACGAGTTAGCTGTTTATTTGTGGCAAAGGTTAACCCAAGAGCAGGGTTGGGACTAACCCTAGTTATTTAGGGGGTTTCAGGTCACTCAGGGTGGCCGCGCGGACAGGAGGAAGTGAATGCTTCAAAAATAAGGGGATTGGAGCCCGTTGGGGGTCTACTTTCCTTCCCTTTCGTTTTCCCCGAGAATTTCGGCCAGTACCCGGCGAATTTCTTGGGCCCGAGGGGTTTGGACGAAGGGGGGCGGGGTGTCCTCTTCCCACCGCTTCTTCCGAGTTTTTGATTTTTGGTGGGAAAATCTGAAGGCTGAGGGAGGCTCGTTCACGGATGGCCGATTGCTGAGCGGTTCAAATTCTCGCGGCATTGCTCTCCCAACGAGTAATCTCTGTCCATGGCATTCTCTTTCTGTCTTTCGAAGGATCCCATTTTCGCGCCTTGGTTGTCGGAGGCTGATGATCCGCGTTTTACTCGGGCCTTTGTTCGAGAGTTTTTGGATTTGTCATCCTCATCGTCATCATCTCTCTCTCTCTCTCTCTCTCTCTCTGTCGGTTTCTAGATTCGGACGCGGTTGCTGTTAATGTATGCAATGCTGTGATGCCTCGTAGCTCGTGGTTTCCGCTCGATCCTGTTCGACCGTTTATGTTCTTCCTTCTCCCGAAGTGTTTCTGTCCCGAAGTCTTTGAGATGTGATTTGGTGGCGTGGACTGAACGATCTTCATCACTCCCACCACCGAGTAGAGAATTAGAGAAGCAGCAAAACTGAACGTTGTCGAGGTTAACGAGAATGACGGATTACTCTTGTTTGGAACCGCAGCAGTGGGATATCACTACTGGGCTGTATTGTGGAGGAGATTCACCTGCTTGACTCACGACGAAGAGAAGTTGTCTGTCGCCCTCTCGTGCTCCCCGAGTCAATCCGAACCTGTCAAATCTTGTTACTCGGGGAAAGCGGGACGGTGTCATGGTTCCTACAACTGGTAGAATCAACATTACAGATCATCTTCATCCTTTCTGGAGTCACTACTCGTCGCTGCAAGAGGTGCAGATTCTGTCGCATTATATCATTCTATCGTGTAGACCACTTATAGTTAACACCACAGAAACTTTTGTATTCCTATCCGAATTTTCTATGATTTATATCTTCTTCTTTTTCAATACCCGGACAAACCGAGGGTTACGGCTTACCAGGTTTTCTTATAGAATTTAGCTCTGTCTCGATCATTTAAAATACGCTATAGACTTACTCAACATGTTATTGATCTCATCTTGTGCCCTGACACAATAACCTAAGCATGCGGAGTTCTACTGCTCAATCTGCTGCTTTATTGGCTACTCGCTTTAAAGTACCGTCCAATGGACAAGAGTTAGATCCCAGGGAGCTATGAGTACTTTTTCTTGTCCAGATGGTCAAATTTAACCATTATCCTTTTCGTAATCACTTTGATTTTGGAATTTCGTAAAAACCGTTTTCAAATGACGATTAGAGGGCATTGTCCTCCATGTCGACAAAGGCAATCTGTTTGTTTTTCCCGAATACGATGGAAGGATGAATTTATCCTCTCCATGGGTGACACAACTTTGCTTCCTCTGATTCACTCTATTCGTACCCTCACAAATCCAAAAGATAAGGTTCTTCTTACACAAAAGGTGGTGGTGGAGAGAGTTACCTGGCAACGACCTCCTCGAGTAAAGACACCAAGGATAAGGTCGCTGGAGAGGTCGATTTTTTGAATGTGGAAAGGAGGGAACTAGAGTTTTCTATGAGAATGGAGGATGCCATGGTGTTGAGGGAGGAAAAGAAAGGTAAAAGGAAGAATCTGGTTAATTGGGTGAAGAAATATGGAGACACACTGACCGAGAAGGAGCTCGAGGGTAGCATGCGGGTATCTGTCCAGTGTGGGATCAGTGTCTGAACATTCCGTCTCCAAGCTGGATGGTATGAAAGCAAGAAGTAGGAAGTTAATAAAAGGAACTTCACCAACTGTAAGTTGAGATTTTTGGGATTTACATGTTTTCCTGCTACCACCCTTGACTGGGTGAAGATTTATCTTGTTCAGTCACATTGCCTAGATTTTGATGATGGGAAGTTGCTTTATTTCTCTTTCCACATGTATCGACGTGAATTTATTTATTTATTTGTGGGCGCTAACACATGTTTAGTTGATTTTTTAAGTTTTAGTCATTTCTGTGACAATGGAGTTTCCCTTCTTACTGATGTTTACTGTGATATGGATTTTAGGTCTCACAATAATACATTAATGGTGGCGTAAGATGTAGAATTCTTGATGAGATGAATGGTTGCAAGTTTCAGCCAAGTGAACAGTCGGGAATATAGTGGGTCAAAGGTTGAAAAGTCAAGAATGGAATGCAATCGGGATGAGGCTCTTCGGGCCAGAGAGATTGCTGAGATTAAGTTCATGGCAAAGGATATTGCTGGTGCTAAAAGGCTTGCATTACAGGCACAGAGGCTTTATCCTGAGTTGGATGGTATTTCCCAGATGATTGCAACCCTGAATATCCATCTCTGTGGAGAGGCAGTGATTAATGGGGAGAAGGATTGGTACTCTGTCCTAGATCTCAATGCGTCAGCTGATGAAGAAATGGTTAAGAAACAATATAGGAAGTTTGCTCTGATGCTTCATCCTGATAAGAACAAATCAGTAGGCGCTGAAGGAGCTTTCAAGCTCATTTCAGAGGCTTGGAGTATACTTTCAGATGGGAGTAGGAGAATGGCATATGATCAGAAGGTAAACGCAAAAGGATATAAACTGGGAGATTCACAGCCTAACGAAGGTCCTTATTCAAATGCTACAAATGGCTTCCAGAATTTTGAAAAAAGTCCGAGCTCTAGTGAGAGGACAGAGAAAAGCTCTTCTTGTGGTGCTCCCTCCGCCATTCCACATCTCGATACGTTCTGGACTTCGTGCAACCACTGCAAAATGCAATATGAATATCTCCGAATTTACGTCAACCACAATCTTCTCTGTCCAAGCTGCCATGAGCCCTTTTTGGCATTTGAGATCCCAGTTCCTCTTAACAGAACTAGTTCTTCTATTCCCTGGGCTACGAAGAAGCATCAGCGGGGTTCAAACCGTCGTGAAGCAAAGCAGAGCTCTTACGGCCATGAGAAGACATCATCGATTCCAGGTACGAACTTCCAGAATGGCGCATTTTACAGTTCCACGGGATCATTTTCCACTTGTGCTCAGACAGTCAATCTGGTTCATCAGACTTGTGAAAAAGTGAGAAAGGAGCATGAGCCTGGAGCGGCCGGAAAAAGGCAGAAAGCCACTCAGAGGAAATCTAGGCGTGAGGAGTATTCAGAAATCTGTCATGCAGGGTATTCCAATTATTATGCCTACAGCATGGAACGTCTTAACAACCCCAGCAAGAAAAGCATGCGTGGACGTGAGGTGCTTGACTGTAGAACAGACCATTCGGAGGGAGCCACTCTTCCTGGTACCGTCCACGTATCCTTCCACAACGTCGTTGACCTTGTTAGAACGGAAGGGGTCGGAGGTGACCATGCGGATCACGGCAAGGCTAGAGTGAACGGTAGGCACAGTAGTGGCGCAGGCAAAGGCTTTGGCCATGTGGATATTCGAAATATGTTAATTCTGAAGGGCAAAACTGTGGTTTGGAAGAAATTAGAGGAATGGAATGCCAAATTCGCAGCAGAGAAAGCAAGGCAAAAAGGTGATAAAGGGAGAATGGCGGCCGAAGGAGACCAACTGGGCGCATCCACAACCAAACGTGCTCCTGATGACACCCATGGGCATAACGACAAGCCGCCTGGTCGTGAAGGTCTATCGATGAACGTCCCCGACCCGGATTTCCACGACTTTGATGAGGATCGCTCAGAGAGATCCTTTGAAGCGGATCAGGTGTGGGCCACATATGACGACGAGGATGGGATGCCGCGCTTCTATGCTATGATCCAGAAAGTTGTGTCCTTTGAGCCCTTCAGGGTTCGACTGAGCTTTCTCAACTCCAAAAGCAACAGCGAATTCGGCCCGTTGAACTGGGTCGGCTCGGGCTTCACCAAGACTTGCGGAGATTTCAGAGTAGGCAAGTACCAGATCCATGACACCGTGAACATCTTCTCTCACCGGGTGAGGTGGGAGAAAGGGCCCCGTGGAGTCGTCAGAGTTGTTCCTCGGAAGGGTGACATTTGGGCCGTTTATAAGAATTGGTGCCCCGATTGGAACGAGCACACCCCAGACGAGCTTGTCCATCAATATGAAATGGTTCAAGTGGTGGAGGATTACAGTGAAGAAGGTGTGTGCGTCACCCCCTTGGTCAAGGTCACCGGTTTCAAGACAGTCTTCTGTGGACGCCCCGATCCCAGGGAGGTAAGAAGGATTCCAAGGGAGGAGATGTTCCGCTTCTCCCATCAGGTTCCGTATTTTACGCTGACAGGTGAAGAAGCTGAGAACGTCCCAAGGGGGTCTTGCGAGCTAGACCCAGCAGCTACCCCTTTGGAGATTCTTCAGGTGTTAGCTGAACCCGAGGAAGACATGGCAGGTGGTTCTGAGAAATAGTCAGCTGCTTGACCAAGAGTATGTCTCCGCCTCATGAATCTCGAATTGCTGATTTATAGCGAACACATTCCGGCCTTTTTACGTTTTCATTATCGCACCCCTCATGTCCCTATTTACACTGATGGTTGAGATCTACCTATGACGGAGCAAACTTTTTATATATATTTTTTATTTTTTATATGTTCACCTATGAGGATATTAACAAGTCACCTCTAACGGTAGGAGCTGCAAGACGTTGACGTGGATAGGGATGCTTGAATACACATTAACATTTATATGCATTAAACATAGATGTATGTATCATAAGTATGCGCCATGGTAGTATTATGCTTGTGTACTTTAAACTTCGCTCTTTATGCCTTGGTGCAACACTTTCCAAATCATTCCTTCCATGAATGCGGGATATTTGTTTGTGTGATGAAAGAGTAATGTGGCCATGGAAATCATTCCTTTCCAATCCCTGCCTGCTCAGGAACTCATGCACTGTGTCGCTGGCATACTCGTAAATCAAACGGTCATTTAAACTCGAATTCTAGTACTTTTTCTCAGTTTTCTTCTTGTGATGCTGATTGGTTTCTTTGTTCATGGTATGATACAACTGAAACCCTTAACCCCTACTAAGCCCCCTCCCCATTGATTTAGATCCAGACATAAATCATACAATAGAGCTCGTAAATGAGAACCAAAGTGGTCCTGGCCAGCAGGTGGGCGGGGGCGAGTTTTAGCTGTGTGCCAGAAAGAACAAAACTTGAAGCCAAATTTTTACAGGGGAAAGGATGATGATACTCTGAGCAAATCTAAGGAAGAAAATCGGGCTATATAGTTTGAAAGCAGAAGTCAAGTTTGAGTCAAGTTGTTCTGCCACCTGAGAAGCAGAGAAAAGTAGATGGAACCAGAGAAGTTCACATAGTAGTAGTACATCACTGATGGGAAGGAAACCGAAGTGCATTCCTCCTCTGTGATCCGGTTCCTTGGTAGGAAGTTGAAGAAGTCCTCATTCTGACCTGACATTTTTTTTATTTAATTTTTTTTGTTGGATAAAATTGTCAGCAAGGTGTAAAAACAATTAGAAAAAGGAAAAGAACATAAATGGGAGAGTAAAAGGGAATTTGGAACGTCGATACAATTAAAAATAAGTAAACCGAATGGAGGAAGAAGTAGACATCACTGCATATATGTAATGTGATTGGATGGCGTTTTAACTTTAATTGCATGCTTGCTCGGATCTGAAATAATATGTTCAACTGATTTCTCAATCATATATTAATCTCATGTTGACTTAGGAAAAGGCTTCTTTTTAGCAAAGCATGGGACAATAGCAACTATAAGCTATAAAGGGCCAATGCCCGGCATTGCTAGTTAAAGCTGGGTCTCAAGTGCTAGTGCTCAGATTGCACACTTTTAGACAACAAAATCACGACTTCCATGCAAGTCTTTGCAAGCAGTTTTTTCATACAGAAAATAACCCCTATTTTTCAAACCGTGATGGATGCTGTTACTCAAGTCTTGACCACAAGGTTCTAACAAGAACTGATAACTCATGTGACATTAATTCGAGTTACAGCAGTTTCGTACACTTTGGCGTTCAACAGTAGAGTCTAAAGATAATGATTTTCCATTACTAAAAAAGTCAACGGAGACGATAGAGGTGTGGCACATTTTATCTTCATGAAGAAAGGAAAGTAGGAAAAAAGAAAAAGAAAAGAAGAAGAATCTGATGAATAAATTAGAGACATTGATGTCCTACCACCGTAGCATGAATCTGATGTCAAGCAACACCAATTTGATATGCAAACTAAAGGAGAAAGGTCACTGAATGCTTCGATTGAAATCGTTCAGCGCATAAAACGAATAGAGATGAAATCTTTGATGAAGGAAAGACCATTATTTGACTCTAATGTAAGAAACACTTAAAGGAGTTGACTTTAGATCTTTACAACTTAGAGCTCACACTTGCACAGTGACTCGAGCTGCAGCATTTAACTTCCTAACCTACGGTTTTCAATGAGAAATGGAAAGCTCTATCCTCTCAACATCTCAACGTCAAATCAAATGCCAGCCTCTGCAATTCACTCACGTGCATGAACCCAAAGTCCATGAAGAAAATCTTCTGATGTCACCCTTTGGACATCACAGAAATATGTCAGAGCTCATAGATTTCTGGAAGCAGTATTTTTATTTATTTTTTCATCCAAAAGCGATAAAAATTTATGTATTTTCTAGGCTATGCCTGCAGCCTACTCAGTCAAGACAATCCTCCACATTAATACAGCACAACAAACGAAGAAAGATAAGGTATAATCTTGGCTGGGCGATTTTTATTGAATCAATCAATTCAAAGGCAAAATCAATCGACCAAATACTACACTTGTTCAGAAAATGGGAGAGGAGAGATCAGAAGCCGCTCTCAAAAGTCAAATGATCAATCATGTCTACGATGGGGACCAGGTCAACAAGGAGAACATCGACCGACATTGAATAGAGGGCCTACAAGAAAAGCAGTAATTGGGGGGTGGGGGGCAAGAAAAGAATAGCGAATAATATGGAGATAGAAAAGTGTGTTACCTATCTTCCTTTTTCTTCAAAATTCAGTAGGAAGTCCTTCCATCTCCTTCAATGATCACATCTTTAAAGGCGCCACCACTCGGAATCATGGGTAGCACATGTTCCTGGTGAGGCACAATTATGTCCAGCAGGTACGGCCCTGGGGTCTCCAGCATCTTTCTAATGGCCTCTCTGACTTGTCCCTTCTTTGTCACCCTTGCAGCAGGTATGCTGAACCCTTTGGCAAGGGTCACGAAGTCGGGAAAGATCTCGGATTCATTCTGGGGATTCCCAAGATAGGTATGCGCCCGATTGGCCTTGTAGAATCGGTCCTCCCACTGGACCACCATGCCCAAGTGCTGGTTGTTCAGCACCATGATCTTGATCGGGAGGTTCTCCACCCGTATCATGGCCAATTCTTGAATGTTCATGAGGAAGCTTCCATCTCCATCAATGTCCACAACGACTGCGCCAGGATTCCCAACAGCGGCACCAGCTATGGCAGGCAACCCGAAGCCCATAGCGCCCAAGCCGGCGGATGAGAGCCACTGACGAGGCCTCTTGTAGGTGTACCACTGGGCTGCCCACATCTGGTGCTGCCCAACGCCGGTGGCGATGATGGCCTCGCCGTTTGTCAACTCGTCCAATTGCTGAATGGCGTACTGAGGAGGGATCAAGTCTCCAAAGGTCTTGAAGTCCAGAGGGTACTTGGCCTTCTGGTGGTCGAGCTCCTCCCTCCAGGCGGAGAAGTCGAGCTTCCGGTGAGATCCACTCTCTTCCAACAATTCGTTCAGGCCTTGGAGCGCCAGCTTCACATCGCCACAGATGGAGACATGGGGTTGCTTGTTCTTCCCGATCTCTGCAGGGTCGATATCGATGTGCACGATTTTGGATCGGCTGGCGAACGCCTCCACCTTCCCTGTGACTCGATCGTCAAACCTCACGCCGAAGGCAAGCAGGAGATCTGATCCGTCGATGGCGTAATTAGCGTACACCGTCCCGTGCATGCCCAGCATCTTCAGCGAGAGGTCGTCCGACGTAGGGTACACGCCGAGTCCCATCAGGGTGCTGGCGACGGGGATGCCCGTGAGCTCCACGAAGCGCCTCAGCTCCTCGGAGGAGTTCACGCAGCCGCCGCCGACGTAGAGGACAGGCTTCTTCGACTCGGAGAGAAGGCGGAGGATCTGCTCCAGGTGGTCGCGTTGGGGAGGCTTCGGGAGGCGAGAGACATACCCATGGAGGCGCATAGGCTGGTCCCATACAGGAATGGCAAGCTGCTGCTGGATGTCCTTGGGGATGTCGATCAGAACGGGGCCAGGCCGTCCAGAGCTGGCCAGGAAGAAGGCCTCGCGGACCACGCGAGGTATGTCGTCCACATTCAGCACCAGGTAGTTGTGCTTGGTAATGGAGCGGGTGACCTCCACGATCGGAGTCTCCTGGAAGGCATCAGTGCCGATCATTCTTCGTGGAACCTGCCCGGTGATGGCCACGAGGGGGACGCTGTCCAGTAAGGCGTCGGCGAGGCCGCTGACGAGATTGGTGGCGCCGGGGCCGGAGGTGGCGATGCAGACGCCGGGGCGGCCGGTGGAGCGGGCGTAGCCCTCGGCGGCGAAGATCTCCCCCTGTTCGTGGCGGAAGAGGTGGTTGACGATGGTAGGTGATCGGGTGAGGGCCTGGTGGATCTCCATGGAGGCTCCCCCGGGGTAGGCGAAGACGTCGGTGACGCCCTCCCGCTCGAGCGCCTCTACGAGGATGTCCGCGCCTTTGCGCGGCTCGCCGGCGGCGTAGTGGCGCACGGTGGGGTCCGCGGCGGGAGGGGCGACGGGCTTGGGGGAGTCGGAGTGGAGGACGCTGGTGATGGTGGTGGTCCGCGGGAGGAGAGGGGAGGAGGGATGCAGAAGAGCAGGGAAGGGGATTCGATTGGGAGGACATAGAAGGCGGGAATGGGAGCTTGAGGTGGAGAAGGAGCTCGGCCAGATCTTGGACAGGGTCGCCGTCGCCGTCGCCGCCGCCGCCGCCGTCGACGCCATCTCGTCGGAGAAGACGCTCACTCTCTCTCTCCCTCTAGGAGTAACGAGGGTTTTGGTGACGTGTGGTCCGCGGGCGATAAGTCCTGCCCATCTCTTCGTTAACCTGATCCCTCTAACCAGGAATTGATTATCATGTACCGTAGAAAAGGCAGTTTGTGGACGATCCAGATGGACGGTGATCTCGAAGTGGAGCTGGAGTTTCTTTGATTTATTTAGAGTGTTATGGCGGAGGAGCAGACCGAAGGGTGCACTCTGAGAAGGATAGAGTTCGAGCTGGGGTATTTCGGGAATACCCGGGACTCGTCGGCGATTCCCCCCCAACGATTCTGCCTCCGATTCAAAAATGTTTCTTGCTGTCGCTGCAAAACTGTCGCAAGAGGGTGAGGGAGGGCGGAAGAGCGGAGTGAGATGGAGGTGGAGGGAAAGGAGGAGGGGGGTTTAGGGTTTCCGCACTGGGTGGCATGTCTCCGGAAGGTCGGGCCACACGACCCATTTTTCACGGCCGGGAATGCCGAGCGGGAGCTTCTCGCTAAACAGGTGATTTCGCTCTCCCTCTTAACCCAGCGACTAAACGACTTTCGATACGTGCTGCCTCTGTTCCGTTCTTTGTTGCCGGAAGAGCGTCGGCTTCGTCGATCGCGCATCATTAGCTTAGGTTGGCTTTTGGAGAGGCACGTTGGTATCTTCGGTGCTTGCATCGTGGCCGTTCGTAGTGAATTATATTCTATTAATTGCATGTTTTCCTGAACGGTTTTTATTTTCATAATTTTTTTTCCATAAGAACGTCGATAAGAGCTTCTTACGCAGGCTACTAAGTTTACAGGAGCTTACAAGGTATTTATTGAAGCAGTTGCTTTCGATAGATGTAAGATTTTATAACTCGTACGTTTGGAATGACTACAGTTGAAACTAAATTTTGACATTGTTTTATTCTATAGACGGATCACTTTTATGGATTTAACGCATCAATTTTTTTTTATCTAATCTAGATTATGCGTGAATGAAACGTTAGAGAAAAGGGCCTGGTCTTTGTAGAATTATTGATAATTAATAGCCTTTTCATGCAAAGACCTGCATCGACCATTGTTTGGACTATTGATGCCATCTTATGTGTCGGCTAAGGAGTCAATCAATCATAGGCGCTACATAAGAGATATCAGTGGAGGTGATCTGTAAGCGATCTGCTCAACCGCAAGTATAGAGTTTCAATTTTTTAAACTAATGTGCATTTACTTGTGCAACCCCATGACAACAAGTGTATGGTCAGTAAGGGCGTCACCTGGGTCTTTCTTCGTTCGTGGATTTCATTCTAGTAAGCATCTGGATCTTTGAAATGGGATGCTTGCACTTTGAACTGTTATTCTTGAATTTCATCAAAAGAAAATGGTTCCACGAAAGTACAATTTTTGAGTTTTTAATTCTTTTCAATTAATCATTTCTCTTGGGGTTTTAGGTGGAGTCTGACTTGGAAATGTTTAATCTCCATGTAGCTTACATTAGATCTGACGGAAGATGAAAGATTTCAGCTTCAATCCATGGAAGATGCAGAAGGAGAGTACGTGCTGTTTAAACTAGTTTCTTCTCTGTTAAGCTGTGTGGCAAGGATACTGTTTATGAATTTTTCTTTCATTCATTTCTCTTGATGGTTGCTTTGTATCAGAGTGGAAAAGATAACTTATTCGAGCAAAAGTTGACGAATGATATTTTTTTCTGCATTGAAAACGACGTTTTTATAGCATCATGATAATTACAAGGTTTAGTGTACACACATGACATCACCGCAAAACGTACTATCCTCATTCTCCTTTGGACTATGTATTGCAGTTGACGGATCACAAAAGGAAGAGATTAATTTTGTAAAGATCCCGTCATTATGGAAATGTAAACCCGATAGAAAAATTATGCCAATTCATTTACATTCTTCTTTCGTGATAGGTCAAAAGTTTATCTCACCTAAGTAGTTGTTGAAACGGGATTGGAGGTTCCTTTTGGAGTTTCTTGGTGATATTGTTCAGTTCGCCTTCTTGTTTAGGAATGTGGTTCATTACCCTCTTTTTAGTATCAAAGAGGATCCAGATTTGAAAAGGTGTTTTGATTATGTTCTTTCCTGAAGACGACGATGGTGAATTTTTAGATGACTACGTATCTTCACAAAGTTGCCCTTAACTGATTTGGAGTAATTGTTGATAAAATGCACTTGTGTCATGCCACGTGGGTCGTGGGCGATTCGGTCAAAGATGTTATTCTTTTGGGATGAGAGGCTATATAAGCCTTGTTGGCAGTTTTCCACGTAATTTTCATGGATAGAAGGCCTTATGGACGCCTCTGTGGGCTACTTTTCGAATGTTTCAGCATGATGACAGTGGGTTCTCCTCTTTTCATATTTTTATTACTGAAATATATCACCTTTCCTGAAACCCTCTAGTGATGTTTACTACAGTTGTTTCTTAATATTCACGAAATGTCTCAGACCTGAGCTTTCAGTAGCAATGGGTTACACCTACTTTAACTTGGAAAGGGTCTTCTTCTTCTTTATTTTTCTTTGCATTTATCTAAAACTGCATATCTTTTGCGTTCACTCTTCCTTTGTTCTTTCTTATCAAAGGCTATATATGTTTCTCCTCAGACTGGCCGCACATTGGTCTCTTTCCTAGCAAATTTCTCAATGCCATCATAAGCCCTAACCAATTTAACCAAAATGAGCTGTTAAGCTTATCAATCCTCTGTGCGATGTGAGAAAGAATCTGCTTTGTTTCTGTGCAACTGATTATTAGGATCATCCTATTGTTTTGCCGGTAGATATTATATTTTAACAATGTCCAGAAAATTTGACTCATCATAGGTGTAGTCATGTGTTACGACCCTACTGATAGCATACTGTGATGGAAAAGGAGGTCACGTGCGAAGCACTCGGGAGAAACTTCAGGAGACTTCCACAGAATCGGATGTCTCAGATGAGAATAACAGAGGAATATAAGTAGAGCTCTAAGGAACGGAATGAGGGGATGGAAAGCCAAGACTAAGAGAGGCAGGGGATCGTCTCGAATCCCATCCCCACCCCCCACTTCTCTCCTTCCCTTCTATTTCGATAGAACCCCCATTCTGACGCTCTATCAACACTACACTGTCCTAGGTTGCTAAATCAATATTGTTGATTTTCTTTCCCCTGATTCATTCCGATCCGATCCCACCAAAGAGGATCGTATCATCATGCTTGCTTATCTTATACTCTCATATTTCCTTTAATTACTTTTTGTTAAGGCAAGTGAATTGTAGCAAGTGATGAACACGGAATGGCTCCTAGATGTCAACACTTGCTTAGTGTGAGGACGTCATTTTATCTTCAGGAAAAAACTTCCGATTGATGAATTATTTCTCTATCGCTCAGTTTATTTAATCAGTATCATGATGACTGATGTTCGAAAATGGTAATATATGGCTTGCCGTACACAACCTTCTTGGGTTTTGCCTGGTGTCTGTGGGGTTCATCAACAAATTCCTCTCTATTCCCTTTCCCTGAAAAAGAAAAAAAAAAAGAATTTTTTTTGGACCATGTCGTAATCAAGGTTTAGAAAATCATCTAATCATGTACCATTTCCTTATCTTTTCTCACCCTTGCAGTTGTGTACATTAATTTTTTTTATCAATTTATTCATCACTTTGTTGCTTTGTATCTCTCAGAGAATGTGATTTTGTTAACTTCTCTCAAAAGATATTTCGTACACCTAATATTGTGAAATCTGCATATAGGGGTGTATTTTGCCCGATTGTTGGGTGTGGTGCTCGGCTGAAATCATTGAATGACTTCGAAGATCACTACAACGCGCGGCATACTGCATCTTGTTCTGTGTGCTCAAGAGTATTCCCTACGTCACGTTTGCTGAGTATACATGTCTCTGAAGCCCATGACTCTTTCTTTCAGGCAAAAGTTGCACGTGGGTTTCCCATGGTAAGCTCCTTTCTTTGCAGTTAATTATTCAAGACTCCGTTCTTTTATTTTTCAGAAAGCTTTTTTATTGTTTTTTGCTCCACAAGTGTTATCGAGTCTTTTCTCCTATGAAACACACAAGATTTGTCCAGTTGCGTGGTTAACTCCTCTGTGAAATCTCTCTATTTTACGAAGATCAGCCTTGGTTGGACCAGCAGTCTGACTCTGAAAATGCCCAGCAAAATGAGTCGGCTTATGATTGTATTGGTTGCATGGATTCACGTCAGTAAGAACAGTGCAGCTCTTATTCTCATAGTTTTTAGGAAGTCTAAGGGTAGACCACCCACAAGTTTCTAAAACAAAACTTATTTGTCCTAGCCGTTCTTCGTTTTCATCATCAATACACGAACAGTAAGAAATTAATGTTATCTAGTGACTGAATCCCATACGTCATCCTCAAATCTACATCAATCTTATGTTGGACAAAAGAATGAGAGAAATTTCAATAATCGTATGTCATAAAGCATGCATTAATGAATCCTTATCGTGAGAAGTTGTAAATGTTGAGTGAACCAGTTTGAGTGTCTGGTGGAAGGCTGCGGGGTGAAGCTGAAGAGTTATCAGAGCCGGCATCAACACCTTGTTGATAAGCACAAGTTTCCAGCATCCTTCCAGTTTTTCAGGAAGGCGAACCCCTCCAAGAGACAGAGGCAGAAGAATCATCACAAACAGGTGGCAGCACCCCGGCGGGAGAAACCAAAGGACGAGATGGAGGTGGAAGTCACTGTCTCTGAGGAGCGGAAGCAGAACAGGCGTCGCAAGCAAGCTTCACAGAGGAGAGGGGAGATGATGGAAACGCGCATGATAGTCGACGAGCAGATGGATGATCTCGTCTTGGGGGTTTTAAAGCTGAGCACATCCAACTCCGCGCCTTCCTCAATCAGCTTCGGCCATCGCCATGCCCGGGGCTTCCAATTCCTTCCTCGGTCCATTGAACGCAGTAAGAAGACCGTCCCACCCACCGATGGGAACGTATAGGTCTTGGTCTCTCATCACACGAAGTCTCTTCGCCCATCTCCTTCTCAACGAGTGGCGGCGAGACCAGTATCTCCTTCCCTGGTGTCATTGCTCCGAGGTCACTTCGAAGATAAGCATGCATGCCTCCTTCGTCAGTGATGTAAAAAGGGGCTGAGAGCTCCGAGCTTTGTACAACTAAGAGCGTGTTCATTATACAATATGAGCGAGTTCATAGGATCGATGTTAGCGTATAAGGCTCTGCGATCGGGTCAAAACGGCGCTCCTCTCGCTGTATCATCCACTGAAGGTGAAGCCAAAGCAGGGGGGTCGGGGATGCTGGTCTTCGAACCCGAGTCCGAAAAATATGAGGTCAACCCATCGATCATGCTCTTCTAGGAAACAAAGCACTGATGATATCAGGAAAGACAATTGCACGGGGGGAAGGCGAGAGAGAGAGAGAGAGAGAGAGAGACGAGTAGCCACTGATGGTTCACAACCAGTCCCAGGCAATGGGCATGAACAGGAGGCCCTCTCTGGAGGATTTCCACCTGGCAATGGATGAGCAGAGGTGCCGCCGACTGCTGCATGCGTTCTCTCCTCCTGCACCGTTCCTGTGGCGTGGAAGAGGAGATTTCAATCGGGTCAGTCTTTGCCTCCATGTGATCAACGACTCTTGAAACCATAAGATTTGTAAACCTACCACGGAGGGAACGAGAAAGAGAGAGAGAGAGAGAGAGAGAGAGAGAGAGAGAGAGAGAGAGAGGAAAAGTTCGAGGCTAACCGGAAGGAGAGGTTCAGGCAGAGGCAGTCAGGGAAGGGTGGAAAGACGTGCCGCAGGCAATCCACTGCTTCTTCCTCCTCCCGTGCTGGAGCACACAGCCAGGCACCTTCCTCCACTCCTTGCTCAGGACGTCGTAGGTCACCAGGCGGTTCATCTGGCGCGACCTCAGAGACAGCATGATCAGGCGCCGGTTTCCCAGGCAGTTCATCTTCACGTGCTTCCCGTAAAACTCCAAGCACCAAATGTTTGGCATTCTGTCAACCTCCTTCCACAGAAGAGTCATCCTCTGCAGCTCCCACACGCACACGCAGGTGGCCGCGTTCTTCGTCAGCAGCCCCACGAGCAGGATCCTGCCGCCGCACTCGGCGATCGCGTGGTCCATCACGTGGGGTGGCACCGGGATGCTGAATTGCCGCCACACCCGGCTCTCCGTGTTGTAGGAGACGATGCCGTCGGGCTCCGCCCGCATGAAGTAGACCGTGTGGCCGATGGACACAGCTTGAGACCTGAAATTCAAGAACAGCGGGAGAGTGATGTCTGCGGAGATCACTGAAGGGCGGGTCCAGCTGTCCTGGCGTGAGTCGTAGATTTCATAGTCCCCATTGCATCCCAGCCACATGATCTTGTAGCCACCGTCGCCGCTGCCGCCAGTTGAATCCTCATCCATCGTCATGCCGATGGCCACCCGAGACCAGACCTGGACCGACCTCGGTGGGAGCTCTCTGAACAAGCGTGTGAGAGGATTGCTGATGTAGAATTTCTGATGGCTGATGTCCAGAAAGCAGAGGAGGCCGCCAGCTGAGGTCGCAGGGATGACTATCTTCGCCGGCAGAGCGGGGATCGACAGGTGGTGCCATCTCCTTGAAGACGGGTCGTACATGGCGCCGGTGCCGACGCTCTCATGGGTGATGCCATAGAGCCAGGGTAGTGATGGCGGGAGCTCGGAGCAGTGTTGAGAGAAGCTGTGGGAATCCAGTAGGGAGTTCCATTTCCTGCAGACAGACCTGAGGCGGAAGAATGCGGCAATCGGGAGCCTCGCAACGACCGCTTCGAAGAGATCCTCGGGGAACTCTTTCCAAATCCTCTGCTCCATCATCGTCTCACTCGAACTCCCAGCCACGAAGGGTTTCTCGCGGTTCTTCCGAGATTTCTTTGCAGGCGGAGAGTTCTTGGGGTCTACCATCTTGAAGCCTCCGGGTTGCCCTCCCATGATGAAACGACAACCGTCACCAAGATAGTTGTTGTTGAAGTCGATAAAATACCATCTGCGTCAGGAGCAGACCATTGAATGATAAAAGAGTACAATGTGTTGGAGAAAGTTCATTTTCTAGCGTGAGCAGAATAAAAGCCAATAATATATTGATTACAGAAATTCTGTGAATAAAAAGATAAGTGACAATACTATTGAATGAATACACCGAGGAAACAAAATCATAGGCTTCCTTATAGACGTGAAGTGTCAGTTTACCAACCCACAGTCCAGGATTCACATTCTATTCTCTGCTGGGCAGGAGAGGAATGGTGACTATGGCAGGTGATGGACAGCGACAAGGTTGGTAGTAATTGGGAGCGATTTTTTTTCTTATCTTCTACATTCTAGATCAGAATTGGCCGGATAACATCCCATGGAGACACTTTTAAGCCACATCACTCAGTAAAAGAATCTCAAGGGAACCATTAGACAGTTCGGGGTAATTTCTTGCGACCTCCTCATTCTCCCCTCTTGATTGAGATGAACGCGAAAGCATAGTCATTGGCTGGATGCGTTAAAAAAGCAAAAAAATCGAACATTGACACAACATCATCACGTGATCTGTCACAGAAAACCAACCAGAAAAGGGAGAAACGATAAGTAAACAATTACTATCCCAGTTTGGTAAATCCTCGGTTCCTAGTCGTCATAACAGAACCTCAAATACTGTAGAAAAGTAGAATGATCCCCTTAAGATTCAAAAACGGCCACATCGCGTTTTTTAATCTGTCGCAATGGATGTAAGCTGGTCCACAACAGTCCAGAAAATGATGCACCAAATAAAGTTTCAACCTCATCCCTTTAGGACAGCAATGTTCACTTCATTATTTATCCCTTCATATGCCAGCCATTGGATAGTAGTCCCGTGGCTAAGCTCTGTACCCTTTAAAAAATAAAATATAATACTTCTGGATTTTCTTAACATTATCAAGGGAAATCTGTGTCTGATGCCTATGTTCAAACCTAAGTGGAGAAACGGCATACGCCTGAAATGCTTAAAAATCGCAGGGTCTTTTTTCGTTCAATTTATAATCAAAATATAGCATTTTTATTACTAAGAATTCGTGTAGAATAAGAATAATGTTAAGGAGAGTTGTGTAAGCTTCACCGCCAGTGACATGAATGATGCATATAAATCCCAATAAAAGGAAGGTTGCAAATTAGAGATTTGGGAGTGCCCACTAGCACCCAGAGGCATCTAGGCTGGGATCCTTCTAAACTACATGGAGGGAAAAAAGCATGCAACACACAATTTATGCATCTATCATCTGAACTAACAAAAATTTTACAGTTTTGAGACGTGCAGAAAAAAAAAGGCTATATAATTTTATCCTTGATCCTTAAAATATTCCTCCCATTGGTTCATAGAGATACGTGACACCCTTGTCAACCACCAGCTCTATTTCAGGTCAATAATGATTGGATCCAACACCAGGTGACTTTGTCTCTTCCATTGTAATTGAATGAAAATCTGGGCAAATCGTACCAAAGTTTCACTACCGACCATGCAAGCCAGCATAGCTTTAAGCTCATAGGAGCCACAACGGAAAGTCCATCAAAGTCATGAAAATTTGAGTTGGCTGGATACACAGAAAATCATGCTCTTCCACTGAGATGCCCATGTAGTCTCCACACTCACAAACATGAGGCCTTAGAATCAATGAATCAAAACCGAGATCAGCAATTTTAACGTCTATTAGACTTGAAAAGAAAAGAGATGCCATCATACTTTGTCATCCACTAGAAGTTCTAAAGACAGGAAACAAAGGGAAACTCAATCACAAGTCCACATCACACATGAGTTTTATTATACGCAGGAGAAGAAGGGAGACGTGATGAAATGCCCACATTATCCAATAGTTATTCCATAAACAGGAAAAGAAGGAAGATGCGACGAAATGCCCAGACCATCCACGAGTTGTTCCAGAAACAGTAAAATAATCCAGTCATGATCAAATGACGACATCATCCGTAAGATGTTCCAAAACAAGAAAATTTTGACATGGTGAAACCTAGAAATGTTCCAGTTAAATCGTCTTTGGAACCTAGGGAAAGAGTTCATGATTAAGCATCTTACATCAGCTTTTTACTCCCACGTTACCATGCTCCCCATGATGCGGCTCAAAAGAAGCCCCATTCTCTGCATGGTTAGCATCCACATTCCTTCGAATGCAGGGATCAGATAGTAATCTCTCCAAAAGTAATCACCTCTTACTGTCCTTGAAGCTCCCTTTTCGAGAACGAAAAGAAAAGAGGTGGAGTCCATCGATGTGAGCCCTGTTCATCACCCTAAACTCTAATTCGGCATTACTATTCGTGAGGAGATGCAACAATTTTAGGACTCAGATCAAAACCTTCCACATGACATCCCAAAATCAAACAAGACCAATCTACTTGATGACACATTCTCACATAACAGAGGCAGAAGTACCACACATGCTTATCAGGAATGCTTATCAGGAATGTTCTTGTAAAGAGCACAGAATTTTGCTTCTTCGCTCAGATTTATATTTTCCTTCACCTTGACTTGTAATTCGCAATGTTATCACAATAAATGCTTCTCATTATCAAGTTTCATGCACAGAGAAATTATCAAACGGTCACTATTAGAGATCGGTATCTTTTCTCTCGTGAGGAGAAAGCAAACCTGTACAAAACTAGCCATGAGAGTCCTCCAGCATCAGGCATCGTTTACATGGGACATCTTGCGGATATCTATTTCAGATAAAACATGTTCATTTTTTCAAATTCATCAAGCTATATCCCCTCGTGTGAATATGTTTACAATCATCAAACTCCCATAAAGATCAGTGAGACAGGGCCATCTCAAATATTTTAGAAGGTCATATTGAGTATCAATAAATTAGGTCCACAAACATACCGAGATTTACCATTTAGTAGATTCAAAAGCGTAAAATATAGCCAATAATCACGACCTTAAATACGCAACATATGCTAATCCTGATGCGTGAGATTAGAAAAAAAATCAACAAAAAACAGAAACTATGCAAACTGATTAGGGGCTCAATTGTAAATTTGTTCAAAAGAAATCAGTAGAGGAATCTACCTCCAACCAAAACACCAAGCTATCTCAATGGATACGAATAAAAATAAAAAAGCTAGAAAAACAAAATTATTCCTGATTCAGATAGTCCGGAAGATGAGTTGGTTTAATATGAAAAACACGAAACCACGCAACAAAGAGAATGCACATAAAAGGTGAATAATCTACGAGAGCAATACAAAAGGAATCATATAAGCCCTTCGTATGACGTGAATAAAGAGCATTACAAACCCTAAGCGGAAATCTACGCACCAGACATCAGAGGTAGATTTATGCAGGAATTCCAGTGAGAAATATTGGTGACTCATCATACGGAGAGATTCCGAGAAAAAATAAGTGCCTCCCGCAACAAACTCCCTATCGATGAATCAATAGAAGCGTAGGCACAGAGCGAGGGAGAGATAACGGACAGAGCAAAGCGAGCAACAAACAGATTCCACTAAACAAAACAATAAGGCAGACAGGCCCCGTGAAAGAAAGAGATGGACCATCGGTAGCTTGCCTCTCGTCGCTGTGATGCTCCAAGGACGGCCGCGGGGGAGGAAATCCGTATAGTTCGCAGAGCCCCTGGATCTGCCCGATGAGCTGCCTTAACATGGCCACCCCCTCCATGCACCAACATCCACACCCACCTACTCCAACCCACACCTCCCCCCCCCCTTCCTTCCTCCGCCACCACCGCCACTAGCAAGCAGCAAGTGCTACTACTAGCGACCTCCTCCCCCCCCACTCCACTCCATATCTCCTCACCATCACCCCCCACCCCACCCCCCCCCCCCACCGCGCCCCACTCCTCTTCTTCCTCTCAAGTCAGCAAATCCACCCGCCGCCTCCAAATGTTCTGATCAGCCTTTTAACCCTCCGTCTTCTCCGCCTCCTTATGCACATAATTCCGAAATTACCACTCTACCACGCTCTCCAGCCGTACCCTCGCCGACTCGGTCGGTCCCACGCCGCTGACCAGCGTTGCCTAGAGGGAGAGAGAGAGGGGGAGATGTGGTCAAATCCAAAATAGAAGTCCAGGACCTCGGAGCATTCACACGTGCGAGAGAGGGGGATGAGTTAAACGTGCCCAGTCGAACGTTTCTTCATCCGTTGAGTGGTGGCCTTCCATTAACGATCCAACGGCAGAGATCCCGCCAAGTGAATTAGCCGGCGCAAGAGTCTTCCTCCATCATTAGCCATGATCGTGGCTTCTCATCATTTTATCTTGGGATCCAAACCGATCAGCACCGTCCGTTCCGCCTATGCTGTGTGATGCGGTCCTCCGCGGTAATCTGACGAGACGTCACCGTCGGGGCGCTTTTTCATGTTTCTAGAACGACGATTGCCTTTGACGGAGCGGACGTTATGATTAGATCTGTGGCCCCGCGTAATAATATCCGTTTCTAGCTTCGGAGGTGACTAGACCTACTGAGTAGTTATTTTCCCCCTTTTTTTTCCTTTTCTCGAGAAGGCGTCCTGGAAATCGATTTGAACGAGAATCGGATTTCTCGCAAATCCAACTCCACGCATAGCTGGCGGTGCTTTTCTCTCTAGTTCCTCCGTCCTCTGGGGCCCACAAGAGCGACGATATCTGGTAGGAAATGATAATCATCACGCGCTGCGGAATCCTCGTCACGTGATGTCATCCAAGGCATTCGAGTAATCACACAACATGGATCATGGGCCGATAGTCTAATGGGCCTCAGGGCGAATCCATCTGGAAGTAGTGGGCCTGGAAGCCCTCTGCCTTTACTTTAAGAGAGAGAAAGAGAGAGAGAGAGAGAGCGTCGGGGACTAAATTTTTATGGGCTTTTGGGGAACGATTCTGGAAGAAGCAGTGGGCCGGACTTTGTAGACGCAGCAGGGCCAGTAATACTGCAGCGTCCACACGTGACTTGTACGGGGCTACTCGGAACCGGCCCAATAACCTCCCCTAGATGGCTGGGCCATAACCTAGGCCCATCCACAGGCAAAGACTGGCCAGGCCTTGTAGAAGAGACCCATTAGCGCCTCACTTCTCGAAGAGAGAAATAATTATCAATATATTCTCTTTCCATTCCTGGGCGTTGACTCATTAAAGCGAGTCAAACTTTCAAACTTTATTGAATGGAACAGAAGAGGGAGAAGGAGAGAGAGAGAGATGAAAGAGACTGAAAGGGGAGGGTGGAATCGTGTTTGGTTTCTGCTATTCCTGCGGTGATTAGTAAACAACCGAGGCCAGCAGTGGCGGAAAGACGTATCATTCTGTTTTCTGTCGTACGCGCGTTGAATATTCGTCTGATCGGGCTGCGTGACGTCTCGACGTTTTATTGTTCCTCAGGCGTAACGGGGAGCACCTGGGCGGTGTTGGCGGAGCGTCCGAATGGCGTTTCTCGCACGTGTGGCGATGTCAGACGCCTCCCCACTCGTGCCTCCGATCCAGATCCTTCCCAGGCATCTGAAATACAGGCCAATGGAACGAAGAATTTCTTCTCCTCTTTCTCTCGCTCTCTCTCTCTCTGTAGGTTACGCTACAAGGTAGCTCTCTGCGTCGCTGCGCTTCTCTCAGCCGAGAAGCTACCGATCATCAATGGGGGAGGTACGCCTACTCTCTCTCTCTCTCTCTCTCTCTCTCTCTCTATCTCTATCTCTCTCACGATTTGGTTGCGTTGAGTTGGCTGATTCTGGTGGTGTTTCAGGTGGAGAAGAAGACGGAGGAGAAGAATGTGGAAGAGGAGAAGAAGGCGAAGGTGGAGGGGGAAGCTAAGAAGGCCGAGGGAGGGAACAGCGCGGAGACGAAAGACGAGAAGAAGGATAAGAAGGAGGTGGGGAAGAAGCAAGGAGACGGAGGCGAGATGAAAGCCGAGGGTGGGGGAGATGAAGGCGAGAAGGAGGCTTCTTCGCCGCCGCCACCGCCACCGCCGCCGCCGGAGGAGATCGTCATCCGCGTCTACATGCATTGCGAGGGCTGCGCCCGCACGGTCAGGCGCTCGCTCAAAGGCTTTGAAGGTTGAACCCATCTTCTCCCTCATTCGAGGCTTTTCTCTTCTGGATTCAATGGGCTCAATCGACCGATTCACAGGTGTGGAGGACGTGAAGACGGACTGCCAGACCCACGAGGTGGTGGTGAAAGGGAAGGTAGCGGCGGCGGATCCGCTCAAGGTGGTGGATAGGGTGCAGCGGAAGAGCCGAAGGAAGGTGGAGCTGCTGACGCCCATCCCTCCGAAGCCGGAGAAGGAGGCGGAGAAGAAAGAGGAGGAGAAGCCCAAGCCGGAGGAGAAGAAGGAAGAGGTCAACGATAGATCTTCGTCTCCACCTCCCCCTTCATTCTAATATTGTCACAGTAAGAGAGAAGTCTTCTAGCTTCCGTCGATCTAACCTGGTGTGTGTCTGTGTGTCGATCCTTCGCCAGGCTCCTCCGGTAATGGCGGTGGTGTTGAAGGTCCACATGCACTGCGAGGCGTGCTCACTGGAGATCAAGAAAAGGATCCTCAAGATGAAAGGTCTTCTTCGTCATTTAATTCCCCGATATCAATTAAATATTTTCTGCGGCACATCAATCATTCTAGTTGCCTTGGGGGAGGGCGGGTGAATGATTTTCTGAGCCGCCGAGTAAATGGGGAAGTTATGAGCTGTCGCAGGTGTGCAGGCGGCGGAGCCGGACGTGAAGAACTCGCAGGTGACGGTGAAGGGGCTGTTCGAGCCGGCGAAGCTGGTGGAGTACGTTTACAAACGAACGGGGAAGCATGCGGTGGTGGTGAAGGCGGAGCCCGCGGAGAAGAAGCCGGAGAAGGACGGCAAAGACCAGGGGAAGGAGAAGAAGGCCGACGGCGGGGGCACCACTGGCGATGTGGAGAAGAAAGACGGCAGCGCCGCCCAGACGGAGAAGGAGACTAAGGAGGGCGCCGTCGTCAGGCTCGCGGAGGTCACCAAGAACCCGTTCCAGTACTACTACCCGAGATACCAGATGGAGTACGCTTACCCGCCGCAGATCTTCAGCGACGAGAATCCAAACGCTTGTTCTGTCATGTGAGGAAGGGGGGGGGGGGAGACGACGAACAGAACGCCCCCCGCCCATACGTTGAAAGATCGAAAATAAGAATATAAGAGTCATAATCTTCTCCGCCGCCACCGCCGGCGGTATGCTTATCATCCCTGTAAGTATGCGGCTGAGCTTTCCCTTCCTCTCTCTCTCCATCTCTCTGATCGTGATCGTGGTGGTGTAGCCTTTTTTTCAATGTAAATCTCTGTGATGATCTTCGTCGTGGGCTCGCTGTACGGTCCCGGCCGCATTTCCCGATGACGGGACAAGACGGTTAGCGTAGAATTCCACGAGGGGGATTCCGACTGAGTGGCAAGCCCAACGCTGTCCGAGCCGAGTTCTCCACGCGCCCCATCGTTTGGGTTGTGGCCGCCTTTGCTCAGAAAGGGAGAGCGCCAGTCGAAAAAGTCGAACTGATCCGGCAACTGAGACAACCCATGCGGCGCCGGCGCCGGCGCCGGTTGACCCGACGCCGCCGACAATCGGCACGTGAAGCCACGAGGCGAAGAAGCCACGTGGGGCTGCTGTCCAAGAATGCGGCCCCGCCACGAGACCTGTTACCTTTTATTAGTTTTAATATTAGCGCCTCGGCATAGGCGGTGCGACGGAGCCGATGGATGATCGGCTTTTACGGCGCACCGCGCCTTTTAGTGTGATCGTGATGTGTACGTCTAGAGAGAGAGAGGGGGGGGATGAGACTATTTCCATTTTTGGATGAATGACGAGGTAGATTCAAAATCACGGTGAGGTTCTCGTCTAAAATCTGTGGAGTTAGCTCGCACTTTTGAGTAGTGTCCTTGCAAGTCAACTCACAAAACACTGGTTTTTATTGCCACTGTTGACGTTTTTACCATAAGTAGAGAGGGAGACCGAAAAAGACGGCGCTGTTGACAAAAGAGTTGACGTTCTACCTACATCAACCAGCCATCCACCACCCGTTCATAGCGGATGGACTTGCCCGACAGAGCACACTATGGAGAGCGAATCTTATGTGGTGTGGGCCCCGATCGTCGTCAGTGGGCTCGCTGTGGACCTTACTCTCGGTCAATCATATTGAAGCATCCTGCGGACGCGAGCCCACAAGCTTTTGCTTGATCCACGCGATTCGCGGGGATACTTTGCCCAGTTTCCAAGGCGAGCCCCTGCGAGCCACGTGGAGTCCGCAGCCAGCGGTGAAATGTCCACGTCGCAGCCAGTCAGCTGCCCCCCACCCCAGGTACGCCCTTGAGATAGAGAGAGAAGCACAGGTGGCAGATCTATCGATCTGACGGTATCGGAGGAGATCTGGAGAGCTTTGGGAATGCGTCATTGGGCCGGGCCGTAGTTTTACGGGCTTTTGGACAAGATGGCACCAGCAATCTGACAGGGTATGGTGGGCTATCTCTTTGCGTTCGTTTCAGCGCCGCATGCTGGGCTCTTGCACGGCCAAGTTGGGCTCCATTGGCCCACGGATCACGTCCCATTAGTGGCCCAATAAGCTCGTATTCTCGTATGGGCCAATATGAAAAAACAATGAGAGATAGGGTAGTGGGCCTTCATGGGCTGATGTTTACGGGATAGCCCCAATAACACGGAGCCTCTGTTCCTACACTGGAAAGCATTCCGTATAATTTACGAGGAACAAAAGAACAGGAAAAAAGAAATATTCACAGGAAAGAGAGAGGGAGGTCTGTCCCGGACGACCAACAGCTACGTCTTCTTCCTCCATTCCGCTCTCGCCCGGACGATCTCAGCCTTATCTTCTTCCAGCCGGAGCAGGTGGACGCTGCCGAGGTCGGCGCCGCCGCCGCCGCCGTCGTCCCCCGCCGCGAGCTGCGTCCCGAGGCTGGTGAGGGATTCGAGGAGTTGCGACTGCCGGCATTCTCGGCGGTACTCCAGCGTCATGCTAGCCAGGCTATACTCCTCGAGCACCTCCACCGGCACGCTCTGCAATCAACAGGGAGGAGGGTACGCGACGTTGACGAGCAATCCCACATTCTCTGACTCCATCAACTATATCGAGGAATTTCTCTCCGTACTGTCTCTCTGGTTCGCTCGCTCCCTCGGAGGATTTAAAGTGGGGATGTGAACAGGTTGCAGAGATGAGGAGCTCACCTCCAAGATCCAGCTGATGTACTTCACGTTGTTAACGTGCTGGTTGGCGTCCATGTCGCTCCATCTTGGCTGCGCCACGGAAGAGACGAGAGACTGTTAATGCCAGCTGAGCTTGAGGAATCAAGGAAGAAGAACAACTCTCTCTCTCTCTCTCTCTCTCTCTCTCTCTCTCTCTCTCTCTCTCTCTCTCTCTCTCTCTCTGTTAATGCAGACCGCCAAGCCTGATTTGATGCTTTGAGCGGTCTCGTCGTCCAGCTTGTGGATCCTGGCGGCATCAGGGCCGGAGCAGTCGTGGATGATCGTCCTGCCCAGGTAGAAGGGCATCACCTCCTCCCTCACCGGCTCCGGTATCTTCGACAGGCGGCGGGTTTCTCGGTTCATGATCACCCAGGTGCTGCCCAGAGGAGGAAGAGGAAGAAGAAGAAGAAGGGAATGACGGCGATGAAGGAGTAACCAGTCAGTCTCCTGGTCCGTAGGTGGAAGGACTCTGCGGGTGGAGAGAAGGTACCTCGTCGCCCTGGCGATGATCTCCCCGGTGGCGTAATCTCTGATCATCCAGTCCCTCCTCATACCGTTCTTCCCCGCGGCGTCCACCCAAGTGTCGATCTCTACCACATCTCCCCTGCAACGATCGCCCCCCTCGCATCAGAGCTCGAAATCAGAAACACTTCCCGAACAAATTGCAGGGTTTCTCAACAGAAAACTTCCGCACCAGCGGCTGTACTTGTCGACTTGAATGCGGATGCGGGTGACCACCCAGATGAGCTTCCGCAGGCTCATCTCGCGGGTGGCCCCGAAGCCGTCGCCGGCGAGCCCTGAGGTCATGACGTGATTCAGGGCCGTCTCCTTCCCGATCGAAGAGAGGAGAACAAAATAAAACAAGAAGAACCCTTTAGCAGATTGTCGACCCGGTTCGAGGAATCAGTCGCTGGGGGAAAGATGGGAAGGGGGAGAATCCAATTTTCAATTCACCTGGAGGAGATTCATGAGGGTTTCCATGGTGGCCGTCTTGTCCGGGCCGATCTCGTAGGACCTGATCACGAACGTCTGCCGGTAGACGAACCTCTCCTCCACGAACCTCCCCATTCTGAGCGTCGCATGAGAAGGTACGTCTCGGCTTGTCTCCTCCACCCAGCCGTTGATCCCGTTGATCTTCCTCCCGTTTACCTTCTCCACGCCGACGGACCCACCGCTGCCGGCGCCGGCAGCGGCCTTGACGAGCAAACCGGCACATCCACCCGCCAATCTCCTCGGATAAACGAGACCCACCGGAGCAGCGACCGCCGTGAACCAACTCTCCGGCCGAGCGAAGCCTGCCGAGGGGAAAAGGCCCTGTAGATTCCTCGCCCCCACCGGTGACATGGTGGCGGGGAAGGCAGAGACTCCACAGGCCAATGCGGGCGTATTGGCAGCTCGCCTGAGGAGGACCGAATGGGGAGGGAAGCTATGGCGCGCTCAGAGGGGGGAACTTAATGCGGTGAGAAGAGCAGGAGGAAGAGGAAGAAGAGGAGGGGGCTCAAATTCCTGCAGCACATCAACTACCTCCACCGGTGGCAGAGGAAGGACGTAATGGGGAAGGGCCCATCCCCACCCCACCATTGCGGAAGGGAAGGAGAGCTCGTAGCTGGCCTCCCCCCTCAATGCCTTTTTTATCTCCCGAAGATGACAGAGAGAGAGAGAGAGAGAGGGAGACTTTAGGCGGTTGCTGCTCACCTGCTTACCCAACGCCGCCAGCCCAGAAGTCCTTCCTTCCCCGCCGATGTGCGGTAGAACGCGTTTGGGGATCGCTTGGGGGGGCTGCAAAAGTATGATTTTTTTAAGGCGGCGCCTGGTTGCGCCGCCGGCGGTCCCGGGTCTGCCCGCCACTGCTCGTCCCGCCTTCCTCTCTGCCGAGTTATGGTGCCCGCTGCTCAGCACGATCGGTCAGAAGCCGTTCCGTCCCCCCCCCGACCCTTCTGGCATTAATTAGTATTTTATTTCCCAGGGGGTTTTACAGTCATTTTCCATCTATGCCAAAAAAAATAGCAAAAACTGTTTTCCGGATATTTTATACGCCATATATTTTATAAATAACCGAATTTCACCGGTGACCACCTGAAAAAAAAGGACACTTGCATTCGGGCTCTGATGTAATCCTTGTTGCCAGCGGGCCCATAAAGACAGACTTCTGTGGGCTCAATTGCTTCTTCAGGCCCGGCTCATATAAATATCTCAATAACCGCGGACCACATTTTAATAATAAATAAATAAGTATAATTATAAAAAAACAGTCAACGAAGCCTACAATCATTATAAAAATTATAGTTGCCCTGTGTACGGGTCCAGCTACCGGGTGGGTTCCACTCGCTTCGACCCGGTTCCGATGCCGATCCGATCCCCGCACGGCCGACATCCACTCGAAAGCTGAGAATCAACCATGTGACACGTGGTAAAGAAAGAGGCCAACACGTGGCTTTTCCAAGGAGAGACACTAATTGAGGGAAGGACACGTGCAGCTCCACTGGCCAAAATCTCAAGTTTCCTTCTCTGATCGGTGCTAAACCTTGCCCTTGCCCACGACGGACCCGATACCGCCCATCTTTCCTCCACGTGTCCTCCTATGGGTCTATATTTTCTGCGTGCTAGACGCGGGAAGGGTTGGCTCCTCGAGATTCACCGTCTTCTTCTTCCCCTCCGCACCGACAAATCTCCGAGGTAGTCTCTTCTCAGCCGAGGAGAAAAGGCGAAGTGAAGAAGATGGGCCACCTCTGGACCTTCTTCACCCACCTCCACTCCCTCGCTGGGTACTACTACTACTACTACTACTACTACTACTACAGCTGCTTCTTCCTCTGACCACCCCGCCTTCTTCCCCTAAATCTCTGTTCAAATCGCTGATTAGGGTTTCGTACTTCTCATTCTGATCCTGTCCTTTGACGCAGGCCGACGATCATGCTCTTGTATCCTCTGTAAGTACCGTCTTCTTATATCTTCTCCCGAGCTTTTGCCGGCGGAGAGGTCCTCTATTCCTTGCTCCGGTGGGGTTGTGATGGCGATTGGGGATTCCAGGTACGCATCAATCCGAGCAATCGAGAGCCCTTCGAAGCTAGACGACGAGCAGTGGCTCGCCTACTGGATACTCTACTCCTTCCTCACCCTCGTGGAGATGGTGGCGGAGCCCGTCCTCTACTGGTTGGTGCTTCATTTCCCCCACTTCTCCATCAGAGTCGGAAGAAGGAAGCCCTAGCGATTCGATCGTATTGCCTTGAGAATTAATGCTCTCTGCTGCGTCCTTGAAGGATTCCAATATGGTACCAGATGAAGGTGGCCCTGGTGGCGTGGCTGGTGCTGCCCCAGTTCCGGGGGGCCTCCTTCATCTACGAAAGATTCGTCCGTGAGCAGCTGCGCAAGTACGGCTGCGCCGCCGTCGGCGGCCACCCCTCCCCCAAAGTCAAGAAGGTAGTGGCCGCCCCCCACCACCACCGCCGCCGCCGCACGAGCTTCTCCCACATTTATCGATCCTCCATGACATTGCCGATTGCAGGGCGAGCACGAGGACAACAATTGATCGTAAGCCGGTCGCAAAGGCGGCGGAGGAGAGAGGTGAAGAAGGTGGCCGGTGGCAAAGGCGGCCAAGGAGAGAGGTGAAGAAGGTGGCCGGCCGCTCTGTCTCCCGCGTTTCTCTCTCTGGTCGCCGTCCTTTTCCCTGTTATTCTCTGATGTAATCTGATCGACACGATGGCGTCCAACGTGTGCGGATGGTGCCACGTGTCTCACGTTCTGTGTGATTTCCCGACTTCAGCCGTGGGCTGGTCCTTCAGACGGCCCAATATGAGTCCAGCTACGTTTACGATGACCATTAATTGGGGTGGGTTGGTGGATGACGGCCCATTATTGCTGTTCTCGATTAAAAATATTTATTTATCTCAAGAGGAAACCTTGAATGAGAATTTTAAAATTTAAAATTACAGTAAATCAGGATTAATCAAATATACATAATCGTGTGGTTTGGGGCCATAAATTGATTTGGAGTATGGGAACAAATAAACATCTTTAGGTGGTAGTATGGTGATTTTGATTTTAAAATGTGAGTGCGCTAAAAAAGATGAAGCCAGTGAGAGTAGCGGGTGTGGAGGATTCCGTGAAAGAAGAGCACTGCCCCCACTTCCCCTCTTTTTTATCGTTTTGTTTCCCAGGGGCAACTAAGAGCGAACATCTCTCTCTCTCTCTCTCTCTCTCTCTCTCTCTCTCTCTGTCTAGAAGAGCTCTACCCGCCGCTCTCACGACCGAATAATAAAGACCCTCTTTTACGCAGTGGGGCCTGCTGAATCTTGAACACCACCACAGCCGTCCGATCGAGATCCAAGGACAGTGGACCTCCGGGAAAGTTCGCTCGCTGTTTTGTGGGAACCTCGGGCGGCTGCTTCAGATCGCGGCTGATAACGACGGGAACTAGCAATCAAAATGACTGGTAGAGAGAGAGAGAAAGAGAGAGAAAGAGGAGAGAGGAGAAGAATACTGTGGGAGGCCATTTGTTCGTGGTGGGCGAATTATGAAGGGAGCCAGCCCCTCGTCTTCGTCCTGTCTTCCTTCGTGCTTAAGTTTCGGGGTACAGAGAGAGAGAACTTTCAGGGGTAGTACGGGAACACAGACCTGATCTTGTGGGCTTTTGGGCTCAGGTCCCCTAGGGAGGGCTCGTTCTGTTCCCCAACAGGAGGAAATAAATACAGGGGGTATTTTGGGAATTGACATGTGCGTTATTTCAGGAACACCTGCTGGGTTGCCTTGGGGTTGGCATGAAGGGGCATTTCAGGAATAGACGGGTTTGGACATGAGGCTGAGGGGATAGAGACATCGAGTGTGGGTATTTTAGGAAAGAAGATTCATGCAATAATACTAGAGAGAAGATAGATGAAAACTTTACACAATGAGTGAAGAATATACGCGGACCAAGCACCGGGAGTTGGCGGAAGTGGACGGCGGGACCAACCGATGGCCACAGGCCGACACCTCTCTCCTCTCTCTCCCTCCTCTCTCCTTTGTTCTCCTCTCCTTTCCTAAAGAGGCTCCGAAAGCCCTTCTCTGCCTCCCCCACCCCTCTATATATCCCCCTTTCTCTCGTTACCGCACGTTCAGACGAATGGAAATCCTCTCACTACTCCTCTAGAGCCTCTCTCTCTCTCTCTTTCTCACTCACTAACTACATAGCTCCCTCTCTCTACCCATCTGCTAGAAACCAGCTGCCAAGGTTCACCATGGATGCTGTAAAGATAGAGAAGCTGCAAGCCATGAGAAGGCACAGCAAGAACCGCTTCCTGATAAACCTTTGCCAGTACTTGCTCTTCCTTCTGTGCTTCGGTCTGTTCCTCTCCAGCCCGCTGTGGCTCCCCAAAGTCATCGTCTTCCTCTGGCGTTTCTTCTTCCTCCACCTACCCACCATGGGGGAGCGCCTTCTCTGCCCCAAGTGCCTCTTCTTGCTCGGTAACCTCATCGTCGTCTTCCTCGTCGGTGACTCGAAGCTCTCCGGAAGGCCTCCCCGGCCCGGCCTCTACGAGGAGTACGTTGACCGGAGCGAGGCCCTCAGAAGGCCTGCTTCGATCTCAGATACCCTCAAGGGGGAAGAGCCATCGGAGCCATATATGGAAGAACAAGAAGGGAGAGAGTATCGTTGGGGAGAAGAGGAGGAAGAAGAACCAGAGGAAGAAGAGGAAGAAGAAGAGGAAGAAGAGAAGAACGCGTTGCCGGCGGAAGAACTGAACAAAAGAGTCGAAGATTTCATAGCCCGAGTCAACAGCCAGAGATCGCTCGAGGCGAGGTTGATCGCCCGCAGAGCCTGAACCGCGAGAAAGAGGTCTAATTGTAATAAAACCTGGTCTTTGTACAAAAATTAGGATTAGAGGATGCTAATTGTTATTATTTTGACTACTATGGGCTAGAAAATAAATCCAAACGCCCTGACCAGTGTAATGTACTATCACCACTTTTCGGGGTCTTGCCCACGTCAAGCAAACTGGGTCCCAGAAGAAAGCGTCAATGTGGCGTGAAACGTGTCAAAAGGCCAGATGACGTGTCTGTTGGGCCCGGGAATCGGTCTGGACGTGATAATGGGCCTAGGTTTCCTGGCCCATTATCTAGTTAAATGGAGGGGATAATGGATTTAGCAGCGATAATGGGGGGTCAACGGGGGGTGATTATGAGTCCATAAACCCTAACGGACCGCTGGGGGCGGCCAACAGATGTCGATCAACGCATCTAGAAGGGCAACAGTCCAGGTGAGCCATGGCGTCGTCACCCCAAGGGGAGTTTTAAACGGCTCTCGGAGATCCCAAGGGGCTCAGTCGATGCCCCGCCTCCTCCTCGCTCCTTTTCCGTCCCCCTACATCCTCTCCTGGTGCTCCGAGCTCCCATTCTGAACTCCTGCAACACCGGCGAGTGGGGGGAGAAGAGACGGACGGAAGAAGGAAGCGTGGAGGATGGCCCTTTCTTGTTCCAAGTGTCCGTCCTCGTCTCGTCTTGCTGCATCGGCTTCTCACCCTCGTCTGCCCCGTGAGCAGCGCCTGGCGGCGTCTTTATCCGCCTCCCCGTCATCCTCCAGGGCCTCTTCCGTCTCCTCGCTTAATTGCCTCGGTCAAAGGCCTGATTCGTTGAGGGGGTCGGCTCAATCGTTGAGAAATCGGAATCGGTACCCGAATGTCGTTCGCATGCAAGAAGGTTCGTTGGGGGAGTCGGTTCATGCGTTTTATCGGAGTAACTTGTCATCGGCTTGATTGCTACTCCTCGTTCGAAATATGCGTTGTCTCTGTTTCTTCCCTTTAGGGCCTTCTTCTTCGGGATTTCTATGGGCTCCTACTAGTTCGCTTTTTTTAATTATTATTCTTGATTATTTATCGTAATCTCTTTTCCCAAAGATATCGTATATTTCCCTATCTTTCGTTCCTTATTTATCAATCGTTATTAGTGATGTTCCTGCTTATATCCTGATTTCATTCAGACGCTTCTGCAACCAGAAGTATGTAACGTTTTGAATTATATGCTAAGAAAATCGTCACATGGATGGCAGCTGTGACTGCACCAGCACCTTCACCTAAAAAGCCTCCGTCGAAGAAATCCGAAAATGGCTCGTTGTCATCTCTAGCGTCCAAGGAACGCTCTGAAATAGCTGGTTTCAGCTCTGGTGGAAATGAGTCCACAGTTAGCATCACCGTGGTTGGGGCATCCGGCGACCTTGCTAAGAAAAAGATTTTTCCTGCACTTTTTGCCCTTTATTATGAAGGCTGCCTCCCAAAGGTACATAGTCAAAGCGTTTACCCTCTATATTGGTTTATCTTTTGTGCCTACACTTTCGTCCCATTGATGCTTTCAGTTGTGCTGTGGTATTGATCAGTAGTCACGTTTATTTCCAGCATTTTACAATTTTTGGTTATGCCCGGAGTAGGATGACTGACGCTGAGCTGAGAAATTTGGTCGGACAAACACTCACCTGCAGAATCGACCAAAGGTAAATAAGAAATTGAAAGATGGTTGCCTAAATGAAGCCATTGATTTGGTATTCTATAGAATAATTTACCCGCACTAAATTTCGAATTTTAAATTTGATCTGTTTCCTTTTCACCCTTGTTTTCATTATAGTGTTCCATTATGTTTATTTTTTCCCTATAATAATTATTTCAAGATTAATTAAGACGAGTGAAAATTGTTAGAATTTGTTACAAGATATGACTAATTTGTCATGACAATTGTCTGACTCTGCATGAGTTTTCTCTGGATTACTTGGAAACGATTGTGTCATTTCGAACTGCTTGAGATAGATGACGTCGTGATGGTGTGTTGTGAACACATTTGAATGGCAAGCAAACACCACTTCATGAGATTGACGGTGCACAATGTAGATTTTCTGAGAGATTCTGGAGAGTTATCCGAAGTTTCTTGTAAAAGGAGATGAGCAATTGCACTTGTTAAATTGCCTCTTTGTGCTAGATATCCTGCACAGTTTAGTAACCCCAATGGGATAATCTGTTCGCTTAGCTAGCTGATGCAGTTTGTTCACAATATCTGCACTCTGAATAATGGAATACATGTGGAGAGGTGCTTCATTCGGTCATGGATGATAGTCGATGCTCTATTTTGAAGTCGGCAGTGGCTTTCAAAATTTTCACAGTGCAGATTGTCTTATCTCTGTTTTTTGGTCTCAAAATCTGATATGGATGACTGGATCTGCTTATGCTTTCTTTGGTTATTTCTTATATCCATCAAAAAGGTATTATCTTCTTCTAAAGCATTAAAGAGAGCATCTAATTAGGCCATAATGTTCATTCTTTATCTGTGCTAAGAAATAGTTGCAATTTATCTAAAATGCAATCTGGCAGTTCTAAATTCACAGAAGGATTGGCATGGTCTTTGAGCAGAAAAGAAGATACAGTTACATTGGCTTTAGTCTTTCCTTTATTTCTCTGACAGTGAATTTAACTCAGTTGTCGTCTGCAATGCATAAATATCTTTCTCTTCTTCTCCAGGGAGAATTGTAGCGATAAAATGGATGAATTTCTGAAAAGATGCTTCTACCATTCGGGTCAGTATGATTCCGAAGAGAATTTCGCTGAGTTGGACAATAAGCTTAAGGAACATGAGGTAAACATGTGGGCCCTCAGCTCTATGCATCCTTCGATCAATTCTCTGTCTTCGGTTGAATTTTATCTGTCCGTTTTTTAGATGGTCTTACTAGATATTTTAATTGTTACCATGTCCTTCTACTACCGAAGAAGAGATCCGCTTGAGATTCGTGGAAAAATCACTTTGAAATGAACTGGCAAAGCCAATAACAAACGCATTGGCCTGTAACTTTGAATGACAAGTTTGCACTTTCACGCTGGACTCAATCCAAACCCGTGAGTCCCATATGGTTGGGCAATTTGAGAAAAAAAGCTTGATTTTCTGTCAATTTCTTGAACGTGAGTCTATCGATGTATAGCATCGATTGCACCTTCCAAGTGTGTCAGCAGACTAAAGAGACTAAACTTATGCAGCCTAGAAATATCGTTCGGGTGCACTCCATACAAATTTGTAGCCACGATTGATTAAATATTAGAATCAAATGCACAAGAAAATGGATGCAAGTTTTTTTTTTCGGGGAAAGAATTGGGTGACCATTTAAGATAAAATATTATTTGAGGCAAGTCATCTGCCTGTCATCTGCTGTCATTCGGCTGCGACTCACTTTTAGTCTGTTATTTGTTTTTGCAGACTGGGATGGTTGCAAACCGTCTATACTATCTGTCAATCCCACCAAATATATTTGTAGACGTGGCGAGGTGTGCCAGCACATCTGCTTCTTCTGCTAATGGTTGGACCAGGGTGATTGTCGAAAAGCCATTTGGCAGAGACTCCGAGTCTTCTGCTGCTTTGACAAGAGGCTTGAAGCGGTACCTGGTGGAGGATCAGATTTTTAGGTGCTCTTTTGTTTCAGTAGCATTAATTATTTCTCTTCAGTGTCCTTCGATAACTCTCTCTCACAAATCGTGACTATCAACAACAGAATTGATCACTACTTGGGCAAGGAGCTAGTTGAAAACCTATCAGTTCTCCGCTTCTCAAATCTCGTCTTTGAACCACTATGGTCTAGACAATACATAAGGAATGTGCAGCTTATCTTCTCTGAGGACTTTGGCACAGAAGGACGAGGAGGGTATGGATTATTTCATTTTTGTGTGCGGAATATTTTCATTTTCTTAGAAAGAACTGATTGTTGGTGTGGAATCCACCTGTTTTCTTCATTGGTTTTGTCAGATACTTTGACAGCTACGGGATCATCAGGGACATAATGCAGAATCACCTTCTTCAAATTCTTGCACTGTTTGCAATGGAAACTCCCGTCAGCTTAGACGCAGAGGATATCAGAAATGAGAAGGTTAATTTGGAAAAATTGAAAATCGAGCAATTTCCTCTGTTTCCTTCCGGCATCTATCTTATTATCTTACTCAAACAACTGCTTGGGTGGGTATATTCAGGTCAAGGTTTTACGCTCTATGAAGCCTTTGCAGCTGGAGAATGTGGTGATTGGACAGTACAAAAGCCACACTAAAGGTGGCGTCACCTATCCAGCCTACATAGACGACAGGACTGTCCCCAAGGACAGCGTGACGCCCACATTCGCTGCAGCTGCCCTTTTTATAAATAACGCCAGATGGGATGGGGTGCCTTTCCTAATGAAAGCTGGCAAAGCTTTGCACACCAAGAGGTGGGTTCTTACAATCCAGACTATATCTGGATTCTTTCACTGGATATAAGAACTCAAGCGTTTTTTCTGGATTTTTTTCAGTTTTATTTAAAAGTTGGGTCACATTTTTGTGGTGTTAATGCTTTTCAGGGCGGAAATCAGAGTGCAGTTCAGGCATGTTCCTGGGAACCTGTACAAGCGTAGCTTTGGGACAGATCTCGACCGTGCCACGAATGAGCTTGTGATCCGTGTGCAGCCTGATGAGGCCATATACTTGAAAATAAATAATAAGATCCCTGGTTTGGGCATGAGGCTCGATCGCAGTAAATTGAATCTTCACTATGCTGCAAGGTACAAATATTTCATTGAGAAAGTCTCTGAATTGTCTTGTTCCCATCTTATGAACGCCAATTCATCGGATGGGCCACCCCCTCTTTTTCTCTAGATATTCGAAGGAGATACCTGATGCTTACGAGAGACTCCTGTTGGACGCGATTGAAGGCGAGAGACGGCTCTTCATCCGCTCCGACGAGTTGGACGCGGCATGGGAGCTCTTCACTCCTGTCTTAAAGGAGTTGGAGGACAAAAAGATTGCCCCGGAGCTCTATCCCTATGGCAGCCGGGGACCCGTGGGTGCCCACTACCTCGCGGCCAAGTACAATGTCCGATGGGGCGATCTCAGTGCCGATGACCCGCACAATTGACTGACTGCCCAGGATGGTGATGATACTTCCCTCTTGCTCATCATATCTGTGTTGGCTACTTATATATCCAAGAAGGTGAATAACACCCAATTGAGATTAGTAGGTTAGGGTTTCTCAGGTTTCTCTCTAGTGTCAGAGATGGAATGGTGTTTCTCGTGGGGCAAAACTCAGAAAGTGCGCCAGATGAAGCGACTCAGCCCTCCGATAATGAAACTCGATTTGGGTTTATGTTCACAATCCCGATCTCGATGAAAGATTTATTCTTTTAAAGCTCGCCGCCTCCATGGATGTCAGAAGATTTCTCTTTCTGTTTCCAATGGCCTTGTACCCAGTGTCTTATTGATGTGAAAGCACCTGCATTATGGTAATGAAATTTCAATTCTCTCTCTCTCTCTCTCTCTCTCTCTCTCTCTCTAGATATTATATGTCCATGTACCAGAAGAGTCCCGTTAAGGGAAATATGAAAATGGTAGCATAAAAAAGAAAGATCTCTTCAAGCCTTGGACCATCAGAGACTTGAAGCAAATGTGTATATCTCGTGTGTATACAGGAAGGATATCGCGAGTCGACTAACTACAGAAAAACACGGATATCTGGGAGTATACACAAAAAACATGCAATCGCCCATCAGCAGTTTTGGTGCAGGCGTAATCTCGAGCTCTCCACTCGTAGGCAACCCTTGGACAGGGCCCAATGTTCATCATTTTCGTCTCCGTTTGCTGATGAGCTAGCAGTGAACCTCCCTCTAGGCATTGAAATGACCCATTTCCCCGTGTATATGAGATCCAACTTTTAGCCCCTCTGGGCACTGTAAATGGCATCGTACCTTGTTGATGATAATGCTTCACCGCAGAGGAACCAGAGGAGCAGTGAACGCCTTTAATCGTCCAAGAAGAGGCCAGGCGTCAGATGTGGGGTAACCCTGGTTCATCTCAACTGCAACTGGGATTGTCTGGTCTTGTCTGATCTCCAAAAGCATTGTGCCCTGTGATATAAAGCTTTCTTCAGTCAGAAACACTAGTTGTTAAGTTCCAGCTGGACTGTGGGAAAACTAGTCAACAACACAGGCTGCTAAAAGCCAGGGCCATTGGGAAATTAAAGAAGCCACCCTCTCATTATCATCTTTCGAACTTGAGAATCCATCGCAGATGTTGCAGACTACCTAGATTGGGAAATATTTGGCATGGTTTAGGCAATTTAGCGCATTAGATGAAGTTCATATATAGCCTACCCAGCTTGGGCTTTCCATCCCCGCGATGGGAACCCACATCATCGAAATTTTCGGACAGCTTGCTGAATCTCAAAAAGGACAAGCTGCTGAATTGGAGAGGATAATCCTCAATTCACTGGCTTTCAAAGGGAACATCAGAGAACGGGGATCTTACAGCAATTCAAAAATAAGAGAGGCATGGGTAGCCAACCCAAGAAGAGCTTCAGAACGGTCTAGGCATTGACGATGGTGGAACAGCTAATTACTATACAAGATCATACGCATGATCTTGTGTACAAATGAAATTCCACACCCGACAATACCCACGATTTTAGTTCATAAGCATGAATGTGCACCGAATTTCACATAAACTCACGCAAAGGGAAGGTGAACCACATGGAACTAGACAGAAAAAAAATAACCTTCTTTTTCTGTGCATATTTTTATTTTCGCAGTATAAATCCTCCCAGCAAGATTAATCCTTTTGAATAATGCTGACACCAGACCTCCAAATATCTCCCAAAATCGGGTGTGATGAGACGAAGGAACTAAAGAAATGGAGACGTCATTTATTTGGTAAACACATCTTTGGCAAGTAAATCAAACAATTTTATGATTTCACACATGAAACAATGATCTACAGAAGCCATACCCTTAATGTCGCCAAGACGCCCCCTGCCACTCCCTACCACCTTCACTTTTCTACCAGCCAATCCAAGCAGGAAGAGTACTGCCACTCCCTACCACCTTCACTTTTCTACCAGCCAATGCCAGCTACGACAGATAATACTGCCATCTCCACAGGTTGCTGGCTCTACCTGAGCGTGAATCAGAGGAGACCGTTGACTTGTCAAGCTTAATGACATATGGGTGTCCACTGTGGAAGATTTTGACGATGGACATTAGGCTTCGACTACATCAAAGATACTTTTCCTCATTCTGATCATCAATAGGGACAATCTTTGTACAATATAGACAAAGATTGTATGAAGACGAAAAAGAATCAAAACTAGTAAGGATTGCCCCTCAAAGGTACAATTTATAAACCTATGTTGCCTAATTAATAACATAGAGAGTGTACATTCAAGAGAAGAATGCTTCTAAGGAAAACATAATGGCAACATCCCCAAGGTGTAATCCCCAGTATGGAAGTCTTCTATGAAAGGAAAAGCAATAGGTGCAATGGACTAAACAAACAAATGCAAGGATAACCAAGACATCATCCTTTGCTTACCAGAAATCAGCACTACTTGGTACACCCATCCATAAACATGAGAGGGAATTGAGAGGGACAGGAAATATAACAAAACTCAAGTCATCAGGGTTAAGGTCTTGAGCTACGCAACATATTTAAAGCAAGAATTCATCTTCTAAAAAACATCGAAGATCAGAAAATACCTCAAACTTCATCAAGAAAAGCTGGAATCTTTTCATGGCATCTCTCATATTAGAAGATGTTGCCTTGTCCGATGAAGAGAAAGCAGCTGTAACCGCCTCAGGGGAGTGACCAATCCCCTTTTCTACAACCTACAACACATTTGCACATCTGTCTTTCATTTGATGACAAACAATGAAAACAGCGATCGACTAAACAAAAATTCCACTGAGAAGATGGTAACGTCATAACATCAGAACTTACACGGTGATCAATCAGGACCTCGGAAATAAGGCTTCCATCATCGACATAAACCCGAAGCTCATAGGTGCTCCTGTGCTTAAACTGGAAACTTTTCACCCCCGTTAAAAAGCACTGCACAAATATAATATTTTAGGCCTTCTAACTCAAGATAAGAATGGCAAAAATGGGTATTCGGACAAATTGGCATCATTTAACAACTGGTGATAAAAAAAATTCAGACAAATTTTGGCACTCAATATATGATATAATTGAACCAATTAGCAGTCATGCTTCCACATTTATGACATTGGTGGCAGTTAACATGACAAAAGTGTCACTAGTTCCTTCGCAAAATGAAACATTTGCATGATATGACAATGTGTCGCGGCACAAGTTTAAAATAAACTATGGAATGCTTCAACTACACTTATTAACAGTGAAATGACTTATCAATTAAATCACCTCCTTAAAGGAGAAGTGTCATCCATGTTGGTCTGAATTCAGATAGAATAAGGTTAAAATGAGAGACGTAATAGTGAAGAGAAATATCAACATTTTCGAATGACATCTTTAGGGCGGGAATTTTAATTCAATATCTTGGGGGGGGGGGGGGGGATGTATGTAATGGGCCAAATAAAGCATGGTGATCTACAAATAAACCTGAATCTGTAGACATGATAGCTATTGATAAAAAAGTTTCTGTAAACATGCCAAGTATTCTCTCGTGAAATATTAAGTTGGAAAATCATTAGGTGAAAGGCACCTGATTGGGGGGACTGGGGGTTTTGTGGTTCATTGCATGAAATTAACAGAAACGACTTCAGCAAATTCTTTCAGCTTTATTTTGAACAAATTGAAACTTCTTCTACAGACATTATTTATAAGATATAGTAGCTCAAAACATAGGAGCGAGTAAAGCTGGGTTAATGAAATAACTTAAAGTAGAAGAACAACTCCAAGAAAAGAAGGCATTCACATTACTAAGAAAAATCATATACCTTAATTTTTCCCTGTATGAATGACAACCCATCATCTTTTGCAGCCCTTTTTGCCAAAAAACAAGCCAAGTATGTGAATGGAGTTTCTTTGTCTTCACTTAAAATTAGTGGGTGGTCCACCTCATCAGCCATGTCAATGTCACCCACACTAAGATTACTTTTTGAGTGTACATTTAGTTCAGAATCTGCTCTAACGTAAACGACCGAACTTTCTTCCGCACAGCATTCTCTACGTTGCAGACCATCAGATTGTTTAGCGATGCTCCCTGGGGCTTCGAGAGCAGCCAACTGTTCGGTAGCGTCTCCAGTATGAGGAGCAATAATTCCTCCATTATGTCTGCCCTGTTGTTCAGAAAGGTTCTCCGTAATGCTGACTCCAGTATGTTGATCAGCAGAGTTCAACACATCCCCACTGATGAAGGGAACATGAAGCACCTCTACTGTTGTGGGATTCGCAGCAGCACACTGTTCTGAATTGGTTCCTCTGTCACAGGGATCGGGAGCAAGTCCATCCGTGGGGTTCACACCACTGCCACCCCTTACTGTGGCAAAATTAGCTGATACAAAAAATGAAATAAGAAAATGAAGACAACTGTTAAATGAAACATAAAGATGAACATAGAGATTAAATCATCTGAAAAAGTCAAATATGCAATACGAAATTTAAACATGCTACCTGAAAATTTGGTAATTTATGAGCCTGAAAATCAACATATTAATACTCTAAATCAATCGTTATGAAATCTGAGAATACAAGTTCCAGCAATATTATTCTTGCGAGGGGAGGATGCTGACAAATTTTCTGTAAAGGGCACCGCTCTGAACAGAAATTTTGGTCACTGCGAAAAGAGCTGCAGCCTATCACGATATCTAGAATCCTCAATATTATCCAAACGATAAAATTCAAAATAAGATAAAACTTAGTTAAAATATTTCCGAAAAAATTGTGCCAGGATGTAAATGCAATTACCATTTTTTTCACTCCATCAGTTTTGATAAATTAACTTTATTCTTATAACGCCCATCACCTAAATAGATCTAGTTGAGAGTTATAAAACGTCACTAACAATTCGGAAATAAAAATCCTCAATGGATAAATCCCAAGTAATGGGAGTTAGAAATGTGGGTTATATCCAACCATACTGCTTTATCATCTACCACATTTATACTTGTCATGATAATTTTATATCTTTCTTAGCTACGTCAACTGGAGTTCTCCTGGGTTTTCCACTTTCATTTTAGTACCCTCAGATGCCAATGTGAGGCAAAGGCAGTGTGGAAGGATGAACAAGACTGGAATAATAAAAGTGGTGATGTACAAGCATCACTAATGGCAGAAGCGTGTCATAATTAGACAATGTATTCCTATCAATTGAGTGTTTCATATCACGATGAAGTAAAAAACTAAGATTAGCAGATAGAGAGAATGACAAAATTGAAAGTTAATAAGGAAAGCAAATATATCATCACTGATCATTGACACTTAAAAGAAATCTTCGGCTGCCCTCTAATTTGCTTTTCATCAGTTCACAAGCTCAAAGTTCTACTATAGTAAGACTAGGAGGACAGTATATACACTAGTTTAAAAATCTAGTCAGATATGATAAATAAAAAGTGGGAGAACATGGTAAAGAGTACAGTACCTCGAGGAATCATATGAGGAACAGATCCACCATCCGGCATTGGCAGGTTTCCTGGTTCAACACCACTGTTGACAGTAGATGGCCAAGAAGCAAGAGAAGCCCTTTTACTTAGTGAAAGAGTAGTTTGCTTCCTGCATTAGGAATCATAAACAAAAAAAAAATCAAAGGCTATAATAAAAAGAGTTTAGGCATAAGTAAAATTTTAAGATGCCAAGGAACCAATAATAAGACGTAAGAAACAAGCTCCGCTAAACATTGGGTAGCATGATTCAAGAGGGCCAAATTGATATCAACCCAGTAAAAAAGAAGAAGCGTCCACTAGTTAGCTCCGAATCTATGCCAATAAAGTCAGCACCAGTCACTGCATTCGGGTTGGAAAGTTTCAGAAGAAAACATAAAGCATATTAAAACAAGCTTTCACGAGGCCAGTTCAGTTGCCTGAAGTTGTAAATGTTGAACAAAACAAAAGCACCGAACAAGTTGGCCTGAAATTTACTCCACGCTTGTAAACAGGAGTACACTACCTTAAATGACAATAACATTTAAGATAGGAAGGCCTTATAATCAGATATTAGACCATTTCAGTTGGACGAAATTGAATCCAAACACTGAGGCTGAAGAGTTTGCAAGTCCAAACTCTGAATCCAAATTTTAAGATAATTTTCATGATAGCCAATCTCCTTATCACACACTGAGGTCTGAAGAGTTTTCAAGTCCAAATTGAGCATCCTATTTCTGGCTTGTGTCTTCCATCTTTAACTTAAATAATTTACAATTTTCATAGAATTAGATAGAAAAAGCACTCTATCAGCAGATCCAGGACCCTGACTGTTCTGAACGCCAATGTAGATCATGGCAGGCCTCAGTACTGGTGTTTCCACCTGAGAATCGTAATACCGTGTAAGAAACGAATGAAACCAAAAGAAACCTATTGCGATTCATCTCTAGGCTACTCCATAGTCCATGTTAGTTAACTAGGTATATGAGCATGATACAAAATAACTTTCCAAACAAAATTCAGAAGGCATAACGTAAATTACATTAATAAAACAGGAAAAAAATGCACCTTTTTCCCCTAGGAGGTTTACTTATTTCATGAATGAGTCTTTCACGGGCTGCTTCCAAGTCTTCAGCCATACCTCCCAAAACGTCAACAATTTCAGGGACAAGCATCAAAAGTCCATGACGTATGTGTACGTTACAGATGGCAATCTAGAAGCAGTTGAGAATCGTCATTACTAAACTTGTGCCTCAAATAAAATGACAAAGACACGATAGTATCAGAAAACAGAATATCTTTAAACGACGTGCCAAATGTTCAGATTACTAAGAGTAAGAAATACCGCAGAATGATTGATATCAAAACCATAAAGTATTGAAGCAATAGAATGTTTTCATCACTTAAATCAAAATATTTTCTATTTCAGCAAAAATTATCATAGTATGATTAGTCTGATGAGATTCAAAAGTGATCTATGAGAAGAACCAGGCTAAGGATAATGTTCATTCTTTATGCATGCGTATACCCAAAAAAATTCATCAATTCCGCAATTACAATTTTCACCCATTCTCTGCTGGCTTGTCTATTATGCTTGATCTAACATTTTCAGTCTTCCTATGAAATGTATCGAGGTAAAATAATACAACACTATGTCGTAGTTGTGAACCAGCGGTTTAACTGAAGCATCTTTATTGCTGAAGGGAAAATGGAATCAAGAGAAGAAAAATTAAAGAATGAATCACACTAGCACAATTTCAAAAAAACTGGCTCTGTGGTTCTATTAAAAACATGTACTGTTAATTACCTTAGATGCTCCCAAAATAGAATCCAGATTTAAATTATTGGAACTGTGGTCTTTTATTTCAACGGCTGACTAGACTTTCAACACCTAATCCAGGCAACAACTAAAATTAACGAGCAATTTCCCACGTTTCCAACAAAACAATCAGTTCTTAGAATATAGTTATTTAAACATATTAAAAATATATATATATTCTTGAAGATCACCCATAAGAATATATTTTATGATATTCACCATCCAAACTCTTCGTTGAAATCTAACACTTTTTCCCCCTAGAAGAAATGTCATTAAGAGGTCAAGGCACTGAAAGAAAGAAAGTAGCATAATATAGATATCAGGGGACATAAATCACTTTTTCCCAGAGATAACGTACGATCTATAGCAAAACGACTCTTCTATCAAACAAAGCCAATCATGTAAAAATGAATAAACATTCAGACTGAAGCGGTAAAGTTCTTATGCATATTAGATTTCATTTCTCAAAAACAAGATTATATTTCTATATCCAACGAGTGCGTGAGGTTATGATATATTCATCACTGGTAACTAACTAATGAATGTGGTACAGTATAATTTGCAAGCCCAAGGATGGTTCTGCAATGATCACAGCATGAAAGCCACAAGATAACATATATCAATTAGCACTAGGGCGTTTTATCAGAATATAACACTGAAACCATACAGAAACCTTTAACCCAGAAGGAGCAAGAGCTTTGATTTGGCTGATTGGCCTATACTCCATGCCATACACACGCTGAACACCATCAGTCAATGACAGCTTAAGGCAACGCTTCAAGCCTGCATGAGCCTCTTGATATCTCTCTCGAAGGGGAAAGCTAATGTTGACAATTTCATCAACCTGGAGAAAAGTGAACAAAGCAAATTGATATGATTCCCAATCATCTTTTTGACGGTAAACCACTCTCGAATTCACCCTTTTTATTTCAAAACTGTAACTGTGGTTTGTGTCACATTTACAAAAAACAAAGTCTCAGTCATCAAAATAGAGATGTATTTAATAGATAGACATCTAAAAGGCAGTATTACAAGAACAATGGATATTTTGTCAATAAAAAATGCAAGAAGAGTCCTACGAGTCTGAACATGTGAACGCATTGGGCATGGGTATGAAGTGTGAGACTCAACAAAGCCAGAAAAAAAATCAACATTTGCTACGGGGATGTCTCAACAACTATGTACTAGGGTGTTAACATGGTTTGCTATCGGTGGGCAATAGGAAAACCGAAGGGGGGAAAGAGAATTGAACGAAAGAAGGCAATTTATCAACATGTATATTTACCCGTCAGTAGCCCAAGGAAGCTTGGAGATCCAACGTGTTCACATTTTTTTTAACTCTTCCGACGTATCTTAATAGCCGCCAGCCTCAGAATTACGAGGCAATGCCTTTGACTTTAATGTAAATGTACGGTAAGTTCTAGCCCACAGCAGGTTTTTAACGCTAGGGATGCAGGTAGCAGATAAACGTACCAATGTTTGTAATGCATGGAAGAAGAGGAAGTATATGCACCCGTAATCTCGAACTTCCCCCTTGACTCCATTCACTCGTCTATCTCTGTACTCTGACTAGTAGATTTTTCCCTTAGTTATCGATAGGACCTAAGCACTGAGGCTACTCTACGATCATAGAATCCTTTCGGATTTTCTCCACATGCAACGAGTGCATAATCAAGTCAACTTAATGTAAAGCACCCTAACGTTTTGAGATGAGATGTAGCAGCCACGAGACAAGGAAGGTGGTAGATAAACCTGCAGGACGTAGGGCCCGTCCAATACAACCCCGTGCATGCCACTCAAATTCTCAGGAAGCACACCACCACCAGAAAAGTTCATATCTGAGAAGAGGAACTGTTCAAAACAAAGCTCTGCCTTCCCAGCGTTATCCAAGAACTCAAAACTAAGATGACTGCCAGAGAGACACGCGAGACAGGATTCCAGCCACTCCCTCCGCAGCCACAATCCAAGGGTCCGGAGGAGAACATCGACGGGGCCATTGCTGCTCTCTCCGCCCACGCGTGCTCGAGGGGGAGACCCACCGTGATTTCCCTGGATCCCATCCCACGAGGGCTCCGGCAGCGGTGGCGGCGATGGGGGTGAGAAGGCGTCGGGTACGTCGACGAAATCCTCGCCGTCGTCGTCGGAGATTTCGAGTGGTTCTTCAGGAGGAGGCGGCTGCGACCTCGTGGCAGGAGCGTAGGCCGAAGTCGTACGGGTCGGGATTAGGGTCTCGAGGCCCCGATATTCTTCCTCTTCCTCGTCGGAGTTGGGGAGAAGGACGCGCCTTCTTCCCATCCTCTCTCCCCTCCCGATTTTCGCGTCGAGCTTTCCCGCCAGTTCTACAATCGGGCTGCGGCGCGGGAACGACCTTATCGAATCGGCGATTATCGGGTCGGACGGGATGGTGGATAAACTCTTATTATTAAGTTTTATCACTTTTTTTTTTAACGACTAGGGCCACGTGGAAGCAGCCCACGAGAGTGCAGTTGAGACCGTCGTCCTCCTCCTCTGCCCCGCTGTCGGTTTGCAAGAAGACGACGAGGCCCGAAGAAAATCCAGGAACTGGAATCACGCGGCTCTATTATATTCTCCCGCAGACAAGCTCCGGGGAAATCGCGTCCCCCCTGTTTCGCCCACGTCAGTAGCTTACGAGCGCGAAAGATTCCTACCGAGCCTTGACTTATTTGTAGAGGGGGGGAGATCTCCATCCGGCGAAGCTCCGCTCAGGTAGTCTCTCTCTCCCTCTGTCTCTGTCTCTGTCTCTGTATGGTCTCTGGCCTTAATGGCGAACACTGGTGCAATTACGCCTCATTATTCTGAGGGACTAAATCCGCGGTGGGCTTTGATTGGAGGGATATGATCCCCTGGAGCAATACGGAGGAGGGCCTGTCATGGAGGCTTGGTTATCTTTCTGAACCCGATGGGCGGCAGTTCATTACTCTCGTCTTCTATCAACGGATGTCAGGAATCCCCGCCCGGCGCATCGAGGAAGCGGAGCCGCTCCCGTCCGCCGCCCATCTCCTCCGCCATCAGATTCCTTTCGAACGGAGGCTGGGGGAGCGAGAGAGAAAGCGATCGACGGAATATGGGAATCCACACGTGTTCTGCAATTGAACGGCGTAGTGGAGTAAAGACCGGGGCAGTAATCTCTCTGACCCCTACAGGAAAGAGGATCTCAGAGGCCTAGAGAGAGAGAGGGGGAGGGGGGGTAGGACGGCGAGAACAATAAGCGCGCCGGTGAAAGCTGGTAAAAACGGACGCGGGGATCGGCGGCGAGTCTTCCCCCGTCCCGTCTGAACTCCAATCTGATTCCGTGCTGAAATCGGTGGAGACCAATAGTAGTCTTACTCTCCACATCCTGTTTTCAACCCACAAGGCTCGCTCAGCGCCGAAACGGTCTTCTCTTATGGATCCTACCGGCTCCCCGAAGAAGACCCAGGAGGACGATAGGTCCCGCCAGGCCAAGGGGATTCCGCAGCGGTCGGATAAAAGAGAGCCCACCAGAGTTTCTCCCGCGGCGACGGAAACCTGGGACGGGAAGGCAGCGATGGCGTCCGCTGGAGAGAAGGATAACCAGGGGGGAGCATCGAACGAGAAGGACGAAGGGAAGAAGCTGGCGCCTAAGAGGAGCTCAAACAAGGACAGGCACACCAAGGTAGACGGCAGGGGGAGGAGGATCAGGATGCCGGCTCTCTGCGCCTCCAGGATCTTCCAGCTTACCAGAGAGCTGGGCCACAAGTCCGACGGGGAGACCATCCAGTGGTTGCTGCAGCAGGCCGAGCCCGCCATCGTCTCCGCCACAGGCACTGGCACCATCCCGGCCTCCGCGATGGTCAGCGCCGCCGGCTCCGTATCGCATCAGGCGGCCGCCGTTTCTGTCGGCCTCCACCAGAAGGTCGACGAATTGGGAGAAAGCATCGGTTCCGCCGCGAGGGCTAACTGGACCATGCTCGGAGGGGCCGTGGGTCGGTGGCCCCAAGCCGGCGGATTGACGCCGGGGTTCATCCACGCCACCGCAATCCCGTCGACGTCGAACTTGGGGAGCGGCGGCGGCGCCGCCGCCGCAGGCTTCTTGCCCCGGATTGGAGTGCACGCCCTGGAGATGCAGGGGCCCGGCTTAGGGCCCATGGGTTTTGCCTCAATACTGGGTGGCGGCGCGCAGCAGCTTCCGGGGCTGGAGCTGGGGCTCTCCCAAGAGGGTCATATCGGGGTCTTGAATCCCCAGTCACTGAGCAACTACTATCGGCAGATGGGGCAGGGGCGAGGAGGAGGAGGAAGCGAGCAGATGCAGCAGCACCACCAGCACCCTCATCGGCATCATGAACGGCTGCCGCGGCAGCAGCAGCAACAAACGCAGCAGCAGGCTCAACGCCAAGAACAGCAGTCGCCACTGGAGAAGGATGACTCCCAAAGTTCCTGAGAGTAGAGACTGAAGGTGCTAGGTCTCTTGGTCGGCTGGCTGTTCTCCTCCTTGCGACTTCAAAAATAGCCGATAAACGTGAATGGGGAACCTTAATTCTCGATTCTTCGCGCCGGCTCTGCTTGCTCCTCTCTGAAAGGGTTCACCGGACTCCATCTGTACAGGCACGTCCAGTTAAACTCAGATTCTCCGTCACCCCTCTCCTGCTGCCCTCAGATTGCAGCAGTTGACCTCTGGGCTTGCAATTCGCAGGTCGAAAACTCAATTCAACTGATTGGTGGGTCGGGAGTCTGGATGAGACTGGTCTTATTTTTCTCTGGTCGGAATCTGTGTTGAGAGCGGCTGGAAGCCATTTGTGAATTATTTTCTTGTTGAAGCACGGGGTGGTGACTGATTTCTTGTGAAGAATAAAGATTTCCATTTCGGTATATAAACTCCTGCTACTGGTTTTCATCTGGTTTATGGTTCCTGATTTGGCGTGACTTAGCTCACAAGATTTGACATGGATATGAAATTCTTTCATCCTGCAAATGAATATGATCCGCTTATTCTTCAAAGAACACGTAATTTCTGAACGGGTGTGGCCTCAAAACGTGCCTTTTTTATGGTTTCAAGCATAGAAATACAGTGATGATAAATCCCATATCGCTTTTTGTTGATTTCTCACGTTTCTGTTGAGTCACAACCAATTTGATGATCGATTACCCTGTTTTGAGCTTTTACAAAGGATATTGTTCTAAACTTGAACAAGAGGCTCTGATACTAAGGGGGCCAGGGATCATAGGGATCTGCGACTAAGCACGTTTGGTGATTTCTACTGTCTGAAAGATGATTTACCTTCTGAGTTCATTGTGCATTGCTATGTGTGGTATACAAGCAACCAAGCCAGCAGTATTTATCTTCTTGAATGATGATAAATTAGCATTTATTCACGTTTCATTATTATTATTTCTTCTTATAATTAGATGAGGAAAAGCTTCTAGGATTTTTGACAGCCCATCTTTTTTTAATGGGATTTAAAATTGCTATAAAAACGCATCATCTCTTGCTCTGTCTTTTAGAGGCCATCTGATGTGGTTCATGGATAGATGAAAGAAGTTTATGAGTGGGAAATTTATTTTATTTAAATCTGCACATTTTCTTCACATTTCCAAAAAAATTGGGTTAAAATATTCATGAATTTAATCACCCAGCAAGATCATCACAAAAACCTAGATGAGAATACCTACATCTGCATCTAGAAGGCCTTGAACTGTATTTTTATCAGATTTTTTTTCCTTTTGCAATGTGATTCAAGGTTCCATCGATATTCCTGCTAGAGGTTTTGAATCTGGTTTCGAGCCCTTCAAGAACTGGCATTAATTCTCTAATGAGGAAAGATGATGCAAAACTGGTTTTTTTTTTTTTTTCCCCCTTTTTAAGCGTATCTTCCTTTCAGATTCTGACAGTTTTTGACTGATAATAATACTTTTTTCATAGTCTCCTATACAGTGCATCAAACTAATATATTTTTAATACTATATATTTTGCTAATTTATTTCAAATTATCTTAAATTCGTGAACTATGTTTCAGAAGAGATTCCGATTTATGTCATCCTTTGACAGTTCTAGGGTTCTCTAGATGTAAAACACTGCGCTCATTTCCTTCCATTAAGCCTGACAAATATGTAGGCAGAAAAAATAAATTAATGGCTGATTGGATCTACCTGCAGTGGCTTTATGAAGGAAGAGAGCCTCGCGTTGACCTGGCTTCTCTTTTGGTCCAATCGAGAATGGTTTCTACTTATTTCCACTTTGATATCTTGACTATCAGTTGACCGATATTACAGATCAGCCAGAGTTCTGGGTTATAATCGTTGGAGTGGACATTTTCGGGATAAATTGGTATTCACTGGAAATAAAAAATAAGGAAATAAATAAAATCAATTTTCAACTCTGTTCTTGATGAAGTAAGGGGTCGATTTATGAGAGAATAGCCCGCGGTGGGGTTGAAGAACTTGGGACCCAGCGGGCCATGTGGGTGGGCTCGAAATGCGGCTGGAGGGGAAATCCGCTGCTGGAGCTGGGGAATTTCAAAGATTCCGGCGGCAGCCCCTCCCGGAATTGGGGAGGCAGGTCGGCCCACATCGGCCACCAGGTCCTGCTCCCCCGGGTCCGATCAGCCTGCCGCCGCCGCCCTATTTCTTTATTTTCCCGACGGCACTGTCCGCCCGTGAACGCCTCGTAGCCACTGGCGCGCCCGCAGAAACGACTCCAATTACGACGACGCAGCGGTACCAGACGAGACGTCGTCGTGCTTCCGTATTGAAGACTCCCGTCGCATATCATTGGCTTCTATAGTCTCCGGCCGTCGACCGGAGATTCCTCGGAGAGGGGCCCCTGCGACTCGCCGGAATAAAGGACTGGGTCTCCGGGGGGCGATGGTGAAAAAGCGAATCTCCCGGCATCTCCACGGGCGAGAATGTGAGAGGGATGAGGAGCTGCAGAACAAGGAAACAGATGGTTCCAAGGGGATCATCCTCTCGTTCTTCTCGCTCTGCGCTGTTCCACCTCTGCAACGTATTTTTTATGAGGATTTGAGGATCTCGTCAGGAATTTATACAGACGTCTGTTCAAGTCTTTCTCATCCCGTTCCTTCGGCATACTCAAAGGGTCCTAGACTATGCGACGAATTCTCGAAACAGGCTCATTATTCTTCCAAGGTTCGATATTGATCTATACCAAAATAGCTCCTTTATTAGGATCAGTGTATAGATAGTGGTGAATGATCGAGGTACAAGGAACACTCTTGCACCGATCGGGAGAAATCAATGAAGAATGTACGACATTGTAAGACTGTACGGAGAAGTTACGAATCATGCGCAGGAGAGCCGTCGTCGGCATTGAATTCCGGCGGTCCTGCCGCCGGTGGAGGCGCCGGTCGGGCACCGACGCCGCCGCCGCCGGGGTCGGCCATTAAAACAAAAAACCCCGCGGACCCACCCGACAAGGAGCTTCCCCAGGATCTCCTCCCCGTATCTCGTTAAGACGCCCTTATCAGTGACGGAATCTCCAGATGAGTCTCCCCCGGCCCCCTGTCTGGGCGAGGATCGTCGTAGATATTTTTCTCAGTCCAGAAGATCCCGATGTGGGCGAAGCCGGGTGGACACGCGCCTCCCCACTGTCTCTCAGTTGACCCGATTCCACGTACAAGGAGAGATCCCCCTCGGTTCCTAGAGCTCGATGGGCCATGAGCAGTCTCGAGTCATTGGGGAAGAGAGAGAGAGAGAGAGAGAGTAGAAAACTTGAAAGGAAGCGGTGGAGACGGGCACTGTGGAAGGACCACCATTTTTCAACAAAAAATAACTCGAGGACCCCACGCCCGCTGTCTACTCCAGGATAAAGAGAAGCGGCGACTCTCCCCGCTGCCTCCTTCGATCTCCCCTCGGCTCCTCGTCCAGCTCAAGAGCCTCCAAGATCCTCCACCTCCGCAGCATATTCCTCCACACAACACATTCCCGTAGACACCGAAGGAGAAAAAAAACGAGAACTTTTTTGTTAACCTCTCTCTCTCTCTCTCCCTCCTCTCGATACATTTGTCTATTTATCTGTCGTTCACTATCCGTCTCCCTCCTTTTTCGTCCGTTTTGGTTTGCTATTAGTAGTAAGAACACGGGTACTACTACTGCCTCCGGCGGGAGCGATGGACTGCGGGTCTCAGATGGCGGACGTGGACGAGTACGAGAAGCTGGTGATTCGAATGAACCCACCGAGGTGCTACGAAACCCTGTCCTTCTCTCACTTCACAAGACGAAGACTTTCTTTATTTGGGGGAATTGGAATGGTTTTGTGGGTAATCTCGGCAGAAACTTCATCTTCTCTGAGAAGATGGAGAGCTAGGCTCCTCCATTTCCCGTCTTTCTCACTCTAAAGCAAATCTTTCTGGGTGTTTTCTGCGATTTTCTAGGGTCACAGTGGATAACACCACCAGCAGAACGTCCACCCTCATTAAGGTACTCCTCCCTCTCCAGCCGGGCTCCTTGCCCATCCGAGGTCGCCAGTGGTGTCTAGATCCCTCGAATGTCCTTAAGCCTGGTTCCTCGATTATCCAGGTAGACAGCGCAAACAAGCACGGGAGCTTGCTGGAGGTCGTTCAAGTCTTGACAGATTTGAACCTCACCATCACCAGGGCGTACATCTCCTCCGATGGGGAGTGGTTCATGGACGGTGGGCATTGTTTAATTTCCTACAAATTACGGTTGAATTTAAGAAGGAATCGAAAGATCCTGCCTCCTCCATCTTCTCAAATCTCTGATCTTCTTCTTCCTCTTCGTCGTCCTCGTTGTTCCAGTTTTCCACGTCGTTGACCAGGACGGGAACAAGCTCTCCGACGGCGGGGTCACCGAACGTATCAAACAGGTATCACCCCCCCTTCTTCTCCCGCCCATCTCATCTCAGGGATTTAATGGTGAACATCCCGATCGGTGTTCTAATGGCTGCGCCATCTGAACCAGTCGCTGGGACCGAGAGCTTGCACTGCCCGGCCTCCGAGGGGGTCCGTCGGTGTCCAGACGGCCGCCGAGCACACCTCCATCGAGCTCACCGGCACGGACCGGCCGGGCCTTCTGTCAGAGATCTTCGCCGTCCTCGCCGACCTTAAGTGCAACGTGGTGGCCGCCGAAGTTTGGACTCACAACTCCCGCATGGCCTCCGTCATCTACATCACCGATCATTCGACGGCGGCGCCGATCAACGACCCCGCCCACCTGGCAGGTATAAAGCAGCTGCTCCGCCACGTCCTGCGCGGGGACAGGGACCGGAGGGGGGCCAAGACGGCGGTGGCAGCGGGGTCGACCCACCCTGAGAGGCGGCTGCACCAGATGATGTACGCCGATCGCGACTTCATCAGGGACGACGGCGAGGAGCAGAGGGACGAGCCCTTGGTGACGGTGGGGAGCTGCCCCGACAAGGGCTATACGGTGGTCAACGTGAGGTGCAAGGACCGGACGAAGCTGCTCTTCGACACTGTCTGCACGTTGACAGACATGCAGTACGTCGTCTTCCACGCCACCGTCTTCGCGGAGGGGGCGGAGGCCCACCAGGTCTGTGCCCACAACCGTTGCCTCGTTGCTCTTCCCCCCTCCATTCCCTGCGTCTTCGTCTTCTCCAACATGAAGATATCTGGTTTGCAGGAGTATTACATCCGGCACGTCGACGGATGCCCCGTGAGCTCTGAAGGGGAGAGGCAGAGACTCGTCCATTGCCTCGAGGCTGCAATCAGAAGGCGCAACTCAGATGTGCAAACTCGAACCATCCATCAACCGCCCCCCGCCCCCCGCCCCCCGCCCCCCGCCCCCCCCGGTTCTTCTGTATTGCGGGCGTCCTCACTGGCCTCTCTCTCTCTCTATGTCAGCAGGGTATACGGCTGGAGCTGTGCTGCGAGGATCGAGTGGGGCTGCTCTCGGATGTGACCCGCATATTCAGAGAGAACGGGCTGGCGGTGGCGAGAGCGGAGGTCACAACGAGGGGATCGCAGGCGGTGAACGTGTTCTACGTCACCGACGCATCGGGGAACCGGGTGCAGAGCCAGACGATTGAAGCCGTGAGGGTGGCGATAGGGCAGACCGTGCTCCGCGTGAAGGAGGAAGCCTACTCCAAGTCCCCGCCGTCGGAGAGCGGCCGGCTCTCCTCCTTCGGCAGCCTCTTCCGGTCCCGGTCGGAGAAGTTCCTCTTCAACCTGGGTCTCATTAAGTCGTGTTCTTGAGTTGACCCCCCACCCCTCAGCGAATCTAACCCAATTCTCCCAACCCATTGGTACTCCGGGCTTCTCGACGGGGCTGCGGATCATCGCCGCCATCAATTGTCAATACAAACAGGTTGACTGGCACCCTCCGATGTTCTTCCCTCTCTCTCTCTCTCTCTCTCTCTCCCCCTCTCTAACCCAACCTCCTCAGGGTTGCCCATCATTCACCGTTCGCAGAAGTTCAGGTGAATCTTTCGAACAAGCCTCGATGCTATGGAGATTATAGTATCCAGGGGGCTCGCTCACTCTTGTGAACTCTGTTGTTTACGTTGACCTTTCTCCTCCCGCTGAAGATACACTTGGGTTCACACACCTCTCTCTCTCTCTCTTATCGTCATAGGAATCGTCCGAACGGTCGAGGATTCACTGCAAGCTCCACTGTGGATCTCCGACAAGTGAATCTATGACAAGTCAGTGAACTCCGTATTCTAGATCTATGGGCGCCCGCCTCGGCCCTTTGGGGCACGCGAAGCGGCGAGGGGAGCAAGCGATAGAGAGAGAGATAGAGAATCCGGGGAAGAGGACACTGGGGGCGGTACGCTGATAACAACGTCTTGTGTGCTCTAGATCCGAAGCGATATATTCGCATGCACGCAGTATTAATTACCACGTGCCGTAGCTGGCTCTGCCGTGAGGCGTCCCCTCGCGACGACGAGGGCTCATCTTGGGTGCATGTGGGGGCTCCTCCCCCGACACGTATCTTCCCCTGGATCCGCCTCTTCACTGGCCCGAGGGCTCATCTCGGGACCATGATGTACTAAGTACGTCCTCCCCCCCCTCTTTCTCTCTCTCTCTCTCTCTCTCTCTACGCCTCCTTGTGGCTGGGGTTAAAAACCTCACGTCCTTGAACAGGGGAGGGGGAGGGACTTGCCAGGCTTATCAGGACGCGTATCTTATCGGATCAGTTCACGTGCCGCTCTCTCTCTCTACTGTGGGGGTATCGGCGGGTTGGCCGAAGATGATCGAGGAGGAGACTAGGGGCGCTCTCCGCCCACGCGGCTGGGCAGAGCCGTGCTGTCGGTGACGTGGTCGCTGCCGCCGGAAGGCCCACTTGGCCAGGCTGGCAGCCTGCCAGCCGAGCAAGCCGGCGGAGAGCGGCGGCGCCTCCCTGTTGGGTACTGCCCCGTGGGTCCCCCCTTCTGCCGCCGCCGCGGCCGCCCACTGGCGCTCCCCATTTCCGTCCGCCGCCCCCCGGCGAGATTGAGGCGACTTAAGATGTTCCGCCAGATGTCCCTTGATTGATCTTGTCGGAAGAACCAGAGAGAGAGAGATAGTGAGGAGAGGCATGTGAAGCATCTACGGACGAGCTCAATGATAGACAGGCGGAGAGCCGTTGGGGAGTCCCCTCGTCGGCGCCTGGAATGAGGGAGGGAAGCGCGCCGCAGTCCCGCTTATAACGACCTTCCTTTTTAAGGGGCTGGCAAAGATCTGGTCAACGAGACGACACGCGGCAGAGCCTGAAGACATGGCCTGCCACCTGTCGGTTAAGAAATCCGCCTCTCTAGTTAGGGTTGGGAGGTGCTGGTGGGCCCCGCAATTGCTTAATATTCTAATTAATAACAGCAGCATAAATCGTCCACCAGAAAGTAGGAGGCAGTGGTGGGAAGGAAATGGGCCGTATGAGCCCCACGAGTTAGTCCAATCCAAACGGGCCTACGCCCATGTACACTGGCCCATTCTATTTGGGATCCGAAATGCAAGCTCTGGGATTCGGATTCTGAGTTTAGTAGGCATCCCATCCCGAAATACCAGGTTAGGATTTTAAACTCCGAAATTGGTTTTTAAAATTACATAAATATTATTAACATTATTTATTTTGCTTTAACGAAATGATATTTGGTCCGTAGTCGAAGGGGCGATTATTTCAGCTAGAAAGTATGTATAGATACCATCTCATCCCCTCGCTCCTCCCCTTCGTGGTCGCTTGAACCGACCACCGCCGGAGGCGACGAAGGTTCTGCCTACCATTGCAGCTGGACCACGATCACCTCGACGAGCAGTCCGACGCCGCCCTCTGAGACATCCTTTCCCTCAAGTATCCACTCTCTCTCTCTCTCTCTCTTTCTGTTTTTGCCAGTCCACTGCGCGGGTTTCCCCACCCTAAATAGTCACCTTTGAGAACTTGAACGAGAGACCCTGCGTTTGGGCTTCTTGCTTGTAGAGCCTACAACGAGCACCCTACCCGTGTTCTTGCTGTGGTCTCTGTTTTCTGCTTTCGTTCTGGGCAGTTCATTGCCGTGGCTCATCAGATGAAACGCTGCATTGGCGCATCCACTCCTACTGTCGTCGGAGCTAAAGGAACGAGAACGAACAATACTTCTTTGTTGCCACGTGCTCTCGGTGAATAAACGGAGCAAAAAAGAGCCGAAGTGTGTTTGTTTTGCTCTGCAAACTCGATGTCGAGTTTCCATTGCTGAGAGCATTTTAAGTTAACAATACACCATATATATCAGGCTTAATGGCGATTTTCTTATCATACTTTTGGAATCTTTCTCGTTGAATCAATTCGATGTGCCAATATATGGAACGATAGATACTCTTAGGATTGTCTTGAATCAAGGCATCATCTCTCCTGATACATGTATCATCTCTGGACACGCGTCCCAGGTTTCCGTACGAGTGGATTACTGAGTCCAATCGTATGTTGTAGGTTCCTACTCTTCTTTGTCATATATCAGCAATTTAGCCGGGTTTGTCTATAAGTCAACTGCCTCCGAATGATGGTTGCTTTCTGTTGATACCTTGCTAGAATGTTTGTGTCAAAACATTCGGCCTGAATCAACTGAAACTGTATCCATGATGTGATTTGGACTGAGTTGGCCTAGGGACATTCAATATAATGATATGAGAATTCAATTGCACGCCACAGCCAGTCGAAGATTTTGGATGATGTAGACGTCTTCTTGCCGTATTCTCCCTCTCTTTCTTTGTGTTAAACGCTTTGACTCGTTCCATGTATTCCTCTCACTCACCTGCTTTATGTTTACACTGGCTGAGAACCTCCAGATAAAAAATGGGGTTTCAGCTTTTTGCTATGAACAGATTCTCGTATCACCAGCTCTGCATCAACCCACAAGTTTCTGGTTTGGAAGTGGCCCGTTCTTCTCCCCATCTCTCTCTCCGGGTATGTATCAAAAGCCATATCGCGTAATTGTGAATATTTTATTTTTTTTCCCTTTTGGTGCTTGGTTGCTATTGCTTCATAGGAGTAGTTTATACCTGTTAGGCAGCATTGGAGAACATGCGGCTGGGTAAAATGTGTCAGAGGAAGTCTTAGGAAGGAAAATCGAAGTACTTCTCCTCTATGCTAGACGATGCCATCTGAAGCAGGTTTCCTCACAAGATACAATCCAAGCACGTGCCAGTTTATGGTCCATGCAGTCCTTTGTTTTCATTACAGCTTTCAGAACCTTAAAGTATGCTTGTGAGATTTCATTCAGAGACCTTTTCTGGCGGTGAGGCGGCAGTGTTCTCATTCAGAAGGATTATGGAGAAATACTTGGTACGGATACTCTGTTCACCGTGTGCCAATTTTTTGAGTTGTCGCCAATAATGGTGTTGCATCACCTGGACTTCTACTTCCATATGGTGAGATTGCATAGCTAAGATCATGATAGGCGATACACATGCTGGTAGATTTTTTTGATCTAGCACCTTTTCTTTTGCTGCGTCCTGGATATCTGCATACCTCAAGCATCATCTTTCTTCATTGAAGTCCTTAAGAAAGATATGAAGAGAGTCTTGAATCTTCAACGGCGCACAATCCCTATGTGAATGCTTCTTGCAGAAAATTATTCAAGAAAAAGATTTATCAAGGTTTCTCAGCTTTTTAGCCTATTGGGCGACCAAAATCTCAGGCTAAAACTTCGAATTGTCGACCATTCTGCAGACCAGCTAGGACTATGTCATTTCCTTGCGAGCTACTTAACAACTTTATGGGCCTCCTAAGTGCCTCTTGTCAGCAAGTTATTTTAGTCCAAAAGAACTTGTTTAAGGATGATTTCATCTGGTTCCTCAAGGAACTTTTGTCAATCCCTATTCATTCTCTTCCTTATCTCTACTTGATCCAGTTCCCATGCAATTTTTTTTCTTCATTGCTCCTATGCTACATTTATTTATTGTAACTTTATTGTACTTTTTCGGATATCAGAAGCAAAAGGATCAGTTACGTGGGTCTCGCAGGACTTCCAGGATTGTGGCATTCTACGGCCTGACAGCTCCTCCTTACGAACTAGTGAGAAACGTTGCCATGGATTGCCCGAATCCTGATTATTCTTTAGTTGGTTGATTACTGTAAATTGTGAAGCTTATCTTATTTAAGTCGTTTTATAGGATGCTCTAGAACCATATATGAGCCAGAAGACGTTGGAAATCCACTGGGGAAAGCACCATCGTGCTTATGTCGATAACTTGAACAAGCAGCTCGCCAACAGCCCGTTGTATGGCCTCACTCTGGATGAACTGGTGAAAGTAGCCTACAACAATGGAAACCCGTTGCCAGAATTCAATAATGCTGCCCAGGTGACTGCCTCCCATTTGTATTCAATCTTCTGATTCCACCCGGAGCTTCACGGTTCATTCTAATAGCAGGACTCCAACTGTCTGACGACTTTTCTTATTTATTTTACATCTGCATTCCTCATCCTATATGGAAGATGTTTATGCTTCCTGGAAATGATAATCTTGATATTCCTGCAGAAGAAACTTTCGAATCCTCCTAGTTTCTATTTATCTGTTATATTGAACTCATAAAATCGTATTATTCGTACCATACATAAAATGATATTTTGCATTGAATCATCAGATAGAAATCATCGTACGAAGTTTGTCTTTTTCTCCTGCACCGTGGGCTCTTTGATTCACAATGCTTTTCGCTGTTTCTCCTGCATTGTGGCTTGACCCAGCAGCGCGCTAAAAGAATCATTTATATATTGGTCAAAATATACCTTGGATATATTTAGAAGAACATATGAAATTATGCCTCGCAGGTCTGGAACCACAATTTCTTCTGGGAGTCAATGCAACCCGACGGTGGTTACATGCCCGCAGCTGGACTCCTCCAGCAGATAGAAAAGGATTTCGGCTCCTTCCCAAATTTCAGGGAGAAGTTCATCACCACAGCCATGTCACTCTTCGGGTCTGGCTGGGTCTGGCTCGTCTGTAAGTGCCCTCTGTTCCACATCAGAGATGTAAATACATTGATTCATCCCGAATGATTGATTCCATAATATCCCATTTCGTTTTCCAAATCAAATCCGTTGCCACCATCATCTTACAGTGAAAAAGGAGGAGAAAAAGCTCGCGGTTGTTGGAGCATCAAATGCTGTAAACCCATTAGTTTGGGGTGACATCGTAAGCTGATATTGTTTCTTGGACTAATGCTTCATCTCGTGGAAAAGGATTTGATTTAATCCAGTCTCTTCCCCTCCCTTTCTTGCAGCCCATCATCACCTTGGATATGTGGGAGGTAAGGCACACGGATGCGAACTAATTATCCTCATATCATCGATTATAATAAATAAAATTCTGACATTTATCTGTTCTACTTCCTTGTCGTTGACCAAACACAGCATTCGTACTACCTGGATTACAGGGTATGGCTAGCTCTGTCGATCTCCCGGGTTTCTGATTTTTCCTTATTTAGAAACTTATTTCTCAGTGATTTTCGGACAGAATGACCGGGGGAAGTACGTGAATGCCTTCATGGACTCCCTTGTCTCGTGGCAATCTGCAACCGCTCGGATGGCCCGTGCAGAGGCTTTTGTGAACCTGGGGGAGCCGAAGATCCCCGTGGCCTGAGGATCTCCATCGTCCTCGCGAGCTCAGCATCCGTTGTTTGACCGGAGCGCCAAGTTGTAGATACTCTTGCGGTGCATACCCAGTGTAGTTTTTGCCTAGTTTTAGAAGTCAACGATGTTTAAATCGACACCACTGCCTTAGGACACTGCCTTAGGCCAATGAAGCGGTGGCTTCCATTCATCCTGACCACATCATCTGTGGAAGCAGCTCAGCTCCGGTCATGGTAAAGTAGTCAACCACGTCTTATGCAGCAGCTTCTCCAGTGATGCCGTTGGGAATCGTAACAGTTATATATTTGTTTACTAGTTGCAGAAGTCAACCGTGTCTATATCAGTTTTCCTAAGAAATGGCTGCCAAGACTGACCTTTTTTTTACTGCCCAGGAAGGTCATTTCTGGTCTCAGCTCACGGTTCCGCGGCAACAGGCATTACAAGCTCGTCGAGATGCCCAAGAAGGTCAAACCAATTGAATACTTTTTTTCTAACGGTTGAAGTCAACGATAACGTTACGTCCCGTGTTACTTATTTTCCGGGCGAAGAAACGGCCGCCATTCATCCTCCTCCCCAGGCCTAAACGCCCCCCCCCGGTAGGCCGATCGGCTTGCGGAAACCGCCTCTAATCGCGGTTTTCAGCTGCTGCCGTCAGCAGCGGACTCGAACAGTTCTTACAACAGTCGTGTGATCTTCCGGTCCGAAACCCGACGGCTCACGTTTCTGAGGTGGAGGTGGTGATGACGACCGCCCCGCCGCTTACTGCGCGCCGATCTCACTAAAGGCGAGAGAGAGAGAGATGAGCAGGCTAGCCGGCCGACGGGGGGAGCTCCTCATTTCCTTTTCTATATTTCCGGTGACCGACCCCGGCACATGGGTGGCTCCCCGGATTTGGAAATCGAAGGTCGTCGTCTCCCTTTAAGCACTATATAAACCCTCCCATCCTTCCCCTCTCCGACATCCTCGAATCCAAGGTGAGCACACGACGCCAAGCAGATATGGTGGCCTTCCCCCGGCTCACCTCAGCCCTCCTCCTCCTCCTCTGCGTCCTTCTCCACGGTACTCTCTCTCTCTCTCTCTCTCTCTCTCTCTCTTTCTCTATCTATCCCTTGAATGGTGTCTGAGTGTTGATCTGGTGGGGCGGTTGGTTGTGTTGCAGGGGGTGCGGCGGCCGGGAAATGCAGGCTGGAGAGCATAGGGGTGAAGCAGGAGAAGACGGGGGCGGTGGTGGAGGGGAAGCCAGAGTACGAGGTGACGGTGAGGAACGGGTGTCTGTGCCCGCAGTCCAGAGTGGTGGTACGGTGCTACGGGCTGAGCAGCTTGAGGGCGGTGGACCCGCGGGCCATCAGGCCGGTCGGAGAGACGGACTGCCTTGTGAACGGAGGGCGGCCTATCGTTGGCGGCGCCGCCGTCAAGTTCAGATACGCGTGGACGACTCCCCAGGACTTTCCCCTCGTCAGTTCCAAGATCAGCTGCTAGGGAGAGAGGGAGGGGAGGACCAGCGCCGGCGCCAGCTCCTCGCCAGTTATCTCTTTGTTTCTTTTGCGAGTTGTTTATACGGTTCTCTCTCCCCCTCCATAGCTGATTCCCCGAACTCCATGTTTAAGTCTGTACTCTGAAACATGAGTGATTCTGCGGGTAACGAGTCTGTTGTGATCTCCTAAACCATGCAGGTTTATTCGCAGAGAGAGCGAGAGAGAGAGAGAGAGAGATCCATCAGAACCCACGCAGCAGCAGACCGATAAACCCATGGGAGGTTTTCTGAAAGAGAGAATTAACAAAGAGGAAATCGATCAGAACGAGCTCACGCAGTAGCAGATAGAGGGGAGTTAACAAAGAGAAATCCATCAGAACCCACACAGTGGCAAATGGATCACGCGAGAGCGCACATGGGATATATTTCCTGCCATTTATTCTTCCTCCCTTCGCCTTCCTCTGTCCTTCCCCCTCACCCACCATGTGCTTTGCCGCCGCCGCCGCCGCCTCGTTTCTTCTTCTAGGATTGCAACCTTGACCGGGTGCTCCCCGCTGATGGTGGCTCCAGACTGATACTTTATTCATTTGATTATTCGCGACGAGGTTCACTGTCTTCCCGTTCGGGCTCGTCATCCGCCGAGTCCGGCCCGGTGAAAGCCCCAAGAAGACGTACTGCACCCTGAACCCTAATGACGGACAATCAGGGATCAGATAGGCCTCACCTGAGCTTTCATACATGTCCGTGAGAGGGAGAGAATGATAGATATGTGCTTGTGTGTGTGTCCAGAGAGAGAGAGAGAAGAGCTTCGATTTGGGTTGGATTGAGCGTACTTTTAATCATAAGCCCAGAAGATATAACTTTTTTGGTGGACTCTCGATAGATTTTCTGGTACGAATTCCCCATAAAGGCGGCGTTTTTTTCCCAAAAAAATGGATTTGCTTTGACTTTTGTCCGGCCCTTGCCGAGGCCCCAAGCTCATTCCGCTGTTTTTCTGGATGAGTAGATTAATATTATTAATTATCGAATTCCTCAAGCAATCCCTTTCTCACTCCACATGGGGGGAACATGGGCACCTACATGCGATGCTCTTAGGAGGGAGCATCCGAACATGCGCACGTCTCTCTTCTTCTCTCTCTCTCTCTCTCTCTCTCTCTCTAGGGGGTGTGGCTTAAGGCGTCCCTTACAGTGTCATCGACTTCCTGGCTATGCTCAAACGGATGAGACTAGATTTGTCGTCTCGATGCCCGGTGCGTTGGGGTATTTCTCTCTCGTCCGAAGAAGATTTGTTTACGAACGACGAACTGGAATAGACTTCAACGCGACCCGATAAATAATTCATCGGCTGCACCAACTAAATGCTCGACATCCTGCTGCAAAAGTTGATCAACTCCCGAGACTTCTCCCTCTTTATCTCCATCTTATGCTCGGATAATTGCGTTGACAAATTCGGACGACATCTCTATGGCTTCCATTCGTGAGGAGGGGGGATCTGGAAGAAGCATCAAAAACCCTCGATCTGACTCCTCAGATGCAGGTCAACAAAAAACTTTTCCTTCGCATATGACGAACGGAGAGGGAGAGAGAGAGAGAGAGAGAGGGTGACCCATCCTCTGTTCAAGAATAAAGCAGATTTCTTTGCTAATTCGGACCATCGACAGCTCTATAATTTCCAGATTATGGGAAAGAAAACCTGGCAACTACTGAGAAGGAAGAGAGAGAGAGAGAGAGAGAGAGAGAGAGAGAGAGAGAGAGAGAGAGAGAGAGAGAGAGAGAGAGAGAGAGAAGTACGAGGAGCAATCATCGGGTATTCAGATCAAGACCTCCAACCTCCCGCCACTCGTCATGCAAGCCGGCCTCCCCATTCTCAGGTTCGTTCTCATCATTCAGATAGTCCTCCGAGTGCTCCTCCTCCTCCCTCTGGGCGGCACCGCCACTGCCTCCCCATACCTGGTGGACACCTTCGTCGGCATTCCCTCCGTGATCCTGCCCCATGCCAAAAACAGAGCTCTCCCCCCCGTGGTGCCCCAGTGCCGCCGCCGCCCTCAACGGCGCCCTGGCGATCATCTCTGCATGGGAGGCCTGCGCCTGCTTGGCCTGTGCAGCCATCGCCATCTGCATCTTCGCCACCTCCGCCGCTTCCCTGTGGGCCTTCTCCCTCGACTCCATCTCCGCCCTCAGCCTCAGTATGGCCTGCTTCTCCTCCTGCAGCAGGGCCTGCTCCAGCATCAGCCGCTCCTCCGACCTGAACTCCCCCTGGGCCCTCTTCCGGGACATTATGTTGAAGGCCAGGACCTGCTTCTCAAAGGTGTTGGTGAAGTCGTGGATCCTGCTGAGGATGTTGTGGTCCCACTGCATGAGCCGCGACGGGACCTGCCCGGTGGCATCGCTGTCGAGGATCCTGTCGTCCTCTTCGGCCTCATAGTCGGCCACCACATGGTACGGCAGCAACCTGCATCCGCCATAAGTTCTTCAAAGATGCAGCAGGAGAAATCATATGTGCTCTGATCAATCTAGAGATTATTATTATTGGGGGAACCATCAAAGTTACCACCCAAAATTCGGGAACCAAAACGATGGCGCAGCTGTAACCACGTGGTTGACTAATTGCAGCGGACTCGGTGAAAAAAATCATGGACACGAAGGAAGAACTCGACTGACATTGGAAGAGGAGCTTCACTGCAGATTCTGCAAATCCGTCTGCCCCTCTGGTAGAAGACTTGCTTGAGGAAGAACCCATGACACAGAAGAAGATGGGAGGGATGATTGAGGAAACCCACAAGAACGGCTTACAGGGAATACATTGGGCCGATGCTTTGACAGACGATGATTCTGAGAATCTGAATGCTGAGCCACAGAGACAGATATATCTCAAGCCAAAACATAACCTCTGGCTTAATATGCTCTTGATATCATCGATGAGAACCCAAATTCCCTCTCTTATTGCATAGTGTTAAGAGATGTGCACTAAAAAAGCTTTCTTAGGTGATCAGATCACAGCAGCTGTCCGATGTTAAGGAGAGAAGCAATGCCCTACTTATCCTCAATCACTTGCTGGCAAGGAAATCTACCCTCGTCCATAACAACCACATGATGATGCCATCTAAAGGGTTTAAACTGATCATGCTTCCGTTGAGACACCGTACCACTAAAGAAGGGCAAGAATAATATGGGAGATCGTGAAGCATCAAGGTGGCCTACGTGAGGTATTATACCAAGCTATATTTAAAGAGGAAATATGGAGACCAGAGATGTCATAAGAAACCAAGCCTATCCTATAATTAATGCAAAAGGGGGAGTAATTTCTTCTTCCATTGAACAGGCGAAGAACGTAAGGAAATTTAGTTCCCTTATTCATTGAACAAGCGATTGCAACAAAACTCAGAAAAAAATAGTACACTGAACAGCTACTGTAAAATTACAGTCCCAAGGGACAAAACACAATTACTAATATGATTTACCAGGCTGTTGACAAAATATCAGAGAACTTTGCAAAAAAGAGACTTACTTCAGGTAGTTTCAAAGCTACTTATTGACGATTCCCCACCAAAATTATACAAGAAATAATCATGTAATCCCAAAGCTTGATTTCGAAAAGACGATTTCCAGAATCAGTTAAGGTCAGTTTATATCAGAAGAATAAGGCGCACTATAGGTTTCGGAAAAAAATAAAATCTTACTCACTTGCATCTCCATCACCAGGTTTTCCATTCTTATTAAATGGCGAGTCTTGTGGGTGTTTCAAGGGTATTAGGGGGTTTGAACCAGGATGATCATATACCACCGTTGTTGTTCAAATCAGTCCTTGTTTTCCATAGGGAATGGAGGAGGTTTCGCGAAGTAGCTACAATTTTAGGGCGTGATTGCAGCCTATCCAGCGATATCTCACACTCTGGGAATATCCATTACACAGGTTTGAAAGGAGGGTAACCGGATGAAAGTGTACGGTGGAGCTTGGCTCTTGCACAGTGCGGTCGTCTAGTCCTCTATAAGCAATTCCTACATAACCATTTTCTTTCTCGTTCTGTACATTGAAGATTGTAACAAGATGTTGATTCTTTTTTTTTTTTTTTTTAATGCGGGTTTCTTGACATGGAAGCGAAAAAAGGTCGGGTGTAACCTGGCATACGATGGGTTTCAGCATGCAAGATATTGCCTCTGTTGCCTGGGATTTTAGACTATAAAGGTCATCACTTTGGCTCTTCTCTGGGGAAAGGTGCAAATGGTTCTAGATGATCACTGGTTTGGCGTGATTAGGCAAAAAAATCATAAGAAAGGTAGCCTATAGGACGTTTAACCAGATATAGCCAGTAACATGTCACATTTTCAGTCAGGTGCTACAAGCTGCATTATTTCTTTCAACATACATCAACGGAAGGTGGGTGATGAGAAAATAATCAGGTTTCTTGACTGATAGACGTCATCAGGAAATGCCCTGGCAGATGCTAGAGAGAAGTTTCTGTGGAAATAACCCATGCGAGGTCCCAAGAGGGAGAATTTGCACCACCATATGATAAACTTGGCGACCATGCATTACTTACGTTATAAGGGGAAAACGTGACAGTACCACATCTATAGATCAAGCATGAGATGACACTTCACGTGATCTGTCACAATAAACTAGCTGGGTATATCTGAACAAACTTGATAATTCATCTGACAAGTGGAAATATAGGTTGAATAGTGAAAGAAACTCAAAAAGTTTAATGCATATCATTTACGCAGAATTAAGAGAAAGATGATAGGATCCACAACATTGGGAATGGGAAACCTACATATAAACCGTTTGCGCTTTATCAGGGTGTTTTTTTGTGAAATTGGACCAATATCTAACGGAAAAACAATGCTAAAACATCCGTTCTTCCATGCAACATGGCCAAAGAGAGATTCTCCACTCAACTTAGCGCAGGATTGTTGTGTTGCAGGGCTTTTGCGAAGAGGGTGATGCAGGGCACTTTATTCCATTTCGCTAATGAATTAGAGGCCTGATCTACCTTGAAAAACACTGACAGAGCACATCATCCAGGAAAAAAAAAAGTTTACCTGCAGTCTAACTCGGTGGTTCTTGTTCCTGAAATAGTGAACTGAAATGGGAAAGGTCCAAAAAAGACACTTTTCGTTGTTATTTCCACATAGAGTAGTATGGAAGTGCTCCAATACCATCTTTGTTGGAAAATGGCGGGGCTCTCTTCGAGAAACAAAAGCCAGTAAGATACTGCAGGAGGACATCTCATTTTGGAATCTCCTTCCTTAACAAAGCAGGATAACTTATGTCTAATCAAGATGGAGGGTTAAACCACCAAAACTCCTTTACCAGAAAAATCCCTGGGAAAATATTAATCTCTATCAGAAAATGAATGGGAAATATTTTTCATCATACTATGCAAGGCACAGCATAAAGGATGCCCGTCTCCTCTGTGCAGTTGTGTAAATCAGAACCATTATCCACCTTGTTTGTTCCTACAGTTTAATCCACCTCGGTAGTTATTTGAGCAGGTTTTGCCGGTCCAAAAAAATTCTCGAACTAATGAACCACACAAAGCTCTCCACTAACTGCGATTTATTTATTTTAATGTAGAAAACAGCTACAGCATATGTGCCCTTTTCTTTATTCACTTATCCCTAGAATATTAGATACTAATCTTTATTGGCTCTCCTAAGTTACAAGACAAATAGACAGTGCGGGCAAATATATCCCATTGATGCCAATTCACCAAAATCCACAATCATTCATTGACCACAAACACATTTCACGAAACATTGGTACCACATATTCTCAAGAAACGAATATCGGGTTCAGTATTTCCCTACAAATTTCCATAATCAGAAGTTTGCAAACTACCTATGGAGACCAATTCCCGTAAGAGCAACAATAAGATACCCTAAATTTAAACAGGATAAGGGAAAAGAATGATATCATCATCACCTTCTCAGACAACGCTCTAGGTCAACAGGATGCCACGGAATCCTCCATGTGTGAAGAAAAGTAAAATATAGAGAAATGCAGTACCAGCCGTGACATCCTTTAGAAACATCTAGTCTGACCAAGTAAAATGGTTTCTCGAGTGGTTTCCCAAAGGTATCACAACGCAAGGATGGCAACGAACTAAGTTTTCAGTTGGATTTCATAGAGATCACCAAAGCCAAACAAAGGAAGAAGAAAGAACAGGAAACCGTAACGGAAAGAAACCCTAGATCACCTGGAAACAGCATCCTCCAAGCTGGAAAAGGGACGCTTAACATCAGGGTTGCAGACCTTCCAGGCATCCTGTTGCGCCATCTCCACTTCCACCCGGTTCCCTTGCCTCAATAAAGCGGGGGTGCCCATTTTTTGCTGATGTTGTTGGTGCAATTGATGCACCGCACGTTGTTGCGCAGTTGCGCTATCATGCTGTGAGTGCTGCTGCACCGAGGACTGCAGATGTATACTTTGCGGCTGAGGTTGCTGCTGCGATTGATGGAGGTGGAGGGAGCGAAGCGCCGGAGGGCGGAGATGGGCGTCGATATTGGATGGGAAGCGAGAGATGGCTTGCTGCTGCTGCTGCTGTTGTAAATGTTGGAGATGTTGTTGTTGTTGTTGTTGTTGCTGCTGCTGCTGTTGTTGTTGTTGTTGTTGTTGCTGCTGCTGCTGCTGCTGCTGCTGTAAGAGATGCTTTTGTTGCTGCTGTTGCATTAGATGTTGCCGTTGTTGTTGTTGTTGTTGTTGTTGTTGTTGTTGTTGCTGCTGCTGCTGCTGCTGCTGCTGCTGCTGATGCTGCTGCTGTTGTTGTTGTTGGTACTGCTGCAGAAGGAGGAATTGCTGCTGTTGCTGCTGTAGCAGCAGCTGCTGGTGTTGAGCCATTGCGTTATTGGCATCGTCCATCCTCCTCCCTCCGCGTTGCGATGGAGAAGGTGCAGGCGTATATCGGAACCCTTGCGATCAGGAAAGGGCAAATTCAGAAGCACATGGAAGGTAAGTCCACCTTTTGGTGTCGTGATCCACCCCCGTGATGCCATCTGACCACCAAAACGTGATCACAGCCGTCAATTTCGTGAAACCTGATAGTACTTCCGATCCGGTAGTCCTAGTGATGGATAGACACTGAAGAGAAGAGGGCATCGAGTCGAGTAGTTCCGATGGCCGTTACCCTCTCCGCTTTACGTTTATGTTCTTTCCTCTCCTACGGGGCATCCTCGAGAAAACCTCCATCGTTGATCAGGAGAATGGCTTCCGAGAAGGCGATTGGGGCTTCTATCTCTGCATCATCCCCCTCACCTCCGCCCTCGTTCGGGACGTTCGACTCTCATCTTCATGTGTGGGCCTCTCCTGAGGAGGTAAGGCGTAAGTACATGCCCGGTTGTTCGAGCTCGAAGCCCCGTCTATTGCCAGTCTGACTTCCCGAACGATCAGTAGAATAGTACCAATAGGTATCTATGTTGAATTTTATGCAATGTGTTCTGTTGTGACAACTGCAGGCGTCAAGGGAGTTCCCCTACCACCCCGGACAGGAACCAACGTTACCCGGCCATGTTGATTTCCTGCTCGAGGTGACTCTAGGCCACTATGTTTTTGCCTAAATTATTATTATGAAGTCTATTTCAAAATATTTGTCTCTTTTGGTGGACCGTGGAAATATTATTACTTTGGCAATTATATATCACCTCGTGGTCAATACACAAACACGAAATTATGAGTTTCGTGATTACGTGAAATTGGATGATACTAAAGGTAACCATTTATCAAAATGAGTTTTTCTGGAAAGCTGACTATCCTGAAAATTTGCTTTCGTCTAAATAAGTGCGAATCGTGCTTCGATGATGGTGATTCAGAAAGGCATTTTCATGTTTTTTTCTCCTTTTTTCCGAGTGAGTTTTTTCATCTTCCTTGGATATTTATGAGCGGTTAGAGTTCATCTTTCCCATCTTATGAAGTACGTGCTCATGATGAAACAGTTTACTATTTTCAGGAGCACGGTTTTTTTATCCTATTGAATATGTTTCCTTGGTAAATTTCAAGAAGTTTTCAACACCTTTTTTTTATTTTTTTCTGGCACTTGGTGGAAAATGAGTCTATAACATATTTTTCACCAACATATGGAAATTTATTGGCTAGGTCCTTGGAGATCGCAAATAAATCAGCTGATTTAGTTGGTTGACATGAGGGCTTCCTTTAGCAGCCAATTTGGCTGTACATTTCTGTTTTATGGACAATAGCAATAATATCTAAGCACTTCAAAGAAATGTGCATATCCTCTTAACTGGAAAACGATTTGGTGAGGGACGTGTGATACTTCTATACAATGACGAATGTAGCATAGCATTGCCTTTTGCGCTTTTATGAAGATTTAGCGAGTCAGGCAGGGTGACAGTTGCTTATTTTTCGTCCTTCCATCCATAAGTTTACATCTTTATTTTTGTAGTTCTTCCAAATGGTCCTTGGTAACTCTTTTACCTGAATTTTTTTGCTTTTCTTCGTTAACTCATGTACCTTTCTTTTACTATTCGTTGTAGTGTATGGCTGAAGCAGGGGTCGATGGAGCACTTATTGTGCAACCCATTATTCACATGTTTGACCATTCTTATGTGACAAAGTCAGTATCATGGCCACATTTATTGATTTTCCATGCTCATTATTTTGTTCAAGCTTTTCTGATTTCAATTATCTTTGTCTTCTTGGTTTTGAAGGCACTATACAGTGTGATGTCTATGAGTTCCTTTCCGATTTTTTGATCATTTGCTTGTGGATAGTATCATAAACATCAATACATATTTTATTTTACCTCGCTGATACATATGTAGATAAGCTTGCGTGTCACATAGAAGACTGTTTTAACACTCTGATCGAACATTCCTGAATGGCATGTCTCACAAGATGATTAGAGAATGATTTGGCAGTGCCTTGAAGAAGTACCCATCCAAGTTTATTGGGTGTTGTCTTGCGAATCCCGCTGATAACGGACGTGGAATTGCTCATCTTGATTTTCCATGCTCATTATTCACATGTTTGACCATTCTTATGTGACAAAGTCAGTATCATGGCCACATTTATTGATTTTCCATGCTCATTATTTTGTTCAAGCTTTTCTGATTTCAATTATCTTTGTCTTCTTGGTTTTGAAGGCACTATACAGTGTGATGTCTATGAGTTCCTTTCCGATTTTTTGATCATTTGCTTGTGGATAGTATCATAAACATCAATACATATTTTATTTTACCTCGCTGATACATATGTAGATAAGCTTGCGTGTCACATAGAAGACTGTTTTAACACTCTGATCGAACATTCCTGAATGGCATGTCTCACAAGATGATTAGAGAATGATTTGGCAGTGCCTTGAAGAAGTACCCATCCAAGTTTATTGGGTGTTGTCTTGCGAATCCCGCTGATAACGGACGTGGAATTGCTCATCTTGAGCACCTGGTTTTAAAGGTTATTCCGATAATTTGACTGATTAATCAATGTTATTATGTCAGAGGTTTTCATTGGCATGTTTAACTCCCTGTTGATCTATCAGGATGGATATCGTGCTGTTCGTTTTAATCCGTACATATGGCCCTCTGGTCAAAAGGTATCCATATATATGGCTGTAGGTCTTTTATTGGATCTTATTTACAACACTTGGAGGAAATTTCCTCTCCGTCTTCACTATGAAACATTTGTCTCAATTCGACGTTCAATTGCAAATGCAGATGACAAATGAAATTGGCAAAGCACTATTCTCTAAAGCAGGAGAACTTGGTGTACCTGTGGGAATCATGTGTATGAAGGTGCTTAAACTTTCCAGCTTCAAAGCTCTTGTAATCTACCGATTTCGAGGAATTATATTATAAATTGTTGAGGGGTTTTATTGGTGATTATGGTAGGTTAAATGATGTGTTAAAACTTACTCTGCAGTTACTTTTGAAATAGCGTATTTACACTGATAAATCAATGTAATTTCATTTTTAGTTAAAATAAAAAAGAATCTCAAATATACCAGCCCAGAAGTAGCCTCTTGCATTAATTTTAATTTATAAAATTTGAATCGTTTCAACATAATTAACGTAGGTGACTATCGCACAAAAAGGAATGTACAGATTCAGCACAAACTAAAGTACCCATTTTCTTTGTAGGAAGTTTCATACTAGTAGAAAGTTTGTTCGTCAGAATAAACAGCTATCTGATTTGACTTCCATATCTTGTATCATACCAGGAGGACGATTGAATTCCAGTTTTGCAAATTTTAAAATTTATGTCTCGTTTCCATGCTATGCTGCAAAGTCTTCTCCAAGTCTAAACCTCAGAAGTCTGCCCTTCCAATGGGGAGAGACAATTGTTTATTTGCATTTATCCCTGTGGTTTCATGTAGTATGTACTATTAAATAGCTCCTTAACTTTATCAGCCTATAGCATCATCATCAGGGACATAAAACTAAGGATTATGTCTACAGTTATTTTTTTATTAGGAATGTGATTCATTAGAAACTAACAGCGTTCTTTTTGGATGAGAGTGTTGGATCTATGTTAATGAAGCCCTGATTTTCCTTGAATCAAAAGAGCCTTGCTTCTGTCATATTTTTTGATCTCCCATGTTGCTTATTGCACTCCTAAACCTTTTGTTTGCGTGGATTAGCGTAGTCTTCTGTCAGTCTCATTCATCAAGCCATCATATTGTTGTCATGGTATTTGATGTGCCTTTGTAAATCGTTCTATCATCCTTCATAAATGCCTAAATCTTCTCTCTCGGTTATTTAGTTGTGCTTGTGGGGTAGATGTCGCTGGATTATGATGGAATCCTACTCCATGTATTTATAATGTCAGGTTCAATCATGACCATTTTACCTGATCTTTGTCGTCAGTGTTTGCACGAATAAATCAGTTATTACTTCACACATATGCATTCGTAATCCAACTTTTTCTGTTTTTCTTAGCGGAGGTTCTAGTGGTGCCTTCTTTCTGCCTTCTTAAGAAGATTGACCTACATTATGAGATCTTTTTTTCAGGGCCTGGGTTTACATGTCTCAGAAATTGAGGAGCTCTGCACAGCTTTTCCTTCAACTGTTGTGCTGCTTGATCACTTGGGATTCACCAAACCAGACGAGTAAGCCACTCTTCAAAGGGCATTGTTGTTTTCACCACATAATAAATGATGTCCTGATATGAACTAGTTTCATAGGAATGGCAAGGAAAATGTGGGCTTTTCTGAACTTCTTAAGCTCTCCAGGTTCCCCCAGGTACCTGACTTCTCAATGAGCCTTTTCTGACATCCCGTTGCATGTGTACTTTGCATCAAATATGTCGGCAGCTGTTGTCGATGAGCTGCAAAAAGTAATAGAAATGCTCTCACAAGTATCAAGTTTTTAGGTGACAATTTTTTTTAATATGTTCTCAATTTGGTTATACTCAGATATGTACTCCACTTCTGATGTTTTGAACCAGTATAATTGAATTATTTATCTTTACAGCTATCATCATTAGTTTTGTTTTTGTTTTTTCTGAAATGATTTATCATTAGCTCTTCAGATATTATGATCACAAAAGTTCGACATTTGCCTGGGTTTTGGCTACCTGTACTATCATGAGTAGATTGAATTCATTTGAAGTTATTTCTCCTCCATCTTAGACCGCACATAATTTGGCCTGTTTTGTTCAGGGAAGTAGTGGTGATTCTAGAATTTAGATGTATGCTTGTATTCTCCTGATTGTCGATCTTAGATCTTTCACATGTGGTATTTTTTATCTTTTTTCACTAAAGGTCGGACAGAACTTTCTGAATTATTGCCCGGCCAGTACATTTTAGTCACTGATTATAAACAAAAATGTTAACCATGTTGGTAGAGTGTTGAATAAACTCATAGAAGCATAGCTTTATGGCTAAGTTGGGGGCTCATTATGATCAATCAATCATAAGATTTGTGTGTTATTTGAAGCACATCAGATTACCCTTCCGTGCCTGTCCTCTTCACGGTGTAATAAGCACTAGTATGAACTCTATCATCATCACGTGGCATCAGAGCTTGCCTTTTCCCAATGACAAATGTCCTGACCTGATGGCTGATGGCTCTAGACGTTTATCATACATATTCTTCTTGTTGCGACAACCATCTGCCCTGCCAAGCTGTTGCCTTAAGTTTTGCATTTCAGGTTTCGAAAGGCTCTCCTGAATTATTGTCTGCCATTACATTTGAATGGATAGATTACTGCTCTTGGTTCAATCGCATGGTGCCTTTTTACCTAAATGGGAGTCTCTAGTGATAATAGCATCTCTGTGAAAAAAGCAGCTTTCAGACAATTATCTGCACGCTTGTTCATTAAATTTATCGAGAGCAGGTGTATAGAAAATCATAAACACAGCTTTGGGACTAAAAATATGGCCGCGTCAAAGCGCAGTAGCAAGCAGCCTGTCAGATCCCAGTCTCGTAGACAGCTAGTTATGAACAGGAAAATATGAGTTGCGTTCGATGATTCTACCGAATGTGGTCAAAAATCCAGGAAAGACAATGCCTTTTTGGGTCCATGTTCTCCCAAGGTACCGTCGGCTTGAATCCAAGTGAATTAGTCAACGTGACGTTCTTTGGTATCTGCAGATCTACGTGAAATTCAGCGCCTTATTCCGCCTGTCAAGAAGGCTGTTCCCGTACGAGGACATGTCGGCCCTCCTCTCCCGAGCCGTCTCCAGCTTTGGCGCCGACCGGATCATGTGGGGAAGGCAAGTCCCCCCCTGCGCTCTCCCCTGAGTTTAGGTGTTGACCTCCCGTGCTTATCGGACTACTACCTCCGCAGTGATTTCCCGTTCGTTGTTCCTGAATGCGGCTACAAGGGGGCCAAGCAGGCGGTCGCTGCAATTGCAGGTCAGATTCCGTTGCCCTCCTCCGATTTGGAGTGGATCATGGGAAGAACAGCCACCCGGCTATTTCGTGATCTCTCTGCGGCGCCGTAGGAGGTATTTTCCTATGGTTTCTACATGCGTTAAATAAATGGGGAGACTTTGATGTTGTCACTCCCGCAGAGAATGAAGGAAATGCTTATGCCTGCCCCCCCAGGTAGGCCCGACGGGCCAAAGTGGGCCTGAAGGGGTTGCTTGTAACATAAACCATTTGGATAATGAAACCTGAAGAGAGAGGAACACCGAAAGATATATCTTCCCCGTTGGGGAGAACAGAACAGAAAGAAAAACCTAAAACAGCCACTTTTTGCAAGAGGTAGCCAAGTTCGATCGAGCGAGCTCTGCTAACCCATCCTTCAACAGGGCTGCCGGCCTCCTAGAGAAAGGGAGAGAGAGAAGAGGGGTCCGTGACTTTCTCTTGCTCTTTCGGTGCTTACTTCGAGGGATCGCGGTTGCACGAGAAGGCGCCGCCCGTTTCGTCCTCCGCCAGGCTCGGCGGCGTAAGCGCCTCACCGGGCCAGTAGTGCGGCGGCTGCCCCGCCGGGCCGCCCAGCCGGTCGAGCCGCACGAACGGCCGCCTACGTTTGCCTGCGCCCGCCGAGACCTCCATCTCCGTCCTCAGCATCTCCCACATTACCTGCACGTCCTCGTACCCGCAGCTTTGCACGTCGTCGTGGAGCTTCTCCATCCCCGTTCCTGTCCATGGCCCCGACATAAAACTCATCATCCTCCCAAAAAGTAGAAAATCTGCCCGAAGAGTGAGACAGAGAGAGATGCCGGCGCCGACGCCTGCCAATTGCCCAGTTTTCAACGTCTACGCTGACTGAACAGCGCCGACGGAGGGCCCACTTCTTTCTTCTCTCGATGCATGTGCGCACATGGCGAAGACGCGGAGTGGGCGGCGGAGAGAAGTCAGTCTGCCGGCGTCAGAGTCCGATCACGCCAATCACGCGGCGGAATTACGGCCGGAGGCGATGGTCCTCCCTCCTCCGTCAAGAAAGTACTCAGAAATCTCGAATTCCCCATAGCTCGAAGGGAAGGGAAGGAATGCCGAGGAATTTCTACTGAAAAGAAAACGGAAACCGACCGCGCCGGAAGCGAGAAACGGAGGGGGCGGAGCCCGGGAACTGTTCGCGGCGGGGGAGGAGATGGCGAGCGGCGGAGTGGTGGCGGAGATTTTGGGTACTCACCGGTCTTCCTCCCTCCCCTGCCGCGGGGGGTGCCAGCGACAAAGGCTCGCTTCACGGGGTGGACGAGCTTCTCCCACAAATCCATTTGTCACCCTGCTCCTCCCTCTTTCCCTTCCCAAGTTATCAGCTTTCCGACTGGTTTTCCGCCCTCTCCCCTCCCCTTCCCCAGAAGCACGCTGAAACGAGCGGAGACACGGACACTCGACGACCCGCCGGCTATATATACAACATTTGGGATGAGAGGGAGAGAGTGTGAGAGAGAGAGAGTATACAAAGAGTGCTAAAATAATTTGCAGAATCTGAACACGTTTATCTTGACGCGAGGCTTCGTATCCTCTATCTTCTCCACCGTCCGCATCCACATCGCTTCCTCTCTCCACCCGACACGTGCCATCACGCACTGACGCATGCCCTCGAGTACGTACAAACCAAAATTCATAGTTCCGCTTTTCCCGTGAATGAAGATTCGCATAGCATATGCCCACGTGGTCGGGGGCTCAAAACATCACGAGCTGGAAAACCTCAGCTTTCGGACAAACGACCCTTTGACTTGCCAATGAGATTTATATCGGCAAGTTTTCCGCATACGCTCTTCGGTGGGCTTTGTCAAATGTCTGACCGAATATGGTAGGAAAACAGAGGGCACAGGAATTACCACTGATGCGCATTCTTGGGCATCTTAAGGTGATCATCCTCAGTGAGTGACGTTCGATGGCACATATATTTGACTTTTGGCGGTCTCCTTGGTTATCTACGCACTGCTTCGACGGGAGGAAGGGTTTGACTTCTCATTGTAAGGATGCAGCCCTGAAAATGCATGAAAAATAAAATATTTCGGGCTTTATAGATACCATTAATGCTGCATTCAAAGCGAAGGATGGTAGGACTGATGATGCCGCGTTTTTCACTGGGCGGTGGATGATAAACGCGGCGAGACTGGCGTTCCAAAGAACGGTCCCGCGGAGTAAGATCCTGTTATTCACTCAGGCGGCGGGGCGAGAGTCGGCTGCTGAGAAGGTTCTCCGACCTACTCAGACGTACTTGGGGTTGTCTCTGGGAGAGAGGAAGAGAGAGAGAGAGAGAGTTCCGACAGATGGTCCCGTTGTCCTTGCAGAGTCCTTGGGGGGGGGGGGCTGTAGCTTCAAATGGCGGCGAACTGGGGCATCCTCGGTTTGACTACGACTGTACGACCGCAGACCGCGCTGGGCTCGAAAGAGGAGGCTCCGGCAGCCGGCAGCCGGCAGCGAACTGAGGCACCCACGGCTTGACTACGACCGTACGGTCGTAGACCACCCTGCGCTCGAAAGAGGAGGCTCCGGCAGCCGGCGACCAATCGGAGCACCCTCGGCTTGTCTACGCCCAATCGGCCGGGGATATATAAGCTGTAAGTTATAGCATGTAAGTGCAATTATAAGAACTATAGGCTGACATCCAATGACGATTTCACTTGTTAGAAATAGGAATATACTACGATGAAAATCAGGAATAATTAAACAGTTGTAACTACACATAGAAGGTGCCGGGCGGATGGGAAGGGAGAGCAGTGAGAGAGAGAGAGAGAGAGAGAAGGGCGCAGGGGGGATAGGGCGAAAGGGAGGGGAGAAGGTTGACGACATGAACCCTCCCCCCGCTCGGGGACCACTTCCGCCAGGGATTGTATAGCATGGTGACGGTGAGGAGCGGTGGAACCCTGGGTCCTAGGCCCACCGGGCCTTCTTCTATATGTTTACGGCTCCGTGCGTTAAATAATTTTCACGTAAAAATCACGCTTAATGATTAGTTAACAAAACTGAAGAGCAGCCAACGAAATGCTGCAAGATCCATTTTTTTCATAGAGAGAGGGAGAGAGAGAGAGAGAGAGAGATGGGTGGGTAATAAAGATTAAATGAATTGTTGAGATATGTTGAAATATCTAAGTAATTTTGGGCTACGAATAGGCCCAGTAACAAAGGAGTGTGGGCTCTTCTGTTAAGACTGACTTTTGAAAGAGGGTTAGCAGCATGTTATAAAATCTATTTTTCAAGAACAGAAAAATCCTTGTAATTCTAGGGTTATTTCTCCTCTCTAACATCTCTTCAATACCCAGCAACCTCTCTCCCATTTCCTTCTATTATTTGTTGTTCCGTGTGTTTGCTCTCAGATGCTTACATTCCAGTGGAAGGGGGCAACAACCTGAAGTTTGTGGCCAAGGTTGTTGTTGGGGGAAAGAAAGGGAACAAATAGAAGACTTAGTAATTGTTCTTAGATGCTAAGGAACAATAGGTTTTATGTTATTGAAGGTGAATAATATAATTGACAAAAGACTGATTTGCAAATACAAGATAGATAGAGATGAATTATTTTCTTGTTGTCTAAGAATCAATTATTATCTACCGATTTTTGGATAATTTCTTTAAGCACATATCAGTAAGTCATTTAGAGGATCTTGTAAATAATATCTGACTAGATCCTCGAGGCAAGTTGTCTTTATTTTAAGTATACAATATTTTTTCTTTGTAATCAAGTTGATTTCAGTCATATGCTATTTTAGACACTTATTTTTTGTTCTTTTCAATATCTTAATTGAGTTTCTAACAAAATAGTATCAAAACTTAAGGTATGGGTAGGGACATAAATGGTTACTTCTTCATCATGTTATGACATTGAGAAATTCTACAAATCTTCTAATTTTAGTTTATAATAATGGATGATGAAATCCAAATAGGTAGTAAGATAAAAATTAATAATTGACAATATATCAATGTATTTTAAATTCTAATTTTGAAAATTAATTTGAAGATCAAGGAATTAAAAAATATTTTACTATTAGGAAAATACCCTAATTATTAAACTACTACAATGTTTGAGATTGAATGCAAAATTACTCAAATAGTTCTCTTATGAGGTTGTGAACATAATAAAGTTATGTGACTAATAGGTCATGTAATATTATTTTTGAGGTAAATGTTGTCAAGTTTGGAAATATGAACAAGTTGATTAATTAAATTTACAGATTTTTTAATATCTTAAATAAGTCCATATTTATAATAATGAGAGATCTAAACTTTACCCCAAGTTTATGAATTTTTTATTTTCTTAGGATACATAAATTGTGTGAAAGGATATAAGTTTTTGGATCCAACAACTAAAAGATTAAAACCAATAAGTATGTAATTTTTGATAAAACTTACATGCAATTTTTTTTTAATCAAGCACATGTGAAGGTGTAAAAAGAATAGAAAATATAATAGAGAAGTCATTCAACTAAAGATGGTGGTGACACAAAATTATTCAACAATAATTAAAAAAAAATGATTCAGTTGAAGAACATGTTGATAATTGACGTGACTTAGTCGTTGTGTAGTAAATCAAGTAAATTTAAAATTTATAAAATATCAATTTTTAGATATTTAGAAATATTTTTTTAAAAATATATCAATTATAATTCAATAAAAGTTCTAAAATAGTGAAAAAAATTCAAGTTAATCACAAAGATGTAATATAATATTCACTAATTTTTCAGATTTTTTCTCAAAGAATATAATTTTTATAAATTTTAGATAAGAAATATAAAATAAAATATAGTTAAAATTTATAAAAAAGAGAAATAAGGGTGCTGATGTCATGATGATGTCGGCGCTCGACGAACGCGAATCGAGCAGAAATAGAGTTCCACTCAACGATTTTTACATAAGCGATTATAGACGATTTAATTGATCAAATTAAGATTCTGTAAAAGCTAGAAGAATCGTAATTTAATGAAAAATAATTTAGTAAATTTAAATCACACAAATTATCATTAAATGAAGTAAAAAATAAGTTGAAAATAGAAAAATAGAGTTCCAACATTGCGGCGGCGATGCATCAACCATGCACCAAAATTCTAAGCGTTTGGGAGGATTGTTGTGTAATGTCCACAACCTCAAAAGCTCTTCTTAGACAACAATGATGTGGGCAATCTTTAAATCTTTTTGTAAAGTCCAGAGATCAGTGAAATAGGTCGTTGAATCGTCTTCGGTGACTCACTCGACGAAATGAAAAAATAACAACTTTGCGGCTATGCGGCGGTTGTCATCTAACGGAGATGAGTTAGATGGAAGTAGGGTGAGTGTTAAGGAGCTTCATCCTTAGGTCCCCACAGCAAGAGGAGGCTTTTCATCGCATCTAGTATGCTTTCAAGAGGTGACAACTCCTCTCTCAGTGGGTCGTCCTCTTCTCAACGACAGCTTGTTTATCGATCAATCGGAGATGTTTTACTCAATGAATTCATGATCTTTTTATCACGAATTGTTCAACAATTTTAGTAACAATGCTCCGCGAATCGCGTCGACTAAATTTTCGTCGATGATTGAGTGATTCTAACAGCTTAATCCTTTACCGGCGATCTACAGTAAAGTAGCGATTTAATTAAGTTTTTGACTCTAGTATGATTTGAACACATGCCGATTGCTCACCTGTAGTAAAGAGTTTGAAATAAGTACTCTAATACTCTTATAAAGTGACATCATCATAATATATCTCACTAAGGAATATTTTAGATATTTAAATAAATAAATTATTTCGGAGAAAGTGTGATGTAAGTTTAGTTCCACATCAATTGTACGTCGAAGTTTTAGGCGAATATATAGTAATATCACATTTTGAAGCAATGAGTCCCTTTCTTCTACATGTACGACCATTGGTGACGTGGAAGGATAGTGATGCACATGTGCCCCCATCGATCCATAGCCATTCAAGCCCTTACTGCAACTCTCCCCGACTACGCTTCTAATCTACTTGCAGGCTCAATTGACTGGCGAGTCCCCTCTTTTTTATATTTTTTATTTTCTTTTTCTTCATCTATCTCAAAAGTAAAACTAAAAAAATTATATAAATTCATATAAAATTACATAATTAGCGAAAAAATTATATTAATCAACTAAAAACTACTTTTTAAAATTTAACATAAATATAAGTTTATTTATCATGAGTTAAAGATAGAACTATATTATTTATCAATTATTAACTCATGATAATAAAGACTTATCAATAACATTGGCATCAAGAGGGTTAAGTGAATAATCAAACCACTATTGAGGTATAGTTATGAAGATTGTACCTTTTGGCTTGACTACAAGTGAATAAGAGATCGTATTCTTCCAAGATGTAAATAATTGCAAGAATGATAAATAATAAAAGTCAATGTTATAATATAATGAATTAATCGAAATAAGAATGTGGTTATGATTGTATGTCATAAAAAAGAAAGTTCAACAATAAATGTCATTTACTATTTTAAACATTTATTTTATGTTCCTTACAATATGTTAATTAATTTTATAACATGAATGGATGACAAAAAATTAGTGATTTCACCAAAAATCCGAGCAAGAGCAAGACCCATCAGAGAAATAATGAAAACGGCTGCAGTCCCTCATTACCACCTGCCTCCCATAACTCCTGGACGCCAGCTTCACGAACTGATGGCAGTCCTCGCAGACTCTGAGGTTCTTAACGATCCGAATGGGGCCGCCCGCTTGGGTGCTCAGCAGCCCGAAGGCAAGAGCCAGCTTCTCACTGTGAAGGAGAAGCGCCCTCTCCCTCTCTTCCGAGCCCACATCCTGCAACACGGTGGAAAGGTTGGGGACGTACCCTTCTCTCCGCAGCCTCACAACCATCAGATCTAGCATCTCATAGATCTCTCCACTGCGGGGATGGTCGCAGCCGCCGGCGAGGAACTCGTGCATCTCGCCGCCGACCTCGATCGAGCTGCACCCGGGCTTCTTCTTGATGCCTTTATCCTTCATCGTCCTCCTCACCAGCGCAGCGTCCTCCCACCTCTTGGCCTTGGAGTACACATTGGACAGCAAGACGTAATTCCCGCAGCTCTCGGGGTCCAACTCTGTGAGGCGGAGGGAAACGTTCTCGGCCAGTTCGACATCTCCATGGATCCTGCAGGAGCTCAGAAGCGAAGACCAAATGACCAAGGGAGGTAGCTCCGGCATGGTCGAGATCAGCTCGTACGCCTCTTCCAGGAGGCCCGCGCGGCCAAGAAGATCCACCATGCAGCCGTAGTGCTCGAGACTCGGCGTCAGTCCAAATTCCTTCTCCATCAACTCGAAGTATTTCCGGCCGGTCTCGACCAGCCCGGCGTGGCTGCACGCCTTGAGCAGCCCGACGAAGGTGACCTCGTTGGGCTGGATGGCCTCTCTTTCCATGGATTCGAAGACCTCGAATGCTTTCTCAGCTCCACCGTGAGTCGCCAGCACGTCGATCATCGAGCTGCAGATGACACTGTTCCTCATTCCGCGGGCTTCGTCGAAGATCCTCTGGGAGTCGGCCACACTACCGCACTTCCCGTACATATCGATCAGGGCAGCCACCACATGAGGATCTATTTTCATGCGGCGCCTCCGGATGAACGCCTCGATCCATTGCCCCTGGAAGAGGGTGCCCAGATGGGCGCACGCCTGCAGGACGGCCACGGCAGTGACCTCATTAGGGCTGACGTCAGATCCCTGCATCTCTCTGAACAGATCGAGCGCCTCTTGGAAGAGCCCATTGTGCACGTAACAAGCGATCACCGCGTTCCAGGAGACCACGCTTCTATTGGTCATTGATTCGAACAGTTTTCGTGCAGCGCCGGAGCCGCCAACCCTACCGTAGCCCGAGATCATGACGTTCCACGATATGATGTCTCTCTCGGGCATATCATCGAACAGGCCCCTGGCGAGGTCTGGTTTCCCAGCCTTGCAGTACATGTCGAGCATGGTATTCCAGGATGAGACGTTTCTCTGAGGCATCCGATCAAAGAGCTCGTGCGCCCGCTCAAGTTCTCCGCATTTGCCGAGGCCAGAGAGCATCGCGTTCCAACAGATGACGTCTCGGTCGACCGTCTTCTCGAAGAGGACGCCAGCGCGATCTGCGAGTCCACAGGAGAAGTACATATCCATGACGGCGGTCCGCAGTATGGCGCTGCCGTCGAGACCCAGTTTCACCATCAGCCCATGGACTTCTTCGCCGACTTCGACACGGGCCAAGCAACCGGCGGCCCTCAGAACTGCGGGGAAGGTGAAGGAGTCGCAGGGGACCGAGCACCCACGCATGAGGGAGTAAATTCCCAGGCACTGCTCATGGTCCCCGTTGTCGGCGTACCCCTTGAGCATGGCGTTGTAGAAGAAGGGCCCCGGGGACGGGAGGGAGAGGAAGACGGAGAGGGCGTAGTCCATGGATTTGGAGAGGGAGCAGCAGAGGAGGAGCTGGCCGAGCACGAGATCGTTCCCGGCGTTGCCGGTCTTTAGAACCTGGGCGTGGATGGCCTTTAGCTTGGTGGGGGTCTGAGGAGTCTTGAGGGAGGAGACGAGCCATTGCTCCGTCGACTTCGCTCCCGGCACTGGATGGTGACGGTGGTCGCCGGCGGCAACCGGAAGGCGGAAGGCGGGCGCGGGCGAAGCAGGGGAAATAACCATTTCGCTTCCAAAGGTTCCATACAACATTCACCAGTTTGAGTGATATCTAAGAGGCTATTCACCTCCGATGAATTTAGACAGGGCTTTGAGTGAGTGAGTGAGTGAGAGAGAGAGAGAGAGAGAGAGAGAGAGAGAGAGAGAGAGAGAGAGAGAGAGAGCTCTCCGGTCAACCCATGTTACAGCGGTTAATATTTATCGAGCTTAAGCCGGACCCAGAAACCAGATCCGAAATCAATCGAAACCAAATTTCGGGTTTTTGGGCATTATCTTATATGTGCTCTCCTCAGTACCCCCAGAGGAAGTCATTTCTGCTCATAATCAGCTACAGCGCGCAGAGGACTACGTCCCCCAGTTGGATCTTATAATGTCCCAGTAGCGTAATTGTTTTCGAAAGTCAACGCAACAGATTATGAACAATGACTCTTTTAATTGCACTAAAACGGGAGAAAAGATCGCCAAAAAAACATTGTCCCACGAACAAAGTAGATTTAGTGAAAAGGGATCAAAGGATTGCCTTCGAATTGGATTCAGAACATAGATAAATCAAAAGCCACAAAAAGACAGAAAGGCTCTGGAGATAGTCTAGTTCATCCTCTGCGCAGCTTCCTTGGCGAGAAGCTTCTCCTTGGCCTTCGTCTTGGCCTGGGACTTCGAACCCATGATGCCGCCGCCCCATTTCTTCCTGACCTCGTCGAACTTGTCATTGAAATTGGCCTGGATCACAAAGGGGTTAGGATCCCGCTCAGATGATGGGAACAAAATTGTTAAACAGAAAGAGAGGGCGGGCAGTCAACGCTTGCAAACCTTGATAGCCTCCAATATTTTGCTGAATTCGAGTTTGTCCTCGTTCTTCACGGAAGTCAAGCACAGAACGGACGCAGTCTTCTTGTGAACAATCTGGCAACAATAAAGTATTCCGCAAGGACGGACAAGTTCAGAGTCAGCAGTCCTATAATTCGGTTCATCAACAGGGATTCTGGAAAGGAATAGCATACCGCTCCCAAGCGGGCTTTTCCCTTCACGATACAGTAAGGAATCTCCATCTTCCGGCAGAGAGCTGGCAGCCACACCACCAGTTCAATTGGGTCGACATCGTGAGCAATGACGACCAGCTGAGCTTTGTTCTGAAGGCAGGAAAATGAACGGCAGATCAATACATAAACCTATATCACATCGCATATCAAGACTTTGGTGAAGACACCAGTTCCAGACTGTATTTTTCACATTAATAATATCTACATAAATGCGTGATCAGCATAAATTGATAACGTAATGCATTGGTATTGAGGAGACAGGCATCATGGATGAGAAGGGGCAAACCTGCTCAATAAGGTATGTAATGTGATTCAGTCCATACTTCACAACAATGGGCTTCTTCACCTCAACAGTCTTCCCTTCAGCTTCTGCTTGAGCCCTCTTAAGAAGCCGCTCCTTCTTTGCAGCCTTGTCCTCAGGCCTGTACTTGAGGAGCATCTTGAAGAGGTTGGTCGCTACAATTAATTGGCCGATATCAATCAGACAAGAGATTTTGCCCATAAAGGAACCCAGTACACATAACAGAACGTAAAAGAGACGATAATCAAGACATGATATCTTGACCATTGCGATACGTAATATTTTTGGCTAAAATGAGATCCACAAGGAATGTTCGTCATCAACCAGAAGTAAAAAATGTGAAATGAAAGAAAAAGCGTAACCTAATAATACATGATACTACTACATGAGGACTTACAGGAAAAACGTAATTAACGTGTACTTGCGATAACAGCTGGTCTGAACAAGAAAATGCTACAAACAAAAACTAGATCAAAACCTAGTGTCACAGTATTTGGTGAACGTGAGGAATTGATACGTTCGGAGAAGATTGACAGAAAAAAGGGCCATGACGAGAAGGAATGAAAAAGAATCAACATCACCAACTCCCCTAAGACTCTGAAACATCTTTACATGATCATTTTCCTACGGATATTCATAATTATACCCTGGAAAAAAGAGGATAATTGGCCGACTGCCCAGATTTTGGAGAGCTTATGTCCATCTAATAATACGCTTCGTGTGCATGTCTGTCGAGATTATGAATATAATCCAGAATCACTGCGTTATTACCATTCAATCTACTACGAAATGGATAAAGAACCACATAATGTGTGATTCAGCCTAAAAGCTCATGCATGACAACAGCTGGCTTCGTACATTTCGCGTGACGCGTCAGATACATGAGCCAGTTTGGGAAGACCCCGGAACAAACTGACGGGAATAAACGCCAACAAGTCCGTATGAACAGACAGACAACTCACCTAGTTAATGGCTGCGAAAACCAGAGAAAACGTTAGGGCAGAGTAGAGAGGGTATTATGCTGTTCAAAGTGGGAAGTAGCACTGAACGAAGAGAAAAAATGTCGAACGACCGTTCAGAAAAACCCCCATATACTACGCGGAACAACGTACTTCAGTCAAAATTCTTGGCTGGAAATGAACAAAAACCAGGAGCAACTAATACTCATAAAAAAATTATGATGGACCCAAGAAGGGAAACTAGTTGAATACTAGAGTACGACACTCGGCGAATTGTATAACCCTCAGATGATAACCAAATAGTCATCGAAAGCCAGGGCTTCTAGGGAAAGCTACAAGCATCTACCAAATATAGGCCGCTGTGAGCGTTCATCACCAACTAAATTTTGTTTTACGAGTATTTCAAGGTACTCGACATACCGAGGTTCTTGTCCAAGGTCCTCGTGAACTGGTTCAAGGCTGGGGGAACCTTGAGCCGCTGCTTGAGAATCCTCCTCTGCCTCTGGATACGGACGACCTTCGGCCATTTAACGAAGCGGTGCAAATCCCTCTTCGGAGGCAGAGCGCCTCCGATTCCAAACTGCTTCGGACGCTTCTCGAACAAAGGATTGACCACCTTCTCCTGACATTGAGATCAAAGGATGAAAAACACAGGGATGGAAACAATAACAACAGTTCCGAAGCAGCGGAACAAAGAATCAAAACTGAGCAACTCATGAGTGATCAATTATACCGGTTTCTTCTTCACAGGTACGGGCGTCTTCACACCTCTTTTAGGGGCCTGAGAGATTCAAAAGCAGACGATCAGAATTACACAAGAAAGTCGCCATTCATAGTAACCAGTCACTTTACTGCTCACGACGTGTTCTATTCCGCCATCTCGGAGAATGGCTACTCGGAGATACAGAACAACACCCGGAAGAACCTACAGAAACTGGTGGGAACATATCCGAAACCAAGCTAGATGAAAAGAAGGGGGGCGATCTGGGTGATGCTCAGAAGACACATAAGAAGGGTTCGAGAAGCAAGGGCGGCCAGCGAGAGAAGCTACGCACCATTTCCTTCGGGGCCTTGCCTCGTGACGATGCGGAGTCGAGCAAAAACCCTAAAAGCAGAAAGCCGGCGGCAGAGAAGACTGACCAGAGGCGGAGGTGACGATATTAGAGAGCCCCTGTGAGTATATGCCCTTGTTATCCATCATATTTACTTTCCTGCCACCCTCCCACTCTGCGCCATTCGGATTCTGCTCAACGGGTCGGTTCGGTCAAAAGGATCCAATATTAGGAACTTTTCAAATCCGTGCAAAAATACAAATTATAGATAAACCTTAGAAAAGAGCGATCTGGGGATTGGGTTGGAGCTTTGTAGGACAGAACAAGTATGCCCAAGAAACGAAAAAGTTCATATATTGTTACAGTATGTTTTTCAAGCATCATCCAAAAATAAAATAAATAATAATAAAAGGTTTTTATAAATAAATTTTGAGAGAGAAAAGGTGTCTACCCATAAGTAGACTTCAAAAAAGTTAAATCAAATCTCAAGAGAGAGAAAAAATAATTTTTCTTAGGAAATATTAACACGTCACATGTGCCATAATATCTTTTACAGGGGGGGCATATAATTACACGTTAGAAAATAAGTAAAACAAATCCAATAAAAACCTAGTTTAATTGACAACCTGATGGTGTAGATTATATCGTAGGTCAACCTAGAAAATATTTCATGGATCAAATCTAATAGAAAAAAAAGATAGTTGTTGGTTTTTTGTCCCAAATAAATATCCTCTTGCAATAGTTTTCAGACAGTGATTTAATGACAATCTTAGTCCACCTATTAATTATAAAATCACTCTTCAAAGTTATGTTTCAAGAGAAACTCTGCCATACATTCCTAAAGTATTCATCTACCACCGAATCAAGGAACCTTATTTATTTAGAGAATTGATACTTGAATTAATGATTTATCATTTTTCTATGAAACTCTAATAAGTTCCGATATAGGCAGAGAGATAAACACATGATTTTTTTCCAGCAAATAAATCTTCAAATAATATTGATTTTTAAATATAACTACTTTTTGGAGAATAATAGAAGCAAAAGATAATGACCATTGATAGGTGGACATAGGCAAGGGAAGGCAAAACCATGATAAATCTTAGTATTCTAGACATTCCAACACGGACTCAAGTCTGTTTGTGTTGACCCAAGTCTGTATGTGTCGACCAAAGTGAATTTTTGTCAACCCGAGTCAGTATGTGTGGACCCACCAAAGTATAGAAGTAAGAAAAATAACTTAATTCACTCCCCTCTCAATAAACCTAACATCTCTTATGACCAAAATGTATTGCTGCACTGAAAGAAGAGGACTCATCAATAGATAGACGATGAGTTATAGATTATTAACTTCTCAGTTTTCTTATAGGTGAACAAATGATCGATCGATCGATCGATCGAGAGAGAGAGAGTTACATCTCTCAAGTAATGCGTCGGACACAACGTCCTCCATTCGATTCCTGTAGAAGCCATTACAAGGGATTCATTCGGGTGGGTATTACGATGCCCGCCCTTTCTAGAAGCTTGCTGGCGGCCTGGGTCGCCTGTGAGATGACTTCTCCCTGTGGCATCAACAACAAATCAAGCCGTGGAAAGGCTGAGATCTGTGAACAGATAGATGATAAGTTCTGCATGCCAGAGAATGAATTATTAATTAGCTCCTCATTCTTCTTCTAGGCGAGCAAAAATGGAGCTTAACCGGGTATTTCTCTCTCATCCCACCCTCTGGGAAATGGGCTTCATGATCCACATATTACTTGCTCTAAGGGAAGACTTGTGAACAGATTGATGAGTTCTAGGAGCGCCATGGCAAGAACTAATTATCAACTAATTTCTTGGTCTTCCAGGCGAACAAAAATAGAGAGAATCCAGTGTTCCTCTCTCATCCCCCTCCCCCCCCCGGTAAACAGCTTCAGAATTTACAATTTTTTGCAGAAAGAAGATGGGAGCACATCGCCAGCAGATGGATGGTCTGAAGAAGAGATGAGGATGTTCTGACGACATTTGATTGATAATCACAGATTTTTTTTATTTCAAAGATATTGATCAGAGAGATTTCATCCAGGCATACCTCATCCAGGTTCAGAATCACTCTGTTCCTCATAACCCACCGGCCATTGCACATCACAGAATCTATGTTCTCGGTGCGCATACAATAGACAAGGCTGGAAATCCTGGAAATTGCCGATTTGAAGGACAAAAATATTCCATAAGTGACAAACCCAAGCACACAGAAAACCAAGAAAATACTTCATTAAGTTACTGGCGAGCATGCAACTTGGCTTTCGAGTATATTCATTCGATCCTAGCCTGAAAGAGAGGAATGCATGAATAATTGGCCAATGAGCTCTCAAAAAATGTTTTCCCGTTCGGGATAATTTACAATGCCTGCAGTCTTTCCCACTGTCCGGTTCCAACAGAAACATATTAGCAAAGATTATCTAATTACTACTCATTTCATTGAGACTTTAGGATGGAAATTCTAATTTTCTGATGCAATTACGACCAATATGATCAAGCATTGCGATACACATTCATTATTGATGCATTTCCATCACTGTGGGATGATGCCAATGTTACCCTCTTCCGAAGTAAGCATTAGCTTAGTTTGCAACTTGGGGTGATGAGAAGGTGGTTCTTCATCGAGTATGTACACGCCAAGCCACTCTATGCGAGTTTCATCCATGCCTGCCAGTAAATCTGTCTAATTTCCACATTAACAAAATACCAAGTCTGCCAACTTTGATTTAGATCGTAATTATAGGATTTATGCTATCCAAACATTCGAATGACATGCGTTCCTATGATCAACAGGTATGCACCATATCCATGGCTGATAGTTAAAATCACATAAACTGATTTTACTCCAGAAGGACAAAGTAAATATTTGCACAGAATTTGAATGAAACATATGAATTAATGTTAATCAAAACCAGAGCAACACAACATAGAATCTGCGTCGTTAAAATAACTCTGAATGGATGAGTTTACAAGCTATACAAACCAGTCATGTAAGGGAACCATGGTCCACATAAAGGGATTAACGATAACCATATCAGCCTGAAAAAAAATGAAAAAATATAGAAAACGACATCAGAAATATAACTTGCGCTGATCAGTGAAAAAAAATAAATGAACAGACATAGTGTTACACCATATTAGCTGGTAAACACAGAGGAGGACACTCGGAAGGACAACACAGCATCCTAAAAATCACAGTTGAAATGCCTATACTTTTATCTTTTTGGCTCTAAATACAATCTTCAAGCATAAAAACACATAGGATATCTATAAACATTGCAATCGAAATATATTCTTATCAGAAGAGAACCTGAAACTCAAATCACAAAATAAAATCACGGAAGTTCATTTATTGTTGCCAAACACTGAATTACATTCTCTCCATCAAAATGATTTGATTTTGATATAAGATTGGAGACAATCACGGAAGCAAAAATGGATCCTGGACATGTCAGAATGTTGACTGTGGAAAACCCATACGAAAAAATTACATTTATAAAAACGTGAATCAAGCACTGCCCAATTTGACTAACAAAGGCCTGACTCAATTCGGGAACACCAGGAGACACTATCGTTTTCAGCAATTTATTTCAGATATATATTAGAAAAACAGAACGGCCTAGTAAAAATCGACATGAACAAGCATGGAATTACTGAAAATTCTGAGATTAAATAAAACATAACCAAACTGAAAAACACACCTTTTTCCCAATCTCAAGAGAACCTATTTCACTATCCCATAACACTGACTTGGCTCCATTTATTGTTGCCATTTTCAGAATAGTTTCTGAAGGTAAGGCAGTAGGATCAGTCAATCCCTTGATGTATGCACCTCTCCCCTTATTAATTAGTGAAGCTAAATACATCTCGTCCACTGTGAAAATAAAATCTCTGTCATAATGCTAAAAAAAGAATATGCGATGAAGACATAAATCCCATTTCCGTAAAGTTGATGCTATTAGACATTAATGCAAAAGAAAGATAGGTACAAGTTTTTACTTCCATCAAAATTAATAATAAAGCGTATAAAATACCATCGCCCAGACGATAAGATTAAACCCACCAACACTATCAAATACACTGCTCAGACAAGCACAACTTGAGTTGCAAATATCTACCTACGAAAAAATTCCATCCCTCTGATTTATTCCATGCTTATGAAATTTAAGAAATTTCGGAAATACAAACAATTAAATGGGAACAATGGATGAGCATTGATACCAGTCTACCAATAAATCCCAAGGCCTCCGTATTTTAAAAATATTCACATTCAAGTCATTGCTTGAAGTAACATTTAATTATTGAACAGAGTACTCTTGGAATCTTCAATTCCAAGAGTACTTTGAAACTAAAACTGGTCATTTTCTTGATCCATTCATAAACCACAGGGAGCTAGTCATCATAACCGGTTAAATAATTATTTTAGTTTCCCAGAAGTGAAAGACTTCACGTGTGTTTTATTCATTGAAAAATTTGAGATACTGAAAGTTAGACCAAAGAGTAATGTCCCGAAAAATTCCCTCAAATAGCTTCATGAAAGTCAGACCAATGTGATCCCAAACAGCCCTTTTTGGGCATGCCTAGTGCAGAATAACTTGACGAGAATACCTTTAAGATAAGATGCGATCATAGTGTCAAAAAGTGACGGTCAGGCACAGTTTATCCAATTCATATCGTATCAAGACTGGAAAAGTGAAAATAGAGTCTGAGATTATTGCAACATAGGCTATAACACCTCAAACTCATACGACATTGTAAATAATTTTTATTTTTTAAAAGCCCCTATTTTTAGAATTTGCTGAGTCCATGTGAGCAAGCTTGGCAACGATGATAATCAAGTTAGATCATATGATTGGTCTGAGCGAGCATGATTCAGAAAATAATGTTCACGGATCATATGAGAGGGGATATGATGAAAACATAATTCGTCTTAGTTCTTATCACTAAAGGTGAAAAAGAGGAGAAAACTCTTTTGAAACAATTACTCAAATACAATCAACATTATTGGGACTTTAATAGCAGATGAGCGAACAAAATTATTGCACAGAAATGATTTATCCTTAGTGAGAAAGAGGAAAAATAAGGACATAAGCTAACACAGCAACCTCCTAGCGTCTGGCTTTTCTCCCGTCTCCCAATGTCACTGGGAAGAATGTTGAAACATGGATTTTACAAATAGCTAGCCTTGGCAACCACCAAGTTCGTCTCTTTCCCTCCATAATTAACAGTCAAAAACCAATGTCTAGACATGTCTACGAATTTAACAATCCAATAGACAGAGGGTCTCATGTTGAAAATCTGGTTGTCTGAGGGTATGCAACGATGCAATGAAAAAAAAAAAAAAACATAAGAAAATTCGAATGAACAGAGAATCCAAACACATGAATAACCGGCAAGAGACAAACCGATGCTCATCCTGTTGTTTGATGGGGCGCCATCTGTACCAATAGATACACAAATTCCAGCGTCAACCATCTCTTGTATTGGAGCAAATCCAAGCATACGCATTGCAGCAGCAGGGCAGTGCGAAACCTTGACACCAGCATTTGAGAGAAAACCAATCTGCCACCATGAACAACAGAGAATATAGACCTAAAACAAGTCAGGGGTTTGAGGCAGCAAAGAATGAACCAAAAGTCTATCATAGTTTCCTGGTCACCCACCCTGTCTGGTGTTAGCCTCCTGTATTTAAGTAACATTACAGAAGATTGAATGAAATGGAGTACCATGGTGACACCTCAAAGGTTATCATCGTGAGAAAGTTGTGGACAGTTCATGACTATGGTCAAACTGGGTTATGCGACTACCAGCAGGAAGCATCCTAGAGTGCTGACACAATCATGGGGAACAGAAGGTGAAAAGGCAGAAAGAATGGGAAAATTGAAAAAATGAGGGGAAATAGCGGATAGTCATGTTTACTTCTACGTACAATTCTGAGACATCTTGAAATTGCGTGGTTGTTCAGACTTTTTGAGATATGAAGACACAAATTTTCAATAATATAATTGCTCACCAAAGAGGCTGGTCAATGAGATACGCGACAGTGCGGGAAAGTGAACCACGAACTTCATAATGAGCAACACAACATTCTTTGATCACAAGACGGCTGAGCATATAACACGATCCACACCACATTGACAAAGAGTTTGGTGACGTTCCTAAAATTTCGGGTGGGTAATGCCGTGCTGGATGCTGTAAGGTTCTAATCGTCATTAGGTAGCTCTAGCCCAAGTTGTCCACAAGCACACCGGAGTTAAATACTGTCATCAACCCAAGGACGTTATGATTTTATCATTATGGATACATTCCTCTTACAGTGCAATCCTGAAGGATATAGTTGATATGATATCAATGCGTTATCATTTTAATGTCTGCCTCAATGGAAACAAAATAAACAACAAACAGATGATGAGCAACAAGAGATGATGCTCAATTTTTGCAGAATACCCGCACATCAAATAAGAATCTATTGTATTTAACTCATTATTGGGTAAAGTTCCCATACTATAATCTGACCTCGGTATCAGAAACCCATACTGAATGAGCTGCCAACAAGTTGCTTTGCAGAAATCCTATCTTCTCCAAGTATGTTACTGTACCATGGTCAACATCTGTTGTCCTCATCACATGCTGGTTCTCATAAGGTATCTCTGCAACATGCTAAACAAAACTAAACAAAGTAAAAATGTGATCTATCATTTGCTTAACATGTGTTCAACTTTCTATTGACATGAATCCAACATATAATTTTAAAGAAAGAAGATAAAGATAACGAGTGGCCAAATTTCTCAATAATATCTACATTGTTCTAAGTTGTGAGGGAGTCATACAATCCGGTCTGATACACTCCACCATCACCAACTTTTAAGACTAGATCAAACTTGTTTCTAACTGAATCCAAAAGTACACAAAAATTTACGACAGATGAAAGCTCTCTTTGTTGGGAAGAATAGTGAAGTGACCAATGGTATAAACCATATTCTTCATCATCTCCCACATACTGATACTAAAAATTCAAAGGATACTTTACAATGTATCAATACAACTCAGGTTGTATCTTATTTTAGAGAAAATAACAAACGATCTGGTCCAAGGGGGCATGCAGAGGTCAAAAGGACCAGTTAACGGGGTGTAAAAGATTGCAGGACCAGTTAATTAGGTATTAGGGCTCGACCAGAAGAGGTCAAAAGGAGGGGGGACAGCAGAGAGACTTGGGAGAGATGGGGGCCTCTCGAAAGCCTTCAAGAACGGTCTAGGGCTCTTTGGGGATTCCCTTTTTATCTTCTTCTTCTTCTTCTTAGTTTCCTTTCCATTTTGTTCCACATTCCCTTCTGACACTTCAATAGTCAATTGGAGTCATATCAGGAACAATACCACACTTAAAGGAAAACAAAATTCTACAGTCCCCATGGGGAGGTGAAAAATATGACGAAGGCAACATATTTTCTGTTACATTAAACCTTTGAAGGTAACATTCGTATAACACAGGGAAAATTGATGATCAGAAGAACCAAAAAGAAGCCGGTTTTTCATTAAGGAGGAGTCCCCTTTGAAAAAACAAGCCATTCCAAATATTTTCAGAAATCCATGAGGGCGCAAAAAATAGACAAGATCATTCCTGAAATACGGAATGGCCTAAGGTAGACTTCACAAAACAATTTCGATAGATACGTCAATTAGGTCAACTTTTAGGAGTATAGACATTTCAAGCTCCACTTGACAACAAACAAGAAAAAAAGTGTCTCTATGAATCTTTGGAGAATTATTACATTTGTAAAACAACGATGTATCTGGAAACCTGGTTAGTTACCATGTGGATCCCCGTTTTGAGTTCCATAGCAATATCTCTTGTTTCAAGCAGCAAACGTTCGGTTGCATTCATAATTTGCCTCACCCCAAACCAGACTCGAATACGTCCATCAGCAGTGTTGTGATGTTTCTCGTAGAGATTCATTTGAGACTGTACCATTCAGCAGAACATCTCTTCATGTCAGAAAAGGAAGAAGTACATGCTTTTGAAAGATGAAAAAGTAAATTATAAAAATATACTTAAAATTACAGTGTATAAATGATACAAAAATACTTTAAATCGATTTTGAAACTAAATCATTGTCCCAATATCTCAATCAATGTCCAAAGAAATTTTTTATCTTTCGATTCAAGAAAATTAGGCTCAACATGTTAAAATTTCTTCCTCTTCCAAAACGCAAATAGCCGGATTTTCAGATGCCACACAAAATGATTCAAGTTCCTATTAAATATCCACAGATTTTTTAATCATGGCAAATACTGTGTTAGATGACACGGATAACTTTATCGCAAGTACCCCCATACCCAACACACCAGGCTGGCATTTAAAGAAACATGTAGATGAAAATTTTTATTGGAAGATAATGAGAAAGAATAGGACTTGAAGACAAAAAAGATTCAATCCCAATGTCAACTTCTACAGGATCTTTTAGAAGAGTTTATCATGCGGGTAGACGAACTAGATGAATGTATTACCTTTTTCATTCCCCTACCATTTCTTCTGATTGGAAGACTAAACAACAGTACAAAGGTGCTTTGAGGCCACCTTGAGCCATCCAATACTTGATTCAAAGCTAGTTCAAATACCTGGGGCCACCCAATAGCGGGCCAATCTCAGGAAATCAGCGTGTGGCAGAATTTTGTTAATATAAAATATGTGGGAAATCAGCGTGTGGCAGAATTCTTATAACATTCATTTCATCTAGCTAATATAAAATATGTGGGACATGTCTCCACTTAATGGTGCTGATGATGATGAAATCAAGCTTCTGGTACCCTGGACTCAACTCTAAAATATTTACGCTAGATGTCCTCAGTTATGATCTACTTATACAGTCACTAAGGCGTGTCTTTCTTCAGTCAGGTGATAGCGTTTTGTAGAAACTTGAGGTCAGCAATGATCGTCAAATAGAAAGTGCCAGGAATAAATACACATACACACAAAATAGAATATTGAGAAACAAAATGCGCATTAAAGAATCAAAGAGATTAAACCAAGAACCTGTATACAATCATCAGTTGAATACGGCTTCCACCTAGCTGGTAGACCTTCTCCTGAATCCATGGTGGATTGTGCCAAACAAGCCCGTATCCCCAATAGCTCCACAGCTTTTGCCATTCCGGTGACATGTTGCCCACCTGCTTCAGCAAAGCACGTGACCTGATTCATGAAGAGAGCATAAATATTAACCAAATGAAATAAAAAGTCATTTTCTTGTCCAACTTGCTGCTGGAATTCCTCTAAGCCAGAGGGACACCTAGCTCCATGATATATATACACGAAATGAATGAACTGTCGCAAGAGATATGTCAAGAGTAACTAGAACATCAACTCAGATGCTGGAGGAAACCTGTGCAATCTCATCTAAAGGCGTGGTATGTAGGCACATCACCAATCAAAGGCGTGGTATGTAGGCACATCACCTATCAAAAGCATGGCATGTAGGCACATCACCTGTCAAAGGCGTGGCATGTAGGCACATCACCTGTCAAAGGCGTGGCATGTAGGCACATCACCTGTCAAAGGCGTGGCATGTAGGCACATCACCTGTCAAAGGCGTGGCATGTAGGCACATCACCTATCAAAGCCGTGGCATGTGGGAGTTGCAGAATAGAGCTGCAGTCATTATGAAGTGGATCATGTGGTACTTGACAGAAGTTGCAAGCTTTCTGGGTCCGTGATAACTTACTTCACATGTATCCTCATTCTACTGGTGTTGACATATCGTTCCCTTCAACTTCCTTTTTCACATACTAGTGAAATCATTTTTTATTCATCTTCCTCCTTCCTCTCCCCGAACAATGATGAAGCCGCTTTATATCTACCCCATACATCCTCCCTGGGTTTGTCTTTTAATCCGTCTGTCACTTCAAATCTCAATTGACGTCAATGCTTGTCTCACAAACTCTTTGTTTTCCTGCTTACTTTTCGTTATCTAAATGTTTTCCTGCTTATTTTTCTTTATCTAAATGTTTCCCCTAGTCTACACCTCTCTCTCTCTCTTCTATTCTATTCTCCCCTTTTCTCTCCATCTCTCTCTTTCTCATCAGACGTTTACCTCTCCAGTTCATCTACTCACTGTTTCACAGTAATTATAGAACTACGGTAAAGTTTTAACATTTGTCAGGATGATGATTTTAACATACTCTTGGAGAAAAATCTACATTAGCAAAAGGCAGAGTTATGATCCTATATCGAATTAGCTTTTCCTTGCATATGAACATGAGAAATGAAAATTTCAAATATATTGTAGATATGAGACATGGTAAGAGTACCACTATCTAAGTATAATTGCACCCAAATATTTGTGATTGAGGTTTTTGGTTTGTGACAACAACTTCCGTTACTCTTGATTCGTGTATCATTTGATTGCAATCAATAAATATACAATAATAACATCAAGATTTTATACTAGGGTAGCTGTTACGAGAATATACCCATTGCATGTTAAATAAACTGATGAAGTATGGGATAATGCATAACAAAATCATGTTTAACAGTGGTAGATGAATCCTACGAAGAGAATGATCTCCTTTAGATAGAAACTCAGCCGTATTAAAAGGGTGATTAACAAAGAAGCAGGTAGATAAATGGTGGTCGTGATCATGTGCTTGTAAGTGACAGTGGGATTCCAGTGATTAATCTCGAAGATGAAAATTGAAGGTCGTTTCCCTGAAAATTTGCCCCTCGTGGGGTAAAACTGACCCCGGAACGTATGAGCTCAATCCCACATAGGAGAGTCGACAGGTATGAATCTTCTTCTGTCATGTTTGATTCGTACGGCCAGATGCGTTCATGTAGCCACGTCATCAGCCCAACATCGTCCGCGATCCCTCTCCCCAACTGCTGCGAGGTGTGGACGTGCGTGTTGACGAATCCTGTGGAGGATGTGAAGAATGACCACAAGCAGAAGGTGGGCAACAGCAATGGACAACAGATGGTGGCAGGTAAAACTATTCCGTCAACCTGGGATCAAGAAGCGGCCGTGGAGGTCGATGATCTCGTCCGCCCGACATGAGAAGTCTCGGAGGACATCGGCGGACCTGCCAATAGCGTCGATCCTGTCGCCCCTCACGAAGAGGCCGCCATCCCGGAAGACACGGGACTCTGAGTCGACCGTCACGATCACGGCGTTGTGCAGCAGAGTGGAGCGGGCGGCTCCGGCGCCTCCTCCCTTCTCCCCTTTCCCCCCTTCGCCTTCCATGAGCTAACTAACCCAGGGCGCCCCAAAGAACCATGGAAAGCGAAGTCCACCCGGGCCAGTGATCTTCCAGAAGGAAACAACACTCGGTGTTGTCCTCTATCTCAACAGTCGGAGCAGTTAGTGGTTGGTCAGAGAGGACTTTTTCTCATAAGACCCTTATATTTTTTATATATATATCAAAAGTCTTATTAGATCTGATTATATGTTCATACTTTTCAGGCCATGGATCTCTTTACACATGTGAGGACTGACAGCGACAGGAAAGAAAAAAAAAATCAATAAAATTTAATTTTATGATCAGTCTCAGATGCTAATTTTTTTCCCATATATATTTATCCACTACTTAGTTTCTTCATACCTCAATTTTTTCCGTTTATATTTATTTTCTATTCCGGGCTGTACTCGCACGTGCCCCATAATCAAGAAGTTCGATTTACTTGGGGGTTTGGTATGGATGGGCACTTATACAATAAAAAGAATACTTTGCGAAGAGATTACTGAGAGCAATCGGGGTTGGATGCAGCTCACTAGATGGGTTGCCACGTGGTCTACGGAAGAAGACCAGAAAAGGCTCCACGTGTAGAGCTACGTGGATCTTTGAGGCCTGGAGATAATTACGAATTAACCACAAGTTGCTTTTCCCAAGACTGGAGAAGGGTATTAACTGTGCGAACGGCCTAGGCGACCCCACCTCGCCGCAGCTCACAGCTGAATCTGAGAATGAAATTTCAAAACGTTCTAATCCGGATCGAGCCCGCCCTTGTTGAGTTTCCATTTGGGATCTGCGCTCCCGCAGCCGTCGCCCGCTTTCCTTCTCCACGGTCACGCCGCCGGCGGCGCCGGCGCTTCCAGGCTCTTTCCGGTGGTCGTCCTGTTGGGGGTTTAGGGTTTTTGGGTTAGCTCGTGCGTCCGCTCCAGTATGGCCTCTGTGGAAGAGCAGGAGGGGAAGAAGAACTCCGCCGAAGGATCGGCCGGGGAGAAAGAAGGAGAGGGCGGAGCAGCGGAGATGAAGGAAAGCAAGGCCGCAGAGGACGTGGCCGTACAGGAGGAAAAGGAAGAGGCGGAAGGCGAGGAGGGAAATGAAGGGGAAGGGAAGAAGAAGCGCGGGAGGAAGCCGGGGAAGCCGAAGGATGAGGGCACCGAGATGAAGGAAATCAAGGCTGCGGATAACATGACCGTACAGGAGGAAAAGGAAGAGGCGGAAGGCGAGGAGGGAAATGAAGTTGAAGGGAAGAAGAAGCGTGGGAGGAAGCCGGGGAAGCCGAAGGATGAGAGCACGGAGAAGAAGGTCGCCAAGAAAAAACAAGCGAGAGAAGCTAAACCTACGGTGGAGAGGCCCACGAGGGAAAGGAAGACTGTCGAGCGGTTCTCGGAGATGTCTCCACAAAGTGCTTCAGGGACTAAGGCAGTTTCGATTAAGCAGGTATCCTCGCATTAGATTTAACCTAAGCAAAATTCGATCTCCAGCGGGATTTTGCTCCGTTGAGGTTTGCCTCTGACTTTGTCACCTCTTTATTTCAATGGGCACTAGGGTTCTGGAACTAAGCTGAAGGACATTCCAAATGGTATGCTCATTCTTCCCTCCGAATATCTCCCCCGCCCATTAATTTTGTTGCTTACTCAACAAAATGCTATTGATGAGATGCGCTTTGAGTTCGCCGCATCTGATTCCTATCCATCTTTATATCTATTATCGTAAAAATGGACATGCGTTTGAAATGATTTGGATGTGAACAAAAATAGTTCCTTTGGGCTATCAGTACGCAATTTTTTAAGAAAATGTTAATGGAAGCCCTCTGTATTAATGGAATCATTTTCAACAGCGAGCCAGCTCATACGTTAGATTTGTTTGTCTTTGGGAAGGCATGATTGTCACTTCATTTTCTATACTAACATTTTATCCACGTCTAATTTGTACCCCTCTGGCTATCCCTTTTAAATTCATGTCACTTGTAAAGATGGTATCCAAAGATCAACAATATGATTTTACGCTCTTATATTTCTAGCATTTAGCCAGAGGGGGATGTTTTTCTAGTCTGGTTTGTACGTGAATTGCATGATTTCGTGCACGTTCAAATCTTCAATGAACATTTCTCACAATTCTGCTCAGATTGAAACCTGAAGAAGCTCATGAAATGGATCTAATATTCACGAAATGGCATTTTTATGTTAGCATTAATTCTAAATCATTGTTCAAACCATTTCCTCTGGAAAATTGTGATTTTTTTGTGTACATATCCATGCAAAAAAAAACTTATTATGTTATATCTTATGCTGTTTGTGTGAATGGATTTTGATATAAATCGGCACAACCATCGAAAATCCTACTTGAATTTGATTTAACCCTATAGAAGGAAGACATCGTGCCTGCCATCGAACGTCTCTCTAACTGAGATGGCATTATGGTCCTGCTGTGACATGGTTTCTGATTTTTTTTCTTTCTATGTAGCTGATTTGGATATCTTTGGTGACAACAGGGCATGTTGATACGCGTGACCTTTTCAATTTTGTGCTCATTTTATGTTTTTTCTCTTTATTTTGGTATATTTGTGGTACACCGTTGATCTGGACGAGTTTTTCGTTTTTGGTGTTGATCTAGATCCCCCCCCCCCCCCCCCGGGAAAATGAACGAATGGACAAATACTCTCTACATTCAGTCATTGTTTACATAATTTGTATCGTCCTGTGTTATTATGCCTGCTCATTATTCTTCCTTATTTCAATGATTTGATTTATCCTCAGGATAATTGCAGAGCAAGGTGCAAGTTTGGTTGTTAAGTGTGATGTTCTAGTGATATTTGCTGCTCCTATTTTTCTGTGAGAGCTAAGTAGGCATCGAACTCTAATCATGTTTATTCCCCCGTTTTAGTGTTTTACAAGATATCTAAAAGGAAGGCCGATGAGAACCTTCAGCTTCTCCACACCATACTTTTTGCAAAAAAAGCAAAGGTAAAATTCCCTCTTAAACGGCTGTGAATTTTATAATGATGATTGTGATTGGGTGTCAGATTATGAGTCCTTTTGTTTGAGTCCCATTCCATCTCCTCTGGATGAAATTTGTCTGCATGATTTCGCTTTGTCTTGGGCCATCAGCTTGAGTCTGACATTAACCAGTTTCAAAAAGCAAGAAGACTTAAAATTGTTTTATCTACTGATCTTGGTTGTCTCTACTGAAAAAATAAAACTTGGCATGAAAATCCGGAGTAGAATAAAAAAGGAAGCCAAAAAAAATTCCTCCTTGCTGGTTGAATATTTTCTTCAAACCGCGTTGCCAGAGAAGGGAAAGTTGGGTCAGCTGTTATTTCCCACACTTCTTGGGGTATGTATCATTTTTACTAGATGAGGCAGATCCAGAAAAATTCGCAATGCCAGGAGTCGGTCCACTTTTGATAATTGAGGAAAACCTGCATAAGGATTGCATGCGATTTTATGTAGCCTTCTTCATTTTTTATTTTTTATTTGCTTTTTTCTATTATTTTCTTCAATTCAGCATGATTATTTTTTATTCAAATTAAAATGGCATGCTACACACAGGAAGCATATCTTAGATAGGTTCCTTTTTCTATTGGCAGCATGAGCATTGTCGTATGCAAGAGGAATTTCCTTGAGATAAAACGTTGTTTAGCATTGATTGGATGATTCTGTTTTGTTTACAGGTGCTCTACTTGAAGAGAAACATATACCAATTTTCTGGATTTGTTTGGACTGAAAATGAGGTATCTTGTCTCTTTTAGTGTGCGCCTTGCTTCTACATTGAATATTTTTGTAGAATTCTTATAACCAGAATGTCTGCACGATGGCATTAATCTAGCTGTGAGCCTCACAATTTGTACAGGAGAAGCAGAAAGCAAAGGTGAAGGAAAAACTTGATAAATGTGTTAAAGACAAGTTACTGGACTTCTGTGACATTCTAGATGTACCTGTTTCAAGGGCCACAATGAAGAAGGTTGTACTTTGTTATTTGAGGACATTTGATACGGTATGGTAATAAGCGAAAAGATATTAAAGAAAAAATACTCACGTGGAGATTTCTATTTGCAGGAAGATATTTCTGCTAAGTTGTTGGGATTTTTGGAATCCCCACATGCTACAAGAGATGTCATTCTTGCTGAGAAGGAGCAGGTTAGCTTTTGATTCTCGAACGGACTCCTGGCTGAGAAGTTCAGTTGACACTTTTTACAATTTTATAGCTTTGAATTTTAAACACAGAAAAAAAGGAAACGGAAGAGTAGAAGTAAAGGAACTAGTGAATCGAAATCTGGTGGAGATTCTGATGGAGAAACTAAGGTTTATCTTTTTCCATCCCATGCTGACTTGATTGCATTACTTTCTCCTATTTTCATTTTCGAAGTTTGATCTTCTTTGGATGCTTTATTGATGAATACTACTGATCTCTTTTGCTTGTTGAATTTATCTCTTTCAGAACGTGTTGGCATTTTGATGAAATGGCTTGCATTTGATCATCCATAGTTCTCTCTCAATTCCACACATCCATTTCTTATAGAAATGTATGTTTATGTGATGGCCATTGCCAGATCAGTCTTATAACTCAATCATCATGGGTCCTTTCCAATAAACCGTGCATGAAGAGATCGGGAATGAGAAGGATTTAAGTACTAGATTCTTTTTAGATGCAGTATGGGCATATTAGAACTGTCTTGTTGGACATTATATGATGTGCATTAGCTATATTTATAATGCACTTTTATATATTTATTTGTCAGAGGGATGATCTATGTATTGTTATGGGAAACAGTACACTTTAGGCTTTATAATATGTGCCCCCATGTTCTATTTGATCGTTGGTCTCAGATGACCTCAACAATCAAAGAGGGCATACGGTTGGATTTCTAAATCAAGATGCACTCTGTATGGGAACTCACACCATGGTGATGGTCATGACAAGAAATTGTAGCTATTAGGATTTCTAAATCATGATGCACCATGTATGGGAGCCCACACCGTGATATGGCCATCATGGGAACTTGTAGCCTGAGGGTATATCAGGAAAGATCATACAGTGTTCCCACCCTGTATCAGGAAAGATCATAAATGTCAATTAAAATTGCGGTGCCTTCCCCCCTACTCCCCTCTGTCCACTGAGACAGCAAAATTCCTCCTTCACTCAGTCTATTTCCCTCTCTTCGATTCAACGCATACTGATGATACATCTGACTTGGCATCTATGTAGTTGGGTTTTTTTTGTGTACCTAATGGATTTGTCTACCTGTTTTTTAGCGGACATGCTTTTGACATATCTACATGGGGTTTCTGGCTTTTTGTTTGAGTGAATGTTACCTTTGCACGTATTTTAGGTTTTGTCAATCACTTCACCGTTAAACTTTATTTTGACATGTCTTCTGCTTTCTTGTTTGGGGTGGATTCGGATTATTTCTCTAAGAAAAATACGAATTTCTTGGACGCTTCCTCATCCCATCTTGACGCAGATTCTTTTTTGTATTATATTTAGTCTCACAATGTTACTGTTTGTGTGATATAATTAAATATTTTTTTTATTGGCTGTTGATTAAGAAATCAGGGTCACATAACTTGCTTCTGATTATGGATTTATCTAGATTTCTTTTTTGCTATTTCGTTGGGTGATTTTTCTTGGCCACTTTAGTACTAAATAGCGCATTTTTCTCATGCTAGTGACTTTTTTTTTTTATTGAAGGATGCTCTGCCCACATTCTTTGCAGACGTTTTTGCATGCTTGTGCCAATCAATTTTTCTTGTGCTTCTTTCAGAAACAGAAGAAGGGCGAGGCTGCTAAACTGAAAAATGATGAATCTGATAGCGGAGATGATTCTCCTGACAGCAAAAGTGGTGCATCTGATGATGAAGAACTGGAAGATGATGAGGGAAAACGTGTTGAAAAGAGTGAGAGTGAAAGTGGTGAAGATGAACAGGACGATGCTGTCCCTGAAAAAAAGGTTCCTGTTCAGAAGCAGACAAGCAAGGATAATAAATCCAAAGATAATTTAGAGAGCTCAACTTCAAAGAAGGGCCGTCCTGCAAGATCGGCCAAAGCTCCTTCAAAATCTCCGACGAAGAAGTTTTCCTCGGAAGGAGGCTCGAAGGTGCCAGCAAAAAGCCGTAAAGGTGATTCCTCGGAGCAGACTAGGAAAGGCTCCAAGGCCTCAGCTAACCAGAAAGCTGAGCCTGCCAAAAACAAGCAAGATAAAAGTAAAAGCCATAGTAACAAGGTGTCTCAAACTGAAAACAAGGAGAAGAAAAAGGCACAGTCTGGGTCAGCTATTACTGGTAATGAGCGTGTAGTATTTACTCTTTTAGAAAATATATTGAATTTATACGCCTCCATGCATAGTTCTCTCATGGTGAGGATCACCCTGCCGTTTGAGTTTCAGTGGCTGAAAATGTTCTATGGGGGGTTTCCATGTTCTTAGAGAACAGCAAAGCTTCGGGGTTCCCTCGCAAGAACTATCAACTGAGATAAACTGAAAATGTTTTATTGTCGCCTTGCTATCGTAGAACTTCAGGGATAGTATTCTTTGAATGAAGGCAGGTCAACGAGCATTGTGTCGGTTAAAAGGCAGAGTTACCCCTTGTAACTAAATAAATTTTCAGTGATAGTGACTTGTTTGTAAATACTGTGTCAATGAAGGAAAAGGAAGATCCAGTGGGAAGGACAAGGAGCCTACCGTAGCAGAGATGCATGCTGTTGTCCGTGATATCCTGAAAGAAGTAGATTTCAATACTGTAAGAACTTCTCAACCTAGAGATGATTTTTTTTCTGTGGTTCGCATAGCCTTTTTTTTTATATATAAATTCCCTGTGCATTGCAGGCCACGCTTGCTGACATTCTCAAGCAATTAGGTACGTTACTTTTATACCTGATCTTGTCCAGACTAGCCTGATCATGTCAGGAGTCATGCGATCGAATTCAAGGGGCGTTAGTTGACTATCTTGCGATCTGGTTTCGTCAACAATCTGACTTTGGAACCCTCCCGTCGGCAGGGTCCCACTTCCGCATGGACCTGATGCACAGAAAGGCGGAGGTGAAGAGCATCATCGAGGAAGTTATCAACGACATGACGGACGACGAGGACGACGATGGCACCGATGGCCAGGAGTGACGCGGCGGAGCCCGACTGACTTTGACCACCACCGCCACCACCCCGAGCCTGCCTTTGCCGCCTTAGACATTTCATTATGTGGGATAGATATTCTTCTTCTCATCTGTGTAAAGGTTTCAGACAGCTGATTTGCCGCTTCTAATTGGGTCAACGCCGTTACTGTACGACGGATTGGGTTGATGGCTTGTCTCCAGCCGTGTGGAACCTTTTCTTGGATCGCGTGCGTCGGTAGCTATGGCGCCCCCAATCACCCCTCGCTGACAGTTCTAAGTTGGCCATCTGCCCACTAGAGACAGCGACTTAGGTCTGACGTGGATGGGCCCACGGCCGTATTTGGAGGCCTACCTCACTTACCTGGTGACCACGTGGCAGGTAAATCTGGCTACCGCGGTCAGCCGCCAACCCCACCCATACGCATCGGTTTCCTCGTTCTTCTCACTAGCCTAATGGCCATCGGTCGCCTGCGTTCGTCATCGTCGAGGTCGGTTGCCTGTTCCCGGCCCTCTCTCTCTCTCTCTCTCTCTCTCTCTCTCCCCTCAAGATACTATAAATAGTTCACCTCTTCGCCGGTGCTGGGTATCTCTCCTCGGCGGCTCTCGGCAACCCTGGTGGGCATCATCCAGTCCGAAGCTCGAAAATGGTAATAACGTCGACTCCTCGTTGGGCCTTCTCCATACTCTTGTGGGTTTCTTCTCACTGGGGCTTTGCTGGTCCAGGGGGAGGCGGCGCCGATGGGGAAGTCCAATGCGGAGGTGTTCGAGCTCCAGGTGAAGCAGGGGGAGCCGAGCCTGGTGGCGCCGGCTGGGGAGACCGAGAAGGGGCCTTACTTCCTCTCCAATCTCGACCAGAACATCGCCGTGGTCATCCAGACGGTGTACTGCTTCAGGGAGGAGGGGAAAGGGAACGTTGACGCCGCCGAGGTGATGAAAGCGGCCCTGGGAAAGGTCCTCGTTGACTACTACCCGCTCGCCGGGAGGCTCACCCTGAGTCCTGACTGGAAGCTCGCCGTGGATTGCACCGGCGAGGGCGCCGTATTCGTGGAGGCCGACGCCGACTGCGACTTGGAGGCAATCGGGGACTTGGTGAAGCCCGATCCGGCCACTCTCGGGAGGCTCGTCTACTCCGTCCCCGGCGCCAAGAACATACTCGAGATTCCTCCTCTGGTGGCTCAGGTACGCTGCTTCCGCTAGGACCTTATTATACAAATTATTAGTTTGTCTTCCTAAACTTCTCAGAAAAACGAGCTCGCTTTTGAGCGAGCTACTCTTACCAATCAGGCCACTTGGATCAGAACTAATTCATATGTTTTCAGTCGCACACCTCGATGCGTTGACTTTTTAATCCCGAGTCAGTCCCAATATTGAGAGACAATTGAGATTTATATACATATATAAATAGATATATATGTATTACTTTTGTTCTAGTGCTTAGGGAGCATAAAAACTATTTTGCAAGAACAAATGACAAAATTCAGCTTTCAGCCCGCTCCCGGATACTGGGTGATCGCTTCGGATTACCATATATCTCCATGAAATACGGTCGCTCACCGGTTCTCATTCCTCATTGCACCAGGTGACGAGGTTCAAGTGCGGGGGCTTCACGCTGGGACTGGCCATGAACCACTGCATGTTCGACGGCATCGGCGCCATGGAGTTCGTCAACTCGTGGGCGGAGACGGCGCGCGGGCTGCCCCTGTCGGTACCGCCGGCCCTCGACCGGACGCTCCTCGCCGCCCGTGCGCCGCCCCAGATTGACTACTCCCACGACGAATTCAAGCAGATCGAGGACGTCTCCGACAGCGATTCCCTCTTCGAACAGCAGGAGATGATCCACCGGTCCTTCTCCTTCGACCTCGAGAAGCTCGAGAAGCTCAAGAAGGAAGCCACTGCGGACGGCTCCCTCGGTGGCTGCACCTCTTTCGAGGCGCTGTCGGGTTTCGTCTGGAGGGCCAGGACCCAAGCCCTGCGCATGCAGCCTCACCAGCAGACGAAGCTCCTCTTCGCCGTTGACGGCCGGAGACGCCTCGAGCCGCCGCTGCCCAAGGGGTACTTCGGCAACGGGATCGCGCTCACCTACTCCCTCTGCGCCGCCGGGGAGCTCGTCGACGAGCCGCTATCGTTCGCGGTGGGGCTGGTGCAGAAGGCTGTCCGGATGATCACCGATGGTTACATTCGGTCGGCCATTGACTTCTTCGAGTCGACCAGAGCCAGGCCCTCGTTGACCGCCACCCTCTTGATCACCACCTGGTCGAGGCTGTCCTTCAATTCCACGAACTTCGGCTGGGGTAAGCCTCTGCACTCCGGTCCGGTGACCCTCCCGGAGAAGGAGGTCTCGCTGTTCTTGTCCCATGGGAAGGAAACCAAGACCATCAACGTACTCATGGGGCTGCCCACCGCCGCCATGGAGACCTTCCAAGAGCTGATGGAGCTCTAGAAGGCGATGGAGATGCGTTTGCTTGATTTCCCCTAGACTCGGTTTTCCTGCGGATTCTCCTCTTCCTGTTTAACCTCGTTTTTCCCAGTAATAATCGTCAAGCAAAGTTATCAATTCCTCAGTCATTCAAAGGCTGTCGTATGATATGAAACCCTTTGGTAGCATAATGAACCATAGGCCGCTAAGGGTGGCCGATCCATTATGGAACTCCTACATGATCCCGGACCCATGACAGTCAACATCGTCCCCCCTGCGTGTAAACTTGATCAAACACCACCATAATTGAATTTTAAGCACCATTAGGGTGTCAACTCTCTCTCTCTCTCTCTCTCGCTCTCTCGCTCTCTCGCTCTCTCTCTCTCTCTCTCTCTCTCTCTCTCTCTCTCTCTCTCTCTCTCTCTCTCTCTCTCTCTCTCTCTATCTATCTATCTATCTATCTATCTCTCTCGCTCTCGCTTTCTCTCTCTCTTTCGCTCTCTCTCTTTCCCTCGCTCTCTCGTAGTTTCATTATTTGAGTCCGTATCGTACATGTTTTACGGCCTTCTTGATAAGATAGAGTTGAGTTGACAAAGCTTGGATCCCACCCACGGACTCCTCTAGAAATGAAAATTCGGACCGAAATTTGATACTGGGGAAATCATTCAAAATTCGATGTTCCTCCAATTTCATCTGCACCCTCGTAGTCTTTTGATCTGACGTTACACGGGGCCTCGACGAGACTTCCGTTTTCGGACTGATGGGGGACTGAACCTCAGAGAGCTTGTCGGTAGCCTGCCTCTCTCTCTTGCCTCCTCTTTCTATCTCCCTCTCGCTCCCCACTTGTAGGAACTTCAATCCGGAGCGTCAACCCGGAGTGTTCAACTTGATATGTCACGTAACTTCGATGTATTTTTTAAATGTCTCTCGTAAACCAGACACATGGACCGGCCGCTGGCATGGAAGAAAGACGATGTTATTCGAAACCTAATCCATCAATCCGCCCGATTATCACCTTAACCCAGTCATAATGATCCACTGGAATCAGGAATCTCGGAAACCGGCTTTAGATCAATCTGGAGCTGATTTCCTCGACCCATTGCGATCACCCAACCGCTGACGAAGTTGATGGCGGACCGAAAGCTCATCTCTCTCTCTGTCTCTCTGTCTCTCTCTCTCCCTCTCACTCCTATCTCCCCGGGGTTCTGCTCGCGCAATGCCGAGTCCGCACGCTAGATGGCCATCCTTCTTCTCATGTGGGCGCGGGCGGTTCCAAATGGTCGGTGTCGTAGGTCTAGGACCTCGCAGCGAGATAAGAATCTCCCGGCGCATCCCCGAGGCTACAGTACACGGCCCACACTCAAACACCTCTCTCCTTCAAGCATGACTGTTCCCATACCTCGATCCAACAATCGGTGTGCAATGAAGACCCATCTATATATACGTACACATGTACCTGCATAACAGTAACGGTTTTCTTTATAGGAGTTCCGAAGACTGAAATTTTCATGGCCAAGAAGCTCTGGACGAACGACCAAAGGGCAGGGCTAATATTTTTTTGGACAGCTTAAGTGGGGTCTTACGCTGATGAGGTCACCGCGGCGGGGGCGCAGAACACATTCGGTCGGTGGGAGGATCTCGAGAAGAAGTCATCGCCTGCTCCTGTCAATCATGCTGAATTTTTTTTATGTGGAAATGGGAATCAATGGCCGGCGATCATCAGGCGGGAAGAGCGAGAATATCGCAGGGAAAACTACTGGTTTCACTCTCAACATCCGAGGCAAGGACCTCTAGTCTTTTAACATGGATTAAACGGGCGTACAGACCTTGGGGAATCACATGAGCTGTGTACACAAACAGGAGAACAAGGGACTTCACAAGCAGGACTCGACTCTGTGGAGATGATTGGCTGCAATTCAGCAGCATAGGAAGCCATGGGTGAGCACGATGGGGAGGCTCGATTATTATCAGCAGGGCTGGACCCGGAAGACCATGGGAGTCCGGGAGGGGCTGAGCAGCTGGTAGACTCCGCCCTTGGCGAAGTTGCACCCCGGGCGGGCTATGGCGTCCTGCTCAATCTCCCACAGGAAGCTCTGGAAGAGGTCGACGTCGCAGGGGAGCACGAGAGGGCCCTCGTTGGCGTAGCCGTACTCCATCTCGGCCTCGTCCAGGAGAAGCTTGAAGAGGGGGTGGTTTACGTAGTCCATCTTGATCAGAAACTTCACCTTCTCCGACCCCACGCAGACGGAGAGGCAGCCCTCCGGCGCCACCCGGCGCTTCTCGGAAACCCCTCTCCTCAGCCTCCTCTCCGGTGAAGGGGAGAAGTGGCCCTCCGCTGGTGAGGGCTTCTTTCCGCGACCTATGGAACGGCAGCGCTCCCATGTCTTGAGGATGAGGCTTCTCTTTGTCCTCTCCATGAACATAAGCAACCTTGTCCGAGAAGCGGAAGACGGTAGAGATTTCGGGCGACGGAGGAGCCTTAGAGACAGACCCAGATGTCTCCCTCCATGAAAGCCTACCCAACAGAGAAAGCGCGCAGGATGTGCAGAAGAAGACGGGAAGAGGAGGAATGAAGGATCTAGCAAACCCCTCTATCAGGGATCGGTTAACCCCGGTCGTACACCTGATGGAACATCACCCTCCCCCTCGGCAAGACCTGGTTGCTCATGTCTCCAGACAACCCATTAAAGGCCGAGAGGCTCTCCGAATTGAGAAAGAAAGCTCAGAGAGTGGAAGAACCCAAACCACCAGAACAAGGTCGCTATGGCAGCTCAAGATGGCATGCTCTTGCGACCCCCGGAGAACCTTTCTTTCTAGCTATGGATGGAGGTTGAGGACGAAACAGAAGAAGAGGAAGGATATCTATAGGGATAGGATGCGAGCTAGGGTAGCGCAAGCCGGCGCTGCCTCCGAAGACGAACGCTAGCGTGTGGCGTCTTCGGCTCGGAGACGTGTGAGAAGTGGCTCCTGCAGGGCAGAGGCGATACAACCCATGCCACCTTATAAAGACGAATAAATGGTACTCTATCTTCTCGATCTTTTTCAAGGTAATATTCCCCACGAAAAAAAATGAAAAATAGGCGAAATGGCGAAATATAGTTTAAAAGCAACCGAAATGAACGCATCAAAGGAGTTCTTAATTATTATCTGAATAGACGTCTACAATAGTTCAAAAAAAAATTGGCCACTGGGGCTGCGGTGGCCCCGCATCTTTTCCGATGCCAGAATCTGACCGGACCCCAGAGACGGAGAGGCACCAATGGGTTTACTGCGCCGCATCATATTAGAGACCCGGCTTCTGTCTTCCGGGTCAGGTTCTATTGAATCCCGAGTCCACACGGGCTGGTTCCGACCCCCCCAGCTCGAAGCGGCCGAGCCAGGACGGGCCCGCCGCGGGCCTACCGGGTCGTGGAGACGCCCTTTCGTACCCTAAACAGGTGGGGTTGACATTATCCACTTAAATATTGCCCAAAATGGGAGGAACAAAATGGCGTCGTCGATATCCCCCGGTTTTAATGAATTTTGTCATCATTTAAGAGGTTGATTGGAGGGAGAATCTGCCCTCTGCGGAAGTCAACGCTTGTAGGCGAGACGCGACGGAATTATTAAATGCCAACATAGGAGATGGCAAAATATGGGCGAGTTCCAATGGCTTCCTTCCACCTCCATCCTCTCCAGTCACTGTACGGGTTTACTTCCGCTTCCTTTGTCTTCATCCTCCAGGGGATCAGCTACAGCTAATATGCACTGGTAGAAGAAAGAGATAGATAGCGAGAGAGAGTAGCTCTCTAATGTGCGGTTACCAGACCTTATCTATTAACGGATCGGGCCTGGCCCCCCGCCAATTTTAACACTCTCTTCACTCCAGGCTCCGAGTTCATCTGGGCCATCGACGGAGCGTTATTCCATAAAAAAATCAACCACCATACCCTTCGCCGTGCGCTTATTCTTCTTCACTCGGTATTCAAAGAGGTTCCGGCAGTTCATATAGGGACGTCGCCCCTCAAGAAGCATCGCGTGGGGGCCATCGATACTCCTCTCAAAAGTCAACTGGATTAATTACGCGTCGGGTGCCTGTCTACGGGCCAGGCTGGGCCCGGCCCTGTCAAGTTCACACCAGATTGAGAGTCGTCGAGCTTGGAAAAAGTGACTCCGGGTCGCAAACCCTACGAAGCCTGGTGCAGCCGTCCGTTATCAAAAAAATTTATGGTGCCACTCTCTCTCTCTCTCTCTCTCTCTCTCTCTCTCTAGCCAAGTTCGTATATATGGAGAGAAAGAACGGATGAAATCCATATTAGACCTCGGTAAATCTCGGATCTTCATTAACGCACGAGAAAGACAAATATACGCGCACTCAGACATATCTGGAGAGAGAGGGAGAGAGAGAGAGAGAGAGAGAGAGAGGGAGAGGGGGACCTATCAATACCTAGATAGAAACCATGACGTCACGAGGTGTAAGGTCTGAAAGATCCTGGCCAGGGCTTGGTGTTTATCCGGCCATTTGTCATGGCTTCGACAATTTAGATCATAATTTTATTATATCTCACGTATTTCACATGGTGTCAGGCGCGTAGAGTATCTACGTCCGAAAAAAGTTTGGATAATATTATAATTATTTAGAACGTACTTACGTGAGAATTCTGAGTGAAATTGAGCTTCGATGACGCAGCGCCGCCGGCAGGACTTTGGCGTGGCGGCTCGCCGCCTTCCAAACCTCCCCGCATCCTCCCCCGTTTTCTCCCCGCAACGGCGGTGGGCGAGGAGGGGGGGGGAACCCGACGGCTCTCCCGACAGCGACGGTTGCACTACGCCTCCAATTTTTCCACGCGAACTACCAATTACACCGCCCACCGGGCTGCAATAATTGTCACTTCTTTATGCCTCCTGCTTTGGATAGATTCCAGCAGAAAGGACCTCGCACAGGGGCCCATGGGAGTTCTTAAATGGGTTTACTAGGAAGACGGACGAATAATTCTCGCAGAGGGCGCCTTGAGGGATGGCCCGGGCCGAAGTGACCGCTCCCCCGTCTTCTCCAACCTTCCATGGATTCCACCTACCTCAGAGTTGGACTTCTCCGGTGGAGGCGCCGGCCTTGTTCTCTTCCCTTAGGATAATAATACGCAGAAGTCAAAGTTGTCGCGTTGTCTCTGGATTTCTAGCGCACGCCAGACGGCGAGTTGCCATGACTTCTCTCTCTCTCTCTCTCTCTCTCTCTCTCGCTAAAAATATATGTATATCTCCAAGGCACAACCGGTGGGGAGGAGAGAGGCTCTAACGGCCGACGAACGAAGAAGACAGAAATGGTGAGGGAGAGACGATGTAGGGCCCTAAGTCGCCATCGGAGAGAACATCGGCCGTTGTTGGCCCAGACAAGCTCTGGACTGTTCTATCCAACCAGCCCACTGAACTGAGGCAGCGGAGTTGGATTATTGAAGAAGAGGCCCACAGAGCCCACTCTTCATTCGTGTCAGACGGACGGCTGATCGGTCATCCCTCCTGGAGGATCAACGGCCAAAAATGGTTCTCGTGATTTCTGGGTCCTTTGGGCCTTGTAACAAGAGCAGCACCTCCTAGTTGAGCCCATGGTTCGGCCTGGATTTTGGGCCTAGATTTTCTAAGCAAAGTCGGCCCGAAGTTAACCGGATAGCTGAGTTGATGAGCCCTTCTGATACTGCCACGTGGCCTCCCGGAGTAAGATGGATGGACTAGACTTGGGATCTGATCTCGATTCGTGCAAATCCTTTGCGTAGAGATGTTCTTCGCGACTAGATCCATCGGAATACTGAGAATCGTAACGCAATACGTTGATTCGAACTGACGAGTGAGAAACACGAGGCCTCGGTGTAGAAGATCTTCCCAGAGATCAAGAGGAAGACAACTGGGGGAAAGAAGACTCGGAGAAATCACGGCTTCTCCACTGTTTGTCTCATCTAACGAGAACAGCGGAAAACCAGGGGGAGGAGAGGTAAGCGGTAGGAGTCTGCTGATGGCGGCCCAAACTCGAAAGGGGACAAGTAGAGAGGAAATGTACCCTCCGACAAGCAAGGTCGGTAGCAATCAACATTCGCAGAATGTCAGAGATGAGCGGAGTAGGGGGGGTGGCCTGCGGCGACCTGCCGGAGGGGGCTCATATGCAGGAGCTTGCCGTCGCCATCAGCGCCAGGTTGTTGTTATGGCCTCTGCGGCACGAGCTCGTGCGGGGCTGCACTGCTGGGCCAGTTCCCACTTCCGGTCAGCTCCGGGAAGATCTCCGGGGGAAAGGCGCGCCCCTCCTCGTCGTCATAGTTCACCTTCCCCTCTCGTCCGAGTTGCAGGATTCTGGGGACCCGTGAGACAGCGAGAGAAACCTCGTAACAGTTAGCTCTCGTCGTCATAGTGCTCTATGCTGCACTCATAGAGCGAGAGAGAGAGAGAGGAGAACGGAGGTCTTGCCCTTATCGTCGGGTTCCCATTTCTGATGGAACTTTTGCGGCCGGCCGGCATGACTCGGGCATGTGTTTCTTCTCTTTGAGGCGTCCTCCCCTTGGACTCTCAAGTCAAACTCTCTCTCTCTTCCTTTGGGAAACGCTTTTCGGATGCCGGTAGGGCAGAAGAAATGCGGCAGAAGCTTTTTTCTGCAGGGACGGGGAGGACACATTGTCACTAGCACATTTCTCGTCTACTTTCTCCTACCCTAAGGCCAGGCCTACTCTTCCCCCTACGTCTATCATGGCTGCCCGTCGTCCCTCGCTCTGATTGACGTTCTATGCGTTTTGTTCTTCCCCTTAGCCCTCCACTCTCCCCTCGAAAAGGCGGTGGGAGGAGGGGCCTCAACAGCCTTTTCTGCGGCGATTCTTCCATTCTCCGATCCTTTTAAGCCAGAGAGGTTCATTGTATAAGCCAGACCCTCCCCCTCACCTCTTCTGTAACTCCATCTTTCTCCCTCCCGCATCGGCCATCAGAGGGACGCTCCCTGCTTGTTTGTTCGATTTGGAGGCGCATTCCGATGGCGGCAGCATCTCTGGGCAGCTGCCTCTCCCTCCCCTCGGCGTTGCTCCTGGCAGCGTTGGTCATCCTCGTCGTACCACCATCTGGTTAGCATATTAAACCTCCTACCTGCCGCCGCCACCGCCCGTTACCTTCACCCCCGCGCATCTCTGGTCCCCCCAATGCTCCCTCTCCGCGGGGAGGACGCCGCCGCCTTGAATGTAGCCTTCAAGATTGCTATTCTGTAGGCCGCCACGGCAGGAAGATTCTGAGGATAATTCCACTCGCAGGGCTCGCGGAGGAGCTCCACAGGGCGGCGCCACCCGCCGCGGGCGACCGGAAGAACTCCATGGCAGCTGCTCTCCTCCGCCACCGCAAGCTTCTTCAGCAGGAACAACAGCCCGGTAACGCCCACCGTCCTCTTCCTCGTGAATATCCATTCCCTCGTCATCGAATTATGTTGTCCTCCCCGCTCGTCTAATCGTATCTGCAATGAGGATCTCCTCTGGTCCTCGAGAAGCACGTGTACGTCGGAAGCCGCAGATCTCGTCACGTGTGGAGATTGTAAGAGGGAGAGAGAGCTCGGATGAAACTTTATGACGATAAACCAACTCCTCGAGGGCTCGTCTGTTTCCAACGATTCCCCGCCGAGAGTGGCATCTTTTTGCCCTGACAAGGGGATTTCGAATGGACTTCTCTCTCTCTCTCTCTCTCTCTCGCTTGCTTACGTTAATCGCTTCCTCGTTGTCCATGTTGCAGAAGGCGGAGGCGGCGGAGCGGCGGGGGGGTTGGAGGCGGAGACGAACCGGATGGGGGAAGGCGGGTGCAGCAAGGACGATATCGATGTCTACCAGGCGGCGTCCTCACCGCTACCCAGCGGAATTCCGACGTACACGGTGCAGGTGATCAACACTTGCCTGGGCGTGGGGTGCGGCGGCCCCGGCGGCGGGATCTCCCAAGTCCACATGAGCTGCGGCTGGTTCAGCTCCGCCCGCCTCGTCAACCCCAAGGTCTTCCGCCGCCTGGGGTTCAACGACTGCCTCGTCAACGACGGCCGCTCCATCCCCGCCGGCGGCGCCGTCTCCTTCCAATACGCCAACACCTACCCCTACAAGCTCGCCGTCTCCTCCGCCTCCTGCCAACCCAGTAAGTCCCGCTGACGCCTCCCCTCCCTCCTCTCTCTCTCTCTCTCTCTCTCTCTCTCTCTCTCTCTCTCCCGGTGTGTGTATACGACGGACAAAGGCAAGTGGTATAGTTCGAGAACACCTCTCCCCTCCCTCAATTCCCCTCAGTCTCTTCCTCTCTCCCCGTCGACTGCGAGTTTATCTTTTTGGTGGCGGGCGACACTGACGGCTCGTTGATTAATTACTCATTTAATGAGATTAGATGTGCGCCTCGTGCCTCCTCTCCTGTGTCTGCTACTCGTCCTCTGTACATGGGAAGAAGGGCCGCGTGTAGGGAATGTTCTCACTCTCTTTTTCGCTAAGCCCTATTTTGAAGAATAATACTAATCACAATAAAGTTGTTGTTCTTCGTCCCCATCCCCCCCCCCCCCCCTGACACGAGAATCCAACGTCTCTCCGGCGTCTATTTATTTCACGGAGGATGATAGAGAGGATTTATAGAGGCATTAATGGACGACGAGATGTAATCCCCTCCTCGGCGCGCGGAGCTGCATTTATGGTGCGAACCTCAAGCAGAGCGTCGCTACTTAATCTGTCGTTCTGCATGGCGACGCCGCGCGCCGGCCGCTGTCGGCGTGCCCTGCGCGCGCGTGGATTCTGGCAGGGCACGGGAAAGAGCGAGGGACGCCCGCGGTGCCGTCCCGTGCAGGGTCTGCCCGTCGGCACCGGCAAGCTCTCGTGCATGCCGCTGCATGTAGCGCCGTCGCCCTCTCCAGAGGCCGCAGGCGGGCGACATCAGAGGGTGGCGTAGGACGACAGAGCGCCGACTGAGTGGAGCCCTTCCGTCCGCATTGCACGTCGGCGACCACCGCGGCGTGTCGAACGACCGGAGGGCAAATCATTGGTCTATGACGGATGCGCTGCTCCTCTCGCTCCCTCTGCCAAGATTCTCACGTTCGTGCCGGTGCAACTCGTCCTTTCACTTCCCACATCCCTTTCGGCAGCTCCCCGCGTCACCCACCACAAGGCATACGGCGGGCCGGGCCCATGGAGTCACGCGGCCCGTTCCCCACTTCCCAGGCCCTCTGCCATACGTTTATTCACACCTAGAGAAAGAGAGAGAGAGTTTGAGGATGCCTGACAACGTATGGTGGGTCTTTGAACATGAACATTTCTGATTAGAATAACTCCACCAAAAAGGCCAGCATGTGCGTTGTTTTTCATCAGAGCTCGACGACTTAGACGTGGGAAACGAGGGGAGACGCGCCTCCGGGGGGGGGGTGGTGTTGAGGGCAGACAGTGGGAGGCATGATTGACTAATCTGCAACTGGGTTGGGGGATGAAGAGAGTGGAAAGGGGGGGGGTGTCGTCAAAAGGGGTAGCCTTTCCGCCACAGCCTCCGGCTAACGTCAACTGGTGCGGTTGGCCTAATTAACTACGTGTTCATCAAGTGGGAAAACTATAAAAATAATTAAACAAATATCACCGTAGTGGCTCGGTTCAGACTGGCCCATTTGTGCACGTTTCCGGTCGGGTAAGGACTTCGTACGGCCCCCAAAAAGACGCCGGCTTGACTACGGGGAGGGACTGTTAATGGGTCATAATTCCTTGCCGGGCTCTCTACGGTGGGCCGAGCTTCCTCACACTTTTTTCTGGGCTACGACAAAATAACGCTCTGGGAAGCCCACTGAGGGGTTTAAAGCTGACGCCGACCGTCTTCAGGCCAAATACTTGGGTCGGCCCATCCCTTCCTTATTTATCCGATAAAGATTATTATCTGCAACGAAATCATATTAAATGTGTAGGTATGTATTGGGAGTTTTTAGGAAATTTGGTAGTAATTAATCGGTAAATATGCAGACGTCATTGAAGATTCTGAGCCATTTTCTTTTTCTCCATTGAGGAGATTACACAAATTAGGTTAATTAATGGTCAGAAAATTGCAGAATGGCCGTGGTTGACTTGGCCTCCCAGGGCACGTGTGCGATAATTAAGATACATTGTATTAGTTTATGAGAAGAAAATCCATACTTTTATGGAAACAGAAAAAATGTAGATAGAGAGAGAGAGAGTGAGAGGATTAGCGTCTTGATGGAGGAATTGGAAGCAGCTGTTGACCGCCGTCTGATCGACGCGTGAACTTCTGATTTGGACCACGTGGTCGGTCTGATTTCGTGCCGCCATCTTCCTCGGAGAATCGCCCCAATCTCTTCTTATCGTCTGCTTCGGAAGGAGAGCTGAAGGCACCGCGGAGAGCGAGAGGGAGCAAGATGGCGAGCGTTGCCGGAGTTGGCCTGTCGTGGAGATCGAACCTCTCCGTCTGTCCATCGTCGAAGCCCTCTCCCTCTCAGGCGAACTGCCGCGTTTCCTCCGTGGTGAAGATGTCCGTCTCGGTCGAGAAGTCCTTCACACTGCAGAAGTCCGAAGAGATTTTCAACGCCGCCAAGGTATTACCTCCCTCTCCTTCCTCCTCGGATTTCTTCTTTTTCCCATTCCGACGGAGACCGCCTCGTGGGATGGCTCGTACGCTTCGGAGCTTCGGCCCTGAAGAAGCAGTTCCTCCGGCTAATCTTCTGCGCGCTGGCCTTCAATGCCTGGCCTCAGCCACCTTCCTACCTCGCCGGATTGCAGACAAATACGAGATGCACTGTTTTCTCGCTTCCAAGGAACGCATCGCTCATGGGTTCTTTACGGACTCAGTCCGTTGCTTATCTCTCCGGAATCAAAAGTCATCGACATCAGAATCTTGATTTCATATTAGCATCTACATAGATGGAGTGCGAGTTTGGGGGAAAGAAGGTGGGGTTTCCTCGTTCACGCACCAAAGAACGCCATCTTCGTCCTCAGCTTGCTTTGAATTGCTGTGTATTTTTTCATGCGACTCCCGTGCTGTGCTGCTACTGTGGTTCTAGGAATTGATGCCTGGAGGTGTAAACTCGCCCGTCCGTGCCTTCAGATCGGTGGGCGGGCAGCCTATCGTGTTCGATTCCGTCAAGGGCTCCAGAATGTGGGATGTCGATAGCAACGAATACATCGATTACGTTGGTTCCTGGGGCCCCGCGATCATCGGCCACGCTGATGACAAGGTACCTACCCGCTTCGCTCCCTCCGTCAAACCTCTCTGGCTCGAAACTAGAGAGATTTTAATAGGTGGGCATCCAAGTTTCTCTGTGTTCTGCCCATGAATGGGCAGCGGAAGGAAGACTGACAGCCTTGAGTCCTGAATCTCGATGCGCTCTCAGGTGAACTCGGAGTTGATTGAGACTCTGAAGAAGGGGACGAGCTTCGGGGCGCCGTGCCTGCTGGAGAACGTCCTGGCGGAGATGGTGATCGAGGCAGTGCCGAGCATCGAGATGGTCCGATTCGTGAACTCAGGCACCGAAGCCTGCATGGGAGCGATCCGCCTTGCCCGGGCCTTCACCGGCAGGCAGAAGATCATCAAATTCGAGGGCTGCTACCACGGCCACGCGGATTCCTTCCTCGTCAAAGCCGGCAGCGGGGTCGCCACCCTCGGCCTCCCCGACTCCCCCGGCGTGCCCAAGGCTGCCACCTCGGAGACGCTCACCTCCCCCTTCAACGACCTCGAGACGGTGAAGAGCCTCTTCGAAGCGCACCAGGGGGAGATCGCCGCCGTGATTCTGGAGGCGGTGGTGGGGAACGCCGGCTTCATCACACCCAAACCCGACTTCCTGAGCCCCCTCCGGGAGATCACACGGGAGCATGGTTCTCTCCTCATCTTCGACGAGGTGATGACCGGATTCCGCCTGGCCTACGGCGGCGCGCAAGAGTACTTCGCCGTGAAACCGGACCTGACGACGCTGGGGAAGATCATCGGCGGAGGCCTTCCCGTCGGCGCCTACGGCGGCAGGAGAGACATCATGGAGATGGTGGCTCCGGCGGGACCCATGTACCAAGCCGGCACCCTGAGCGGGAACCCCTTGGCCATGACCGCGGGGATTCACACTCTGCGCCGCCTGAAGAGCTCGGGGTGCTACGAGTACCTGGACAAGATAACCGGCGACCTCGTCAACGGGCTTTTGGAAGCCGGCAGAGATGCGGGCCACGAGATCTCCGGCGGGTTCATCCGCGGAATGTTCGGTTTCTTCTTCACCGAGGGGCCCGTCTACAACTTCGAGGACGCGAAGAAGAGCGACACGGCCAAGTTCGGACGGTTCTACAGGGGAATGCTGGAAGAAGGAGTCTACTTCGCCCCGTCGCAGTTCGAGGCCGGCTTCACCAGCTTGGCGCACACCGCCCAGGACATCGAGCAAACGGTAGAGGCCGCCAAGAGGGTCTTCCGGCGCCTCTAGATGGGTAGTGCAAGGTTTGGGCCTTCTCCGTCTTCAGAGCTCGGTGTTAGGGTTTAGCCGGGGGTTCTCTTCTAACCTGTACCTTTCCTCATCTGAAACTGCGGGGAGGGTGGGTGGGTGGGTGGGTGGAGGGGACCGTGACCGAGCAGCTTCTGCCATGCCACTCGTTCCGAGATCGTCGCTTCTTCCCTCGCCGCAGAGCGAGAAGATCGGAAGGCTCCCTTCAGGAATTCAAGTTATCATATTTCCGAAAAGTAGTCGCATCTTTTTATCAAGAAAAGGCTGACCATCCTTTTCGTATAATTTGCGTGTGAAAAGGGGCGTGGATTAAGACCAAAAATTGACCTTATCATTTAAATATCCCCAATCTACAGGATAATTTGTATAAGTATCCTCGCCGACGCCATCAACGCGCCAAAGCAAGCGGTAGTTTCCCACCTGTTTTATTTTTATTATTATTTATTTTTACAAAAGTCACTCGAGTGAATGATCTTCGGTTTCCTGCGCACAGTGGGGTCCACCTGATGGCGGGCGGACAGCAACAGGGGGAGCTGCGTGGCGCCGATCCGCCCGCCGCAGTCCCCCATGAGTTGCGCTCACGCGGTGGCAACCCCTTCAGGTTCCCTCGTCTTTTCTCAACTATCCTCATCGTATCGGCGACAATGCTCGTTTGAGTCGCTCTCTGTTCTCGAATGATGGATTATTCTCTCGTGTCGGTTCTGGCGGGTGTCTTGGATCGGTACGTTTTTCTTCCCTTATCTTGTTTTCGTGATCAGCGTGGGTGATCTGAGAGTATTCCTTAAATCTGTGTCAATTTAACGAACATTTTCGTCGTAAGGAATCCATCACCTCGCATTTTTGCCCTCTTTCTCCTGGATGCTAATATATTTTTCTCCTGTTCCGAGTTGCAATTGTATGTCTACATTTTTTTTTCATGCGATGAAAGATATAAATCAGTCCGTGACTGATGCTTCTTTCTCATGAATACGAATATCTTCAGGTTCTCTTTCTCTAGTTCCGAATCGCAATTTTCTCCTTTTTTGAAAAATCCTCTCAATTGTGGAATAGCCGGTGTTTTGTGTGCAGCTTTCTTCTGATTTTACGTCTGCAGCCTATTTAATGCGAAGAAAAAATAAATCAGTCCCTGACCAACAACACTCCCGCATATTTTGCCGCCTTCTCCTAAATACTCAGATTTGTTTTCTCCATTATTTTATTTTTTAACAAATCCTGATAATTCTGGATTAGCTGCTGTTTTATATGCAATGTTGTTCTGATTTTACGTCTGCAGTTTTTTCATGCGAAAAAATTTGAAAGCAGTCCAAGACCGATGGCGCCCTCTCTTTTCCTCTCTTTTTCTGTCTCTGGCCCCGAAATTTTCTATTATTTTCTAAAAAAACCTAGTAGTTGTGGAGTGGTCAGCCAGTTCTTTGTGTGGAATCTTCTTCTGATTTTACGTCTGCAGTTTTTTTCAATTCTAAGAAAAAATAAATCAGTCACTGACCAACGATACCCTCGCGTTTTTTGCCTCTTTCCCTTGAACACTAATATCTCTTTCCTTTGTTCCCGAATTGCGGTTTTTCCCCTTTTTCTTAAAAATCCGGGTCATTGAGGAATGTTCGGTGTTTTGTGTGCGATTTCTTCTGATTTTACGTCTGAAGTTCTTTTTCATGCAAAATAAATAAATAAGGCATGCTTTTTTAGCCGTTTTTTAATTTTTTCCCATAATTTGCATAAAAATTGAAACTAACGATTGACTGTCGCCGAGTTTGAGGCATTGCTAAAAACAGTGGAGAAAAGAGCAAAAAAGGTTGGGGAGGGGTGGGCGGGCTTCTGGCGACCGTTGCTGGGATGGGGATATTGCACACGTGTCGCGTCTGCGATTCAAACACGCAAGACAAAAAATATGAACAGGGAAGTTTTTATTTGATAAAAAATACAAACGATGGAAAATAATCAGATAACATCCTCATCCGGACACCCACGTGTAACAATATATATATATATATATCTCTTCCGTAAAAGGCTGAAAACAGAGACAAAAACGGAGGGCGAGGGGGGCGATCTCAAATCAAGGGTGCTCGCGTGGCACGTCTGGGGACGTCGGATTGGGGAAGTGAAACCACGACCATGGATTGGTCAGTGAGAACGGGGGTGGCGAAGATGGGAGCGGGGATGAAGGCGGAGGTGGCGGCGCAGGGGCGAAGGGGTTGGTAGGGAACGGCGGCAGAGAGAATGAGAAGGCGGGCGGCGGCGGGGAGGGGGGAGGAGGAGATGGGGTAAACAGGAATGGGGGGAACGAGAACTGAAAGGACGGCGGAGGAGGCGGAGACGGGAACAGAGATGGAGGGAAGGGGAAGGGGAAAGCCGGGGGTGGCGGCGGCGGGGGAAACCAACCAGGAGGCTGCGGGAAGTTGAAGGGCGGCGGGCCCGGTGGTGGGACGAAGGGGAAGGGGAAAGACGGTGGCGGCGGTGCCAGCCAGGGGAATGGAAACGACGGCGCTGGGCTGGGGAAAGGGAAGGACGGCGGTGGGCTGGGGAAGGGGAAAGGGAAAGGAAAGGACGGCGGTGGGCTGCGGAAGGGGAAGGGGAAGGGGAAAGAGGTCGAGGGGGTGGGGGTGGGGAACGGGAAGGGGAAAGAGGTCGAGGGGGTGGGGGTGGGGAACGGGAAGGGGAAAGGGAATGGAGGCCAGTGGGGGAAGGGCCAGGGAAACCCGAACGGGGGGAAGGGCGGCCAGAAGAAGAGCGAGGAGCCGAAGGAGTCGGAGAGCTGCTCTCCGGTTCCGGCGGCGGGGGCGGCGCCGCAGAGGGCGAAGTCCCTCTTGGCGGGCCTGTAGAAGAGGGCGTTCAGGTTATAGACGCAGAAGTTGGCCTCGGCGCAGCGGACGCCGACGTGCTCCGACGATATGCTCAGGCCGGGCACGTTGCACAAAGGGGAGGAGCTGCGGACGAGGTTCGCCCTGCAGAAGGACTCGATCTCCCGGCCCTCCCTGCACTGGAAGTCGTCCACCGGCGGGACGTCCACTCGGTAGACCCCGAACCGGTCAGTCGTCCGCTCGACCGAGATTGTGATCTCCTCCCTCGCCGCCCCAGCTGCCTTGAAGCTGCACTCCACTCTTACCTTGGCCCCTGAGAAAAATCGAAACCCAGTAGAGTCAGTAACACGCGGCCATTCAGAGAGAGAGAGAGAGAGAGAGAGAGATTCTGTGGGTCGACCGACCTCGCAGGAAGTAGCTGTGCTTGGAGAAGCTGTTGTTGGCGCAGATGTCGCAGAAGACGGTGCCCATTACAGTGATGTTGGAGCCGGGCTTCGGCCTTGCACCGGCAACCGCGGCTTCCAGTCCGGCGGCAGCCAGGGCGGCGAGGAAGAGGAAGAGGGTGGCGGAGAGGTCCATGGCTAGCCAAACGGCGCCGGCAGAGGGAGAAGCTTCCGGACTAGTGAGCTTCTAAAGTAGCAGCAGCAGCCGGAGCAGCAGCAGCACCACCACCCCTAGCCGCGGAACCCTGTCCGCCATCCACAACTTGGGCCTTCTGCCGAAACATAGAAACACGACAATGGCCGGAGCTTTGTAGGGGGTGTGGGGTTGGGGGGGCGGAGCTCTTTAGCAGGTAGCGACCCGTGAGCAGTTGGCTGTTATCTGGAAACAGTGAAGGAGGAGCGGGGCTGCCTGCCTGCGCTTTCCCTTCGCCGTCTCGCATGGCAACAAGAACATGTGAAGGCGCGGACCTTTGACCGGACGTGGCCTGTCGGAATTATTTAAGCAGTGGAGGGAGGGGGAGGAGGCCCCTCACCTCGTCGCCATGCCCCTCCTTTTAGTGGTCTCACGGGGCGCGTGGCTCTGCGTGCGCGCATCGCCGCCATGATCTCCCCTCGCACCGCCCCCACCCAGAAGGGCGAGAAAACCCTACCCGCAACAGGAGGCGGCCGCCATGGAGACCCATTCCAGACAAGGTAGATCCTTCTCGGCAAACCCCCTTCAAAGATCAGACCTTGGAAACCCCACTCAGTCTCTTCCGATGGCCTTCGCGTGATCCTGGTGGAAGCAAGCAGATGGAATCGAAGGCCCAAGCCCCACAGAAGAGAGAAACAGAACAAGGGATTCGGGCTTAAGCGATGGAAAAGGAGCATGTATGTGGTGAAGAGTATGCCACCAGCGGCGGCCTACTACATGGAGAACACCTGAGGCATCCTTTTCCACAGACTCACGGGCACTCGACGGACATCTTGTGAGAGGAAGAGGGAAGAAGCACATAGGGAAGAAAGATAGACCGGACCCTATACATTCCACACCACAACATTAAGTCACCCTCCCCTGGCGCTCGGGCGACCGGTCTCCGGCGAGAAGCCCGACTCCCCGAATCGAAATGACGCCACTTCGGATCCACCGGAGTCCTAAAGTATAGAGCACGAGCAGAGCGTCCTCCTCGGTAGTTCCTCCACCTTCTTCTCTGAACGGACAAAGAAGGATCCCACTGTCAGATTTTGTGCAAGAATCCCCCTTTACCTGGAAATCAATGTGTACATGGGTGGCACACCATGCAGCATTATGTCTAATGTCTAGAGCAGGAGCACCGCAATATTTCATACAGCATGATGGCGCTACAGCACAAGTTGTTATCCTTTGAGGTGTCCAAGGATTAGCAGGGCTTCTAAAAAAAATAGGCAACGAGTAGAGACGATAATCGTTTTCCCATTTTCAATTGGACAGAATTAGATCAATCCAAGAGTATAAAAAAAAGAGCATTCTGTTTTACCTTTGTCAATCACTTTCAGCATTAACTCATCAAAAGTTGAGAGACTTATTGAAGAGCTGTCCGTCGTCCGGTTGGGCAAGTGAAAAGATTGAAGAATCTCTAGGAACGTGAAAGATGAATAACAGAGGAAATGTCTTTGCCCTTTCTCCATTCTCTTTTTTTCCTTTTTCTATTTTCGGGTTGGGACATGGGATCGTCGAAGATTGCAAGGACTAGCAGCTGATAGGTAACTCTTTTGAAAACGTATTATTCATTAAATTCCTCTCCCCCTCACGAGGCAAAGGATGATGCCAATAGACACAACTCACAAGATTATTGTGAATATAGTTGCCCTTATTGTCAACAAGAAAGGGCCCAACAATCCCATGTAACGGGGTCACGGATTCTTATTAACGCAGACTTAGCATCGTTAATAGAACTATCTTAAAATTAATGTACTTTAAAGAATATAGAACAGCTATTTGTTCCACGTATAGTCTCTAATGCAGAATGGAGGAAAAAGAGAACAAGTGAACATCCATGGACCCAGCATGTTTCTGTCTGACGGACCAAACATGTAAACATTCCCATGATTTTGATCCATGATTCTAGATTCATTATGTGATTTTGAATTTGGACAGTTGACCAAACTCATTACTGAAATAAATAGTTATTCACATACAGAGTAACATGCTCACCACAGGTAAGGTGATGACTAAAGACCCCCTTTATAACGTTTGGAAGAAAAACTAGATCCCGAAACAAAAAGACAAGACATTTAAGCCTGCCTCGTCACACCTCAAACAACTGGTTAATGTTTCCACTAGAAGTTGATATCCCCTTTTAGAAAATTAGACACAATACTACGTATAACTATAAGAAACTAAGGCCTTTCAAGGATGCACCGCTAGAACTAGCATTTTAAGATGGAAACAAACACAAAATCCAAATTTAAATTGAGTCAGCCAGCATGCAGAAGCACACCGGGAGCATATTTTTAAGCAGCTTCTATTGAAAATACAAGCTTCTCAATGTTTGAGTATAATCTAACACTGTTTTCGATTTCGAACATATTATTAGATTTGGGAACATTCAAAACATGAAAGATCAACTCACAACACAATATACTCACTTGTTAAACACCTCCCTAGCTATATCCAATTCAAGAAAAATGTGAAGCGCAGCAGGAGGGAAGAAAAATGCAGCAGAATGAGTAGAAAAAAAAGGTTCAAACACCACAAACCTGTCTTTAATTTCGTTACCAACGGTTGAACAACAACGTGCATGGTGATCACTCCCCCAGGTAGTTCACCGAAAGGTACTCGGCATTGTGCAATGGTTTTGGTATTCTCCAAAATCTTTCCCGCACAAATTAATTTCACATCACTAGCAGCCTTTGGTATTATCTTTTTATCTGCAGGCGATAAGCATCACACAATCAAAAGGACAACTCCACAGAAACAGCATTCAACATAAATCGAAGCCTCAAACATGCAGAGAATTATTTTCCAGTATAAACAAATCCATTAGATAGACACTTTGATTCAGAACAATTAGACAGAGAAAACAGAAAAGAATAGACAAAGCATAGGCGAGGCTACAACCAGGGGAGCCAATTCCATTCTCCAAGGATTACTCCATTAACAACTTATCCATTACCCTTGAAGCCTTAAGGAGTCTCAGACATAACGAATAGGAATGCTTCGTTCCTATGAACAAAAGATGATCCTAATAAGTTACCATGACCTTCAAGAAAGAACGTGGGGACCAGCTCGTGGGAGCCACTAGGTGACCATCCATCTCCAAAGAGATAAAAAGAAACATTAGATGTCCCGTAAAGGAAAATGTATGAATATATTTCATTGGCAACATCCATACTCCAAAACAAGATGTTGAGAAATGAGGTTTCGCCCTAGAGCAGTCTGGCTGTGCAGCCAAGGGATTTTTCAATCCGTCCTCTTGCAGCCGAGATGTTGACCTTCAACATCCATGTAGAGCGTAAGGGAGGATTTCCAGCCCACAATAGAGAGGATGCACGTAGTTCGGAGCTCGGGTGTCCAAATAATAATCACAAAAACTACCAACAAGCAAGTCAAATCACAATACAGCAGCTCGGTGGTTGAACCACGGAAATCGTATCGCACGATTCTAACCTCGAGGCCATTCAGACACTATCCTGTCCTTGAGCATCCCCACTGTTGAAGCTGCGGAATACTGATTCGGACCTATGTCCGTCCCATCATAGAGTCGGAACTTGAGTTCAACCAGCTCCTCTTCTGGCATTTGAGCTTCGCAAGTCGCCGAAGGCCTTTGAAAAACGATCGATGAACGACGAAGGTAATCACACCCGACTTCCTTCTCTCCTACAAATTATGATGGAATTATCGTCAGACAAATCCGAGAGGTGAAAACACAGCATAATACACAATCGATTCGATGGAAGAACATACGATACGTCTAGCACGAAAAAAGGGGAAAAAATCACACCCTTCCAGATCACCGACCGCTTAACAATCCAGATCGGCGATCCACCAAGTCGCTGCTACCAGAAGAGCAGGCGTTCAACGGTGCGAAGAAATCCAAGAGTATCGCAGGTTACGAAGGAACCGGCAGAAGCAGACCGCGGAAGACCAGCAGGGATCAAGACGACAGCATGCGTTCCCGGACCGCCGCCTCCCCTTTTTCCAGGGAACGAAAGTTCGCTGCAGCCCCAAAATCAGAGTTCCTTGTGAATTAGGGCTCGAAGCTCGGCGTGGGCAGGGAAGACGAGGAGGGCTGCGCGGAGAAAGCGAGAGGAGCAAAAACCTTGCGGACACGCTTGGAATCGGTGCGACCGGTTGCACCGGAAGCCGAAGCCAGTCGCTCCGACCGAACTCTGCGCCGCCGGGTCTCGTTGACCAAGTGTCGAGCGACTGGTGCAACGCGTGGTGGTTATTACCTCATTCTCTGGAAAACTGGTCCCGTCTGACCCTCCCCCATGGAAACTATCAGAGGCACAGACCGAGCGAGCGAGCGAGCGAGCGAGAGAGAGAGAGAGAGAGAGAGAGAGAGAGAGAGAGAGAGAGAGAGTTTAAGGATGGGCCCATTTTCTTTATGGGCTTGAATGCAACGTCCAACATCAGAATAATAATGGGCTTCAACCCTCACTTACGCGTGTCCTCGGCTGCTTAATTATTAAGAAAATGTAAAATTAAATACGAACATTTTTCAATGACCAGTGTCATGAAAGAAAAAAATCATACCAACTTCGATGCAGGTTATAATAAACCCTCGAGGCTTCGACTGTGGTGGACCTTTTACAGGAATATGAAAACAATAATGTCTCCAAAGGAGGTTATTTTTTTAAAAAAATATAATAGGGACTAGTCTGCAACGGGCATCATGTGTCAGTCAACTGTACGGCGACTTGACTTGAGAAACGAACCTGTTAGTAGTCTTCAGTTGTTTGAGGTCGCCCTGCTTGCGAGCCAAGGGACGGAAGAGGGGGGGGAGGGGAGCCATGATGGGCATCGCGTGGCGTCCCACATTGGCACGCTGGCTGTCGGGCCGGAGAGTCGGGGGAGCAGTCATTCGCCGGCAGCATGCGACATCATTTGATAGATTTTTCCTGTTCGCCGGCGCCGGAGAGGAGCACAGACCCCGCCGGCAACGCCGCCCCCCGGATAAACGCCGTCGCTTGGGCGGCTGCGGTAGGGTGCAGCGGCGAGAACCGGAGAGGGGGCATGAGGAGCAACTAGGGGAGCGGACAGGAGAGGGAGGGAGAGAGCTCACGCGGCTCCCCACACGCGACAGCGCTGGCCCGCGGCCCACCGCCGGTCGGTCGGGATTCGAACATGTCGACAGACGGGGCATCATTCCCTCGGCGCCGGCACGGCCTTCCACCGGCGACCGGCGGGATGTTGTTCTTTTGTTTTAACGCCCCGATAGGGGGGAGATGGGCAACATCATCATTCGCGTCTCGTGCTTTCTCTCTCCACCCAGATCCAGTAAGGACTTTCCCCATGGGAATGCATACCTGCACAGTAGTGCAGGTTTTTAAGATCACGCGACCAACTCAAGATTAAGCGAGAGAAAATAAACAGATGTATTTAGTCCTTATCCCGGATTTGTCACATGACATCAAAACTCCAGTTTTTGTCGGTCAAAGATGACGGACGGATACTGCTCTAGCTATGCCGAAGATCTTTGTCTGTTCTTTTATTAATCTCTGAGTTGGGTTGCGTAATTTACTCGTTTGGATGCAAGTGGATTTCGTCTGCAGAAAACTTCTATAAATACGTAACCTCTTCATCTGCACTTCGCTTCACTCTCACTCTCCGCCAACAGCTCCCGACCACTCCTCCTTCCACGTGCTCGTGTTACACCTCCTCCCCTCACCGCTTTCACTTCATCATCTTCGTGGGCGAGCTTCGTCATCTTGTCTGCGGGCAATGCAGAGCAGCATGCATTACAAAGCGGCGGGGGCGGAGACGTGGAGCTCTCACATGCCGGGGTCGTCCCCTCGCAGGAGGACGGCGGGGGCCTGCGACGCGCTGGAGAGGGTGGAGAGGCTGGCGGCGGAGAACGCGGTGGTGATCTTCAGCGTGAGCACCTGTTGCATGTGTCACGCCGTGAAGCGGCTCTTCTGCGGGATGGGAGTGAACCCGACGGTGTACGAGCTGGACGAGGACCCCCGCGGGGCGGACATGGAGAGGGCGTTCCTGCAGCTCCTCGGGGGGCCTTCTGCTGTCCCCGTCGTTTTTGTCGGTGGGAAGCTGGTCGGGGCCATGGACAGCGTCATGGCCTCCCATATCAGCGGTACCCTCGTGCCCCTCCTCAAGGAGGCCGGTGCCCTCTGGCTCTGAACTCCGGACTCATACGGACAGACGACATAGATGGATAGAAAGATAGCATGAGAGAGAGAGAGAGAGACAGAAATGGGTGGATGGTTGTTTTTCTCGTCTACCCCCGTTTCGGACTCCTCATTGAGTTACCCGTCTTGCTTTCACCTTCCGGTTCCGTTCCCTTAAAAGTTTTCCGTTTCTTTACTGGGTTGGCGTGGGTTTTCCGCCTGGAGGCCTGATTACCGTTTGTCCTTTGTACAGAACAGCGGTGATGAAATGGAAAATCATGGTCAATGGATGGCTACTTCATATTGTCTGGTTCATTGGAAGCTTACGACTCCTGCCCTCCTTTGCTTCCATTCTTTTGCTCATCTTCTCCGCCTTGTTCTGGGATACCCTCTCGATTGACCGAGGCGGAAAGGCTTCTTCTTCCCTACGTCGCGCTGAGTATCCTGCTCACCGCCATAGAGAGAGGCAGGCAAAACAGGAAAGAGAGTGGAGTAGAGAGAGACAGATTAAGGAGGCGTACGACCAAAAATCATCCCCCCCAATCCACTCGTTTGCATCTCCCCTGGTTTGACCGACTGTTCAGTTGGGCTCAGGCAGGAAAATCCAACTGTCTATTGAATGTCTTGAATCTCTCAAGATATCCACTTTTCTTCGGCATGTAAATACATATGATTTTAAAGTTATGATTTGTACTCTACAAATGAATTCATTTGATACCCAGAGAGAGAGAGAGAGAGAGAGAGAGGAGCTCTCATATGTGTAAGATGGGAAAAGTTCTGACTACCTCCTTCCGATGTCGACAGTGTCCCCGAAGACTGCTCTCGATGACTTCGCCGGCTTCCGTCAAATGGACACCGTACGCCCTCAGCCGGCGGACGTCGCGAGAGAGGGGGCTCTGCCAGCGGCCGTCCCACCAGGCGGGCGGCATGAGCGGCGTGGCGGCGCACTGATGGCGCTGCCTGTGACAGCTCAGCGGCCCGGCGAACCTGTTCCAGGCGTGCCCCCATCCCGCCTGGCTCCCCAGGCCTCGCTCCAGCAGGTTGCTGTGGATGCTACTGAAGAACGAAAACCCCGACGGCGTAGAAGCCTCCTCATCTGCGCCGCCCAGAAGCCCCCACATGAGGATCGAATTCGATCGCCGCCCGTCCATGATATCCCAAGGAAGGGAGCTTACCCAGCTGGTTGGCGGCGGCAAGCGCCGCGATGAGCTGCGCGTAGGTCGTGCCGATGCGACGATGGGCTCCAGAAATGACCGCGCGCTTGGCGCGCGACGCAAGGAAGAAGTCCACGAAGGCCACCCACCTCGGCGATGGCCCCCAGTCCCTCGCCCTGAAAGCCAACTGCAACCAGTTTCCTCACACCTACTTAATATATGTACAACTGAATATGCAAACAAAATAAATGTACCGAGAAGAAGGTGATGAGGCAGGTGCACAGCGACAAGCAAATCATTGTGTTTTTGGATCATACCTTGGTCAGAGATCCTGTAAATTAGTGGTTTTTCATGCGTGGTATGACAGTGTGAGGAGATTCATCAAAGGATTTACCCCGTCCGAGCTAAAAACTCCACGGAAGGGAGACTCGAAATCAAGAGAATACGTAAATACCTGCTGTTGGACTCTGAAGCTTGCATTGGGCACGCTTATTTCAAACGCCTTGTGATCGAAGTGGATAATCTGTCGGACATATCCAATCAAAGATGTTATCGTCCGCGCATGATTCAGCTGCGATTCAATAGTCTTCAAACGGAAGAACGGGGTGTGTGGGCTTCTACCTCGCCGAATTCCTTCACGCCTGGACTGATATCCCTGATGAACGACGGTGTATCAGAAACCAGAACCACACGGGGCTTTGCACTCTGTGGCCGATGAGCCGACGAGGCTCTTCTGATGCACATTAGAGCCGCCTGTATTGCCCTTACAGACCTGAAATCATGATCCACAGCTCGATTTCATCCCAAGGACATGAATAACAAATCAAAAGCCCCGAGACAAGCTCGTTACAGTACCTGCCTGACATCATGCGAGCGTGCAATGTCACGTCAACCTCTTTGCGGTCACGAAGAACCCAGCGTACAGCTTCTTCAATGGGTCTGGAGGGGGAGACGAGGGCCCGCATCAGTTCCCCAAATACATTTGGCCGGGATTGGACAGCTCCCGGGTCCCCGAACAGATTTAAAGCCCTGTTCTTCATTCCGGGGTGGATGTTCTTCAGGAAGAACTGGGCCCCAATGGCATCCGTGGTACCTTCAAACCTGCCATGAGATATTCCAACGGGATGTCCTCAGGTTTCTCAACAAGGTCCATACCCACAACTTCTGCCATGATCTCTCTAATATAAACCACAAGGAGATCACTTTCCCATGAACAAATATTTGGAGAATGCGACCAACGAGAGCACAGAGGTGAAACCGAGCATTTACCCGAAAAGATCTCGCTGTGGATCTCAGACAGGCATTAGAGGGCATGCATTAATATCGCGAGGAACAGAGGACGATCGAGACTAAAGAAATAAAATGAAACTGTGAAGCCACGGATGGCCTCCAGTTTTTAACTGCTGCAGGCGTTTTCGAAATGACAATTGAAACTTTGAGAGACTTTCTCTCGTAATATCATCAAAATAGCAAAACCAAAGCGCAGTCCGACGAGATAAATGAACCTGGAAGAACATGTAATACGGGTCTAATAACCGGTATAAATCTTTGGTGAAAAAAAAAGAAAAGAAGAGAAAAACGAGACCCACCAAATGACCGGTTGTTTCCAAAGAGTCCAGTCGCTGCACAGGACGTTTGATTCTGCGGGCTTTAGAAAATGATCGATCCTCACCGTGAGCGGTCTCCCATACTTCTTCGTGCATTTATTCTTACTCCAAAGTCTCTTGACCTCATCCAATGTGAAGCTTGTGTTGGAATACGATAGATAATCCCCGAAAGGGAATGAACCCCTGCGGAAAGAATGCATCCGAAGAGAGTGAAAAGCTGAGAGATGACTCGATTTTCCATGTAATGCCGTCGGCCTGGAAGCGCTACTACTAGCACTGCAGAGCCTGAATTCTACGAATGATGCAACAAAGAAAGAAGTATCGGCGGGAAGTCAACGGAGGAAGAGTGTGCGTGCCTGTTTTTCCCGATGATCAGGGATCGGTTGAGCATGATACTCAGTGCTCCCGCAGTTAAGATCTTGTACATTTCATTGCCGAAACCCGCGCGTGTTGCCTTTCCTATCACAAAACCCTGTCTGCAATACTGCTCTGGGGGCAGGGCTCGAACTCTGGCCGCTCCTGGTTTGCATCAACGCGAGCTTAAATCAATGTGGATATCAAAAAAGCAAGTGTTTCGATCTACATGATTTCTGCTGGAAATCGTTGACCTATGAAACGGGATCATAATCCACTCCTGGGTACCAGTAATCTGGGAGAAGTGGACGCGGGTCCCCGCTGAGCCGGGGTCATGGATTATTAGTGATGCCTCTTTGGGAAATTCTTTGAGTTCCTCGGTCTGGAGCTCGAAGAGAGGTATATATGGATTGCAGTGAGATGACCCTTATTCTGAGCTCAAAATCGGCGTTTGAAGGTCTACCGCTCTGCTCTTTCACGTTCGAGGAAAACCGCGGACAGAATCGAATCGCGGGAGGGAGGGTCAGGGACATACCGTTCAGCCGGAAGTGTTCCTGTATCAACTTCCGAACTCTGAGGCTTTCCTTCTCGGATCCCTGTCTGAAGACCGCCCCCATCTCCTCAACGATGGCGCAAGACCCAGTCCTCGTACCCTTCTCTTCTGCTTCATCGGCCTCGATCTCGGCTTCCACAGGCTGCTGCTCCCTACCGTCGCCCTCGTCCTCATCCGCCGCCGCCGGCTCCGTCCCCTCACCCCCATCCACCCCGGGGGGAAGGGATACCTCGACCTCGGCATAATCCTCCAAGGCATCCGTCCCCTTACTGCCATCCACACGGAGCTCCAAGTGATCAGGGGGAGGTGTACCTCCTCCCCGGGTAGCAGCCGAGAACACGAAGAACAGGACAGTGAGCACGCAGAGAAGGAGGAGCAGATGAAGGGGAGATGGGCGGAGCCTCCCCTGAGATCCGACACGGCCGCCGCGCTCCCTCATGTCCGCAGGGGGGAATGGACGGAGCCGCGACGCAGATCCAACGCCCTTCCGCCAGACTGCAGTAATCGCAAGCTTCTCTCTCTCGTTCTCTCTCTAGCCCCGCTCCAATTTCCGCGCATTTAATTCTTTTAAATGACGTCATTTTTGTCAGAATGTCTGAACCTTGTCTCTCTCTCTCTCTCTCTCTCACTCGGCCTTGTGAAGCCGAGCACGCAGAGTAGATTATATTTTCCCACAAATGGGCCGCTGTTGGGCGCCGTCTTCTGCAGCTGGAAGTGTGCAGTATATATACATAGCAACTTCAGACGAGCTGAGTCTTGTGTGGGACCCGTTGGAAGCGGCTGAGGTCAGAGCTGAAGCGGCTAGCAGAAGAACCGAAATAACTAGGCTATATATATACCCCCATTTTTTCTCGCAACATATGCCGATACGATAAAATATTCACTAAGGTTCCATCTTTTCTCCAAAGGTGCGATAAATAAGAAACAAAATTGAGTAATTAATAATAATAATAATAAATCATTATTAATTCTCTCCACACGTGGCACTGACAGAGGATGGATATACAAAGCTCCCGAAGAAAGAAAAGGTGTGGTGCGGGAGCGTAAACCCCGTTCTGATGATCCTCACGGATCCGAGAGGATGACTGTTTACTTGGCCAGATGAACCCAGTGCGGCGTGGTAGTCCTTCAAACAGCTCCACTCAGGTCTCAGCCTAAGGACTTTCAGTCAGCCGACCGTTGGGTCGAGAAAGGTGATATCTCCACATTTCTGCGAGAGACGGCCCGGGGATTTTTCAAAGCGGAAGCCCGCGTCACGGGAATAATGCTTAGCCTCTCCGTCCCGCACCAATTCGTATACTCCGGGAAAGAATATAAATAATGAAACGATATTCAAAATTACCGATGTGGGACTAACTTCCATACTGTTTGGAGGAGCAATCTCCGGCGGCATGTCTGAATCTCCGCACGCCAGGGGGCCGACGTCTCCTCCCGCCGGTAGAGATTAAAAGGCTCCCATCATGGCTACCTGAAATGGAACCAATCGCCGACATGAAGACCACCGCCGGCGGCGGTGCCCGACGGCTGTACCCCTCCTCCTCCACCGACCCGGCCAACTGCAGTCTAAAGGTGGGGGAAGCGTCTCTCCGAGGCCGATAACGTTAGCCCCCCCACCATCAGTACCACCACCGAGAAATCGCAGCGGCGGCGGAGTCTGCTTGTTCGATGCATGAAGCGTGCCTGCTTCCCCGATGGGGTGTTGCAGGAGATCTTCCCTACGTGTAAAGGAAGGGCGGGGAGTTAGTGGCCGAGGGATTCTAGTATGGGGAGTGTTTCGGATGGGGGCCCTTTCCACGTCTTCCTCCCCATAATTGGAGAGATTGGCGGAGAAAGTATCTGGGTGGCGATGGGGAAACCACCACCACCACCACCACCCCAGCCTACTCCCCTCAGCTTCTCCCCGTCCGCATGATCCAGTAGAATTCATTGGTTACTGCCTCCGGCCTCCCTCCCCAATCTTCCCTCCCAAAAGATCCTCCAGAGGAAGAGGAAATGATATCGGCGGTGGATGGTGGCCGAGTGATCACGCAGGTTGATGGAAGGAGCACGAGACCACACCCACTGTTGACAGGCGGCGTGCTCCTCCTTCCCCTCTTTCTCTCCCACCTCCCAAGGGAGCGGGGGGGACTCCCCTTTCCCAACCAGCTCCTCATGCCCAGCTAGTGCTTCTGTTCCTCGCCCACTGGGGCTTCCGCTTCCACGTCCACTCCCACTGCAGGACGCCAATAACTCACTTCCTCCAAGTGTTCGACGATATGCCTCACTGGCGTGCTTTCATGTTGCCCATCTGCGTACCTACGTGAAAATCTACGTACGTACGTACAACGTTTCCTTCCATGCACACAGACTACGTGCATAATGTAGCAATGGTGCCAAGAGAAAATGGGAAATGAAACTTAAACGCGGGGTGCGCGGTTGTGCTCGCAGCCGGATATCATCACTGCGTTTATACAAATTATTGAAGGAACATGAGATCTAAGCTTCCATAGCATCTAATCAAAGATTATCGGGCGGTGGGACGCCTCGTGATCGCGTGGTCTCCCCGGGATATGTCTTGCTTGTTCCGCATCTGTCCACCATCGGCATGCTGCCTGGGATCCCCCACCAGAATCGCCATCTGAGCGATCTCCCAGATGAACACTTGGAGAACGCATTAACTCCGGGGTGGTTGCATGATCTACTCCGGTGTCCGGTAAACCCTTTCTCGCAGCTGTTTTATGGGTTTACTCGTTATACCATGGCTTCTAGAGCCATTTCCTCGAGTCCGGCCGCAAGGAGGAACCGTGGAACCCACCACGGCAGCCCACGCAGAGCGAGGAATGCGACCGCTTCCCCTTCAAGCGGCACACATCGCTCAGGGCGCTACCCCTGTCTTGTTCACATTTCGTCATCCAAATACGGCGGCGCCCACGGTAGATCAAATCGAACAAGATAATGGCGCAAACGAGAGGCAACCATCCCGTGCTTTTACAGGATCAGACGCAACTCGGGTGGGCTGGAATGGGCAAGAGCGAGAGGTGGAGGAACCAGAAACGGGCGCGCGAGGCAGAAAACGCGGAGACAGCGCTCAACGACGGAGAGGAAGAGCGTGAATACTGATTAGAGAAGCCCCGTCTTTTGTTCCCTTCTCACTTAAGACGGAGGTGTTGTACGCTGGAAACGGCGGGGATCCGGGTGAGTGCGCCCGCCGCCGCCTCCTCCACCTCCAACTCCTCCCACCTGTGGAGGAAGATCGAGTTTCCATGCTGTGGTCCGAGGAATGGGAACTGTTGTTCTCCCACTGAGATTGCCTACGATCGCCTGCCTGCTTATGCAAGGGAACATTCTTTTCACATATGCCTCACTTTAGGGTTCGTTTCTCCAAGAAATCACCATTTCTGTCAAGATTTATGATCCTGGATAATATATTCTAGTAAGAGAGAACAATGCCCACATTACAGAGAAGGCAATACTCAGATCTTCTGAAAATACGTCTGTATATATACATCTAGATCCTCTAGCACTCCGTGTGTTACGTCCTTCTCCCTGACGACCCTTGGAAAGTTCATACCTCCTTGAGAAGCCCTTTGGCAGCTCGAATTCATCCCCGAATGCCACCTAAAATTAAAACTAGAATCTTTCGCGTAGGATCTCGCCGACACTTATCCAAACATAAAACCAAAGTTGTTGTCGAGAGACTTTGCGGACTACGGCATGAATGTCCACTACAAGCAGATAATCTCAAGATCAGCCCTCCTTGCTGCCGTCGACAAACCTAATCAGCCGAGCATTACGGGATGCCGAGGAGAAAGCAGAAAGATAGCATAATTCGTGCGCTTCGCTTTCCCGTCCTCTTATAACGGCAGTGCGAACCCTTCCAACGCAAGGGATTCAAGCACGCCTGCAAAGTTTAGATAAGCCAGCTACCTAAAGACCCTTTTACTCAACAGAACGCCTTCCTACGGGTCAAACCATTGAGATCGTCCCTATCGCTGCGAAGATTCACAATATATTCACACAAACACGTATAGATATATATGGATCGATATATATTGAAATATATCGGGTAAATATGCGCAGAACAGTGAGCTCTTAGCTTAGAGATGATGGAAATGATAGAACATCTACAGTTGTTCGCTTATTTCGGCTTTAGAGATGAAGGGTGTGCTTTCGATAGAAAGGGACGGGATTGTGACGGGGGAGGAGGGTAGGGTTTCTATTCAGTGAGCTTTCCGTATAGCGGATGGGGGAGGGGGCCGCTGACATGGGGGAGAGAAACGGCCCAGAGCATATGCGTGCGTATGTGCTCTTAAGGATTGTCACGTGAAAGGTGGCTAGCTTTCGCGCGGAGCGAGTAACGTAAAAATATGGCACAATGCGGTACCGTGGAGCAGCCTACGCTGTCTCTCTCTCTCTCTCTCTCTCTCTACCCTCCCCGTCTCTCTATCAGTACTCGTTCAGTATGGAGAGGAATCTATGGGTGAAGGAAGCAAAGGATACAACAGGAGGCCATATCATGTATTTTGTTGCATACTGTGGTCGGTTGAGAATGATTACCCGAACGCCACCTCCGCCCTGGAAACCGAGGGAGGAAATGGACACGCCAACCCCGGGCCTATATAATGATCCATCAAGAGCCTCTACCCCGCAGAGCGTCAGGACTGGAAGACAGCTCCCCAGCGTCACTATACCGCAGCAGCCCCTCCCGCTCTCTCTTGTCTGAGAGTCTGGGGTTTAGGGCGTGAGGGAAAGGAGGCTTTAGGGTTTTCTTTCCTCTCTGCCCTCGGCTGCTCCACCTCCTCCCGTCCAGAGTTCTCTCATCTCTCCTCCGGGGTGTTTGGAGAAGGGAATGGCCGCGATGCACCACCATTTGGCTTTTGCCTTCGGTATCCTAGGTTGGTTCGAAAGAGCCCTCTACCTCTCTCGCTTTCCCTCTCATGCTCGAGAACGCCTACTTCGTCTCTCGTTTCTCGGCGATGGGGTTCTGTGGCTCCTGCGGGGAACGTGAATCCACGGGCCGCTCTCCTATTTCATTCGCTATTGTTTCTCCCATCGGCGATTTTCCGATCGAATTACCACAGAACGCTGCTATTTCATCTCGTTCTTCTTCACACTTGCCACCGTCTTGATCGTCTTATCTTCGCTTGGCCTACAGGGAACCTCATCTCATTTATGGTCTATCTCGCCCCAGTGTAAGCAATTACTCCTCCTCCCCCTCCTGTTTCAACATTTCTGTATCATTTACGTGTATGGCTAGCCTTTAACTCCGCCGGGGACCTCAGGCCGACGTTTTACCGGATATGCAAGAAGAGGTCGACGGAGGGCTTCCAGGCGGTGCCGTACGTGATAGCTCTCTTCAGCGCCATGCTGATGATCTACTACGCATTGATCAAGACGAACTCCTTCCTCCTTATTACCATTAACGGGGTCGGCTGCTTCATAGAGACCGTATACATCGTCTTGTTCCTCACTTTCGCGCCAAAGAAGGCCAGGGTAACCATCTCTCCTCCCTCCTCTCCTCCCCCCATCCGGACGGCATAGCAGCCCATTTCCGGCGGCTCGCACGGCGGCGTGCCCTCTTCTAACCGGTGACACACTTCCACCGCTGCAGATATCCACTCTGAAGCTGCTGCTGTTGTTGAACGTTTTGACGTACTGTATCATCGTGGGCCTGACCATGTTCCTCCTCAAGGGCGCCAACCGCGTTCGAGTTATCGGGTGGATCAACGTCGGGTTCTCCGTGAGCGTTTTCGCGGCTCCGCTGAGCATCATGGTCAGCACAGTAGAGCTCACCATCTTATGATATTTTATCACATTGAATGAGTTTCTTAGTCATTGGGTTCCGGTGAGCAGAGGCTGGTGATACGCACCAAGAGCGTGGAGTTCATGCCGTTCACACTCTCTTTCTTCCTAACCCTAAGCGCCGTTGTCTGGTTCGGCTACGGTTTGCTGATCAGGGATCCCTACGTTGCGGTGAGTATCTATCCACCGAGGAATCGTCGTCTTGCTGCACTTGTGGAAGCGATCTCCTGAAGAAGCTCATCTTCTATCCGGGTTCTTTGCCAGGCGCCGAACATACTGGGCTTCCTCTTCGGAGTGGCGCAGATGGTTCTCTACATCATCTATAAGGATGCGAAGCAGCTGAGGGAATGCAAGGACCCAGAGAAGGCCACCGGCCTGCCGGACTCCAAGCACCCCGAGGTGGTCGTCAAGGTCGGCACCATGGCCGCTTCGGAGGTTCATCCCATCGAACCCCCGAAGCAGGAATCCCACGGGAAGGGCGAATCGGAGAGGCGGCACCCGCATGGGGAAGAAGAGGCCGGCGGCGGAGGAGGCGGTGGGGACAAGAATAGCGTGGCGGGCCCGGGCGAGATCGAGCTGAACCCGCCTCGGGCTTGAACGAGCATCGCTGACTCCATTTCGAATTCGAGAATCTCCATGTGCTCCCCCCCATAACTCGTCGTCGCTAGAAGAAGCTAATGTCCTCATCCTCCTCCCTCTCCTCAGTGTCCCCGATCCCTCTTCTATCCTCCGCCACTCTTTCCCCGGGATGAGCGGCGGGGATTGGGAGGGGGAACCCACCCCCTGTCTCTAATGTTATCTCTCGCGTGGCGATCGCCTTCTCTTTTGGCTTGCGGTTCTTCTTCTGTCTGCAAGCTATTCGGTGCCCAGAAACACGCTCGACAGGGTTGCGGCGGGGCGATCAGTCCAAAGGTGAGCTCGTGTGCTCATGACGCCACCAGCCGGCCGGAAAGATGTCCGCTCCCTAACCAACCCAGCTGTTTGTGGGCTGCTGCCCTCTTTAGGCCTCCTGGCCTCCTCCGTGTGAGACGAGCCTGTGTGGGCCCTAGCCGCCTTTGATCCAGACGCAAGGCTCGCCGCGTCGTGACCGGAACTCTCTCTCTCTCTCTCTCTCTCTCTCTCTCTCTCTCTCGCGTCACTCTTCAGTCAGCTGGCTCTGGGATCCTCCCACCGCGCCGCAAACGCAGATAGCGGTGGAAACAGATTCTCAAACATTTGCTTACATGGGACTGGGACCGACCGGACCCGCATGCTTCGCATCAGAGATCAAGTAAACCCTCAAACATATCCATATTTCATATATAAGTAAATGTGAAGTGAACCAGAGAGAGATGTTTTCATCACAGAGATGGAGGAGAGAGAATGCCGACGACGCTTCTCAGTCGGTTCGTTGGCGGAGAGGAGAGAGAGAGAGAGAGACCTCTCCCTCCGCCAACACAGCTATACCCGGGAGAAACTGCGACAATGCCGCCGCATCTCCACCACAACCTGACGACGGAGAGACAGTTTACGACGGGGAGAGAAATCCGCGGTAAATGAGTCCTGTCATATGCAATTATACGTATATTTTGATTAATTTCCGAAAATCTACAAGCCCAACTGGAAATCAAAAGAGATGATCAATAATTCAGCGGGCGCGCAGGGAGCTGAAACCCAGAAGCCCCAAGAACAAATGGCAAATAAGAGTGATCAAGATTCTGGTTATATCCGGTTTGCAATGACATCAAACCAAGAGAACAGTACGAGGCATTCGACATCTGCAAAATGAAATGAGGAAATATCTCATCTCATCACGATCAACCAAATAGAAAGGCGTGGTGCACTGAGACCGTACGAGGCTCTACTGCATGGACTGGAAGCGCTTCATGATGATGATGCTCATGTCCATGTACCGCTGCGCGCAGTTGGTCAGGCAGCTGGTCTCGCCGGAGCTGAACTTGCTGCCGGGGGCGCCGGTGATGCACTTGTCCCAGCAGACATTCGTCAGCTTCGACACCATCTCGCTCACCATCGCCTTCTCCTTCTCTTGCTGCACAGTCAATGAGTAGCCTCTCAATCTTCAAACCATAATGGATAAATGATTTTGCCGTAAACGAGGACGGTTCTTCTTCATGTAGGCCTCGTGCTGGTGTTTCTTGCTGCCAGAGGCAGGCAAAAGCAATACTTGCAGACATTCCAGCAATAATAATAATAATAATAATTGCAATGGACTCGTAAAAACAATAAGATCCACATACCCGACCATCGGTTAAGATTTAATAAATGTGATGACAGAGGGGATTGAAATATTCATTCTTAGTCACGAGTCCTAGCTGACTTTGGCTGGTCTTAAGACCCGCATTATGATTATGATCATTCCCGATTTGCAATCCCTGATGGTCCACTTATCCCTAAAGTGGCACATCTTGGGAATCGTCATTGGAGACATTCCCCAGGGACATTACACACACCGTCAATGAGCATTTACCTTAAAATTGACCAGAAACGTGCCAAAGAGTTGTCCTTCATAAAGTCGGATTCAGCTCTAAGTTTCTCGGAGCCTATATTCCAAGACTGGTCCAAGACGATTTCCATTCCGCCCAAGTGATAACGCTACGACATAAACCCTGATCTGGAAAGAGAATGAAAGTCTGGGAACAACCTTTCGAGCATATTTAGCCAAGAACTATGGTGACGCAGTCTATTTGACGGTCAAAAATGTAATTTTTCCTTGAACGAAACAGTAAAAATAATAATAATAATAATATATATATATAGCCAGGATTTTCGATAATGTCTCATCAGCACCTAAATGATTCAACATTTCTTTGTAAATGAAATGCTAGTTCTACATGCCAACGTTTAAATTTCTCTGAGAGGTGGTGCGGTGAAGTGGCACACAGCCTCTACTGCCTAGACAGAATATCTAGGATTCGAGGCAGCTAACTCGGTTTAATAATCTACTTGATTATCACCTTTTGGATGCTAATATGAATTCATTCATGGTGCTTCAAAAATTATGCGCACATCTCAACGATAAATTGCTTTGTTTTCTGTCGGCAGCATGGAAGGAAGTACGCAACAAACAATAAGACGTGATTCTAGTAATAAAAAAACCAAAAAACCGAAAATTAATAGTAACAGTAAAATTTACACATTTTTTTTAGAAACAAGAGAAGTTTTATATCAGACAAAAAAAATTGGCCCACACGGAAGGGGACAGAAAAATTCAGAGAAGGGTTTCTTTTCTTCCTCCCAAACGTTTTCTTTGCACCTTTACAGCTGATATCCTTCATCTCCGGCGCAAAGATGAACCCCCTCACGCCAAACAAAAAGAAAACCCATCTTCCTCCCACAAAAAAAAAACACCTAGCAAACGTTTGCCCTACCACTACACTTATCGCATCAACCACCAATGTTCGATCTCGGGGACCATTTTAACTTCAGACAAACCGCAGGATTTTCGCTTTTAAATTTAAGATCTAATGTGCACAGAAAAATAGAACCACGAAACCTTTCGGGATTCTGTAACATGGATGTACTCTGTAATGCCCGAGAGAGAAATTCTTCCGGCGAGCAGCCATGTCACCGGCTGGTCTTTCGTCACTCGAGTAATTCAGGCGCAGAAATCCAAGGGAAACAACATACCGGTAACCTATTTCAATCCCCCACACTATTAATACCGAAAGAAGGCAGCAAGACAGAAAAGAGAGGATAGTTCTCGCATGCGCAAGATGACAACGACGACGAAGATCGAATCGGGAAAGATGAAGGGATATATCACCTCTAGAAATCGCTGCAACTCCGGCGAGTTCAGCGACGAGGAATCCATTCTCGTCGCCGCCCTCAACCTCCTTCGCCTGATGTCGCTGCCCTCAAAACCCTAGCAAACTCACTCTAGCCACGGCGACAGTCTCTTTAATCCCGCTCCCCCAGAAAAAAAAAACATAAGGCCTAACAGAGAAACTTTTTTTTCTCCATTAAATCGTGGTGCGCTTTAATCAATATTTGTTCAACGGTATATTCGTTCAATTAATTGAATTAATAAAATAATAAAATATTTTATAAATTTATAAACGATCGATTTTACATAATTTTCCGTTTATTCCTCGAACAGCTGTATTTAATAAAGCAGTTTTATTTAGAGACTTTGTAAATAAATAAACTCCTCTTAATTTAATAAATTTAACGGCTGACATTAATGGGCTGGATATATGGCCCAATTCCTTTTTGGGCTTGATCCAGCCTCGGCTTCATTAATGCTCTGGCCTAGAAGCGTTCTCTCTCTCCCTCCCCATCAACCCTAGGCCCCCGAGACGACTAGTCAATGGCAGAGTCAGACCGGCACTGGATCCGGATCTAGAAGAATCGGAACCTGCCGACTATTCCATCAATGAGAGAAAAAAATCCGGAATCAAACAAACAATTAGATCGTGAATATGCGACGGTCGAGTCAGACCCCATCCAGTTCATCGCCTCCCCGGCGACCGGCGTGTGCTCGACGGCGCAAAAGCCGCCCCAGTTGACCCGCCGCTAACTCGAGCGAATCTTTCTTTTTTTCTAGAAAGGCGGTCCGCCAGACGGCACCTCTCCACGTGCCGACAAGATCTGTCGGTCGTCTGACCGGCTTCATCGTCAGCAGCCCCCGTCACGTCACCACCCACGGCCCACGGAAGAGCAGGCCCTCCTGCCAAGTAGGTCTGAGCCAGCCTCGGATTCTTCCTCCAATTATTTAGTGCTCCCCTTATCCGCACCCATTATTGATAAATAAATAAATATATATATATACTCGTATTATTTAGGGCCTTGCATCGGGACGGTTATTGATCGGCCCATCGTTGACAAAATGGTACTCGGTCAATGGGAAGGCAAGGCGAGCAGAAATTCGCCAATGGGGATTTTGTTAACGTTTTTTCCTGTTTTAGTGATAAGACAATATATTTATTTTATATTAAATTCTCATATCTATTGGACGGCGGCTAGACTTATTCTTCGGGCGGGTTATTTATTTACGAATAATTACAAAAAAATGAGTTATTCTTGTCCGTCCGTTGCGGGGCGGATCGTTGGTAATCTCCGGATTCCATTATGGCCGTCCGATAAGGCGGAACCCCACAGTTTGGACGCCTCGGACCGACCGTTAGGCGGCAGCGACGGGCGAGGAGGGATCAGTGATTGGGCGGCCACGTCGGCCGCGTGTCACCGGTTCTGACATTATCCTCGGCATATTCCTCATCCTCGTTCTCACCTGCCGGCGGCGGGAGGGTAAATAGGGCGGAGGGAGGCGGTGACGGCGGACGATCACAGGCCATTTGCTTCCCCCCTCCTCTTTCCGGAGACGGCAGCCTCCTCGCTGGGGAATACGCGAAGAAGCCGAGACGCCGCCGTCGTCGCAGGAGAGGGGAGGAGGTGAGGGGGGGTGTCCCGTGCGGGCGGCGCTACCATCCTGCCGCCGTTGACCGCGGAGAGACCGCAACGGCGTCCTATTCCAGGTCGCCGTGACAGCAACGGCTCGTGCCGGAGAAGGCGAGGACGTCGGGGGAATATTCGCGCGGGATAAACCCTGGCGTGGCCTGCGAATATTCTCTCTCTCGTGCCTACTTCCTGGGGGAGCTCCCTCTCTCTTCCCGCTTCTCCATTTAAGCGCGTCCCTTCTCCGCCGCATTGCGAGCTCCGCCGGGAGTATCCGTTCTTCTCGGAATCACCGTCGTCGGTCGGATCGCCTGTGCCGCCGGAGATGGCGCTGAAGGCCGTGCTCGTGTCCGACGTGCCGAACCTCGACCATGTCTCGGAAAGTCCCACCACGTTGCGATCCTCCTCGCGCCTCCCTCTCAATGGTATTTCCAGGGGATTTCTCCCTCCTCACGCTCTCCCTTCCCCGCCATTCACCTTCTTGGATCTGACGGACGGTGCTCTCGTCCAATTTCAGAGAGCGCGCGGGAGTCGTCCCAGTCATCGAAGTTCACGGTGATCGGCCACAGGGGGAAAGGAATGAACGCCCTGGCGTCGCCAGACCCCAGGTTGAAGATCGTCAAGGAGAACACGGTCCTGTCCTTCAACGAGGCCGGTCGCTTCCCCGTCGACTTCGTCGAGTTCGACGTTCAGGTATACGCACACACGTCGACGCGCAATCCTGAGTTCCTGCTCTTGCCTTTCGCGTTCTCCGCGAGTTCCCGCCGTCGTCTCGCCCGTCAGATCCTGACTTCCTGCCTTGTGATTGCCCTTCGAGGCGCCGCTCTCTAGTCCGTCGGAGATCTATGGGGGACCCCTTCATCCTTCAAACCCTTCCCACCTCGAACATACCTCCTCTGCCGTCGCCGCGGTTCGCCGCGGATCTAGTGGAAAAGAGGATGCGCAGATTCGTTGTCCTTCTGCGGGAAAGAAACAAAAATAGGCTCTCTGTACTACGTGGATCCACCTCGGCCGTCCCCAACTGCCCATCGGCCTGCCGGGTAAATTACCGTCGCCGCCTTTGACCCATCCTGCGTTCTCTTCGTGGGGGCAACCAGGATCAGGACGGAAGAGCCTCAACTACTTCTCTGCTCTCTCCCTCGTGCCGTCGCCGATGCCGACGACGCTCCGCATCGTCTTGTCCAATCCTGGATAATTCATCGGAGATATCTGCTGGTAGAGTGGGGTCGATGAGATTATTGACAAAGCTACCTTTCTTGGGGAGAAAAGTCCATCGAACAGGGTGAATGCATTCTTCGTTTGGTTGATCTCCTCCGTCATCACAAAACCAGATGCCTCTGTTCAGATAATTCCCTCAAAAATCAAGGACCCGATGTGCCTATCGATCACCCATTGATCCCTACTGACTGTTATTATCTTTTAAATCGATTTCTGCGTTGCTTCCGGAGTTCGGTCCTTGTGGAACACCGTATGATGTGCTGACTGGTTTATTTTTCTCTTAAATAATTTGGGTGATCGGAAAACCTTAGAAGAGATACCTGGATGTGGTTTTCTCAGGTGACGAAAGATGGATGCCCGGTCGTCTTTCACGATAACTTCATCCTCACCGACGAAGGAGTAAGGCTCCTTCCTCCTTCCCCCCTGCGATTTCTTTCTCATCCACGGGCTCGAGAAACCGATGCTCATGGAAATCTTCGATCGCAGGGAATCTTATCGGAGAAACGAGTTACAGACCTGCATCTCGAGGAATTCCTTTCTTACGGGCCCCAGAAAGATTCGAGCAAGGTATGTGGGACTCCTCCCATCCCATCCGTGTAAATTGCAGAAGTTCACTCACCCGTTGCCGTGTCTGACTATTCTTGGATGTCCTCAGACCGGCAAATCGCTATACAGGAAGGCTAAAGACGGAAAACTGTTCAGCTGGAATGTGGAACACGACGACCCTCTCTGCACGCTGCAGGAGGTATTCCTTAAAGTCCACTCCAGGTTGGGGTTCAACATAGAACTCAAGTTCGACGACCATGTTGCTTACGGCGAGGAGGAACTCGTTCAGACTCTGCAGACCATCTTGCGGGTACCCATCAGATTCTTTCTCTACAGTGGCCAGTGGATATGGAATCGTCGGTCGGGGTTCCCATTTTTCTGACCATGGTGTTCATCTCCCCGTTGACCAGGTAGTGTTCGAGCTCGGCAACGAGCGGCCCATTCTCTTCTCCAGCTTTCATCCTGATGCAGCCCATCTGATGAGGAAACTACAGAGCAAATACCCCGTAAGAACTCGACCTTGACCTTCCCCTTTTAGGTCAGCCCGCGGGCCTCCACCGCGCCCGCAGATTGGCTCAGCCTCTCATGGGGGGAGGTCGTCGCAGGTGTTCTTCCTCACCAACGGGGGCAACGAAGCGTACAGCGACGAAAGAAGGAACTCTCTGGACGAGGCCATCAAGCACTGTGTTGCCAGCCAGCTCCACGGAATAGTCTCTGAAGTGAGGGGAGTCTTCAGAAACCCTTCCCTCATTCCCAGAATCAAGGAATTCAACCTCTGTCTCCTCACCTACGGTCAACTCAAGTGAGTTCCTCCCGGCGGCCTCGTCTCCAGAAGACAAGGAAGAACAGCTCCCATTTTATTGACCTTTCTTCTGTTCTTCTCCCCTCCAGCAACGTGGCGGAGGCCGTCTACATGCAGCACCTCATGGGCATCGACGGCGTCATCGTGGACCTCGTCCAGGAGATCACCGAGGCCGTCTCGGACTTCGCCGGAGATGGAGACGACGACTCATTTCAGACGGACGCCGACGGCAAGCAGCGGCCGGCCCCCAGGCCCAAGTTCTCACAGCGGGAGCTCTCCTTCCTGCTGAAGCTCATACCCGAGCTGGTGCACCACCCCTGACCGCCACGGCGATCGCTGACCATCCCACACTTTCCTGGAGGCACTTGCGGGAGAGATGAACTCGGGCTAATTCATGGTCCGGTGAATTGAAAAGATTCGGGTGCAATTACCCTGCCCAATTCTTCTGCATCGCCCGCCCTCTCAAGCCTTGTCACTCACTTCCCTCCGCAGTAATCTCCAGGAGTAGTGAAGGACACGAGTAACGACTACCTTCTTATCCGCCATCGCCGAGTTAGAGAGACAGGCTCATCCTCATGTTCTTACCCCTGCGATCAATCCACCGGCAGAAAGTTCGAAATTCTGGAATGGGTACTGAGTGACCTGATTTCCCTCTGATGGGCTTTCAACCGGACTACTACAGCCCATCAGAATGGCCCATTACGTATCGAGAGAGAGAGTATCGCATGGTCTTCAGAAACGCTGGGCGAGGGTTGGGAGGATCTTTGGAGGTAAGGAAGCCTCCAAGTGCGGATATTCCAGGGTGGGGCGGCGGTGGCGCAGTCGCCGGAGGGAGCTCATCCACCCGTGATTTCGTCAAGAGGCTGGTCCATTCTCCTCTCCGTTTACATCTCCAGCAGTAGCTTCCAACGCTCGCCGACCTCTCCTTCTCCACGTCTGCTCCGATTTCTTGCGGCGATTATCCCCATATTTTGCTTTTTTCGGAAGGAAAGGTATCATCGGATCGTGCCAATAATATTTAGACTAGACTCCTCCGTCTCGTTCTGTGAGGCGAGAAGGGATCTCCTTCGGAGGGCCGCTCGATTGAGGGAAGGGAAGAGTCCCGGGGAAGAAAGCGAGCTCCTTCCTCCTCCCCCAACTTGCAGCAGCGTCGACATCAAAGGGGCGACTTTTCCGTACACTTTCTGGGCGTTTTCCCCTGTTGAGGAGAGCTCCTGGGGACTCCTCCGGCCCGCCCCTCCATCATCCCCGCAAGAAGCTGATCATTCCATCGGCAACGCCCGAGGACGATTCCCCGCCGAAATACAGGCGCCGCCGCGTGCGGCGGTGGCGGGACCTGCCGGGTATACGGCTACTCCGGAAAAGGGCAACTCAGGAACGGAGAGCCCAGAAGTCTCAATAGTCTCTCGTCGATATTCTCGTGGCCCCCTCCCCGGGAAGAGAGAAGCATTTGCATAATTTGACTCACCCTTGAAGAATCCAGACTACATCGTCGGGATGCTCACGTTAGGGTCAGCTCGTTCCACAGAACTGATCCTGTGGGTATCGTTCTCTCGACGGGTTGTGCAAATCCAAGTTCGTCGCCATGGAGTTCCTCAAGCCGACACTCCATTGCGCGGATTGAATACAGAGGCTTTAATGTGCCATTTAATTTCCAAGCAAATCCGTATGGGAGTCTCAGAGACAGAGAGAGAGAGAGAGAGAGAGAGAGGGTGGGCTCCTGTTGTCAAAGAGGTAGTTGCTTGGTGGGTACTCCAATCGGGAGGACCTCTCGCCTTCACCGCGCGTGGAGGATCCCACAGTCGCCGGCGACGGCTGCCTGTGGCGAGGCAGACTGCTCTTCCTGAGAAAAGCCCGTCAAACGCCTGGTTGTCCTCCCCCCGGACCGGCGAGCAGATCGAGAGATCGCAGCTGCATCAGTGCTGACGTCCGTCCGCCGTCCACTGCGGCGAGCCCCCCTCGTCCCCCTACACGCAAGCAACTCGGGGCGGAGAAAACGAAAACGTCGACAAGAGCGCCGCAAACATGGGGAAAAGGCCCTCGCACCCGCTGTAGCTAACAGTGACGTAATCGACGTAGAAAGCTGATGTAAAACGAACAGAAAACTACAGACCGAGCGAGCGAGAGAGAGAGAGAGAGAGAGAGAAGGGGGGGGCGATCCGATTGGCTCCTGGTTTCGTATGGCTTGACGGAGCGGAACTCCACTGTTCTCGTTGGTCTGTCTGCAAGAGGCCTGTGAGTGGAAGATGACGAGTGAGGAGCGGAAGGATCCGTCTACTTGCCTGATTGGTTCTTCTGGAGCTCACGGGCCGGGAGGTTTTCTCCTCCTCCACGGCAGCCAGAGGCACCCTCCGAGGTCAATGGGCTAAAAACCCCACCCCCTTCCCCTCTTCCCACCCGTCTTTGTCACCTTTGCGTACCGGACGACGACCTGATCGCGAAGCGGAACCATCTTATGAGACCGAAACTGCTATATGCCGTCCTGTTTCTTTAACGCGGACAGCGGACTGATGGCGTTATACGGCATGCCCGAGGAGGAGGTCGGATCTCTCAAGCAACGGCGACCCGTGATCGTACCCATCGGAGGGGGCGTAGTTTATTATTCCCACTGTTCGGGAGTTCGGCGGTACGAATTAACGGTGCCTTGTGAGGCCGCGCCTCTCTATCCGCGGCGGGTTTGTCTCTTCCAACTTGCCGTCGGTGGAGCCGGCGAGCCCTGCGGATCACACCGAAACGAAACCCTTACTGCGTGCTGAGCCAGCGCTGGACTCCTGCAAGTGGAATTCCCCCATGCCCTCAGAGCTACCAAACCCGAGAGGAGAAGCAGAAGAAGAAGAAGAAGAGCCCCGTGGGATGTGATCGACTTGGCAAGCAGAGGTAATGGAAGCAGGATCCGGAATTTGACGGAGGTGCGTTATCCTCCCGTCACGTGGCTATCTCAATGCAACCCCCCGGCACTTTCCACTTTCCCATGATATATTTAAAAATGGGAATTATGTTTTTTTGCTAAAAAAGTATCCATAAGAAGCAGATAAAAATGACATTCTTGGTTTTTAATATTTATTTATTTTATCTGGATTTTCTTTGGTAATATTGTTTTTAAGGCAATCTTATTTTCGTATAATTTAATAATCCCCAATAAACATATTATATAGTATTTATTTATTCCCATAAATATGTCACACGGAAGTCCGTCCCGGGAAGCATCATTGACGGCGGGGGCATGCAGGCACGACGTCACCGGGCACCCCTGGCCCACCATTTTAGATATATTAGATATTTTTAATAAACGGCAAAAAAATCACAACGTTTTGCGTAATTTATTCTTCAAAATAATAATTGAAAATTAGGATGGACCCACTGGGCCTCCATCTGTCTTTCTCTCTCCTCCCGGCTTTTCCCGCCCCACTCACGCAACCCCCACCTTCCATCTTTTGGAAGCTTTTTTGGCTTTTGGCCCCCTCTTTTTTTGTGTTTCACGGATGGACCCCCTCCCCCTCAACCCGTCCCGAGTCCGGTTCGGCGCGACACTCTGACTCGGCGGCCCGGCGGTAAAGGCCGTCGCTTTTCTCTCACATGAAACCCCCCTCACCCTCCTTCTCCACCACGTCCTCTCTCGCTATTGCTTCTCGCTCCTGCTTCCGCCTCTCCTCCTGTCGTCTTCATCCCGAGAAAAATAAATGGGCCGAAGGGTGCCGCCGTTTTATATATAGCGCAGCCGGGTCGGGACCTGAGGGGGTGTAGAGCTTGAGCCAAGAGGCCTGAGGGCAGAGGGGTGATGGAGAAGCCGGGGTGCGTGAGGCAAGGGCTGGTGAGGCTGCCACCTGGGTTCAGATTCCACCCCACGGATGAGGAGCTGGTGGTGCAGTACCTCAAGAGGAAGGTGTTCTGCTGCCCGTTGCCAGCCTCCATCATCCCCGAGATCGGACTCTCCAAATACGACCCCTGGGATTTGCCTGGTGAGAGCTCCGGTTTCCGCCCTCTTTGTCGCGTTAGAGTTTTCGAAACGGGGAGAACGTCAGTGAGGAGTGGGGCTGAGTTTCCGGTGCGTTCCTCCTTCCCCGTTTGATTTCCGGTCGCCGGAGTTGCAGAAATCGGCTCGTTTCCGATGTCGCGGTGGGCTCGTTACGTGGGGACAGGGTCGATTTGGGGTTTCAAATCCTCGTCATTGCTCCATTTTAGTCATACTTTAGGATCCTTTCTCGGCCCCTTTCTCTCCTCCCCCTCATCATTAGCGATTCATTGTTCGGAGGGCCCCCTTAATCTCCCGTGGAATGCGCACGGAAACCAGTACTAATGGGGATTATCATGAAGAAGAACGGAAGACCCGTCTCTTCTTCTCTCTTCCCTTCGCCGGAGATTTTTCGAAGCTTTTCTCTGAACAGAAGCGTCTTCCTGATCTCCTCGTTAAGGTTGCCCGGAGAGCGAGAGGTATTTCTTCAACATCAGGGAGGTGAAGTACCCGAACGGCAGCCGCCCCAACAGAGCGTCGGCCTCCGGGTTCTGGAAGACCACCGGGAAGGACAGGCCCGTGGTGGCCTCTCGAACCAACCAGGTGGTCGGGATGAAGAAGGCGCTCGTCTTCTACAGGGGGAGGGCACCAAACGGCTGCAAGACCGACTGGATCATGCATGAGTACCGCCTTGCCGGCACTGGCTCTGAGGCCTGCCTGTTCCCTCAGCGGAAGAACTCCACCCTCGTGAGCATCCTCCTCTCTCTCCCTCTCTCCGCGAGTATTTGAAAGATGGGTTGGCCTCTCCTGGTTTGGTTAGGGACAGGGATCGATGCGACCGCTAGTGAGGAATTATCCCATACGGCACCATTATTTTTTAGGATGCAAAGCCCTACTGTAGCTGACAGTCCCTGTGTCGAAATCGGGGACCGGTCGTCTGGGGGGTGATCTCTCGTGGATCCTACTCCAGCGGCGTATCCGCGCCGACGGCGACATCCCACGTCGGCGGCGGGAGGGCTGCCGTGTTTGGAGGAAGAAGAAGGCGGCACAGCCCATGCCTGTAAATGCGTAGGAAATGAAATCGATGCATCTGTGCAATCCTGACGTGATATATCGCTCCCCTCTTCTGATTGCAGAGCTCCGTGGTGAGAACGGAGGACTGGGTGCTGTGCCGGGTCTTCAAGAAGAGAAGACCGGCCAAGGTCCCCGCCGGCGAGGAATTCGGCGGCTTCATCGATTTCTTGGGCCGGAGGGGAGCCGAGTCGGGGGGGGAGCCTGAATCGGAGCCGAGCTGTGTCACCGAGGCTTGCGACGAAGACAGCGCTGGAAGCGAAGCTTCTTCCTCCCAGAGTCCAGGAGAGACCTGAGAAGCAACTACCGGGAAGTAACAGCCACCACGCTGCTGCTTCTCCTTTCCTGCCTCGCCTCCCAATCAGCTTAGAAAGAAGAGAGCTCGAGGGCGACGGCACAGGCGGACCTGTAATCAACAGTCCCCGCTGCCCCGGGCGGGTAGGGGTCTGCCTTGATCGATGTTTTCTTCTTTTGCTTCTCTGGCGAACAACGCGAAAAGAAAGAAAGAAAGAATCGTGTTAGATTACATTCTCTGTTCTTCTGCTTTCGCCCAAGATCTATCTGTCAAAAAATCCCCTTACAGTGCCCCCGAGCGAGCGAGCGAGCGAGCGAACGAGAGAGAGAAAAGAGAAGGGAGGGATGTGGAGGGAGCAGCCTCTGCCACCACAAAAGACGGGGCCTTTTCTTTTCCTCTTCCCTTTCCGAATCGGGGCTGAAAGGGGGAACCCACTGGCCCCCTCCCCCCCCCCCCAAATCTCCATCTTCCATGTAATTTTGTAAAGGAGATGCCCCCGCCAGAGAAGGGCTCGGTAGGGGCTGGAGATGCTGGATTGGGTCGGAGTTCCCATCCATCTCTCCGCCGCTCCTCGTCTTCTCCAAAATCGGAGCCCGCCGCCGATGACGACACAACGGCGCCGGCCGGGGGGGCCCGTCTGGTCGGAAACACCTGCTTGCTTGCTCGCTTTGCGTCCGGCAAGCGGTGCCTTGCGCGAATCGCGGCGCCGCCGCACACGCCATCGCCAGCTCGGGCGAGCAGCAACGCCACGGCATTGCTTGCCGGAGCGGAGCTCCTCCCAGCTCGTCGACATCAAGAAGCAGTCAACAGGCGCCGTTTAATACTCCCCGCCGCGCCGCCGTTGGAGGGCTATAAGCGCGGCCATAATGGGTACGTGCATGAAGGGCAAACCAAGCCGGGGATTTCAAGCTCCACTTGGCCCAGTTTATTAGGATGTGGGCGTGGACAATTCGGCTTGTGGGCACTCCATCCTCAGGCTCAGTCGCCATTAGAGCATATAATATCAGGGGCCCGATCTGGTGCGCCGAACAGCAGGACCGGCCGGGTCCGCCTACTCTACTACAGAACAGTTGCGTTCTCCGTCATCCTATGCGTGTGCGTGCAGAGCATGTGCATATTAAACAACAGGGGGAAAACAGAAAAAGCACATGAAAACGTAGCCGACTCTGAATAAAATTTTAGTCCTGAAAGGTTACGTGCTCGCCATGAAAACCAGTCAAAAGAAACTGTGGAGCTGATGGGTTCTCCCCTCCTCCCTCCCACCTTGATGGGTTTCCATGGGAACATATGGCCTAAGCACCGCCCTGCAAGCATCATCTAGCCCTCGAAGGTGGCTTCTGATGGGTATCGCATGCCTCAAAGTGCATAGGTTTTTTTTTTTTTTGAAGAAGAAGATAAATCTCAATCACCCAGTGAGCGGCATTCTCAAGAATGCCGCTACCTGTAGTGGGATGATGAGCCAAGAATGCTAGTCAAGTGGGTCATGTCAGGGTTGGAAGATGGCAACTAACCACTGTTGCTGTACCACTGCAGTAGTGGATTAATAAAAACTGATCCTTGCTAACTTATGAAGCATTTGTAAGCAGAGGACGTCTTCAAGTAATATCTTAAAAGGAACAAGGAAACGGAAATACCGTGCCCAGCAGGGCCCCTTCCTTTCATCGTCCAGAGCTAACAGGCGCTGGTCCTAGTCAAGGCAAGATCTTCTAGGAGACACAGTGCGAGTCACCTGGTGAGAGAGCAAAAGGCTGACATCTTAGTCCCCATTTCGGGAGGTGTTATCTGAAGATCCTTTCGCACGAGGTGGTTCAGCGCAAGCCCTCAAAACAGCCTCATTCTGCGGAATATCAAGAAGTTTCGTCATTTTGGTGACAGCATGAACGAAACACAGAGAAAAGAGTAAATAGGCGTTCCTAGTTAATACCATTAAGCAGAAGACACCCGAATAATTAAGTGAATAAGACGGGAACAACTGTTCTAACCAGCAGACGAACTTATCTCGATATTAGCCTTAAACAACTTTGCTGTACATGATTAGAACGACCACCATCATGGGAAAGCAAGGCCTCACCTATAAACACTAGATTGTTGCACCGACAGATCAGAAACAATGGGGAAGAGCAAATCCAAACACCCATATGCCACTCGAACAGGTGGAAATTATTTAGAGAAGAACACATCCTAGTTAGAGAAGACATTCGATTGGTGTCATTCAGCCCTTCGGAAATCTTGAAGTTGAATGACGACCAGTCAGCCTGACTCAGACCTCCTAAAGTCGAGCTCCTAGCCAATTGGAGGAAGATGGTAGGTTAAAAGGCCGCCTTTACCACCTACAAAGAATCTGGATATCAATTGTTTGTTCCATTTTCAGGCCCCATCTCCAGATGTCAATGTTTTGCCCTGGGCAGGATATTTAGCCTAGATTATTGTCTATTGGATCAAGGTGGTCCCAAATTTCATGAGGGCGAGGGTGACCACACAGAGACTTAATTCACATGGGGAATCAGGACCCACAGAGAGGATGAAACCGGGCAACTCATGAGAAGGACAGAGTCGAGAAAACACCTACAAAATCAAAATATTCAATTAAACTCTATTAACCACAAAGGGCCCAAGGTTCACGGAATAAAACTTCGGCAGACACAAGATTTGTGAAAGGAAAAAATAACCGTGACTGACAACATTAGCGCAGTTTTTTCTTCTCTGACAAAATCTGGGAAATCATTCTTCAGAATACGAGCTTTTTGTTAGCCAATTCACAGTTTCTATCATGGAAATCATAGCGCAATAAATTATGGAAAGTTACTGGTTTGCAGGGATTCCACACCTAACTGGGTGTGCTTCAACAAATCTGCCGATCTTCTAGCAGAAACGATGTTCAATTCGTCACAAATGGGCCACTCGACAAAACCGAGCATGGATTTTCGAACATGTAAGAAGCCTTACTAATCCTAAAGCAGAGGACTTCTCAGAGATGCAGCAACTGACAACCCACCAACATATGAATGTGGTTCATAATTGACAAAAATGGTTCCGGTAGGTTTATTTTTCTATGGGTATCAAGACGTGAATGCGTTCAATGTAAGGATTACATAGGAAAAACTTCGTAAGATAACCTAATAGTTCAATTGAAAATGGACAACAACAGGTCACCCATGGCGCTATAACAAATGAAAATCAGGCCAGAAGTTAATGAAACGTTTTCTGCAGAATTCACAGAGAAATAATCAACCATTTCCTCGCCTTAAATTGCATGGATTCGACAATAGCCGCCTGCAAGACGATTCCTGGGATATCAGCGGAAAGAGAATCATCTTGATTCCATGGTTAACATCGCGCAATGGCATCCAGAAAAGAAAACTTTCAATTCGTCAGCAATACTACTTCTGCAGGTAATGAGTATGATACTTCAAAAAGAATAGGAGCAGAATTTATATAACCACACTTCTTCCCTAAAATAGAACCCAGAAAGCCGTCACATTCAACATGAATCCAACACCCCGAGAATGACCATTATTCCTCCCCATTGTCTCAAATGCAGCCGGTGTGCATTTCTAGGTCTTTAAACAATGATTGCACCATAACTTTTACCTGAACTACAAAAACTGAGGCCTGCGAAACAATTGAAACTAAAATTACACCCCGCTTATGATCATTCCCACCAGAGGCCATGTGAAATGATGCTACAAGGAAAATGCATCCTCTCTCTTTTTCCACTCTTATTTCGAATCTGTGTCCCTACCTGTGAACCTGTCACTTCCTCACCAACGGATTGCATTCACTATTTTTCGAGTAGAGCTGAGATTGAAGCATCTGGACCATTCACAATGACACAAGCATTTTAGTGGTCAGTTTCTCCAAACTCGTCATTTCGCGTATCCTCACACTATCAAGCCTTGTATCTCCCTCCGCCTTAAAGTTCATATTGTCAAATCTAGAAATGTAGGCAGAGTGGTAAGTATGATATCTGAAATGTGATCTCCTATGAGAAAGCTACCACTCAAAGAGAGAGTTGAAACACAATTTCCTCATATCAGTACTATCGTATGGACTCATCATAAATCAGCATCTCAAATGTACTCAGTTGAATCAAATGTTGAACAAAATGTTGTCCTCCTAACTCCAGGCGTCTCGTGAGAAAATGTAGTAAAAGACCAGAAACGACTTACCGAGAATATCTAATTCTCCAGTGGCGGAGATTGTCCTTCGATTGAATAACACTTCATCAGATGTATACCTTTCCCTCCTAATAAACGGATACCTTACATTTTCCATTCACTGAAATCAAGGAAATTTTGAAAACTGAAGTAAAACTCTGGAATACCGGGTGATTAGGTAAAATACCCAGTAAGAAGTCCTAGAATACGTCGCATTTTACGCACACAGAAACCCTACAAGTGAGTTACAGAAGAGGGCGCCATAAACCAAAACAAGCAAGACATCATATATGAATCCAAAGCACGTTACTCGTCACACTGACTATTTCGCTATATTCAACGAAAGAAGGCCATCGCACGCGTAGATAAACAAGTTTTAGGTCCAAGAATGTATGAGATGCCGGGGGATGTCAGGGAGGGGACCTGCCAGACACGGCGGAGGCGCTTCTTGGCGTTCGCCTTGCGGGTGGGTGTGAGCTTTATCCGCTTCCACAGGAGGCCCGGGGAGTCGTTCTTCTTCACTATATCTAACACCCGCGTCCCCCAGAAAGCTCCCGCCATACCACCCTCTCCCTCCCTCTCTCCCTCTCTCTCTCTCTCTCCCCCCCCGGCCTCAACACCTCTCCCAGGCCGTTCCCCCGTCCCCCCTCCTGCGGCCCGTCCGGCGTGACCTACGAGACCCCAACAGTCCAAACAGATAGGAAGGAGGAGCCTACGAGTCACCACTAGGGAGATTCTCATGGGCCAGTCGACTACGAAACCCGGATTACGCGGCCCATTTGTACGTAAAAACCGGGTCTTGTTCATAAATAGAAAGTCATAGCCCAAGGACAGTTGGATATTTTCAGGGTAGGCAGATAAACCAGACTGTCAAGGGTCAGAGCACAGCTCAGAAGTCAACTCAGGAGAAGGTTGGATCCACCTGGGTCTGGTTGGACAGAAGATGGTTGCCCTCAGGCCCCCCCTCTATTTCTGGCTAAGAACCAGCCTAACGAAACCGCCCCGATTCCCAGAGGAGACCTCCCACCACCCTTCCCCTTATTACTGAGAACCCTGGAGGAGGAAGAGGAGCACGGCCTCCCTCTTCCCTCTCTGGTCTCCCCCTCCTCTCTCTCCTCTCCTCTTCCTGCTCCGTCCTCCTTCCTGATGGGCTGTGGGTTGTCGAAACCGGAGGATGGCGTGGACTCGGCGGTGGGTGACAGGCTGATCTGCCGGCGGTTAGAGGAGATCAGGAGGCTGCGGCTGAGCGGGGGCCGCTTGAGAAAGGACAGCACCATCGGGCTCCTGAACCATGCGGAGGAAGAGGACGCTGCGACGGGTGCCATGGAGGAGGCCTCCACCGGCGGAACGCACCGCAGCAGCAGCGGCTTTTGTAACGCTTGTGTGGCGCGTTGTATACCACCGATGGAGAACCACTCGGAAAGTCAGCTTCCTCCGACGGCGACGATGATGACCCCGCCACCGGTCTTGGAGCTGGTGCACCCAAGAGTCGAGAAGTCTGAGGCGGTGGCTTCAGATTCTCCCCCGGAAAAGAACGAGGCGGAGAATGGCACAAAAGAGGAGAAGAAGCAGATGAAGGTCAACCTAGGAATAACGGAGGAAGCGGAGAAGATGAACGTCGGGGAGGGGACACGGGAGAAAAACGGATCGGAGGAGGAGAAGGATATCATTAAAGAAGATAAGGAAGCAGCAGCACTGGTCTGCGGCGGAGGAGCGCTGCTGACCTACAACGAGGGTGAGCTTCCCGGCTCGCCGAGCTTCCGGGTCTACTTCGTCGGGTCGGCTCGTGAGGCTATCGACGACGACTCGCTCGACCCCAGCACGTCGAGCCTGGGTAAGCTTTGGCATAACGTCCATCCATATCGAAGGCCTAGCTGCGATCTCTTATGTCATTAGCTAGAACCAGCGGAATGGTAAATACTGCATGTAGTATAACCCCTGCATGGATTCCAGGGAAGATGGACGAGAGCAGCAGGGGAAGGAGGAACAGCATGGATTCCAGCAACTCAGAGGTAGTGTTTCCTGTTCCACTGAGACAGTCGTCCTCGTCCTTCGAAGGCTTCCCATTCTTAACGCCGATCACCTCTGCCCGCAGGAACGAGAAGCCAAGACGTCGACGAAGTCAAAGGGGAGAAGGTTCAGGGCACTGGCCAGACGGCACAGCGTGGTTCATGGCTTCTTGAACGTCCGGTCCTGCTATAACCACCGCCAAAGCGACGCCTCCGATTGCCGAGAGAACTCTGGTAGCTGAAAGGGTTTCGGACCCCCTCCGCTCCCTCAACTGATGGGTCTCTCTCTTTGTAAAAAACCACCGTTAAATCATACGCTTCTTCAATACGATCTGCCGACTTTCGAAGTCAATGCAACGACGATTCTCTCACGAATTCGCTAGTAGATGTAGGACGGATGGAGAGATTTGAAAGGAGGCAGAGGGGAGAAAAGGGTCAAACCTAGATGATCAGGAAACGGCTGAGAGAGACGACGACACGGGTCGCGGAGATTCCACTCCACCAGCCGAGAATACTTAGTTTAAGAGCCAACCGAATCAACAGGGAATCTTCCTAGCAAGGGGGAGATACAGACGAAAGAAGCTCACTGTCATCCTGAAATGGCTGTGTGCACTTCGTCGTCAGCGAGAACCCGACTGCACCCTTTTCGAACCCTTCTGTGCAGCTGGCCCTCATGAGCTCCGCGGGAATCCGACCGGGCCCTCCCGCACCACCACCTCTGATATCGCCTATGCGAACTCATTTCTGGGCCTCTTCCCAATCGTCGATTCGATCTTCTGAACAAATGAACTTGGATTCCTCTCTCTCTCTCTCTCTCTCTCTCTCTCTCTCTCTCTCTCTCTCAATCTGTGGCGGATTAGAGAAGCACGAGGACGGTCTCATCTGACATGGTGATCGAAGGCGAAGGGAGCCATCTGTGGCAGACTCCCTCGTTCTAAACCGGAGAATAATGGCTTTCAGGGAGAGCTGTGACAGACCGAAGCCTCTCAGACAGCGTCCACCATGAACCTCTCTGGAACTCCCACCCCTCTATACCTCGCCCTGCATATCTACTCAAGCACCGGGGAGCTGTTCTTCTTCGTCCAAGAAGAAGAGACGGAAGTCTTCATCCCCCCTTCTCAGGCGTTCCCCGAATGAGACAATCAACTGTGATTGACCATTCTTCGATTCTCCAGAGTCTGCTTCATGAGTTGACCCTTTACTTCTATTTTTTGTCCGTTGATCGTTGACATTTTCAATGACGGGAATAGTGAGAACACGTTCGTTGGTGGACACAAGCTTCGTCTTGTTATTCTTCTTGGACAACTCTTCCTTCATTATTTAATCCCTTTGACTTTAAAAAAGGCTGCAACTTACATTGTATCTAAAGACGAGAGCGACCATCTAGGAGAGAATACGAAGGTCAAACTCGTGCTTTCCCACGTGAAAGATATACTCCACCACCGGGCGGCGTCTGAGTACAACCTCGGGTTGATGGGAAAGTATTCGGGTTGACTCTGCATCCTCACCCTTTGCCAAGTCTACAATGTGCAGCGGTTGACCATAATCCCTCTAGTTGACCAGCTATCAACATACACCGATGAATCTCGAAGTCAACCGTGTCCGAGATAAGTTTCATAGACCTATGATCTTCCTTACCAACACAGAAGCTTCGATTTTACAGGACTATAGTTTTATTACAATAAAAAATTACAGGACTATAGATTTTACAGAAGCAACAGATCACGTAATTTCTAGAATTCGTCTAAATAAAATAGGTGTTAATTTTCTGAAAGATTTTTAATATGGATCACCGAAACTACTATCAAGGGCTTTTGAACCACATGACGAGGGAGTTTATTTATGTTCATTTAATTGCTATTTAAATAAGAGATTGCGGACAAACTCTCACATGCGAGATAATAAAATGCGTGGATGGGTCCTGGAGAATGGGAGAGGTGTCAACTAGGAAATGGAGGACGTGAACAGAAGAGGGTTCGTTGACCAGGGGCAATTATATTCCGTGTGTATTAATTACTTTATATATGGAAAATATAGACGCGGGGAGAGAGAGAGAGAGAGAGCAGCAGGAGCAGAATTTAAAAGATGACCTAATTTAAAAAGGTGAGTGGGAAAGTTCAAAGGAGGAAGAAGCGAGGGGAGTCAACATACACGAAGTGGACCAGACATTGGGCCCACTTCTGGGCTCAGAGGAGGCCGACGCGATCTTCTGCCCCACGCCGTCTTCTGAGCAACCGGGTAAGCCGGGTTAACTGTGGGTGATTGAATTCGGAGACCGTGGGTTGACTGAGGCGTTCTAGTTTTTCTAACGGACGATCTCCGATGTATTTCGCAACGTACCTAGATATGATCTCTCCGTAACTACCCCCACTCTCTCGAATATTTAACAAGCTCATGCCCATTTCTAATATCTCATGCTTATAGCCTTGGGGTATTAATGGTATTATACACTCCACACTCTTTCTCTCTCTCTCTCTCTCTCTCTCTATCTCCCGCCAGTTTACCCGTCCTTCCTGGCTCTGAGATTCTCTCTCTCTCGTCTTTTTTATTTTGTAAGACCGAAAATAAAAAGACGATGAAATTAGGAAAGCGAGAGTGACGAGGAAAGGAAGAGAACGGAAATGATTCCCACGCTGCAGGAGCGGAGATCCATGTGCCCCGCCGCGTCTACCTCCAGAAAGCTTCCTTGCGCCGGCCGCTAGGTTTTTTTACGGGAGGGACGGGGGATTGAGAAGGAAAGAGATCTCTCTTCTGTTTTTATCTAGAAATCGTCCGGCATCTATTCGTTGTCGCCACAGTTTGCTCTCTCTCTCTCTCTCCTTCTCGCCGGAGCGTGGGACTTGAGAGGACAGATTCTGCGAGAGAGGGGGAGTGATTGCGTGTAGGAGGCGTGATGCCGAAGCCTTCGTTGAAGAAGCTGTGGGGGCTAGCTGCTCACCACCGACCGGATTCCAAGGAGAAGAGGATGGATCTATACCCAAATCCCCAGATCGACGAGCTTGCGCAGGCCTACCAGGTTTGTTGGACATCCCTCTTCCTGCAGAATTCTTCCTGTAATCAACGTTCCGGTTTAACCGTGGGAGGAAAATGGAATGAAGAGCAGATCATCATATTTGTATAATAATCTGGATAAATTTTGAAATTCTTCTGTTGTTGACTGGTTGTGCCTCGGAACCCGTTTTTCGCCTTGAACTGGAAGCAATGCTAAGACGGAATTTGTTTCTACCTGTTTCTCGGTTAAATTTTATTTGTGATGATGTTTTATGGCACTTTAAAACCTTGCACGATGTTATGATTTCATGAACTAGTTGTCCAGAAACAAAGGCATAATGATTACGGTGGGCTTAGTCTTTTGAATTTTCCATTTAGTGTTGTTATAGACTCGCTCTGAATTTCTGTTGGACCTAACTGTCATCAGAAGTCGTGAGTACACCTGTTGCCTTTCAAGAATTTGGATACTTTTTGTATCAAGATATTTTTAGAATTTTGGAGAGGTAAATTTGAACTTCATTTTTAATCCATCTCGTATGACGGAATATTACTGCTAGAAGGCATCGTTGGTATTGACAAGTGATCAATTGTCCACCATTGTGAAACTATGTGAATTCCCTCAAACCAATCACGATTCCGGTCCCCATGTCTGTTGGTGGTTGCCGATCGATTATCTAACCTCTAAATAGATTCTAAAAATATAATGGATTAATGACTTTAAAAATCCTCCCAGACCATACTCTTGAGAATGAGAACCTTGTTCTACGTTGGGTTCTGCTAGAAAATCGATCCCTGCTTATTAAGAACTAATATTCAGAAATTTCTGTACTTAATGACTTTTGTTGGTTAATAAGATCTCTGCATATTCTTTCCGACTCGCCTACACTTGTTTTGATTTTCGTGCCTTGATAGTTTTCCGTGGTATTGTCTCTATCATCCTTGTCATTGTCTATGAATGTCGAATTGGATTGATGGCTTTGATAATCAACAAACATGGTTAAAGGGTGCCTGTTATGAGGATCAAATATAATCAAAGACAGAGCTTAGGTGTATTTTGAAGGGTTGAACACAATTATTTTAAAAAATGTGACTTTTTATTTTATGTTTTGTAAATTATCACCTTCTGAAGGGTAACCAAAATGTGGATATTTGGATCAAATTCGGGAGTAGAAGAAAATTTTTGGATACTTATCCTGGGAGTTGACCTACTAGGCGTTGGGGTCCAACTCAAAATAATCGGCATAGAAATTTGGATGTTAAACAGAAGGACATCCTTATAAGTTCTGAGAAGATATCTTTATAAATGAACTTCTTGTATACACCCTGAAACTGGCTCTGTTATACTCGAAAAAGCAAACGTTTTGATTATTATTATTCTTATTCTTATTCATTACTTTGTATTGAAACGTGTCATTATACTTGAAACGTGCATGTGATAATGAAAGACCTCCTTTGCTTTCGTGGAACATGCATTGTAACCATCTATATTTATTTTTAATTGTCTTTGTCAGTTATTCATGTACGTTTCATGACTGTTGTGGTGAACTTTCTTATTTGTTGTAAACTTTACAAGACGCAAAAGAAGAGAGAATATAATTATGAATGAATTTCCCCATTGTTTTATGGCCATCCTCCTATTATTGCTAGTCTTTCGACAACCTTTTTCTGCCAAGATTTTGAGAGCATTGAGTAGAATTATGAGTAGCCCACAGTGTAGTTATTTAAATTATGAGCCACAGGGATCATGGGCGTGGGAGTTGAAGCTTTGCTGTTGAAGGGCAGCCTCGTTGTTCGTTCAAAAAATACACTGGATATTTAAGTGCTAGAAGCTTATGCCTGAACAAAAAAATATCCACCTTGTCTCGTAGACAATGGTTATTTTTATTCTTTGTTTTTAACGGCGTCTCATCTTAGATCTGCTTGGTAATTTCCTTCTTTCCAGGACATGCAAGATATGAAAGACTGTTATGATAGCTTGCTATCTGCTGCGGCTGCTACTGCAAATTCGGCATATGGTACATCCATGTTTGATCCTCAATTTTCATCATTATCATTGATGAAAATTATCAATTTCAAAGAGTGGTCTATCCGCTGTTTTGATGTTCTTCTTTGTGTCTTTATTTTTCTCATGCGTGAGGTGGTGAATATTATCCAAGTCTCTAGTTTTGCAATCTCATGGATCCGGGTGGCAACACCGAGTTTTATCTTTTGTTTATGGGCTAGTATTGGTGGTCTTGATGTAGCTTTGATTTGGGGTTGGGAAACTAGCGTAATGAACTTAATTGTAGGGGAGAAGAAATTAGCCAATAGAAAGACAGAGAAATTGGATACAGGATTTCTTTTTGACATTTTAAAAAGGAAAATAATCAGTATCATGCTTAAGTTTTCTTCTTAGTTTATTTAACCCAGAACAGGCTTTAATGATGGTCGAAGAATCAAAGATGAAACAGGTGTTCTCAGAAAAATGGTAGCATCAATATTAGAGGAATGATGCTGAATCAAACATGAGGAAGCTTACCAGGTGTAACAGGCTAATCCAGCTTTCACAAATTGGTCAGCTTTTGGACATCAAAGTCTGGCGTTCACCTCTGGTTCACCAGTGAAGGTGTCATCGTCGACTGAAATGTGATGTATGGTTGAAGCGTGCGAATTTACTCTCCTGCTACTTAGGGAACTATTTCACCACCTTTCGGTGCGTTTCTACCTGTGGCTCAGTTTTTTTTCTCACCTGTCGCCGGATTAAAATGATATGGACACGATTAATTCGACGGGATTTCAAGAAAGATGATAGTATTTGAATATCTTAATCTTGATTACTTGATGTAAGAAACATTAGCTGAATCAGGATAAATTCAAAACTGTTCTTCTGTAATTTGGAAAATGGGAAGGAACAGTAGTCGGCAAGAAGATAATAGTAATGGCTATTGTCACTTATGTACTAAAGTGGAACTGTGAAATAGTAAAGAGATAGATATCTTATAAAGGTACTGTCTGCTGAAACAGTTAGTCTCTTTCTTGCTCCCATTCATTGTTGGGTAACCTTTGCATGCTTTCAGATCATGTTTATATCTATACTCTATTATGGGTGTTATAAATGTTCAGAATGGGAATGGAATATTTTGAATTAATATCATATGGGTGTCACATTATTTTCTTTGACTCATTAATTATTCTGGAATTTTCTTTTGTAGAATTCTCAGAGTCCCTCAGGGAATTGGGAACATGTCTGCTCGAGAAAACTGCATTGAATGATGATGAAGAAACTGGTGAGTACAGCAGGAAATGTTGTTTGATAGATATTCCTATTGAACATGTGATAGGTGCGTTTGTGATGTAAATAACAGATTAACCGTCATTAGGGATCAGGTTAAGTTACCATGAGAAGGTGTAAGTGTTAATCGTCTGTTGAAATTCTTTTCTCTTCCTTAACCCAAGCAAACGTGAAGCCAGATGCAGTGTTTTGGTAAATTTTATGTCCACTCGTTGAGATTTACTCTTGCAAGGATGGTAGTGTCTGTTTGGCCGGCAATTCCTTACATGAGATTTTTTCTTTGTGGTAATGGAATATATCAGAGGCTATTTCCCACCCTGTTTTGGATGGCCTAAGGCACAGTCATGAGTTCGTTGAGGTTGAAAATAACCTAAACACTCTTTTTATCCGATGAATTACCATTCCTAAGAAAATTCAGCTTATCGTGATTTATGTTTATATTTTCTTGTCCCTGAAATGATTCAACCCCATCCTTCGATTTTTTTTTGCATCTTGTAGATAGCATCATAAGGTTTAAGTGGTTTCAGCAATGTTTTTTTGTGATTAAAATCAAATTTGACTCGCTACTCTTTTGATTACATATGAAATTTGGTTCAGGTTTTCAGTAACTTTGTCTCGGTTTTAGATGTTGGTATCTTCTTTCGATTGGGATAGACTTGAAAACTATCACCTCAAAATATATATTTCTTCTCAATATCTTATTATTATTTTCTAGTTGGTTTGTTTTCTGAGTTTACTGGTTAACTGGTACTTTTCGCTTTGGTTACATCAACCTGCAGGTAGGGTTTTATTGACGCTGGGAAAGTTGCAGTTTGAGCTCCAAAAACTTGTTGATGGCTATGTAGGTGTTGATTGCTCTTTGCACAGGAGCTCGGCTCAATAGTCATGAATTTTAAACTTTCAAATGATAATGTTTTTAATATATAGATGGATAACGGCCATTGTTGTATATCTTTCAGCGTTCCCATGTTACGCAGACAATATCAACTCCCTCAGAGTCTCTTCTTAATGAACTTCGAACTGTGGAGGTTTGTTCTTTTAATGCTATGTTTTTCTTGTCTCGAAGATGATGCTGGACACTATTAAGTGTCAGTTAAATGGATGAATTATTGTAGAATTTCTTGGGTATCCCGTGCACCTAGAATTGACTGTTGTGCGGTTTACTTTAATTTAATTGATGTGGTCCTTGCTTGTATATTTTTTCTTCTTTTTGAGGGTCAAAAGCTTGACCTAAGAAAAGAAATAGGGAGGTATTTACCCTTCCTTCCCTCGTGTGTACCCACCTTTACCTGAGGTTATTTTAAACAATGGAAGGAAAAATCTCTGCTGAACAAGAATCTTGGTTAAACCTCTTCAAAACTAGGAATTGAAGTATATGTTCAAACTGTCTTAACAAACTGTTTCATCCTATTAAACCATCTATAAACTTCTTTTAGCTGAAAATTGGGCTAAGTCCCTATAAGTTATACCGGTTACAATCTCTGTCTGGCTCAAATTTGTTTACTAATCTAAGTTTGGACATTTAAGTGGAAATGTTTCTAGATTCTTTTCTGATGTTTAAGAACTTGCGCATTCAGTCATGAAATGAAAAATGCAACATCTTTTATATTATGATGCCAATAGAGATCAGCATTTTACTCCAGAGACAATTTTTATCTCCCGTTCCCATTTCTTGTATTCCATTGACACTAGTGACATTTTTGAATTGAAAACTTCTTATCAGAATTCTTCCCTTTTTCATGTCTAGTGTAGCCTTTTCCTCATTGTGATTGGTATCACGCTGATTTGTTGCTTGTGTCACTTTGAAGGAGATGAAACGTCAGTGTGATGATAAGAGGTAAGAGAACATTTGTTTACTTATATTTTCCATTCAGTGATCATTTTTATTATTTTCTTTTCAATCGAGTTATATTTTTTTTCAGAGTTTTATATGAACACATGGTCACAACTCAGAGAGAAAAAGGAAGGTTAAAGAACTCGAAAGAAAGCTTTTCACCACAGCAGTTGCAAGATGCTCAACAGGAGTACGATGAAGAGGCAACTCTATTTATTTTTCGTTTGAAATCGTTGAAGCAAGGGCAATCACGAAGCCTTTTGACACAAGCTGTGCGACATCATTCTGCACAGGTTCTAATGCCTTCAACTAATTTCCTCTCTTTCTTTCATGCTTGACTGAGTTTTTAAAACTTATGCATTTTTCCCCCTCATTGGAAGCAGTTGAGCTTCTTCAGGAAAGGAATCAAGTCCCTTGAGGCGGTCGAGCCGCATGTTAAACTGATTGCTGAAAAACAGCATATTGATTACCAGTTCAGTGGACTTGAAGATTACGATACAGATAGTGATAATAATGATGAAAGTGTTAATGATCAGCATGACGCTAATTATGATGGAGAGCTGAGTTTTGATTACGGGCAAAATGAACAAGGTGCTGATGTTGTTTCAGCCTCCAGGAACTCCATGGAGGTGAAAGAAGCTACCTTTGTTTTTGTTATATCCTTGACATTTTTTTTCGTAAATAGTTGAAACTCGTTGTCTCAACTCCCACTCAACCCCCACCCACCCACTGTCACACACGCACTCACAAACACAAAAAAAAAACAGAGAGACATGAAGGAAACCCTTGTTAGACATCTCAGAAGCTATCCCTTCTGAAAACACAGCCACTTTTCGCAGGTGGGGAGGTTGGGGTTTGGTGAAATGTACGAAAAGCTTTCTATTTTGCGCAATACCTCACATTTGTACAATGTTTAAGTCTCTTTATTGAGATTATGTTGAAGACTAGGTAGATAGTGCTTACTACAACAGTTGGGGAGCTATGCATGACTATTGGATCGTTTCTGATACGTGTGCTTAATGGAAAACTTATGTAATTTTTCAGTATTATTAGATGCACAATGCTATTTGTCAACGAACAGTATACAACTTTCACAGAGTGCACAGTTATCGTATTTGCCTGTTCAAAGTTTATGTAGAACTATACTGTTTCTGTAATACTTCGTGTGCACAGTTCTTATTTTGATTTTGCATGTTATAGTGGATCAAGTTTGATTTCCTTGAACTTTGAACTCAAAAATCATTAACTCATTTCTAATGAAAAGTGTTCAGCTTCTTGTGCTTCTTCCATTGATGGCGTATTATTTTAACGATATTTACATGTATTTTGTATGTTAAAAGTTGACAATCAGTTTAGTGCATTAGTATGCGTAGGGTTGACCATGATTTGGTTTATATATTTCTTAGCAGATATTCTGATCCGTCCGCTTTCAGAAATAAGTCATCAGATATACTGCCTACAACATACGAGACGTCCCAGTAGGGTTTTTATGTAATTCTCTGAACACATCCATGTACGATCTATGCCACCAGCAGTTGGTCAGCCCCCGTAAAGATGTAGAGTCCCTGCTACAGTGAAAACAGGGGAGCACAGAACAGAAACCTTTTCAATTCAAATGATTAGAGTTGTTGTTTGTAAATGTACACTGCATTGTTCAGAAGTGATCTCAAATATTCACATAGATAACACTAGAGAGGTTGAGGATAGTCAAGAGAGATAAAACATATGCTCATGGTGGTGAGTTGAAGAAGAAGATGCATGCTAGTAATTTTCTGTTTTCGTGAGGTGGTGTTGAAGGAGCTACACTACTGCAACGTGAATTTGACCGGAAAGTCCAGGTAGAGCAAACTGAGCTGATGTGATGTGGATGAAATTGTGATCTGCTTCCATTGATGACAAGAATGCACGACTATAGAATTCATACGTTTCTTTGAAATGATGGCATTGTCCCAATTTATTTCGGACAACAAAGTCGTCCTATCGTATTAGGGTGTTAGATAATTCGTATAAATAATGAGATGCAAAAAGTAGAAGCTATTCTCTTTTTCGTTGTTATGAGTATTTCATGTTTTCATGAATTGGCGCATCTCGCAGAAATAAAAAGTTGTGAATAAGAAAATATTTAAAATCCTTAGTAACTTTAAATAAGAAGCTGTTTGATAATCTAACATAATCTTTTTAGCGATGAATTCAGCATTTTTCCTGCTATTCAAACGCCAGTTGAGATGCTTGTTTTCATATTAAAATGAATGTGGTGTAGGATTTACATTTCAGAACCTATTCTCGTTTATCCATCTTGATTCCCATGTCAATTTTGACAGTTGGATCAGGCAGATCATACATCTACCGCAGTTTCGACCATGGAAAATGCTCAGGTAAAGCGCTGTTCCTCCATGCCGCATATTTAAGCTTGCACACGATTATCATGTCAAATTGGGCTCATTTCATGTATTTGTGAGCAAGATGGCTGCTGATATTACTTTATATAAGAAGGACAATCAGTGATGATTAATTGATATAATGACATATAGTTGTACCCCATGCGTTATGCACATCCAAGCACTCTGTTGCTTGCGAATTCTTTCGTGGACTGATTGATATGATTTGTAGCTGGCACATTCAAAATTATCGTATTAGCAACTTGTTCTCGAATATCCAAATTTTATTTTTTTGTTGAGCTGTATCCTTACCCAAATCTCAGGAAACGTGAAATAAGAAAAAGGCGCATGGAAACTTAAAATAAACGTGCGCTTCATTCACAGATTGCATTCACGAGATGATGCTTTCTGAATGCAGAAACATTCCTATGAAATAAGTTTTCTGTCATTATTTCCAAGTTACTCTGTACTAAACGGGGAATGGAAATCACAACTGACTCTCATCTGTATTTCTGCAGGAAAATATAGACAGAAGCCAGCCAGACTCGCTTTCATTCAGGAAACCTCGACCAGGGAGTCAGTCGGCGCCCATTTTTCCTGAGAAGAAAACCGACTCCACTGAAAGGATCAAGGAGATGTCCTCCTCGTCGACGAAGAGGTTCCACACATATGTGCTCCCTACACCCATTGATTTGAGAAGCTCAACTTCACCATCCCCTGGAAACACAGCTCCTGCTCCCTCGAAGCAGGTGGATCCGGTGGGCGGTTGGCTGGCACAATCATGGCATTCATCCCCTCTGGAGCCTCCTGACAAGCATCCGAGGAAATCCTCTGCTGATGCTGCACAGTCGAATGCCGTCCAATCACCCTCAGTACTCAAAGAGAGCAACACCAACACTGCAGCCATTAGGAGGCCGCCTCCCTTGGCCGAGGGCCTTCCTCTTCCCCCATCCAAGGAACGGTGGGATCACTCGCCCCATAGCATTCCTCCCAACTCTGATCCTAAAAAGTTCAAGCGACAAGCTTTCTCAGGCCCTCTGCTGAGTAAAGGGTGGTCAAGTAAGCCCCTCTTTTGCGTTCCTTCTGTACAGCACCAGGTAGTCTCCCCGATACCCCCCCGTGTTCCCACACGTCCACGATCTGTATCTCCCAAGGTGTCACCCACCGCCTCCCCCCCTCTGATGCCCTCCCCTAGAATGAGCGAGCTTCACGAGCTTCCCAGACCTCCGAGCATCTCCTTGGACCACCCCAGGCCCTTCGTCTTCGTCGGTCATTCGGGTCCTCTCGTCTCCAGAGCTCAGGACCCTTCTGTAGGAGGCAAAGCTCCTCTCTTTGCAGCAAGGATCTCATCTCCGTTGCCGACGCCTCCGGGTGCCATGTCACGGAGCTTTTCCATACCCTCCAGCAGGCAGAGAAGCACACTGAACGCCATGAAGTTGATGGGCAATTCTCCTGCCCAAGATGCAAACGAGGAGATTTCTTCACCGCTCGTGAGACCCATGTCCTTGACAAATCGCTGGCCGGACTCCACTGCATCGGAACCCGCTCTGCATCCCGCGAAAGGCAGAGGTAAGCCATGGCGCCTTCCCTTGACAAATTATTGAGTCCTGCCCGATCACTCCTCAACTGTCTAATGGATGCCATCGGCGGCTGACACTTCCTGCTGAACTTCAGGTGGCTGAGGTGGAACCGGCCTCTTCCTCCGAGGAGCGGACCTTTCATTGATCCCCTTTTTATATATATATATTCATGTATATAACGATCTGTGAATTTTCGGCCCGATTGTCTCTTCTTTTTTTTGGAGGAGTTCGTTATCGAGTTTTGCGAGATCAGTCATCGATTGCTTCGAAATAATGTAATCCTCTCCCCGTTGGCATAATGGTCGTCGGCGACATGTTTGTTCGATGATGACCCCCTCTGGCGACATGTAGGTCAGCGGAGCTCGAACCTCGGGGGTTTGACAAAGCGAGTCCATTTCAGCAAGGACCTCAGTTCCATGGATTTTTCCTTTTGACTCCTCCGAAAGGGGAAGGAAGATGATGCCAGCAGGCCCCAAGCCTTCTTTTTAACGGGAGTCATACATGAGATTATCAGGAGCAGAGCTTCTCAAGCGCCAAGTTTTCGTCCCCGTTGACCGCCTCCAGCGCAGTCCTCACCAGATCCTCCGGGAATCCCATCTCCATGAGCTTCTGCACCTGCGGATGCCAAGGAATGGCGCGTCAAAGATCGCAGTTTGGAGGCCCATCTGGGGGTCAGAGGCTTAAAACACAGTCCTCATGCCTTCTCCTCGGTGCCAGTATTGACGTTCTTCGCGAAAGCTTCCGTCCAATAGCGAGCTGTGGCGACGAACGTTGGATAATCGCGTAGATACTGCCGGAACGGAAACATAAGCCGGCAAGAGTGGATCGAGAGAAAGGAAGATAGTGCAGGTAGAGTGAAGAGAGTAAAGTCAACGGGGGAGGAGGGGGTTGACCTGCTGAGCAACCACGGCGTCTTGGGGATCATCCGGCTCCGGTGTGGACAGCAGCGCTTGTAGAGACACCAGCGCTGTCTTCAGGGTGAGAGCCGGGCTCCATTGGTCCTTCAAGATGTCTAGGCAAATGGCTCCGTTCTGGCTGCTGATATTCGGGTGCCTTGCGAGAGAAAGCAAGAGGTCAATGAAACAACGAACAGATTTTCAGCCGTGAATAGCATGACGTGCCATGAATGATAGCTACCGACGTACATGGTTTTAACCAGAGGTAAGTAAGAGCAATTCGAAAGTGATTTCTTGCCCACCTTGGTACAAACCCACACGAAGATGACTTATTGAAACACAGTTTATTTTCATGGCATTTCTATTTTTTCTAAGAATTAAACTTCTATAATTGACGGAAACTTATAATATTACAGAGGCAAGGACCAGTGAATGAGAATGGTCGGCCTGCTCCACAGAGAACAAGACGTCACCAGATGTGATGGGAGACTGCCCATGGTGTTGAAATCGGTCCCCGATCTGTTCCCACCATGACAGGTGGGTTGTCATTATCCAGTGCTATAGATGGTGTAAAAGAGATGCTCATCTCTGTTGCCATATAAACCAACTCCTCATGCCCACTCCTAGCTTCCAGATCACAGAGCTGAAATCAGCCATCAGCTGAGCTTGAGATTACAGCCAGGTAAAACTACCTTTCCTCACCCAGGAGGCCGTAGAGTCTTGAGGGAGATGGAAAAATATAGCAAAGGCTGCATTAACATCAGGGATCCTTGTAAATAAGTCCCTTGTGTTCTTTTGGCCTAAGACAATTATGTCTAAGCATTTTATATTGAAGCCAAACTCATAGGATAACTTTTATTTCATTAAGGTAACTTATCGAGACACTAAATAAATAAAAAATATCCAAAATACAAATCGGCACTAGGTTTAGATTATTTGGTTTGAGTAGGGATCGGATGTGGATCCATTGGAAAACCTCAAGGCAGTGGCGGTATCGTGATTTGAGGGACATATGGGAGAGGACTTATTCAGTAAATACTATTTTTTACTTATATTGCATCAAATCCTTATAAATCTATAGTTTTATTTGAACTCCATCAACTAAGATTTGACGTTATATTCTATTTTGGGCTATCATCAAACAGATTTTGTCGAGACACATTCGATAATATTTTTCAATGGACCATTAGAATACACATCATTGCACACTGTCATCTCTCCATGCTTTCGTTTATAGATTTTCTGTCCATAATAAAGGCGAATTCCATAAAGACAGACATACCAAGACAAATGTAGCTCGCAACGAAGCATGACACTGATGGAAGATATACCAAGTTATTGTTGCAAACCCCAGAATGTTATTCCAACAAAGGATAAGCAAAGATCAAAAGCTCTGATTCAAAATAATATTTCGCCATCCACGTTTTTAGGTCGTGTTTAAGAAATCAGAGCACTCATGTTTTCTACCTTCTTCAATTTCGATCGTGTTTGTATTCCCATATGAACCTCAATTAAAATTTGATCAATGGGATGATTCTTCACATAATTTATTTTCTGAAGGATGTTTTCATTTTCTGGATCATCCTTTAGTTGTGGGAGATCAGCATTATCGTCCATGTATATTTCATGAAATCTGCTTTCTAGGAATTCTTCTAAGTTATCCATATTGATCTTATCCTCATGTTCCTCAATAAAGTGAACAATTATGGTTTCTTAAACAACTAATATTCTCTTATTGTATACCCTGAAGACTCTAGAACTCTCACTGTATCCTAAGAGTCTACCTTCATCACTTCTCGGGTCAAATTTTCCAACCTCCTATACAGATGCAATTAGTCCGAAATGTTGTACTACGTTAACCTCAGATACAATTTAAAACGTATCAAAATTAACTCAGGACGGCAACTATCTGATTCTGTACAGAAGATTGATTGAGTCTATCAGCAACAAGATAGCTTAACATAATTGTCCCATTTTCTCTGCGTACCTTCACAAATATAGATATTTTCTATGGCCCTGACAACTGATCCAACTGAACTTTTGATAGGTTCTTCTTTTTGAAAAGTACATTTATCCGTGAAGTCTGATTCAATATAAGGTCAAAACAAACAGGCCAGCAACGCAAAAACCTTAGTTAATCACACTGATAGGTATGAAAATTAATGAAAGGAATTTAAAAAAAAAACATTGTACATAAATTAAACAACACGAACAGTCTTGATGGAACTTATGACCACAAGGAAATAAATAAACATAGAGACCAAACTATCGGTTACAATCAGAATATAATTTTTTTTTCTACATATATAAACCTGAGGACCACGTGAAAAAACTTGACAAAATGATCTTGGAAGTATTGTGGCATATATTGATGGTATCAGTTTCCTGTCCAACATACAGCACAATATTATTATCCCAGGTCCTGCTAGATTTCAGGGATAACTGAACAGAAGTCAGAAAGTTGAAAATTAGTAATGGAATATTAGATGCGAATGTAAAGGCTTCAAATAAAAATAACCGACAGATAAATTTTTCCCACGGGTACATTGTGCAAGAGGAATGTAAAGCAAATTGAATGTAACAAATACCATGAGTATGCATCGAGTACGTACCACACTTTTGTTATGAACTGCATTTTAGGAGGCTCAAACGGATATCCATCTGAAATCCACCATTGAACACTTCAGAATCGTAGCTGACTTAAATTCCATCATAAATCATTTATTCAGACAATTTTAGGGAAGAAAAATTTGAAGGAAATGTTCGTGCAAGACAATAATAGGATTTATTTATTTTTCAGTTTTCAAACGCACAATTGACAGGCCATTAGTTGAACATCTGTTGCACGATATATGACGAAGCAAACTAGAGATAACTTGCAAAAATATGGAGAAAAAGGCAACGCATATGCATGAATGACCAGAAGAACATTATTAGCATATGACAGCCGCATAAATCATGGAACTGGAAAATATGCTGATATCCATTAACAATGATATTTATATCAACATAACAAAAAAAATGTTTTTCAAAGTTACTTGGCTGAGGAAAATTCGATCATCCACAATCACTTGACATTGAAAAAGAGAAATTTCCAATACTCGAATTATGAGAAACAGAACAAGAGCTGCCCCATTAGTCCAAGAAACGGTCATCAAACTTTTTCCTTCCGAAGATTTTGACTTTAATTCGGTCTAGCAGACCTGCTGCGTGCACAGTCAGTTTACTCATCATGGGTTTGATCCTTAAATGTTCATAGATCTTGCCATGTCGTGAAGTAAGAGTCATGGGTTTTCCATTACTATCGTGAAGATAAGGTTGTTGGTGTGACCTATCCAAGGTTTAGCAATAAGGCGTAAGGTACTTTTGCCCGCAATTCAGGAAACCATAAGCGCTAGCAACACTTGAATTCTGAAATTATCCTCAGCTGGAACGAATTCATTTATCTCTTAAAATGACAGATAATTTTTTCAAAATTTCAATCGTACAGAAACGAAAAATATGTCAAAATAGAGCAAAGATTAAGAGCATAAATAAAGTCTGGAACCAATGCCAACAGGCATTCTTTTTTTTTCTTTGGTAAGAGCTGTCTCCTGGTGATTGCAGGCCACACATCATTTAGCTCTCAGGTTTTCAGCTCCGTATTGGATGGTGCAATTAACTTCCCTTCAGAATTTTTATTATTTGCCTCAACTGCCGAGTGTCTCTGAATAACTCCTTTCACCTTTTTTTGAAGTAAATACGTATGTCGGTTTGTATATTGGTCCTCCCGTCCCCGTTTTTCATTTCAGAATTAATCTCGACGCAATCCATGTCGGAGCTAAGAAAACTTCAGGACAATCGAAGAATGCCTCACGTCCTTGAGTATCCCCCTTTCCTTACAACCACATGCATGTTTGGCCTTTAGCACGGACGACATACGATAGAAAAAAACCCACACTATTAGGAACTATAGTAAGAATTTTATAATGGAAAATGAATAGTCTGCATTCTGAAGCGGATCTTTCATGGAAATCTAGAGCTGATTAGATGGCAATAGTTATGTAAGCAAAAGTAAATTGATCACCCATGCGAAGAATTCCCAGTGGGGTTCTTGATAGATGAATACAAGTGCAGGGCAAACAACGATTCCTTAACCATCAATCGTCCGCCCGAAGTTGCATGTATACCGAGAAAAAAAAGATTGCATCGAAGAATATACGCATGTATTGCTGTCATAACATCGAATTCTACCATTTCGAACACTCAACGCCTAATTACACCAAGAACCAAGAGTATTCCATACAGAGGAGGGACCACATTGAAGAAAATTATGCAAAGGAAACAGGAACAAGATAGACGGCTCAAAAACCCTATCAACCCTCCCAACGGCGGCAATTTGTCTAGTCTCGAGGTGGCAATCCATACCGGGCAGGTGGATGTTGATCTTGAAGGTCCCACCCTCGTATGGGGTGGTGATGGGACCGGAGATGGTTCCACGGAGATGGGAGAGGCTTCCGCGCCCGTCGGCTCCTTCGTAGAGCTCGATGCTCACGCCGGACACTCCTTTGTCCTTGTTGCATTCCGTCAGTTCCTTCTGCACGCGCGACACGTCCATCATCTCTCCGCCCGATCAACAGAAGCCCAACAGGTCAGTAGTGGGGCAGAGCCTGCGCTACCGCCTTCTCCTCCTCACCCTCTCTGGCTTCTACCCACCGGCAATCGCAACCCGCAGAACCTACTTCCGGCTCAAGGGAAGTTCTTTCTCATTTGCGTTGACTAAACAGAGAACGTACTCCACCAGGCGGTATCCATTCACCTCTTATTCACGCAATCAGCCCACTCGAAACCCAACCAATCAGCCAAGACGGCGGAGGAATCGATTCCCTGGGAGGGTAAGTGGTGGGGATCGGCGGTCCACAAGGGGTATCGGGGTGACGTGTGGGCCTTAGAGCCAAAGACCCATATTTCCTGCCGAGAAAATTCCGTATTAATTGAGAATATAATCAATAAATAATTTATTAATTGAGGTAAAAACTTGTAGGGAAGAAATAAAGCACAACTTCCATAATAATCAATTTTCCAAAAACCCATATTTCGACCAGGCCCAATAATGCGCCATCATTTTCTGAAAACATTATGTTACCAATCTGAGAATGAAGAGGATCAGCTATGCCGCATGGTTCGCCAAAAAACATGATACCAACTAGGAATCAACATGGTCGGCAATGCCAAGTATCAGCCAAGTCTAGTTCATTTGACACGTTTTTGCCAAGAACGCTATATAAGAACCAGACCAAGAACACCATTCATTCCTCGCCAAAACGTAGCATCGGCCTGGTTCCCCCCCCAGTTGATCAATGGAGTGCGTAGTCTTCTACAGGAGCTAATGATCTACTTGGATATTTGTAGCATGCTAGATATTTTACACTATCAGCACATATTTCCACTTGGGTTATTTATAAGATGTCACTAAGATCATGCCAAGGTTGAGGACAGAAATTAGGATTCACCTATGAACATAGAAGGTTTTGGGAGAATATACCCTCGTGGGTTCCTTCACTTTTCTCCGTTAATATGACCAGTAATGGAGTTATCTAGGTAGATATGCTGTGGGATTGATAAATGCCGGAAAAGAATTGCAGTGAAGTACCCCATGGCGAAGAAGGCCGAGGATAAATCTTAAAAACAGTGTCGTCAGATGAGCGTAGGGCCGGGTGCGGTTTAAGGTTTCCTGTTCCTGCCATGTCGGGCGAGAGGACGTACCGTGAGTTGATCGGAGAGGTAGAAAGGGAGGGGAACCAGGAGGTTGGCAGCTCCCCTCCGGCGGCTTCCGCCGGACGGGACCTGCCCGGAAATGGCCGGCGTGAAGCCCGGCGCCGGTAGAATCTTCGTCTCCGCTCCCGCCGGGGTCCCTTTCTCCGGAGAAAATATTCGGTCTCTGTCAACCCCCCCCCCCCCGGTTCTTCCGGCTCTCTGTCCGCGTGCCGGGCTGTCCCGTCGACGGGACCCGACGGGAAGACTCCCCTTCGGGAACCCCCCCGGGAACCCCCCCGGAGATGATTGTCTCCGGTGAGCTTCCCGGCGAATGTCTCGGGGCCGCTCTCCTGCAGAGGATCCCCTCGCTTCTGACAGGCGACGGCGACGCGAAGGCGAAGGCTCTCTGCTCTCAGGGGGTTCGGTTTCACCAGGGGGCCGTCCTTTCGCCACCCTCCCCGAGAAGGAGCGCCGCCCAGGCCTTCATCTTCCTCAATTGCCCCTCTCCTGTGACGTGAGGAGCTTTGAAGACCGTTGCAGCGTCGCCGCCGCCACCACCGGCGCATAGGAGGGCAGAGGGGGTATTTCTGTCGGGCTGAGACTGCTTCTGCTTGAATGTTATCTACCAACCTCCCCCTAACCCTCTCTCCTCACCCTCTACCCACCCACCCGGCGTCTCCTTCCACAGGAGCCCAGGCCGCCGTCGGAGGGCAATGGCACAGCTGCGGCAGCAGCAGAAGGAAAGAGAACTCTTCAGCCTGGTGAGGCCGGCGGCGGAGGGGCCGACCAGGAACTTCCATTGCCTCTACTGTTCCAGAAGGTTTTGCACCTCCCAGGCGCTCGGGGGCCACCAGAATGCTCACAAGAAGGAGCGCGCCGCCGCTCGAAAGGCTCCGATCGCCGCAGGCGTCGAACGCCGGTGCAGCAGCGCTCCTGGGAGAACCACCGCCACCGCCCTCACGACGCCGGCTCTTTGGGTCGAGTCCCCTTCGCCGCCGTGCTACTGGTTCTACTACGGAACCTACTTCCCACGACCCGCTCCGCAGGTGATGATGCCCCTCTCCGCCGCCACCGGTGGCTCGCTCATACCGTCCCCCTCCCCGCCCTCTCCTGGCCCTCTGCACGTCGACCTCGACCTCGATCTCGACCTCGACCTCTCCCTCCATTTGTAGCTCATCCCCGATCTTTCAGCCCTTTTGATGCTAGTGTGCCCCTCTGATTTCAGAGACGTATACGGATCCATAGATAGATGCTCATCGACAGATAGATAGAGAGCGAGAGAGAGAGAGAGTGCTGTCAATATTTTTCGCTCTCTTGTTCTTCTTTTAAGTTTACGTGGAAGAGAGAGGGAGGGTGGAGCTTGGCGGGAGGCATCCATGCGCGACGAATCTTCCTGCGGATCGATACTGCCGACGCAGAGATTTAGGGTTCCCATCTTCTGCAAAGAAACTCTCCGAATCGATGCTCTACGACTGTTGCCACGGGGGCTCGGTCATTGCTGGTCTCTCCCCTCCTCTCTCGTCCTCCCCCCTCCCACTCTTCCTCGAATAACCAGACGTCGGACCCCCTTGCCCATCCGCCGCTTCTCCTCCCTCGGGCGAGGATGACGACGGGTGACGATCATCTCCTGCGTCAGGATGTTCCAGGTGACGTGCATGCAGGCGCCTGGGGAGGATAAAAAGATTTCTTCTGGGCCCGAGAGATGGGCGCTGCGCAGGAGCCCATCCCCGCCTGACCAGGCCTACAACCCAGCAGCCTGCCGAGCGAGTCCCCGAGCAGGGAATGAAGATCCGACAATTTTCTTCCTATGAACCGGGACGAGGAACTCGCAGAACATTCATCTGAGGATCGGAGCTTTACGAGGGAGGGCGCAAGACGGAGAGAAGAGGATTACACCTCACGGAGTGGCCAACAAGGCTCACAGGAACCTCCTCTCAAACAGTGACTACAAAAAGAGGAAGAGGAAGAAGAAGAGGAAGAGGAAGAAGAAGGAGAGGAGGAAGAAGATGAAGGTTATATACAGTAGCCGTCCAGGCGGTCGCCGGCACCTTTCAACCGCAGCTCTGGACGTCGACTCCTTCGGCGGACTTCACGAAGCGCCCCTTCACCCGCTTCCTCGTATCCGCCCTCGCTTTCCTGGATTCGTAGCGTATCCGCTTCTCGTATCTGCACACGATGCAAGCGGAAGAAATTCAGAGAGAGAGGGAGAGAGAGAGCAAATGGAAGAGCAGATACGAGAGCGATTCGATAGCTTGCCTGCGGGTCTTCCTCTTCTCCCTGTAGCGGAGCATGGCGCTGTCTCTGTTCATAGCGAGCAGGTCCCCGTCCATCCTGCCAGCTAGCCGTGTGGCGCCGCTGCCGGCAGCAGGGGGGAGCTGGTCGCCCAAGGAGACGTCCCTGGAGCTGCAGCTCGGCTTGGGCTCGCCCGAAGAAGCGCCAGACGGCCCAACCACAGTCGCCATGTTATGGGAGGATATCGACGCCCAGTTGCTCCCCGAGTTTAACCCAGCCCGCCATTTCCCGTCAGCCTGGACTGCTCCTAGCTGCGGAGAGAACTCATACGAAGATCAGGGCCATCGAAAATCATCCAGAAGGGGAAAACTTCACTCATAAAAACACCAACCCAGATCTAAACAGATCCATTCCAACCCCTCCCAAATGGATTTTCTCTTCGATCTCAAACCAGTCGGGGATCTAACTCCAGTTTCGGCATCAAGAAGCTGGATAAATAAGGATGAAGACCATAGCAAGAACACAGAAGCACAAGAACGTACATTTTGAGTGCTGGTCGAGAGGATATCCTTGGGAGGGGCCGTGGGATGAGAGATATCAGCCGATGAGATGTCCCCCGGAAGGGAAGTGCAGCTCTCATACACGTCTCCCACCGCCTCCGCAGTCGGAAAGGAACTCCCGTTCGCGAGGTCACCGTAGCTCTTGACCAGGAAGGCTGCGTCATTTGTGACATCCGCCGGCAGAGATTCGGGATGATCCCTTGATCTTCCCAGGTGGAAATCCCAGATCTGCAAGGAAGGTCGATGGGGTTGACTTGAGCAGAAGATTAGAAGTTCCACGCGACCCGGATGGATGCGAGGGAGTCGGGAAGCGAAGGACCGGACGGAATCGATGAAATATCGTCGTAAGATTTTTCATTCTGAGTTCTTCCGACGCAGTCTCGGAATCGATGCTGATTTATCCCGGAGATTACGATATATCAGGTAGGAATACGAGCAAAGATCGATAAAAGGAGAAGCAGATTTGAAATGCAGCGAAGGGGAGAACTTTCAAACCTGGGAAGCGTGATTGAGTGGGTCGCAATCCCAAAGGATGTCTTCTTCCCGGAGCTGATCCCTCTCGCCATGGCCAGGGCATCCCCCGGGGGGGAGCATGAGGAAGGAGGTGTACGCCATCTGCCGTAAATCCGTCCCATCCTCGGCGTCGCGGCACCTGTTGTTCCTCACGGGGGTCTCGGGCCCGAGCTCGCAAGGGGGCGCCGCCGCCGTCTCGCGCTTTGTCATCTCCGTCAGCTGCCGAAGGAGAGCCAGCGTATGCCTTCTGCCGTGGAGTGGGGTCTGCTCCGCCCTCGCGAAGGAGGCCATGTCTGCGCAGGTGAAGTACAGGTCCTGGAGTAGCACTGAATCCATGTCGGGGATCGAGTCGCCGGACAACCAGCCGGAGAACCTCTGAGGGTCGCCGGAGGACTTCCCGGCGAGGTCGAAACCCCAGGCGGCGGCGAGATCGAGGGCGGAGGGGATACCGGAGAAGCCCTCGACGGGGGTCCGCTCATGGGAGGAGCCGCAGGACCCGTGGGCGTCCCAGTCGCAGTCCTGGCACAGCGACAAGCCGTCGGCGGGGCAGCGGAAGGCGACCGGCTGGGAGCCGCAGTTGTTGCAGATCTGGGTGCGCAGGTGCTTGCGGGAGAGGGCGTTGGCCTGGTGAACGTGCTGGTCGCAGGACAGGCAGAGCTTGGCGCTGTCGGCGCGGCAGTAGATCACCGCCGTCTCCTCCCCGCAGAAGTCGCAGGGCACCGCGTCAGCCCTCCTATGCGGGAGCTGCTGGATCTTCCCGTCCATCGTCGAACGGATTCCAATCCCCCGGCGAATCTCCAGCACCTGCCGCAGAAGAAAATTCTGAGTGAAGCAGACCTCCCTCCTTCCGATTGTCTCGCTCAGACCGCTAGGATCTCCGACCGATCAGAGGATGCAGGAAAGTCCCCCAGTGGAAGGAAGGAACCGTAGCGGGATCAGCTCAGGTCGTCCGCCCCGCAGGAGAGGCGAGGAGATACCGGAAAGACGAAGACGCAGAGGGGAGAACAGAGTCCATCGTCTCTCTCTTTCTACGAACAGAGGAGAGGAAGGTGGAGGGGAAGGGGAGATAGCAGAAAGGACATGGGAACGGAGGAGGGGGGAAGAGTGGGGGCCGGGGTGATAAAATATCGTTCGCTTTTCTCCGAGCTGGCAGGAAATTGTCTGAAAAGGGCTCCTTCCTCGGCCTCACTCCTTACTCATCATCGCCGTCCTCCCCATCTTTGCTGCCTCTTCCACACCATCTTTTCCCCCGGCGGCGGCCAATTAGAGGAAATCGGTCATTTTCCGGCGTTTATGGCCCATCCCCGGCCGACCCCACCGGCGGCAGATATTTCCTCCGCCGGACCAGCGTCGCGGCGTTGTCACGTGGTGGCGGCGGATCAGTAGATCTCAGAATAAATAACACTAAAATATCTCAGAAGAAAACTGGCATCTCGCAGAACGGCGAGCTGCGGCCTTGCTTTCCGGCGCCCCCGTCCCCGGCGGCGGAGATCAGACCGGAAACGGGTGGGGAAGAATTGAATTGAAGTCAGGCACTCCATTGAATCCGATGCAGGCAGGAATTGAGGGTGACAGAGAAAGGATGGAAGGAGGTTCGGTTTGAACACGGCGCATTGACGCCCTGCTACCGGCCTTCACGCGACAGTGGAAGGAGAGATGATGCTTTTGTCATTTAATCCATCGTAAGGCGTTTGGGCGGGTGGAGGAGCTGGTGGGGAAGCGAACGAGACAATAACCGCGGTGGCCAATCTCGCGAAGGGGGATCTCGAATCTCGCCACCATGTCTGCCAAGCGGCGAGCTCGGGCCGGCGGAGGGATCCGTGAGGAGGGAGCAGGAGAGAGGGGCAGAGAGGAAGAAGACGACTCTGTCTCTGTCTCTCTCCCCCTCCCTCTCTAAATCCTACCTCCCAAGCTTCTCCCAGGGCTTCCGACAGAGATTGGATAGGTGGGAAAAAGTGCGATTCTCCGGGAGAATATCTTCGTCGATCAGATTTCCGCGAATATTTTCATCGATCAGATTTCTGCGAATATTAAACGCAGGGATCATTGAATTCTGCCGACCCAACCATTGAATTCAGGATCTGAAATTTAACGGCCGCCCTCGCCGCCCACCTCCCGGGTCACCCCGCGTAGCACATTCCACACCCGGGCTAGGGCGGCGAGACCGCCCAAGAAGCCTCCTTTCCGCGGTGGCCCGCCGCCGCTGGAAGGTCGCCCTTCGGGTGTCCTCAGACGGGTCGCCGCCGGCAACGGCGAGCGGGCCGTTGAACGGGCGATTCTGCCGAGACAGAGACCGGAGCTCCGGATGACGGTGGTGGAAACCCTCCCCCCCCTCTCTATCTCACTTTCAAACTCCAGATTGCCACGGATCATCACCGACGAGGGTAAATCAGTTCTCTCTCTCTCTCCTTCCTTCTCTAAAATAGGCACAGGGGACCATGTCAGCGGGAGATCTCACCCAGACTGGGGACTCCAGCGCAGCGCCACTTGGCGGCGGGCCCCGACGATCCCGTGATCGTCAGCCATCGCCTAAACTGCTGCCGACGAAGAGAGAGAGAGAGAGAGAGAGAGAGAGGACTGGGAGAGCTAGCTGTAGGGGGACGGGTGCTCCTCTGGGCTTGGACAAAAGTCCAGGGCGGCGGAGGTCGCGATCGCGACGGGAACCCGCCGCCATCAAAGGTGTCCCCCCCCCTTCCCCATCTCTCTCTCTCTCTCTCTCTCTCTATCTATCTATCCATCTATCCCAATCTCTCTACAGGAGACTTTTCTCCTCCCTTACTCTCCCCCCCACGTGGAGAACAACCATAGTTCATAAAGATTTCTATGATAAACCAAACATTTTCATCTTAACTTTCATTATTTTCTTGGATTGGAACCTCCACGAGAGCTGACCAGGTCGGAGCTTAGAGAGAGAGAGAGCAACGCCGATTGTCAACCTCCATCTCATTCGTAGAATCTCGGGAATCTAATCAAGTAACCTCCTTCGGATAATGTTTGAAAACTTGACCGTATAGACTTGGAATCCCCATCTCGATCGGTCGACGCCCAACCATGCAATGGCGACGTCAAGAAAAATGGAGAACAAGGCCTACAAGCTGAAACAAGTGACCCGGTAATAAAATGCCGTTGACTTGCGATTCATTAACCGTGTTAATACGAAATGGGCCAGCTGATGTCCACGCTCGTCTTCTATCCCACGTTGTTTTCCTAAACTGGGATAATGAACGAGGAAATTAAAACTAATTTGACGGATAATTACGATCGTAGTTGCAAATCATTTTATCCATAAACTAATTATATTTCCGGATGTATTAAATTTATGTCTTATTCCAGAAACATTAATTCTAGTGCGAAGTTCTTTTCAAGCCTTGTTTATTAGAAATAGAGGCTCTCTCTCTCTAAACATATAAATATAATTGACATTTATAACGTTATTATTGCTTTTAAGCATAATTAATAGAAGAATTATGTATCATTAAGATGAGTTATCAGTCGACGAGGGTATTCGTGTATAATGACTATGCAGGGAGTCAACTGGGTAATTAATTCATCAAAGCCATTGATTCGTGTGACTGAAAGTTTTTTGCCATCGTTTTATGCACCATTTGGTAAGTGTCGAAAACCTGCATATCTCTCTCTCTCTCTCTTTCGCTACGCAGGAAGATCACGTGGTTTTTCTTCGGTGAATTTGTCTGATCGTCATGGAGTTTGACGTCGAGTCCGCCAGCTGAGCTACGAGTGAGCATTTCGCTGTTGACTTCGCGACGATCATTCAGCTGCGACCACTCCACTACCGTGGCCGCTGACTGGTCGCCATCTCCACAACTCGCGCCGACGCTGGGTCCTCTGCGGGCGCTGAGGATGTGGGCCATCCAAATGATAGAGAGAGAAAGTAAGAGAGAGAGGAGATGGAGATCGAGATAGAAAAGGGAGGGCGGGGGATGCTCAAAGGAAGAATTTTCTTCGGCTTCACAGAGAAGACGAAACGGTGGAAGCCCGCGTTTGATCTCTCGGGTTATTAGTCAAACAACAACGAACACAACCCTCTCCGTTGTTTTTAATCTCTCCACACGAACCAAACCACGAGATGCAGAGAAATCGCGAAGAGACGATGTACATCGGCCACCAGAGCGGGGCCATCGCATTGTACAGAGTCTAGTATAGGTCACGTCCGAGGGAGGACTCCCCAGATCTTCCCCTTCCCCAGGACCTCCAGGAGCTTCTTCGCCCCGTCCACCTCCATCTCCAAGAGCCTCTGCAGAAACCCGCATGCCCCTGCCTCCACCATCCTCTTCCTGCACTTGCTCGAGTGGGAAAGCGACGCCAGCAGCTCCACTGTGACCTTCTTGTCCACATTGGGAAGAACTGGATCGAGGAGCTGGACGGCGCTCGGGATGCCCCTCTCCTCCTTCTTGAAGATCCTCCGGTTCTCGGAGACCGTCAGGAGCGAGACCAGCGCCCTTGCCGCCGCCTCCTTCTCCTCCGAGCTCTTCGCCTCCAGCGACCTCACCAGCGGAGGAATGCAGCCGACTTCGCCCATCTCCTTCCCCACCCTGCTGCCGTAAGACAGCGCGCAGATCGCCCTCATGGCTTCCGTCCTGATGGTGGCGCTGCCGCTGCCCAAAGCCGCTGCCACGCGCGGCAGGAACCCCTCCGCCACGAGATACTCGGCTATGTACCTGCAGGAGGCGAGGCTACACAGAAGCCCCGCCGCGGGCTCGAGATTCCGGCCATCTTCGCCGTCCCAGTAGTTCTTGAGGCACTCCACCCCGCCTTCCTTGAAGATGAAGATCTTCCAGTCTTGACCATCTCCGGCGGACAGATTCCGAAGGCAGGCGATGGAGTTCTCCTGGGCCACCGCCGTGCCCGATGAGCACAGGCTCAGCAGAACGGGGACCGCGTTCTCCTCGGCGAAGGCCGGTCGGATCTCGTCGACGGCGGCGAGGTTCTTCAAGACTCCGACGGCGGCGGCCTGCGACGAGGGGGTTCCCGCCTGGCAGATCCCGAGGAGCGGGAAGATGCCGCCCCTGCAACCGAAGGCCCGAGCGTTGTCCTTTGCGAGGGTGAGGGTCTGCAGGGCGACGCAAGACTTCTCCTTGGCGAAGCTGCTGCCGGATTCGAGCAGTCGGGAGAGGTGGTTCAGAAGAGGGACCCCCTCCGCCACCAGGACGTGGCGACAGCTCTCGACGGAGGAAACCCTGGATATCGCCGCCACTGCCTTTTCCCTCGTCTGCTGGCAGGGAGAATCCAGGAGGCGGACCAGGGCCGGGACCACGCCCTGGGCAGCGGCGATCAGGACGTTCTTGTCGTCCTCTTGAAGGAGTCCGGTGAGCTCCTCTAGGGCGGCGTTCTTGGAGGCGGCGGCGCCGATCTGGAGCCGGGTTATCAGGTTCCGGGCCTCCACGCGGACCATTTCTCGCCAAGAGCCCTGTTGGGGGACAGCGTCCTCCTCCGCCGCTCGCGGCGGCGGCGGCTCCAGCAGGACGCCAGTCTTGTGGAGGATATCTGCGTCGGCGACGTGGCGGTCCAGGGCGGCGGCGGTGGCGGCGATGTCGCTCTGCGTGTGGAGCTTGCCGGCGGGGAGATCCTCGGAGAGGCACTGCCGGGAGAGGGACAGGGCGGCAGCAAGTGTCTTCGACAGGGAGGTCAGGAAGTCCGCGGAGAGGGGGTTGGAGGAGAGGTTCGGGGGGCCGGAGAGGTCGTCGAGCACCGCACGGAGGCGATCGAGCTTGGCGGCGATGGCGCACCATCGCCCCTTGAAGAAGCGCACCTTGCCGACGGCCTCTGAGATGGAGGCGATGAGGTGCAAGGAGAGACGGAGATGGTCCTCCTCCTCCGGCGACTTCATCGTCACCGCCGCCCGCAGAGAAAGGGGAGGACCACGCGGCGGCGGTGCGGAGTTGAGAATAAAAGGCAGAGCTTCCAGGCTGTCTCCCAATTTTCTTTCCCCATTTTAGCGCCGGCGACTTCCGGATCCCATTGACTTTGCTACCCCCGTAGACCAAATAATGCAACTCAGACACTCATTCGAGGGCAGACCCGGCAAGTTGATGGGTAGAGATACCCATCGCTGACCCCCGGCCTCTGCTGGATCATCGGATTGCTTAACCTACATGCCGTGTCCTCTCCTGCATTTTCCCCTCATGTGCCGGTTGGCGCATTCATTAATGCGGTCAATTTTATTTTTTATTTTATAAAAAAATGTAGCATGCACACGTGTCACTCTCCCTTTGTCCGAGCTGGGTTTGACCCGCGCCCCCCGCAATAATTTCCTCCGTTCACCCATTTTCAGAATGTCAATCACGTCGAGTTGACCGCGCAGCACGTGACGACCCCGGGATATTTTTGCTGCCAATCATCAATGGCATTATTTTCCCAAAATGTGCGAAAAAAACGCAGGCTTTTCCTCTGTACTCTGTGAGAATTGACCGGGCTCTCTTTCGGCTCGTCGACGTGTGAAAGTCGTCAACCAGATATACACTCTTATTTCGTCGAGAAAATTCTACAAAAAAAATACCCGTTTAACGCCCCGAGTCACGAGTCCACGGTCACCCACCCCTCTCTTTCTCTCTCTGTCTAGAGTCCCCCACCGCGTCTCTAGAGATATGCCGGTGGCGTAGCCCCAGCGTCCACATCTACGTGGAGGGAATAAGCCGCACATGCCGCATGCTCTCTCTCTCTCGTTAACCGTGTAGCTGCTGTCTGTCGTCAGCGCAGTCATTAGGGTTAATGATATCAGTATGATCGTATATGAACCGTGGAATAACGTCAGATGCAGGTGTACAGAATTAGAATAATCCCGTCTTGATCTCACGGGCACGCATTAGTCTTCGAAAATTCACATGAAAGCCGCGAGCTCCATACCATGTACTTGGGCTCGCTAAGCATGGTGTCATATTTATTTATTACGGTTAAACGCGTCATTAAGCTGACGTGGCTATTCGGGAGAGAGAGAGAGAGAGAGAAAATGGGCCGAAGTCGGGTGAGTTCAAATAGAGAGTATGATGACGATCAAATCCTCGTCGAATACGGCCCAACGAACGAGCTCAGCTCACGAGTCCGCTGAAAGTTCGTTACGTGCGAGTTCACCTCCGGCTAGCCCATCAAAATAGAGCACTGTTGGCGATATTGGGCCAACTTGTTTTGGGCCTCCCATATCCAGACAGGTCCGGTCTTGTCGAGGTAGCCCACCATTATGTGCCACGTGGCCCCAAAAGAGGCAAAAAGAAGCCCTCCTTAATGTAGAAATGTCAACTGCACCTGTCGTTAACTCACGCGTGGCGGCTGGGTCAACGAGTGTTGACTAGAATTTATCGGCCTCTGGAATGTAGGTGGGCGGCCTCAGGAGGAGGGATGATGGTGAAAAGTGGTAGGTAGTAGAGGGAGGAAAAGGAGGCTCTTCTGTCTTGTCGTTCAGCCCCCGTTTTGCCAGCTAGAGATGACAGAACCCCCCTCTCTCTCTCTCTAGTCCTGTCTCTCTCTCTCTCTAGCGCTCTCTCTCAAGAAATGGCGTTCTTGATAAACGGGGGTCACCGTGGATTATCGGTCGCAGGGAGACAACATCAGTAAATCCACACAGACATACATTCTCCACCTCCCCCTCCCTACGCACCAGAGTGGAGAGAGAGAGAGAGAGAGAGAGAGAGGGAGGGAGGAGAGAGAGAGAGAAAGAGGGAGGAGAAAGAGAGAGGGAAAGAGGGAGAGAGAGAGAGAGAGAGAGAGAGAGAGAGAGAGAGAGAGAGAGAGAGGTGACAGCAATCAGAGATGAGCGAGCAGCAGGGGGAGCAGGGCTGTGGGGGACCTTCTACTCGGACCACCGTCTGTCTCGAGTACTACCGCAGATCGATTCGAGAAGAGAGACAGAGTGAGAGAGAGAGAGAGAGGAGGGTTTGCTTCAAAACAAACGCGTTTCTTTTGGCGAGCCTACATATCCCTCTCTCTCTCTCTCTCTCTCTCTCTCTACTTTCGACGCTCTTTAAAGAAACCCAAACCCCCGCAGAAAACCCTCCTCCACTCCCGTCCTTCACTAGCTCAGCGCGCTTTCCTCTCCTCGCTTCCCCTCCGCCTCCCCTCCCCCCCCCCTCTTCTTTGCCATGGCGGCCCCCAACATCGACATTATAGCGGCGTCGCTCAGGAGCTGCTCCCTCGCTAGGGGGGCGGTTTCCTCGCCGGAGCCGCCTCCGTTCCGCCCAATCGGGGTGGATCTGCCGAGCGAGGGATCCACCGGCGGCGCAGTCGTCGAAGCCGCAGACACCACCCTGGAATTAAATTCCGAGGTCGCCCTTCCCTATCACTGGGAGCAGTGTCTCGACTTGAAGGTTCGACCATCTCGCTCTTCTTTAATGCTTCTCTCACCTCTCAATCATGTCATCAAGAAAGCTCGAATGTAGGACCAACAGGAATCCCTCCGACACAAGACCCTCCTCCCGGATTTAATGCCCTCTTGTCCTCCGCCTACCTAGAGGGGAGGAGGGGATCTTCACGTCGCAATCGCCTTCCCCTTCTGCCCTGTTTTCCTTTAGATCTCTCTTCTATCCTTCTCCTGTCCTGCTGTCTATGGAAGCCCGTGGTGACCTGACGGAGTCGCCGCTTGGTTTCTTCTTCTCGTCCTCCCCACTTGGATCTGTGTCGGCGGCGGCTTCTCAGCTCTTTCTGTGTTTTTTTCTCTTCTGGGTTCGGAAACCGGTGAGAAGCTCGAGGACATGAGGTTTTGGGGGGTTTTCTGCCGTCCCCCCTCCGTTTCCATCTTCTCTGTCAATCGCCGGCCGGTGAAATTCTCGCGTCTCATCCTGCACCACTCCGGGTTGATTTCTGACAGCTCCATTGTCTCGTACAGACAGGGAAGATCTACTACATAAACTGGAGCACAGGGGCGAAATCCATGGAGGATCCGCGGAAGTTCGCCGGATTCCGCGACAGGTACTACTCCGACGAGGATGAGGAGGAGGAGGACGGCGACGATGCTGATGACGAGAACGACGGCGTGGAGGACGACGACGACGGCGGGGACAGCTCGGAGGACTCCGCGACCACCGACAGCGACGACAACGGCAACTGCTCCTCCGCCTTCTCGTCCTCCTCCTCGGCCTCCTCGCGGGACACCATCGAGCGAGGCTGCGGCGCCGGCGGCTGGCGCGGCGGCGTCGCCGCCGGAGGGTCGGTGCTCGTCGCAGCGGGGTGCCGCGTCTGCATGATGTATGTGATGATACCGAAGCGGGAGGAGGAGTGCCCCCGTTGCGGTGGCCACGTCCTGCACTTCAGCCGGAGCGGCGACAGGTGACCCTCCGATCTGAAAGTGACTCCGCCATGGAGAGAACTGGAAGAGAGAGATCTAGACCTGGGGAGTTTTCGATTCTCCTCATTCTCTGCTCATTTGCAAGAGGAAGATGGAAAAGGAAAGAAGGGGAGGACGACGACAAAGCTTCGCCCTTTATTATTCATTCATCTTCTTCATTAGTTATCTACCTCCTCCTCTCCCCCTTCTTCTTCTTCTTCCTCCTCGGGCGGGAACCAAAACAGGGCTCCCGGGCGTTTTGAATCATTACAGTTACGCCCTGAATCATGGCCGCCATGAGTGATCCTGCTGGAGCAAGTGTTGTCAACACATCGCTGCAGAGCTAGAGCTAGCGAGAGAGAGAGAGAGAGAGAGACAGACAGAGAGGGAGAGGGGGACTCTCGGGGGCCGCGACGGGGGAATAAAGCGGAGTGCGGCACGAGAGCTGATCTGCGACTGAGGCAGACAACGGAACCTTTCCTCGGTGGGCAGTAAGGAATCTCCACAGAGCGTGCCGCAGGGGAGGAGCAGAAGAGGACGAGGGGAGAGACAGGCATGGGAGGAAGGAGAGAGAAGGGAACTGCGTCGAGCGGAGCACAGGGATGCCCCGTGGTCTGTGAGAATCTCGCTCTCCACGCCCGCCGGTGCTGCCGCCTGCGAATGGACTGCTCCCCCACCCCCCTCTCTCCTTACCCTGACCTCTCTGTCTCGTAGCGGCCCTTGTTCCCCACCTCTCCGTCTCTGTCTCTCTCTATCTCTATCTCTATCTCTGTCTCTCTCTCTCTCTTTCTCTGTCTAGCTCTCCCTTACTCTCCCTGCTCCTCACACTCCCTTTTGCCCTGCTTTCTCACGCAGTGGAAGACAAAATTGAGCAGGAGCTGACCCACTACTGTTGACCCGAGTCTTCTCTCGTCTGCCCCCCCGTCCTCTCCCGAGCTCATCCCCCGGCTTTTCTCTCCCTCATCTTCTCACAAAAGAGAGACCAGCCTATAAAAAATATGAGAGAGAGAGAGAGAGAGAGTTCCGTGGCCGCTGAGCTCTGCTGGTTTTCCACTGTTTCTCCTCGTGAAATAGGGCAGACTACTCCACAGGAACTCCACCGTGTTGGCACGACGGCGACTCCACCGATACATGGTCTCTCCCTCTCCCTCTCCCTGTGTCTCTCTGATACGTCTCATGAAGGAAATAGCCTACGTGAATCAGAGTCATCCCCGAAACCCAAGATCTCAACTGTCGCACCGAGACGCAAGCTGCTGGAATCGTTCTCTCGCTCACGATCTCCCACTCGATCCTTCTTCCTCACGCAGCCCACCCAGCTCCTCTCTGAATCACTGATATCTACGGAAGCTTTTCTCAAGCTCTTCTCGTGCACGAAGGATGTTCGTCGAAATGCCAAACGGCCAACACTTCGACAAGAGAAGATTCTTTGTCCGAGAGAGAGAGAGAGAGAGAGGTTGACCAAGGAAAATCGAGAAGCGATAAAGACTCCCATACAGGCAAATAGTACAATATATCTATGACTGTGGAGAGGAAGGAGTGGAGAGAAGGGCGTCCAGTGAGACCTTCACGGGCCTCTCACCGCAAGAGCCTACTGGCTCTGCACCTGGGCGACCGCAGGGTCGGCCGTCCGAAGCGATGCCGCGAAATGGGAGACAGCTTCAATAAGGTGGTTCGATGCCTTCTCGTAGTTCACGAAGCCCATGAACCAGAACTCGTGGCCGTCGACGGTGACGATCTGGATGTACTTCTCCGGCGGGTTCTCCTTCATGGTCACCGGGTTCACGCTGGCGATCCTCGCCAAGGGGACGACGACCTGCTCGAAAAACGGCGGTCAGCACCTGTGAATTCCTCAATCCGAAGGAAGGAATCTCTGTCTAATCTCGACGGTTGCTTACCTTGTAGTAGCTCCAGGCTTCCTGGCCGGAGGGGGCGGTGAATGAGAGGGGGCGGTCGCTGCAGAAGGCGACGTTGACGTTGGACAGGTAGAGAGTCCCGGCGACGGGGCCGGTGGCAGTGGAGAGGTAGCAGGCGAACGTCTTCTTCAACCTCTCGCTGGGGTCCGTAGGGAAGCTGCGCTTGAAGAGTGGCTCGAACCCACCCTCTGTTATCGCCTTCGCCGCCAATCCCAGCTTTCCCCAGGCCACCTTCGTCTTCGATGGCGCCGTGTTCACTGTGAATTCCACGATTTCAATGTTTCCATCAATAAAATTACCGATCTTGGATCAATCAAACCAAATAAACCATTAACCTGCAGAAAACAAAAGCCCCCCTTCTCCCTCTCTCTATCTCTCTCTCTCTCTCTCTTGACTTACGATTGAACCAGACGTTGGTGGCGAGGGTCTCTGTCTTCGCGGTCCAGGTGTTGAAGTAGTCGAGAATCGTCTCCATGGGGCTGTTCGTCGACTTGTCCACTGGCGTGCGGTCCAGGAGATACGGCGGCGGCACGTCCTCGTGCGCAGGGATCGCCGAGGCGGCCTGCTGATTGTGCGGATGCGCCGACGGCGCTGCCGGCGGACCCATGTGTCTCGTCCTCCACTGATCCTCCCCAATCCCCTCTGTCGACGGCGCCGGAGGAGGCTGCTGGTTGCCCTCCGCCATGGCTAGAACTTGCAAGAGGATGATGAACCAAGCGTCCGAGATGACAGGAGATGGATGAAACTCGCCTGAGAAAGGAGAGAACGATGCAGATGAAAGGTTGTGGAGAGCCGGTAAGAAGTTTTATAGACGGTCTCTCTTTGTAATGATGACCACAGTGGAGGACCCTTTAGAACAAGGCTTCCTTCACTCTAAAGCTAACACGTGTATTCCACGCGTCAGTCCCAACGCGTCTCCGCCGGCATGGAAGCTTCCAAAAGTCCCATCCATTTTCTTCTGGAAGGCCGACGTCTCTCTTCGTTATCCACTGAGGGCTTAATGGACCCGACGACACGGCCCAATTTTCACCTATCTTCTCCGCCCACATGGGAAATATTCCTCCGCTGAAGAGGGTCAGGTTACCAACTTTTAGTTCTTATGGAGAAGTTGACTTCGTGAGGTATACTATTCCGTCACCCTCGGACGCGTTGATCGGAATCGGAACCGGCCGACTCCGCGGGGGCTGCGCGTTTTGAGCTGAATTCCCTTCAAAGATCGAAATCGGGCAGTACGATCGATGTTATCCGGCACGTTTTAGAGCTCATTTTGCGGTTTGATCTCCGACCCGACTACGGGATTCGCGGCGGCGCCGCTCTCGCTATCGGGGGCCAGGACCTTGCCGACCTGCCTGCCCTCCACGCCATTGCGCTTTGGCCCTACTTCCCTTGTTCCCCTTCCGACGTTCGAAAGACGGCTGTCGGCTTACCCCAGTCCCACGCGTTTTCCATGCACTGCTGGCGGTCTGTTTTCGTTTTCTTCCTCCCTTTCTTCCTGTCTTCCTTTTTTTCCTGCCGCCGGCGTCCCTTGTTTAAAGGAGAGCCAGCAGAGGGACAGCGGAAGTGGAAGAGCTGGGGAACATGTCGGAGGCAACCGTCGACACCGACTTCTTCAGGGACGAGGCGCAGATTGCCCCTCCTGGAAGGAGCGGATCTTCGTATCGAGGTCCCTCTCTCTCTCTCTCTCTCTCTAAGATTCAAGCTCTCCGGTCTGATGAATCCGCCGCAACTTATTTCGCCGATCGTTTTAATTTCCAGGGATCCAGAGCGTGGTCTCCAGGATAAGCCCGCAGCTCCTCGTGACGGTGATGGATGCCACCGCCCCGGGGGGGCCTTTCAATAGAACCGCCCGCCGGGGCCAATCAGGGACGACTCCGCTGACCATCTTCTTCAATGGCAGTGTCACAGCCTTCGACGTCACTCCGGACGAGGTTTGAACCTTTCTCTTCCTTCGTGGTTCCCCCCCGGTCGTGAAGGCGTAACGGTAATCATACTCCTCCACCGTGCGACTCCAGGCAGAGCGAATTATTAGGTTGGTAGAGGCTTCGACGTCCAGGGCTCGCGTGGACGGCGGTGGCCGTGCAGAGGAAGGTGAGGTTGACTTAGGAGGACGTCAGCGCGTGCTAATCTGTCTTCCCGATACGTTCTTGATGCGCCCTCCCCTCTTATTCGTGTAGATCTACCCATTGCAAGGAGAAAGTCACTCCGTAGGTTCATGGAGAAACGCAAGGAGAGGTACTGGCCAGTGAACACCTCCTCTCTCTCTCTCTCTCGCTCTTCTCTTAGGACGTGTCTTTAACTTGGCCTTTTTGTTATTCCGCGTGGCAGGTTGGCGTCATTTTCGCCCTATCGTCGGTGAAAGTCGCTGGTAGGAAACAGGATCAAGAAACGTTCATCAGCTGTGGCAATTTTCCCAGAAACTGGACATTGGCGCCTGCCTACGACAGGACGGTCCTGTGAATCCGGATCTTATTCGCCAAGATGGAGGGATCCGTTTGGTTAGCTTCGCACGTGCTTCGGACACGCCGGCTTTGGCTTAAAGCCGGGTCGACGCTTAGGGATTTAGAATAAGATAAGGCCAATACAGCAGATCTTCACTAAACACTGCCCAACCTACGTCTCTCTCTCTCTCTCTCTCTCTCTCGTGCGACTGGGCTTGTGCTTGGGCTTCAAGTAGACTCAGCTTGGATGTGCACTTCTCTCATCGTTTCTGGGTTGACTCGCATTTCATTCTTCAAAAGCAGTAATTTCTGCACCGATTCTGACCTCGACTGACGTGATTTGAGATTGCATGATTCTCGAAATAATCATCTAATGGAATTTATGGATAATAAAAAAATTAGGAAACCAAGGACCATATGAGCTTAACCAGTCCGCTCTCCTGCTGGGCTCAACAGGGCCAAAACCCTCCCAAACTCGGACTCGATTGGATGAGTGACGGAAAATGGATCCACTGCCGATTCTGATATTTTATTGGACAAGCTTCAAGCGGTCTTGCCAGCCGTGACGAGTCCACATTGACATTTTTTTACGTGAGTTGACTAAAAAAGGTCTAGTTGGGAGGCTACACCGGCAATGTTGGATCCTCGACCAGATCAGGGGTTTCAATCAAAGCGGCGAAATAGAAGATCTACGTGACCCCCTGCTATCTCTGTTCTTCTTCATTCAAAACAGGTCATCCCAATCGGTCGATTCATGGGAAAAACATGAAGCTGTGAAGTTAGATCGCACAAAATTATTTAATTTATTTGATAATGATTTACAGATAATCCCACAACGTGTGGAACCGACATTTCTTTTAAGAAACGTCTTCTTCCTCATGTTTGCGACGTATGTGCGAATTTTTATGTTAAATAATTTTTAATTAAGTTTATTATCATGGTAGGAAGTAACTCCATCTTTACATGCACGTACTTAGCTTTACATTGAATAAATTTTAAGTATGTTTATTGACATGGTAGGAGGTAACTCCATCTTTACATGCACGTACTTACCTTTACATTAAATAATATGAGTACCAACTCCATCCTCAACCTCAACCGGTGATTATCCTGTTCTGACGAGCACGGCGGACCCCGTACGTTCCGGGCCCGGGGACGCCCACCTTACGGAGGAGTAGACATGACGTCTTCGCCGACGGCAGAGTCCGGGGGGTCCCAGGAACTCCGAGGAGAGCTTTCCGGCGAGAAGACCAGGATGTGCAACACGGTCAAATAAATTCCCACCTCAGTCATGATCTCGGGCTCTATGTATCAGAAAATATGGACCTTTAAAGTCACATTAATTGTCTTCGGGCCACCGTGCCTCCCTCCCTGTCAGCGGCCGAGGTACGTGTTGCCAGTGGGCATAGCCGTCTCGGCATGGGCTGCGCAGGTTGCCTGCCTTGATCGCAGCCCTTCGAGGGCATTGATGAGTCTGCGAGTTCTCTCTCGCTGGCCACTGCAGCCGCAGCTCCACCTTACGAGTCCGAGGAGCAACGGTGCCGACGATGATTCCGACGGGTCTCTGTAGCCACAGATGCGTGAGGGGCCATGCGCAGCAGCTGTCATCCTCCGCCATGTCCGCAGTCGCCGGAGCGTCGTGGACTGCCGGAGGCAGGCCAGATGGCTCGCTTGCTGTGTAATCTTTGGAGGTTTCTCATGCGGCCTTCGGTTCCGTATGGCTGCTGAGAACAGTCCATATATATATATATATAATTACTCCATTCCTTATCACTTGGTTTCGGATAGGATGAATCAACAGTTTTTTTTTAAATGCCGCGTTTTACCTTATTTATATGTTATTCTTTTTCTTCATTACTCATCTTTAAGGGTTACTAGTCTCGTCTTGGTGGAGACTCTGATATCGGATGCGATCGCCTAAGATTTTCGCCGGACTCGATTACTGGTTTTGGCTAAAAAAAGAAGATAATCACATGTTAATATTTTATTATAACATTTTCATGATTAAGTTCTTTTTAAGGCCATTCGTTAACGTTAGAAAAGATAAAGGGGAAATTTACTCCCACGAGGACGGACGGACGTGACCAGGGACCTATTTGCGAAGGTGTTAAGGAAGAAAATTCTGGGATATTCTTCCCAATTAAAATGTGAAGATACAATTTAATTACCGGTTGATATATTCCGCTTTCGTCGTTTTTTACGGCAAGAAGTTTCAAAATTATGCAAAAATGTGGACCTGCGACTGATGGAAACAGAGGGAGAGAGAGATAGAGATAGATAGATAGATAGATAGATGGAGAGAGAGAGAGAGAGAGATGATCTCCGCCGATCGAGTCGATGCCATCATGTATAACCAGCATGAACACCGTCGCCGCAGAACGTCGATGTCGAATCATCATCCATCGATAAAAATCGGTGAAAGAAGACCGGATAAACTTACGAACCAAGGCTTTTAGATGAAAAAAAAACAAAGTGCTTGGGGATGCGGGGGAATGCTCCCAAAGGCCTCCTCCTACTTCGACGTCCCGAACAGACCTGCCCGAGCTCCCCAATGGAACTAGGCATTGGCGGTCTACTGTAACACGGAGAAAACATGAAGTTCCTTTCATTTCTCTCATTGGCTAAGCATGACTCACCGTAGCTGTGTCAGTGCTTCAACTACAACGGGGAGTCGTTTTCGTGGAGACTTGAGGAATATGAACTAGGATCTCCCGTATGTCTTGCCGGAATGCAATCTTGCATCCAAGATCTCTCCGATTTGAAAGACTGCGTTCTCTCATCCCAAAACACTCAGGTGCCAGGTGAAAGGATTCGAGAATCAATGCTACAAGATGAGATCTGCCGTCTGTTTACTGGAACTCTGGCAGATCAAACGCGAACTCTGGCGGGAGGGGTTTTACTAACACAAACGAGAGTTCAAGCGGACGCTGAATTCTCGTACGGTGATCCCCGGAGAAACTTGTTCCTATTTTGCAAGCTGTGACCTTTGGACTTTCTTCCTCCCCACCCCGACGGATCTCGTCTTCTAGCATCTCTTCTGTTGTGAAAGTATTAAGCAAGCTGTGAATCGACGGACATCGTGTAGAAAATTTTGCATTAATTCCGTTATCTTTCAAAAATGTGTACGGGTTAGTGATGATACAAAGACCTCTCCAAGTTTATTGGACTCGTTCTTTCCATTGTTTTTACGAAATTAGAGAACCTTTTCTAGAGAATGTCATGAAAATCTACCACGAAGAAAGTTTTTCTCCAACGTCTGATTCTTGGAGACTCTGCACAAGTGGTTTGTTGCAACTTAATTCCGCTCTCCTCCTTTCTCCATCAGGCACTTTCTCTCTCCTTTGTATGCCTACCTCTTTGTACAAACATACGGACAAATGTCCCACTCATTCAATTACATGTCGCCATTGACATCTCTCCAACTTGAGCCTACTTGTTGCTTCTCTGTGTGTTTGTGTATGCGCGCGTCTGTCTCTGTCTTCGTATTTGCGTGTGCACATGTTATGTATAATCACTCGGCATGACGAAACTTGTATTTGCCTCTCTTCTAAGAAATAATACATGCCCAGAAGAAAAACAGTAATCTTGATAAACACGGCCAAACTATACAAATGAGAGTCTTGTTAACTAAACAGCCTGCCATTATTCATAAATGGAGGAAGAAGGGAGTTTCCGTCTTCCGAATATTCATCATGCAACATGAAAGTCAGAATGAAAACACACTTAGACTTTTGGTTCTCACTGTTACTGATCTAATTCTTGGCATGTTCAAAACCATACAAAAATAAACTATTTTGTTGACCACAAAAGGCCCTCTTGATTGGTTCCCATTTCCTTGAACCATTACGCCTATTGTAAGCCGAAATCTTTCTCACCGTTAACAGAAGGAATGTCTTTGCCCGGTATCTTCTCGGAATCATTGCCTCCTCGAAGACGGCGCACATCACATATTAATTAGGTCAGAAGACGCCTTGGGAGAGTCCTATGATCACGTTGACTTTCTCCTCAGGGATTCAATGGCAAATACTCTATCCACCCAGAATCAAGCCGAGCTTCATCAAATATCTCCGCTCGCCGAGGTACGGTTGTAAGTTCTTAAAACGAAAATTCAACATAACTGTTTGACATCTGCAGGGGAAAAGTATTTGGTACGTGAAGTTCGTTATACGTACTAGATTCCCCATCTACTGATTAATCATAATGTCCGCATGCATCACATGACGAATAACTCTGGTACGAACAAAGGCTAAACTTTTAAACGAGAACAGATGACACATCACATTTAATGCGCGACTTTGGGCTAAGACGTCGAGTCGTGAGGATTGGAGTAGTACATTCAGCCGGGGAAGTCAAAACTCCGGTGAGTATCCTAGGAACTGAGCGACCCAGCCGTCGGATTCATTTCCCCTCTTTCATTGTTGAAGGAAGCCTCTAAGTAGGAGCCTGTGCATTTGGCGCACAGTAGAGATGCCGGTTCACTATGGATGAACATGAGTCTACAAGCGGGAGTCCTAAAAATGGGCCTTTCTTCGGACTTTGCTTGTATGTCGCACACGCCCGAATCCACACTAAACAAGTGCGAAGAAAGTCTCCAATTCCACCCCCTCTCTCCCTCTCTCTCTCTCTCTCTCTCTCTCTCTCTCTCTCTCTCTCTCTCTCTCTCTCTCTCTCTCTCTCTCTCTCTCGCTATCTATCTATCTATCGATCGATCTCTCCCTCGGGATTCTGACGTGCGCGTTTGTTCAATAGATTTCATTAGGTCAGCTCTTGGGAGATTCATGCCTGGAGCAAGAACAACCTCTAGGTAGCTTATTGCGAAAGGATGCTGCGATGCCGTGATGCTGTCTCCTCGTCATTGCATTAATTGATTGTTTGTACATTACTATATTTCATGGTCACATAGTGTTTTCTCGATCTATTTCCTGCTTTTCATTCTTATGCATTTTATGATTAAAAAAATAATTGTATACTATATATTGCCCGAAATAGTTCCCAATGTGAAACTGAAGGGAATCCAGCCAAATCGTGGCGTCGATGAGGCTTTTCTCGTCTTTCGTTTTGTTCTTTACAATTAATAGCTTGATTGGACCACATCCCACTAAGGAAGATATGTTATAAAATAAATCCAGGTATTTTCATACTCATCAGCGCGACATTTCTGCAGAAGTATGTGAGAAACTCCATATTCATTTAGTGACGAAAACTTTAAGGAATAGGCGAAGTCACTTTCAACCTTTCTTCATTTGCAATAACCTCTTCGTTCTTCATTCGGGAAAGTCTACTGGGATAAAGATGATAAGACCAGTCAAACGTACCTGCTCCTGCTCTCTCTCTCTCTCTCTCTCTCGCTCTCATATCAAATCTCTTCTTCCTTCTGCAGTCACAGCCCCGACCCAGCTCCCGACTTTACATAAGGAGGCCACTTCGATCAACAGACGACACACCGCAGACTTTAATCCCTTTTCCTTCTTCTTCCCCTCTTTCCATCTTCACTTTCCAACGCAAATGGCAGCCTTTTCATACCACCCCCATCACGACCCCTTCGCCCTTGACGTCGCTGATTTCCCTAGCGACTCTCATTTCCACCTGCTCTTCCCGCCGACGCAGCAGCAGCAGCATCAACAACGGCGCCAGCAAGCTGGAGACCCTGTCGTCTCTTCCTCTGCCTTCTTCCCTCGCTTCTACTGCCCCTTTGACTCTCTCGGCGCCGTTCCAGTGGAGATGTCGACCGCCAACACCTCCACCGCTGCTACCCCGGCAAGCAGCAGCTCTCTTGAGAGCGCCAGGGTCTCCTCTCGTTCCTCCTCGGCTCAAAGGAGCGAAAGCCAGCGCGAGAAAAAGAGGAAGGATGACCAGAAATGCAACTCCAGCTCTTCACAACTCAAAGTGAGGGAGATGATCTCGTTCAGGGTTCAATTCTCCTCCCACTTTTCCACCCATTTACATAATCTGAAATGAATCGCCATTTCTCTTCCTTCGTGTTTCAGAAGCGCAAGAACACAAAGCAAAAGAAATGCAGTCGCGACGCGGAGAGCACAAATGAGAAGAGAGCGCTCAAGGAGCCACCGACTGGGTATATTCATGTGAGAGCAAGGAGAGGGCAGGCAACAGACAGCCATAGCCTCGCTGAAAGGGTACGATAATCCTTGCGAAGTTGCAATTGAAAAACCTTTTCCATGGCCCTGGCAATTCTCATTTTGGGCTCTCTCTCTCTCTCTCTCTCTCTCTCTCTCTCTCTCTCCCCATTCCCTCTCCCGTGCAGGTGAGGAGGGAGAAGATACGAGAGAGGATGAAAATGTTGCAAGGTCTCGTCCCGGGATGCGACAAGGTAAAACTGCGCAGCCATTCCCTTTCTCTGCCTAAATCTCTCCTCCGCCGTCTCTAATGGCCATCTTTCAAACGGCGAAGGTGATCGGGAAGGCCCTCCTGCTGGACGAGATTATCAACTATGTACAGTCCTTGCAGAACCAAGTAGAGGTGAGGCGAAATGATCCCCGAAGAGTGCGGCATTAAACTCCCTTTTTCCTGCCTTTCCCTCTTTCCCTCTCACAAACCCCTAGCTGCTTCCTAACGAGAATTATGGAGACGGCCATTGCAGTTCCTGTCGATGAAGCTTGCTTCTTTGAATCCTGTGTTATACGAGCTGGGCCTCGATTCCGACGGCTACATGCTCTCGCCCGAGGTTGGATCTCTATTAGACGTCGATCCGTTTTACCATGATTCAATTATACATACATATGCATGTGTATGTGAATGCTGAGAGTGATGGATTGATGGCGTTAATTCTGCAGAAGCTGGAGGAGATGTCACTCGGGCTGCCAAATATTCAACAAACGGGTCCCCATCAAGCGACTGCTTTTGCAGATACCGCCGACAGCTGCCCTGTTCAGGACAGTTCCGTTCCATTTCTACTGCATGAGGAGGGCCCCGCCCCCTTCCATCAGGTTTTCTTTCTTCATAAAGTGTCACTGACAGAGGAACTCATTGCAAATGATGATGATAATAATAAGTTAATACATAATGCGTGGCCTGATAGAGATCATTTAGATGACACCGAGTTTATGCACGTCATTTCCAGGGTAATGGCGGCAACTTTGTGGTGCAACTTGACCATAATAGAGAGAGTCTCTTCAATCAAGTCGACTTCAACAGCGTTCCTTCTTCCTACCACTAAAGAGGATATGGCCCCGCGGACAGTCTCTCTTAGCCATCCCCATCTCAGGTGATTTAAGCGTGTGAACCTTGATGACGATGCTCGTGGAAATCATCTCTCTCTCTCTCTCTCTCTCTCTCTCTCTCCTGGTTTGTATGAAGTTAGATGCTCTGGTCTTCCGCTTGAATGAAGAGAAGGGCCGCCCAACAGGATTGCACTGAATGTGAGGATGACCGGCAGGAGGAAGACGCGGCCCTTTGTTGGGTTTTACCCTTCTCCCGTGGTCAACTGTGTATGTAAAAGATCGTTTTTTGGCTGCTGTTATACGGCACAGTTCTACGTGAGATTGAAGTGGGAGGAGAGGCGACGAGGGCCCTCCATGCCATGCCATACGGAGGCTGATATGACTGCCCACTGGACGAGTTGTTACCAGTATTTTAATGTACGCCGCGCTTCTCTTCCTCTTGCCAAATAATGGCGTCCCCCGGCCGAGGTGACTGGGCTCCTAACGGTGGCTTAGACAGCGTCCTCCTCCTCCTCTTCACTATTCAACGCTTTCTCTTGCAGTCCTTCTGGTCACCTGCCATGCAAACATCTGTTCCCTGGGTCTTCTGACCACCCGACCCATCTCTCTCAACAGTGCCTGTTCCTATTCCCGGAGATGTTAATGGTCCTCGAATGAACTGTGACAAGGAGGCCGTTTGCGTCCTTCCTCTCACATCTTCTCCCCTCATTACTCTCTTATTTCGATAAGATTACACCAAGTTATATAGCTACATATATGTATATCAGCATAGACGCCGGACGAACAGGATGACAACGGCGCGGAGAAACCACGCGGATATGCCGAGGGCGTTGGTGGATGAAGCTATCTCCTGGGACTCTCCAAATGCCGACTGAAGCTGTCTATCTCTATCGGACGAATCGCCGGGAGGCGCGAAACTTGGATTGGAATGGACCCTATCTGCTGTCGAATCTGTTGAACGGGGCTTTCTCCCTGACGCTGACTGAGAGGGATAGTTAGGGATTAAGCGAATGAATTTACTTCAGGTCGCTGGATGGGTAATTTCCGTGGTTTTCTCCGGCGCCGTCGCCAGACGGGGAATGACTGTCGAGAGAGACAAAGCCGAAGGCGGCGCCACCTGAAAATGCCGGAGTAGACGAGGGAGAACCCCGGAGATCGGCGAGCAAATCCATCAGAGGGCACCACGTGGACTGGGGAACGCGCATTTTTGCCATTCATTTCATGGCCCAAACTTTGCGAGGCACATGATCTGGCGTGCTCTTGCGCCACGCATCACATCACGTCGCATCATATCAAATGATCGTCGTTCCGGTGAGAAAGGAGGAGCTCGTGGAGCCAATCGGCTGAAAAGGGAGAGCCGATCGATGTCAGGGGTGGGAGGACCGTCGATCGGGGCCTCAGGGCCGTCCGCGCTGGCGGCACTGCCCCTTCGTGTGCCTCGCTGCTGTCCGCACCATTTACAGGAAGGGCGGCCCTTTCGGGCCGGTGGGTGCTGGGAGAGGCGGAGAGAGAGAGAGCACTCTCCAAGTCTCTCTGGACATGAACGAACGCGACGTCGGTCCCTTCGCCTCGCATTCCTATGCGCTCGGAGTAAGATGGGGACAAGTTAGTGTCCGGGAGGAACAGGAGAAGGGGAGGGATCAAGCTTGCCTATGCCGTGGATGAGATGACAACTAAACAAGGAAGGCTGATGGCCTACGGAACATGTTCGAAGATTTTGACCTGGTAATGGTTGTCACACATGAGTTTATCTGCCGATAACATGCTTCGATCCACTTGAGTTCGTATATAATGGTACATCTAGAAGGTAACTCACTTGCCTGTACTCTGAACAACTCACGGATTCAAACATAATAATGTCTCTTGAAACCCTGTCCTTCCTTTTCTGTGTTCATCTGGGTTGGGCCATCCCCCACCCCTCTTGAATGAATCCCACCATGGCACGTGGTAACGGATTGGAAGAAGTCTATCAATGAAAAACGGGGCAAGTGAAAGAGGCGAAATCGGAACAGCAAAGTCGAGACTGCCAGCGCAGAAGACACTTCCGCCCCCGTCCTAGCATCACCCTCTTCGCCCCAGCTCGTTGGGTTGCTTCCTGGAAGCAGAGTGAAAGTGGGTGTGCTAGGTCCATCAGCTCCTCCGTCCGCGAGGAGGGCCCGACCGACATGAGCCTCCTGCTGCATGGTGCCTCCTCCGCAGCGGCTGATGGGGCCGATCCTATCTCGAGGAAGTCTTTGTCTTGCTAGTCTATCGTCCTAGAGAGAGAGAGAGAGAGAGAGAGAGAGAGAGAGAGAGAGAGGAGACTGTGTTTTAAGAAAAATAAGTCGGCAAAACGGGCGTCCTCATGCACTCTCTGGGGCATGGGGCTGTCGACGCTATAAATGCACCGCTGAGCATGTCGACCTAGCTTTCTCTTCTCTCTTCTTCTCCACTAATCTTCGTGCTAGGTTTCCGCCTTATCGAATGACACGCCTGCTCACGCTAGGGTTTCCTTCCTGCTTGGTGATGACGGCTGATCCTCCCCACCCCCCTCTCCACCCCCCGCGCATACCCATTCAAAGCCGAGGGTCCCCCGAATCGTACTTATCATCATACAGTCAATATTTGCTTATGCCAGGTTGCTTTCATGGGGTTGAGGGCCAACGCAAGTGGCTCATGTACACCGACCCTAGAAGGTCAAAGGTGAAGGCGACCGTTCATTGTATTTCTCCCCTCTAATCTCGGCGACGGCAATGATCAAGATTTACTCGTAGAGATACCCTTTGGCGTTCGACCGAGTAGAACAAGTTGCAATCCCTCAATATGACTGTGTGCGACGAAGGGTCCACTGTGGAAGGTGGCGTCCAAGGGACCAGGCCGAGGCGAGGCGGTGGGTACGCTCGTTCTGACCTCGCCGTGGAGCCCGCGAAGGATCCCTCTCAGCTCCTCCGCCCGGCCTCGGCTGAGGCTATTGTCCTCGCTCACGGGCGGTACCCTATCTCATCAGTTACTTCCTGAGGACGGTAGATGATGATTTGATGGGTACTGCCGTTGTCTCTCCTCCTCCAATATTAACTGTTATTGACCAGATGATATAACTTAATTTATATAAATATAAGGGTAACAATATTTGGGATTAGTTCTAGTAGCAATGTTGGGTTTGGTCAGTCTATTGTGAATATGGGATTCAATGGGGACATCATATCTGGATGCCAAAACTCAAATTTTCAAGAAAAGTAATCTCTGCATGAGCATTATCAGAGTTGGGTCTGCGTCGGTCAGTCTAATCTTGTAGTTAAGTGTCTGTTTTATCTCATTATGTGATTGCCATAAAATCCTCTACACGTTGCCCATCTCTCTCTATCTCTCTCTCTCTCTCTGTCGTGATAGGTGTACTTGGAGGGTCAGTCTTTTCTTAGTACTTGGATAGAGTCTTAAGACTGACAAGCAATGGATCGTCTTAAGCTTCACATTAACACTCCACTTAATGGTCGGGATTCGATCAAACCATTGAAACATCGTCTTTCTCACATGAATCGAAATTTTTTACCAACTTGATCTGAAGCGACGGAGCCTACATGTGATAAATCTCTCATCTCCGGCTCCTGGATCCTACACAAGTTGAGGGGGTGGTTGTCATGTTCGTGACCAATCATCTAGAGGGCAACGCCTTCCATTGATCAACGACGAAGACCTATTCTTGGCGCCCAGCCTCATACTTCTAGAGAGAGAATCTCCAGCCTCGATACTCCGTGGACAAGCTGTCACATAAGAAAATACGCCTACTGCATTGTCGGATGAAACCATCCTATCGTGGGCATTCTACAGTGGAGTCACCTCGGGTGACATGCCATAATTAATGGAGGTGATCCTAATTAAGGATTCACTAATCCCCCCACCAATGGCGAATGGGGAGGGAGATTTCGATAAAATTCGCATAATCCTACTAGAAAAATCTCGTCGAATAATGACTTGGAAGCATTTACATTGGGGTAGAATGGAAATGTCGGAATGAACTTGACAGGAGACCGATCACATCGGCCCAGGCAGACACTGACCAACCCTAACCAGATCGGCGTGACCTACATGTGCAGCCCAATGGGCCTTTATAACTTCTACGGCACCCAACTGATCGTGTGGGGCGTTGCCATAAATGGCATAATTAAAATATCGCATAAAATAGACTTAAATCTCCATCCATTTTTTTTTCCTCGCACTGCCGGATATATAATTGATATCACGTACCCATGTAATGTATATAACAAGGTAATTTTTATCAGTATAACTTGTGAAACATAGCAACACAGAGTTAACTGTGGCTTCTTCGTATCTACTGAGATTTAGAGGGAGACCGAACGGTAGATTACTGGTCACTCTGCCGACAAGGCTGGTCAAAGCCTGCCCCCGTTCCCCAACGCGCACCGTTTCAAAGACTTTGGTCAAAAAGGAGAATGCCCCAACCGAGGAATGCGCGCGAATTATTAATGTGAACAGATCTGACGTTTCTAGGTGAAAATGGTCAACACGAGGACCTTCTCTCTCTCGCAACGTCTCGGGACGCCGAAGCCAGTGGTGATGAATGATACAGGCTAATGGCGGTTTACCCTCGAGGTAATATGCCCATTTCGCACTCGCGTCCTCTCATCGCAGCCTAAAATGCCTACTGGGTCATCCCGGTTTGACCGTAAAATGAGCAGTCAACGTAGACAAGGCGACTCATTATCGAGTCAATCGAAGTATTTTAGGGCTGGCTTCAGCTATCTGTAAATCCGTGGATAATTTCCGAGTGACCACACCCTCTTGGACAACGTGGAGGAATCGAGACATCCTTCCGTCCCCTTGTGCGTTTGTCCAACGAAGGGGGGAATGATTCAATAGATCTGGATGCCCCTCCCCTGACAGTGGGGCAGGGTTACCCACCCCGGACGTCCTCCACGGTCACTCGGATGCTTGTCTCCTCTCCAGCGGGATCCCCATGTTCGTTCGTTGGGCATTCAATTTGCTTGTTCCCTGCTCGAGCCCCCACCTCTCTCTCTCTCGCTCTCTCTCTCTCTCTCTCTCTCTCTCTCTCTCTATATATATATATATATATATATATATATATATATATCTGTGTCTCTGAATCGGAGCAGCAGCTCACAGTGGTGGGGTGAGGAGGTCAAGATGGCATAGTAGGCTAGAGAAAGGAAGAACTAATCGAACAGGGTTAAATCACCAGGGAGCAAGGGAAGCGGAGCATCAGTCTTGGTTCATGGCGTGAGCTCACAAGCTTTCAGAAATAGAAATGCATGGCGAAGTTAAATACATAAACAATGGGAAAGCAGACAAGTAGTATACAGGGTGGGTTTTTGAGTATGGTTTTGCCGCATACTGTTCTTATTGGATAGCAAAATAAAAGTCATAATCAGGGGAAAGACAATGGATGGATGGGATGGCATCACCTCGTTTGAATCAAAAAATGTTTATGGTGAAGGAGACGTAGGGATAAGTCTCCGATTCGCCCCCCAAGCCCGCTACATTCGCATCATCTTCGACTTTCCAGAATGCGCTGAGAAGTCGAATAAACGGTCAATTCTCAGATATGCATGCACATAAAAGGCAATTCAGATATGAGCTCGGGTGGCCAGGCCTACCCACACTGCACTCTCTCTCTCTCTCTCTCTCTAGAGCAAGAGGAGTGCAGTTTTCGATTAGCTGGCACCTCCAAGCCTAGACTTTGGCTACAAATATGTATTAGTATGATCCTATGAGATTATAAGCTAGAGATTCATTTACCTGTTGGAGTTGCCACACTGCTGATCCAATATTGAACGCACTTTCTTCTCGCTCTTCCCAGGTGGTGCTAACACTGTAGCCTGAAATTGCTCGCATTAGTTTCTCTGCCGGTTACTTCGTTTCCAAGGAGGCCATCATTGAATGAAAAGGGTCAGACTGAATCTCATACCAAGTAAGATGGGGGCAGACCGTATCTGAGAATGCTCTCTACAAACACTCGTATGGCACAGAAATGCATCCAGGAGCTGAAAACCTGCAGCAAGGGAATGCGTATTCTGTGAAAACGTGATAACTATAACATTCCAAATGTTAGAAGTAGGAGAAATTTGGAGGCAGAAGGGTGAGGGAGAGAACAAGTCTTCACAACAACGTTGGGCCGTGTGAAGACAGAAAAAATTGTCGGAGTTTTGTTCTTCCATCAAGCTAGCATCTCTTACGGCATATACTGATATAAGAATAGGCCTCAGAACTAGAAACAGATATTATAACAAATGAAGCAGCACCTAAATGTTCCAAATTTCGGATCCATCCCATTGCCTCGGAATACGAAAGAATCTGGGTTTCAAAACGGAAATTCCTCTCTCAGATGTTTAACCATAGATTTTTAGTACCAAGATCCCTACTTTAAAGCGTAGATTCTCGAGCTTGAAGTATCATTTTCGGGGATATCATGTAAAAATGAATTTCGATGGTTGGTTTTCTGACTGTGGCTGTCCAGTTGGATGTTAAGATTCAGCATAAAATACCCTCGAACCAATCCTCCAACAACTCCTGTTTTTACCACACCAAAGAAGTGATCAGAGCATGAACTACTTCGCATTCGTTCCTAACCTTTTGTCACGGCATTTCTTGTCTCATAAAAAAAATGGTTAATCACCCTTTCATTTCCACGAGAATGAAAATGAAAATCCCACTTCTATCTTTTAAAAGACACTTGGTTGCATGCATGTGGCTCAAAATCCCATACTTTACTGCATTGACTTCATAAGTGTTCTTTTGCCGATTTTGAATGTCTGACAATTGACCATAGAAATTTCTACCTTTATCCTTTGTGGGTTCATTGTCAAACAGATTCTTGCAAATTCAATTCTTTTGTCTACAAAAATAAGCAGACAAGTATATTCTTCCCGAAAAGTTTCTCATGATACGTAAAGAGAGAAAAACCCATTAAATACCGAATAAGAAATGATGTGTACAAATATCTTTACATTTTCTTGATTTATCTTCTATCTCGAGAAATAGGGAGCTTGGTGCGTTTGTGTAAGTTGGACAAAATGTGTTCAGGCATTTAAAGATATCGACAATTACTGTATTCCTAGCTTTTCATTCCCCATTAAATAAAGACAGATGTTGGATATAATAAAGGAAAGTATTAACGAATAAAAGATAAATAGATGGAGGGTATGAGAGATTTTTATAACAGAGAACTCTTCCATTCCCAAGAGAGTATCCCAATATAGTGGAAGAAGGTAGACAATGATGCGGAGACAATGTCAAAAAACAATGGAGGTGATGCAAGCGAGGGAAGAAGAACAGAGAAGAATGACAAGTAGGAAGTGGTCATCATAGTGCCAGGCACTAGTTGCACCAGAAGGTGGAAGTATAAACTGTTTTTTTCCCCTCCATTTACAGACGTTCAGCGCCAAGCCTCAAGGCTTTAAGTGGCCATTTAGGTTCATAAGGACGAAAGGGATGGATGATTCTAATCAGTTAATCAAATCATTCCGCCTAGGAGTCAGCAATTGATACAACAAGCCGTGTATTTTCTAAGTTTGTCTATTGCCCTGACGAATGTTCACTTTCGTCAGGAGGAAAGTTCAGATAATGCTTGTTAAAAATTGATATGGTCCCACATCATTCACAGAACATAGAATAAAATTGATATGCCTGTTCAGATCCAGTGTTTTCCAACTAGAGTCAAGACGCATGAGGCTGGTTGGTTTTAAAAATTCATATACTGTGATCTGTACTTCGCTTTCTCTGATCTGGTCAACTGAAGGTTGGACTCCATGGAGCGGTCAGATTGCATTGAGGGGATAATACAATCTGAGCAAACCATAGTTGAATTGCATGGAGGGTTCTGTTTAAGAAAACCGAAACGTAATGACCAGTTTTCTAAAAACACATTCCCTATAAATTCACTCAGACGCTGAACATATTTCAGAAACAAGTTTGAAATCACACAATGTTGAAGAGAAATATGAGCTCCCATGGATTGTTGAAACCATAGAAATACAAGAATGCCCATTTTGTTATTTTCAACGACTGAATTGGACAGAAAAGTAAATAGGTATCTTTTTATGTAAATAACCAATCATTTTTCATAATTCTTTCAATAGCTTTTATGAATTGGACATCTTTTGCCAGTAGCAGTTCAGTTCTGAACAATCACTATCAAGAGTGGTCCAAAAACAACCCCAATTTTGCAGTTTCACAAGATATAAAATATATTGAAAAAGATAAAATTCAAGGTGTGTTTCAACTTTGGATCTAAAAAAAAGAAAACCTTGAACAAACATGTACCTCTCCGTAACTAGCATAGCACCACTGTAGAAGTGAACTCCTGATTATTTCCTGATCCTGAATCAGCTTTTCAAGTTCTTCCTTCCTATTCTCTTGTGCTTCTGGACTAAATTCAAATTCCCGGATCTGAATCAGAAGAAAAATTGTTGCATCAAGGAAAACTGCAATAAAACAGCCGAGGTATTCCTCACACTGCACATCCTTGGAGTTGCTACTAACTACAGAAAAGACAACCGAATCAAAGGTGAAGGCTTATCAAATTATTTCTCCAGAATTAATAATCTCAGTTTTTTACATACGAAAGATAGAATTTGTGCTAAAATAATGGCACCAATCACAACTATCCGATTTGCATGCAGAAGCATAAGAGCACATTATTGAATATCAAATAAAGTAAGAAACTTGCCTGAAAACCTCGGTCTCGTGCACTTGTTTTAAAGCTATCAGCAACTCGACTGAATAGTGTTACCGTGTAAAGAGCATATTCATTATCCTCATACAGTTTCTTGGAGGACCTGGGTACCTAATTCGAATAATTCATTAGATACAAAACTTCAGGGAAACAAGGAGAAAAGCAGAGTATCATTAACCATGCACCCTTCTCAAACACACTTTTTCCTCACAATAACTATCCACATCAATAGACTGGGGAAAGCTACATCACAAGAGAGTCGAATTACAGGTCCCATAGACCTGTAAAATAATGATCAGGATGATAGAAATCCATTATTACTTTTCTTCTTTTTTCTAGAAGATGAGCATGTTTTGAAAAACAGTGGGATCTCCAATAGTATGTTAACTTTAGAGAATACGGTCCAAAGGAATAATAAATGGGACGACTTCATGCTCTATCCTCTATTTGTATGAATTCTTTCCCATCTAAAATCATGAATAAGGCTCAAATGTTCAGGCAAACAAAAACCACAGAGGATCACTTTCTGAAACCAAGGGAACCATGAGAGAGTCATACGAGACAAAGACCCAAATGGTCGGACTCATTTCGGTTTATCTTCCCTCCCTCGCAGCCAGGCAAGCGAAGTAAATACCTCTGAGTTATAGTTTCAGTAAGATGGGCCAAAAGTGCAAAATCTTAACAATAATTTTTTTTAATCCCTAACCTTTAAGACTTTGGTTCCATCTACACTAAGCGCAAGTAAGAAACTTTCCGATCAAATTACATCTTTGATGACACGTGACAAGTTCATCTTGCAAACCAAACATTTGCAATCCCTAGCAACGAATGTAAGACCTAATATCACCTGAAAAACCAAATATGCGTGAAAATTCAAAAGGCACCCCGGGCAATTGGAAATCTCCTAGGAAGACAGGGATCAGAACAATCAGATGGGATCAGCAAATAATGACTGAACATTCGCACGATCAGACTTTTTTTTCTTAAAAAATAATCGTAAAAAAAATGGTTGAGATCATAGAACTGAGCCAATCAAGATTAGATAAATTAGATGGACTAGACCGATTCAGTGGACAGAGAATATTTTATTAAATATTAGTCAGTGTAGTCACTCCAGGGTCATCCCTGTATCCTACTTAGGTAATAGCTAAAGATCACAGAACTGAGTCGATCAAGATCAGATGAATTAAATAGACCCGACCGATTCAGTGGACTGGGAAACTGTTTTACAAAGTACTGTTCAGTGTAGTCACTCCCGGGTTACCCCTGTGTCGTGCTTAGGTAACTAAAATATCCATAACATGTAAAAATTAAATAACTCGGACTCAATAGTTTGAAACCTGGAAGCTGACCATGAATCGAAGCTGTCAAAAAGCCATCTTAGCATCTTACCACAAAAGTTGTCAATGTTTCGTAAGTTGAAAGCCATTCCTTTTGAGAGTATTTTGAAACAACTGCAAGGAGTGTCACCAGGTGCTCTGATGTGATAATATCCTCGGGCTTTACCAGGTTGGAGACATCACGAACCGCTAAACTGATGCAGGAACATAAAGAAAGATACAACTCAACATTCTAGCGGCGTATTCTCCAAGTGACGTGAGGAACCAATTGTAAAACCTCCAGGATAGCCAGCTCGCATGTTGAAATAGCACATGTCCGACCTATAAATCACTGATACAAATGTACGTACCTTCCACTTTGCTTTCTGTTTATTGCATTAAGCTGACTTCGCACATTATTGTATTCAGCAGCACGAACCTGAAAAAATAGATCTGAAGATGAGCCCCCCAGACAAATCTGATATGATCGAAAATATATAATATCCTGATGGACTCGGGATTTCTGTTATTTTTTATAAGTAAACATAGGTGATGTAAATCCTTAACAAGCAAGATTTTATGATATTTAGGGAAAAACGGAAACTAAAATGCGGAATTTCTAAGGGGAACGGTACATAGATATGCATTTTAAAATGCTAGAAATGTTCTCTATAGGATAAATCGTAAATGGAGATGTAAGAAGTCCAGGACTATGTAAAATATGCGGATAGAGGTTAAGAACTTGACAGGAAAATCGTGACAACAAATTCGGGGATTTTCTGAAAAGAGAGGAGAAAAAATTCACATCCACGTGTCTCATATTCATAGCGAGATTAAGTAATTTTCTATGAATAAAGAAACCTCAAAATGGCAGAGCTATCATGGAATACGGTTATGTTGGTACAAGCAACCAGTATTGAACGCGAGAGTTAAATATGAGGATGTGAAAGAGGCAGGTACACCAACCCTGAACTAGAGAACATACGTCTGCAGATGGGAAGTTGGTTTGCCCAGAATACCAAGAGCTAGAGAAGAGCAGTTTAAACAGGATACCAGACTGCTTAAGTGAATGACGCCGAAAAAATAATGAGGAAAAAAAAAAAACACTGAGAGTGAATAATAGGTGTCTCGTCATATTTTCCATGCCAAACAGCTCATCTGATTCTGATAGGTGGTTTCACATGCAAGGGAAAGGGAAAGTAGGGTTTCTGCCTAGAGCTATGCCTTCGTTGGCTGGCTCTCATTTCCCACAGAATAATTGACCAGATATGTGGAAAGTGTAACATGTTGAAAGTTGGGACCAATGAAAAGAGATTGCGAGTTTAAAAAGCAAAAAGTTGCTTCTTCGCTGGAAATGGTTTTACGAATATGAAATGGGCAGTGAGGCCAGGTTTGCTGCGTAAAAGAAAAGAGAACGAAGGGGGTAAAAACTGACGAGATGGCTATCAACAAAACTAGAGCCTTTTACTCCGAGCTTATGGACTTCCTCCTTGGTCATCAGAGTAGCACTAACTTGATTACGTCAAAAGTTTCATCGATGAGTTCTCAAGTTATGAAGTGACCACACCATATACCCTCCAACGGACTCACATTTTTTGCATAGAAATCATTTGATTCTCTTTTACTGTCTATAAATAATGCATGAATCTTCTATTTCCGATACTATAAAGTCCTCAAACTTGCACCGATACGTTAAAGTCACTAGCAGGAAAAACGTTTTCTTTTTCAGTATTCCCGATGACAAATATCCAATTTTTTTGGCATTTGAACTTCTGGAAATTTGAGGAATATATTACCTTCATATCATCCTCTATCTTGGCAACTTGGGAGTGGATGTTGTCCACAATCTCTCTCAGAGGTGACATGGTAGGATACCTGGCTTCGTCCCAGACAAACCTGCAATTTCACGTCCTCCACTGTGACAAAACTGCATGAATCCCAAACACGCACAAAGATATTTTGTTGCCAAGCACAATGTCAAGAGCACCTTGTCAGGTAGGTGTCCACAGGGACCCCATCCACCGTAAGCGCCCCACCCTCTGCGCCAGAGGCTCTCTCCAGCTCCTCGATTTGCCGCCGGATCTTATGTGAGACGCTCTCAATGAAGTTGTTGGACTGACGAATTTCTCACAGAATCAAAAGCCCGCGTCAATTAAAAGGAAATCGAAATATAAACCATCTTTTGATCCAAATTCAGGAAGGAAGTCAGACCTTCACAAGATCGTCGCTGAGAGACAGCAGGGAATCTAAGGTCCCAACGCGGAGATCGGGCGCATTGAACTGTGGAATAGAATTACATCATACGAAATTAGAGAAAAAAAGATGGAATCGAATCGGAACACAACGTCTTGGCGGAAACGGAGATAACAGCTTACCCTATACAGAGGAGTGTCGAACGCGTTCTTTGAGATGGCCTCCTGCAGCAGAGCCCATTGTACGGTCTGCGAAGTCTGGACGGGGAGGGAGACCACCCAATATCTCGATGTGGGCGCCATCCGACTGCGAGATCTCCCCAACCGGACGAAGTCCACTGATTCCCGCTCCCTCCTCTCCTCTTCCACCTGATACCACAACCGCCCTTTCTCTATTCGATGATTGGGTCAAGAATGTTCTTCCCCGGGATCGGTTTTCCTCCCCCCTGCGAAGGTCCTACGGTTTGTCGACCAGCGAAGAAAGCTCGCCTATAATGGCACAATTATTCGGCACCCCTTTCTACGCCATCATTTTCATAAACAACCTCAAAAAAAGAAAATCATTTTTTTCCCTCCCTCTTTATTCCTTCTAAAGCTTCTAACTCGAAATCAAATTATTATTTATTACAGAATAGGGCTCATAAATCCAATATTTCTCCTGTGACCCTTTATCTCACTCTGCCACTCCTTCCCTGGCGCTTTATGATAGCGACATCAGTATCATGTGATATGGGACGCCCAAAGGATGGCGACTACCATTTGATTGTATTTTATGTGAGTAAGAGCCCATTTTCCTATTTTAGGAAATATATACGAATAATTTTATTTTACGGGTAAAAATGTAAGGAGGCAAAATATGCTACGATAAAATTACTGTGATTATTAGCACTAAAGCATAGTCGAAAGTACACTCTTTTGGTCGTAAATATCGGAAAATAATGGTTTTAAATATTATTTTTTTCTCATTAAAGTCATATGAATTGGGCATTATTTATAAAATATAGTGGATAAAGCTAAATTACTAAGAGTTTACTAAATTACGTCAAGGGGTTAAACTGAAATTTGTTGGAGAATTTGGTTTCTTTTCAAAAAGCGCCCACCGTGGGGCTCGAACCCACGACCACAAGGTTAAGAGCCTTGCGCTCTACCGACTGAGCTAGACGGGCTTGTCGACGAAAGCAAAGAGTAAATTAATATGTTTATTAAAAGGTCTTTATATTGCTCTTTTGCAAAGGCTTTCTCTAATTCACCTCTTCGTCTAGCATCTTCCATCCGGCGACGCCTCCTGTTGAGACGAGGTCGGTATTTGCCTGCGATTGTCTCTTGCCAGGGCTTCTTCTTGCGGCTTCTGATATTTCAGAGGAGCGTCCTTCCCGCCAAAAAAATTAGGTAATCATTGCGCCCAAAGATTTATATTTTGTTCTACTCTCCGAAGCATATGGTTATTTCGCGGTGCAGTTAATTTGGAGAGGGATTTGTGGAGGAGAAGACCTGTTGCATTTTGCTTGCATTGGACGCATTCTCGATACGCCTGAATAAATTCACGAAGGCATTCGAACGCGTATTGAAAGCATTATTTTAAACTAATCTTAAATGGATTTCAAGTTCGTGATCTTTGGCTGAAGTGTATATTTTTAGCAAGAATTAGAAACTCTTCGAAGAATTATTTACGGAACAGATGAAGATTCGTTCCAAATTGATGCCTTGGTTCTCCAATATCATTTCCTGTAATATAGAATACGCGAGAGACATCCTCTAAAAATGAGGAACTCTGAGTTCTCTCTGGTTTGGACATTGGAGTTAGGGTTATAGACTAGTTGTGCTCTATCAAGGGGTTGACCAAACAAGGGTCTCGCCCGGAAAGGGGGGGCGGCGCGGCAGGTGGGGCGTGGTTGCAACGTGGTGTTTTGGGGTTTTCAGCAGGAAGCAATGGACATGGTCTCACAAAAAATGCTGCTAGGGTGAACTGGTATGCTGTTGACTATATTAATTAATGGACTCTGATCCTCGTGGTTCCCTTATTGCTGACAGCGTAGATTGCCTACTTTAGGGTGAGCAAAGTCGCTAAATTATAGGCAGGAGTTGTCAGAAGTAAGAGAATCTCTTCTATATCCATGACAAGCCTTCCTGGCTGTAGCTCAGCATACTCATGCTTGTCCTTGGATTAAGCTTTTATATAAAATCTGAATTTTTTACTCGCGAATTTAGAAACCTAAAATTTGATGCTAGATTCATCATTCTTTTCCCTCAGCGAAGAAGGCACTGTACTTGAAACAGATGTATTAATGGTAAGAAGATTTGCCTTATATTAGTACTCCGACCATATCGCTAAATCATGGAAAAGATTTACTTTTTTCCTCTGTCGCCTGGCTGTTGCCTGCTCTTGTGCGTTCTGTTTTCGGTTGCATTTGCAAGATCAGAAGATAATTCTTCCCTAGTTTCGTTGCACGTACAACATTCACAACGTCGCTATTGCAGGAATAGTTATAATTTTCTTGTCAACAGGTTCCTTAAAGTTTCCTGGTTCGCTACTCCAAGCTTGTTTGCTCTTGCTTCCTTGCAGTTAATTGAAACAAAATTTGAAATCCTGTATTTTACTAGCTCTCTCAGTTTTTCTCTCTTTATAGTATCAACTTTTCTAACTGCTTGATTTAACCATTGCAACAGATAATATCATACGGAGGTCAGAGGTCAGTAGGTACAAGGCCTGGGATCAATGGATTTAGAGACCGAGAATCGCCTTGCCACTATGCTGATGGAAGAAGCTAGACGCTTGCGACTTCAGGCAGATAAAGAAGGTGTCGGGGTTTACCTCCACCAACCAAAAGTGAGAGGCCGCCCAAACTCCCGTTTTCTGACTGCTACTGTTGTTGGGGTGCAGCAAGGTGAATACTGGTTTCGTTTCAACCATTTTTTGTTAATCTTACTGTAAATTGCAAAACCAAAGGGCGATAGTTGTTCTTCAGAGATGGGACAATATTCTTGGCAGACGTCTCTAAGTGAGTGAAAAGAGTTTGCCTGGAGCGTACAATTTTGCATGCTCTCACTAAGGAAATGATCATCATACTCTAACCAAGAGTAGGGTTAATTTACTTTTCTAAATTTCTCCTTTATCTTCTCCCTTCTTCTACCATCTTGTTGGAGGAGGGGCGGATCTTATCTTTTTACATCATCTTTTGTTTGTCCTAGTCGCTTCTCTTCCTCCCCTGTTTGCTACACTGTCAGTTTTCCTAGTCATTGGGGAGTTTCTAGAGTTGCTTGTTAACCCTGAAAATTTTATTTTCCCGTTTGTGATTATAGAAATTTATTTTCATTTTTGTACAGCTTCCTTGGCTAATTTGTCGTGTCAATGGTTGATTATGTCTAGCTAATCGAGCCGTGGAGGTCAACGAGATGTGGCGTGCTCGGGAGAAGGAGCTAGAGCTGGACAGCAGGTTATCCCACCGGGATAGAAGAGAGAGGCACCAGTCTGATCAATCGAAGGAGAGTCCGAGTTCAAGAAATGCACCTTCATCAAGCAAGCACAAGCGCACAGATTTCCTACCCAATGAGAATGATGGCCTAAGAGACGAAGAGGTTGAAGAATTTCTTCAATCAAGGTCAGTTGGCGTGTTCTAAAATCCCTAAATACTTGTTCTTAGCTCTGCAGATTAGCGGCACAGAACTCCATTGTGAAGGTTCTTTAGCCTAAAGTCGTGTGTCATAGTTTCAGATATGATATAAACGAGATACCTCAGACCACTGCTCATAATGTGGCAATTCATTGAAAGATAATCATACTTAGGAGAAAACCCTCTACGCCGTAGATCTTTACTACTGCTTATTTGCTTGCTCGTTCGGAATTATCGCTCCAAAAATCGACAACCACTGGGATATCAATTACATGTTCTATACCTTTGGTTGTTTATGGCAAAAGGTTTATTATTCATGGGTATGTTGTTATTTGACAGGATGAAGAGGGGCAGAGGTGCTGTAGGATCTAGGATGGACGAACCTGGTCCTTACCCTGTTTGCACCCCTTCTAGCCCCAACGAGAAGATTCTCCCAAGCCACGAAGTGAGTCCTCTAGAAGAGTCACGAAGGCGGCGAGTTCTTGGTCCGGAGAAGCCGGCCTCCTTTCTTCCCCTTCGCAAGCAGCTCAAGGAAGCCTCCTCCTCTCGTAGAGATTCTACCAAGGTCGACGATGATTCCCGGTCAAAGCGGCGGCGGCGGTGCTCGGAGGATGTGGAGTGCAGATCAGAGGAATCCCGAGATCGGAGGAAGAAGGACAAGAAGCAAAGGCACCGCCGCCGGAGCCGATGAAACTGGCGGCCGGTCGCGGATCTTCTGTGCTGTATGTAATGCCACTGTGTTATAGAATTCTAGCTTGAGGGTTCCCACAACCCCTTAGGAACAGGAATTTCATTCATGGTGTGAGCTGTTTGTTGCCCGATGAATAACAGGGTCAGAGTGGTTCTAAGCATTTATGGACTAATTTTTTCCAAGTATTGTCTACGTGACGGCAAAGTTGTAATCTCTTACAGAAACATTTCCCATTGTCCATTTTCAGTATTTTGTTTTCTGGGTTTCTGTCAAAACGTTGACTTTTCTTAAGAAACGACCGAGCTATAGTCGGCGGCGGTATGTCCCTGGCGGCTCCAGCCGTTGACTGCGATACTATCTTGAAATCTTTTTGGTCAGCGGTAGGGACCTCTCTGCTTTGGCCGCTCGTCTCCCTTTATGTTCCACACCCTCTGGTCTGCGAAGCCTCGCTATTCTCGAAACCTGACCTTCTGTGGCGCGGGTTGCGAAGATTCTCGGCTTCTTGCTGCTCCCCTACGGCCTTCGGAAATGGCTGATCTACTGCCGGAGATGGAAACCCACGTATCTGGCCTGGGGTCAAAGCGTCAGCGGCGCCCCAGCGTCCGACTTGGCGACATTGGGGAGCAGCGAGCCGCCACACACGAGTCCAATGTCCGACGCAGCAAGCAGTGGAATTCCTCATCGCACCATCCTCTCCACCCTCACCAGCTTCACGATCAGCCGTCGTCGGGTGCGGCCTTCCGCGGGGGTGGTAGGGTCCTGGTGCCTGAGGAATGCAACGGTGCCCTAGGATTCCCGATGGCCGCTGAGGACGAAAGCCTGCACTTGGGCGAGGAGAACCACCTGGAGATGATGATGGGCATCCGCAAGGGGGGCAAGGACGGGAAGGCGAGGAGGGCCGGCGGGTCATCGGCCAGACGCGTGAGGACGAATTGGGCGGGGAAGGTGGACGAGGGGATCGCTGCTCTCGAGCTGAAATCGGGGGGTGAGGATGCCGGAGACGAAGCGTGCACATATTCCGATGATCTGCGATGCGAAGATTCAGAGAGTCCGATCAAGGAGCTTCTACCATCCGAGAGGCCGACAGCCGTTGTTGGGATTTCGGAGAACAGGGACGTGGGCGCTGCTTCCACTGCACAAGAACAAGAGATGGTGGTGCCTCTGGAGATGGATGCTCAGAAATGGAACAATGGAGATGCCTTAGAGGAAGGCGGCGTCCGGGCATGGTTGGGTGGCCTAGGGCTGGCCCGGTATACTCCCGTGTTTGAGGTGCATGAGGTGGACGAAGAAGTACTCCCGCTGCTGACACTGGAGGATTTGAAGGATATGGGGATCAATGCCGTTGGTTCCAGGAGGAAGATTTACTGCGCAATTCAGAAATTTAGAAAGAACTCCTCCAAAGATCATGAGGGCTGATCCTTGGGTTGAACTGGAGAGAAAAGAGAAATCCATGGACGCCGTGATATGGGTGGCCAGTTTTTCTTCTTCTGTAGTCACCCATTGATAGTTTTTGAATCAATCAGTTGTCTTCTTTTTTTCATCCACAGCTTCTAACCGTTCCATGGATTCAGTAAGAACTTCGTCAAGCGATCTGCCTCAGAAACGGCAGCTGAGTTCCCATCAGAAGAATCCTGGGGTTTGTCTGAATGAAATCTAGTGGCAATGTTGTTTGTCTGAATGAAATCTGCCGTGCAAAATTCTTGCAAAAATTATCATTGTAAGAGTTTTTTTCTTCTCTGTGATAATATATTTTGAAAGTGCATCATCATTCTGAGGCATGCTTGGTGAGATCAGATGATAGAAATTTGCAGATTTGGGAAATTTACGTTGACTTTATGATCGCCTCTGGTCACCATTCAAACACTCTCCACACCACCTCTTACACGACAGAACTACTAAATCCAGGGCATTAGCAGTGAAAATAATAGTATTCTTATTCCAAATCTGAAGAACATTTAAGGATATATACATATATTACATAAAAATTGGTCTCCCATTATTTTCGTGGGTCATCAGAATAGGATGCTTCCTTGCTCTATTGCTCTTTAAACATTCTAAAGAAAGAAATTTGGATCCCTTCTCACCATTTGGTGACTCTGTTCAGTTTAAGCTACCTGTGGGTCAGATATACACGAGGAAGATACATAAGAAATTCTCTCTACCAATACGGAATAATATCATCAATCATCATATCTGACCTTTATAAGGGGATTAACATCAGTAGGCAGATTATATGGAATTCATGGAGATGCATAAAAGAAAATCAGATTTTCAGGCAAATACGAGAACATAAGATATTATGCAATGAGAATAAGCTACTAAAGAATATTTTTCCTTGCCCATATACGTGGATGGAGGTTGTAGACTCTGATGAACAAGTCTTTTTCATAGAAGATTACTCACAAGAGCAATTGGATCATGTTTCAAGCCTTTTTACGGGTTAAATATTGCTGATGAAAAATTTATCATTAAGTTCTAGATTCTCAGATCCGACTGTCTTTCCCTCACTGTTATCACCAAATGCTTCCTCTCCTTTCCCAGAATCAGATTAGCCAGAGCTGCATCACCTGGTATGTTCTTGGACACGCTTTGCCATTATCATTCATCATGAATCTCCACAGCATATTTTAAATCGATTTCGTTTGGTTCCCAAAATGCTTCTCCAGATTAGAGATCTTCTTGGATGATGGGCGACTCAATAATGATGTGTGTTCTTTATTTTCAATAAAAATGTGTTTTTTTTTATAGAGCTGAGAAAATTATGAGGGATCATGCCTTTATATTCTCGGTTTCTAGGTTTTGGTGTGGCCCGGTGAGAGCCCAGTCGGGCTCAGGAAAAATGAACTGGGCCTGCTAGTGGTTGTAAGCAGGCCCGAAAAAGTAGAGTAGGCACTTTAGAAGATTTGGGCCTGGGCCCATTTCCTGGACTTTTCTCGGGCCGGGTTGGGCCCAAGTCTATAAATATATGACTGGGTTTTGGCTAGCCTCACCCAGATTGCCCGTTTTGACATTAATCTCATTAATCCCCCTTTAACCTCGATAATTAGAAGCCCGTTATTATTAATTATTATCAGTGACGTCATGATATCGATTAAACTGTGAAGTCACGAGGACCGCCCGATCGTCCTTTGACGGCGCGATGCGGTGGAGTGAGATTTAGAAAGTCTCTAGCCAAGAAGGCGCATACAAAATCTCATAAAATACCCTTGTTTATGTTAATAATTACGAAACTACCGATACTTGGAAAGTTCGGTATAGGACGTGCCTCGCCATCAGATGGGAAGGAGCCTCCTTTGGTTCGCCGGAGGTCGGCCCTGCTGCCCGTTTTTGCCGCCGTTCCTTGGATTTGATTCTAGAGCAGCTGATCGCTGGAGAAGATGGTTCTGCCGGAGAGATCCTCGCGCCAATCCCTCATCCCTACCTTCCTCTATTCACCCTCACCAGCGGTGATCTGCGCCAGATCCCTAGGCTTTGAATGGCTACTGTCCAGGAGCCATGGTGCTGCGTCGAGCTCGGGTTCATTGTCCTCGCCTCTCTCGTCCCATGAAGGGCCCTTCGAGGCCGTTCCTTGTCCCTGCGCCTAAGGAGAAGATTGAGCTCTACTCGCCTCAGTTCTATGCGGCCTCTATTGCCGGAGGGATCGCCAGCTGTGGTCTCACCCACATGGCCGTCACGCCCCTGGATCTCGTTAAATGTAACATGCAGTTGGGTGTTGGAAAATTTCGGAGGTTTTGTGACGCTTGGAGAGTTTGGTTTTTGTGACTATTGGTGCAACCTCTCGTGGTCTCTACATTCATTTGCTCTCGAAATTCTTTTCATGGTCCTGTCGGGTGTTATAATGTACTATGCTATGTATGATACTAGTGTTATTGGTACCTTATGATGGGTTTCGCCAACTTTGTCGTCAACCTTCTTATGAGAGGTTCACCTTTTTTTAATTATTCTACCAACAAATGCTGTAGATAGACAATCAAACTCGGTCTTCATCTACGCTCTCTCTACAGAACATTTTTTAGTTATGCTCCATGGTTGCGTTAAGTTGATTTACGTTAGGGTTTTGGTGATTCTCGTGGGTTTTAGGAACCTACTTCCAATATCAGATCTGGTCAATGGATAGGAAAAGGGTTCCATTGACAAAATGATTTGCTACGTTTTCGTGGATCTGTGGCAGATATAATTATATCAATTTATTTATGTGCTAATGTTAATTCTGTGCCTGCAGCCTCAAATATTCCTCCTAATCTGCCATTTTCCTCATGATCTGTTTGCCTGCATGTGGTATTGTTGCTTTGGTTTGGCATCTCTCGTCTTCTTTTTTTGCTGCTCAAATCTTCAATTGAACACTGCATTTCCCTTTTAGGCTCTTTGGGAAAATTCTTGCAGCGATGAGGGATAGTTTATTTTTTACCTTGTAACAGTCAAATGGGGTTTGAGGTGTTCTATTGAGTCTTCAGACTTTTGGGGGGCTCAGGATTTACATTAAGTTCTCTATACTTAATTGTATGTGTTTCCTTTCATTTAGTCGTAAATATTATTTTCCACTGTTACAATGTGTCATCCCCTTAACAGAATTGCCACTGAATATCATAATTACAATTGCCTCAGATCGATCCCATAAAATACAAGAGTATCACATCCGGCTTTGGTGTTCTGCTTAAGGAACAGGGCGTCGCAGGCTTTTTCAGGGGTTGGGTACCTACCCTTCTTGGGTACAGCGCTCAGGGTGCTTGCAAGTTTGGATTCTATGAGTTCTTTAAGAAGTATTATTCTGATATTGCTGGGTCCGAGAATGCTACAAAATATAAAACATTAATCTATCTTGCGGGGTCTGCATCTGCTGAAGTTATCGCTGATATTGCTCTTTGCCCTATGGAGGCTGTAAAGGTGCGAGTCCAGACGCAGCCTGGATTTGCCAGGGGTCTATCAGACGGGTTGCCCAAATTTGTCAGATCTGAAGGCGTGCTAGGGTATGGTGTGCTCCATTTCTTTTTTCAATGGGTTCAATGCAAAACGGATTCACTCCTTGGTTTACTGCTTTTCACCTTTCAGGTTGTACAAGGGACTTGGTCCTCTTTGGGGACGCCAGATACCATGTAACACTTCTTCATTCTTCTCTTCTTGCCATGCAACTTGGGTTCTCCTTTTTCTATTATTTTCGCTGAAGTTCATATTATACTTTCTACTGAGTTCATGTGTGAAATAATTGAAGAAAATTGGAGCTACAGCTACTATTTTTTTTATTGAAATATCATAATTTTTTGTTCTTTAATTTTCTCTCAAAGTTCTAGTCTGATGCTAGACATAGACGTGTTTTTTGCCATGCATAAAGTATGTTATTTCGGATAGTCATATCTATTGTTTGATTTATTACTTTGTTTTACCATCTCAATCATCAGCTCGGTATACATTTTACCATAGTGGATTTTTTTTGCTCCTTTTTATTAAAGATGTCAGTCCTTTCTAAAGGTGGCAACAATAATCATGAATCGGGTTTTGAGGTCAGCTGAATTTTTTTTCTATGTGAAGCGGAAGTTGACTGCAATGTAGCTTCACATGATTTATTTGACTTCAATGCTTACATTCAGGTTGTCTTAATGAATGAATTAGATGCTTTGTAAATCCAACAGAAATAAAAAGGGTTATGTGGTGCCACAGTAAAACAACCAGTACTCACTTCTTCTAGTAGTCTGAAGAACAATCATATTGGTAGATGCATATATTGTGTTTCTTATTCTTTATGATGTTTTTCAGAACATAATCTTGATTTAATCATAGTGCCCTCTGTTTTCGAGATGTACTCAATAACATGTATACCTTACAAGTTTACATATATGTCCCCATGTACCTTTCATTTCGTGTAACATTAGTGTGTCTAGAACCTTCTAGGAATCTGGTATAAATACTAGATCCTACTCTCCTTGTAAACTGTTTTTTGATCAATAAAGTTAGAGTCCTTCCACGAGTTCTGGGCACCTATCAGAGCTCCAGATCGTGTGTTATCTCGACTACATGGTATCAGAGCCATTCTAGGGTTTTAAACCCTATTTTTCAACACCGTCATAGTTGACGCTGCTTTGTTGGCGTTCTCTCCATCGTTTGCTGGAGTTACAGGCGCTGTATACTTCTGACAAGGGATCTTCTCCTTAGCTGTGTTTCTTTCAGAGCGAATCCAGGTGTGATTGCTCCATTTCTTTGCTTCCGCACTGATCTACTGGTCTGTTACGGTTCTTGCACTGTTTTTTCTTGTCTCTATTGAGATTTGTTCACGAATTTGATTTTTCGTGAATGTGGACATTCTCTTTAAATGGAGAATGTGGGAGACAATTGTTCATCAACTGTGGGGGATCCAATCTCCACACGGGAAGTTAATCTTGGTTCAAGTGGTCCAAGATTACTCATAGAACTTCCTGCAATGCCTGCAGAGTTCAAATTTACTGGATACAATTTGATTCAATGGTCAGAATATGTTTGACTGGAAGAGGGATGTTACATCATCTGATGGAGGGGAAACCGGATCCATTGTCTCGAGAATTTCGTAGATAGAGAGAAGAAGATGCATTAATCAAAACCTGGCTTTGGGGAACAATGATTCCCCAAATTAGTCGAGATTTTTTCTTTCTATCTACAGTCAAAGATATGTGGGAAACAGTTCACACGAAATTCTCACAAAGAAATTATGAGGCACATTTATATGAACTTGAGACAAAATCCATCTCCATAATTCAAGGAAATAAATCTGTGATGGAATATATTGGAGAATTGAAAATTTATGGCGGGAAATCGATTATTATCTCAGCATTGATATAGAAAAACCTGCAGAAATTATTGTCCTACGACATTTTATAGAACTAAGAAGAGTGTTTTAATTTTTGGCTGGACTTGATTCTATTTTTGATCAAGTCAGACAACAAATTTGAGTCGTGAAAGGAAATGTGATTTGGATGAAGCTATTTCCGTCATTTTAAATGAGAAAAGTCTCGGAAATTAATGTTGTCATTGCCTGAAGTTGACAATACTGCATTTATGATTAAATAGGGAGAAATTATGAAGAAAACCTCAGATCAAGCTAAACGATCCCAGCATTGCCAAGGAAGAAATCAGAAGACTGATTTTCGTGATAATCTGTGGTGTACATATTGCAGGAAAGCTCGTCACACTAGAGACAGATGTTATAAACTTGGTAAACCACAAAATTTTGTCACTGAAAAATATGGCTGTCAATCACATTTGGCAGCAGGATTACCGACTAGTTAGTCTTCAGATTCCCAAGTCAATCAACATTCTTCTTCTCCTCAGATTGAGGATATAGAGCGACTTCGAATTGAGTTAGGAAAACTGAAGTCGACAGTGACACAGTTCTCATCAATTCAGCCTGGTATGTTTCACCACTCTCTTGGAGTTAGAGTTTCTTCTGGAGATATTTTTAATAATTGGGTAGTGGACTTGGGAGCAACGGACCATATGACCAACTCCCCCAGCCTTTTCACTAAATACAACCCCTGTCCTAGTGACAGAAAAGTGACTACTGCAGACAGATCCTTTCTAACCGTCGCAGGTATAGGAGACATTAGACTTGAATCTCTAAGGGTTCTTACTAATGTTCTTCATGTCCCCAAGTTATTTACAAACCTCATTTCAGTTAAAAACTTGTTAGAGACTCACCTTATTATGTCTTTTTTGATGAAGATGTCTGTGTCATATTTGATAAGGTACATCATTGGAGGATTGGAGTTGTTAGAGAGCGTGAAGGTTTTTATCTTCTAGAAGGACCGAGCCAAACACATCTAGTGGAAGTGAATCAATCTCTAGAACCTCTAGAAGATGTCCTTAAGATACGATTACTTCAGTGACAGATGGGTCATCCATCCTTTAGCACTTTGAAAATAGTTTTTCCTACTTTGTTTCGAAATGTGTCATTGGACACTCTTAAAATGTAATGTGTGTGAACTTTCTAAACCCACACATACTTCATTTTAAAATCAAGGGGAAAAGAGTGATGTTCCTTTCTTCCTATTTCATAGTGACATATGGGGACCATGTCCCATTAATGACATTCATGGTAATAAATGTTTTGCCACTTTCATTGATGATTGTACAAGATGTATGTGGGTCTTCGTTATCAAACAAAAATCTGATATGTGTGATGTTCTGAATTTTTTTTGTGCCATGATAAAAAATCAGTTTGGCACTAGTATTAAAAAAATTCAGATCTGATGATGTTAAAGAGTATTTTAGCCAAAATCTGAATTTATACTTCCAAACAGAGGGCATCATACATGAATCCTCCTGTGTCTATACCCCACAGCAGAACGGTTTATCTGAAAGAAAAAATCGTCATCTTTTAGAAGTCACTTGATCAATTTTATTTCAGCATCATATAGCTAACGTTTTTTGGGGGGAGGCTGTTCTAACAGCCACATACCTCATCAACTGATTACCATCCAGAACCTTAGGCTTCCTCAGCCCGTTAGATTCATTAGCCAAGTTTTTCTCAGACCATCAACTTAAAACTAGGCTAGAACCTAAGACATTTGGTTGTCTCTTTTGTTCACGTTCATAATCAAATCAAAGGCAAACTAGAACTAAGATCACTTAAATGTGTATTTCTTGGTTATGCTACCATCAAAAGGTGTACAAATGTTACCACCCTCCTTCTAGAATTTTTTTTATTTCACTGGATGTTACATTTCATGAATCTGATTCTTATTTTAAAGAATCTCCATCTAGCGATCAACATCTATTTTCTACAGCTCATATGGATCAACATGTAGATTCTTCACTCTCGTCTTCAGCTGGTAACCTGTTCATTCCCATTTCAGTCCCTGAAATACCCAGTCCTATATTGAATTCGCTTCCTGAAAACCTAAGGTTTGGCAAGGTTTATTCTAGGCGAGGGGAAATTCACGATTCACCAAAAATCCAAGATTCTGATCTGGCCTTAGAAAATATACAGCCATTAACATCACCTTCATCTGATGATCCTGTAGTCTTACCTCACGACTCACTTCCCATTGCCCTGCGCAAACCTGTAAGGGAGTGTACAAAAACACCCTTGTACCTAGCTGCCAATTTTCTGTCTTATCACAGACTTTCTTCACCCTATCAATCATTCCTTGCATCCTTAGACACCACTACCATTCCAAAAAATCTCTCGGAGGCTCTATCCTATCCTAAGTGGAAACAAGCCATGGATGAGGAGATGAGAGCTCTTGCAAAAAATCAGATATGGGATCTAGTGGAATTACCACGAGACAAGAAGACTGTTGGTTGCCAATGGGTGTACACAGTGAAATATAAATCGGATGGTTCGATTGAGAGGTATAAGGCCTGGCTGGTGGCTAAGGGTTATACACAAGTATATGGAATAGATTATCAAGAGACTTTTGCACCAGTGGCCAAAATGAATACATTTCGTTTTTAACTGTCCTTAGCAGCAATTTTCAGCTGGAATATTCAACAATTTAATGTTACAAATGCATTCTTGCATGGTGATTTGGTTGAAGAAGTTTACATGACTCTTCCACCAGGATATGAGGGTAATCATTCATCTAATCTTGCTTGCAAGTTAAAGAAACCCCTTTATGGCCTCAAACAGTCTCCACGTGCATGGTTTGGAAGGTTTACAGTAGCCATGAAGAAACTGAATTACAACTAAAGTAATGCTGATCACATTATTTTTTAAACACTCTTCTTCAGGAGGAGTTACAGTTCTATTAGTTTATGTTGATGATATTATCATCACATGAGATGATGAAGGGGAGATCCAAAACTTGAGCAATTGTTTGGCCCAAGAGTTTGATGTCAAGACTTTGGGACAACTCAAGTATTTTTTAGGAATCGAAGTGGCACATTCTTCTAAAGGCATTTTTATTTCTCAATGAAAGTACATAACAGATTTATTAGCTGAAACAGGGAAATCTGCATGTAAACCAGCCAATACACCTATTGATCCAAACCAGAAATTGTGTATGGCAGATGAAGAAATTTCTATTAATCGTGAGATGTATCAACGTCTCATTGGCCGACTACTTTATCTAACATACACTCGACCGAATATCTCATATGCAGTGAGTATATTGAGCCAATTTATGCATCAACCTAAAGAGTGTCATTTACATGCTGCCTACCGAGTGCTACATTATTTGAAAGGCACACCAGGAAAAGGGGTTCTTTTTAAACGAAGTGGAAAGGTAGAGGTTGAGATGTTTACAGATGCTGATTATGCAGGCTCAACGATTGCTCGAAGGTCAACCTCCGGTCATCTTACTTTTGTTGGTGGCAACCTTGTCACTTGGAGGAGTAAAGCATAGAATGTAGTTGCTCGATCAAGTGCTGAGGCTGAACTTAGGGCACTTGCCCAAGGAATATGTTAGTTACTTTGGGTCAAGAACTTAATTGACGAGTTAAAAATTCCTTTATTCAGTCCTATGAAGATTGATTGCGACAATAAGTCAGCAATCAATCTAGTGCACAACCCAGTACAGCATGACCGTACCAAACATGTGGAGATTGATCGCCATTTCATCAAAGAGAAACTTGAGGCTAATGTGATTTGTGTATCATACATTTCAACAAATAATCAGTTGGCAGATACGCTTACTAAAGGCATCTCGGGGACACAACTGCAGAAGATTATTCCCAAGCTGGGAATGGACGACATCCATTCACCAGCTTGAGTAGGAGTGTTGTCGAGATGTACTCAATAACATGTATACCTTACAAGTTTACATATACGTCCTCATGTACCTTTCATTTCGTGTTACATCAGTGTGTCTAGAACCTTCTAGGAATCTAGTATAAATACTAGATCCCACTCTCCTTGTAAACTGTTTTTTGATCAATAAAGTTAGAGTCCTTCCACGAGTGTTGGGCATCTATCAGAGCTCCAGACCGTGTGTTATCTCGACTACACCCTCATATTCCTTTAGATGACTATTTTGTCCTTGTCTTTTTTGTTGTCCTATCAGTATAACTCTTGAAAAGAAAAGAAAAGAAAAGAAAACCATCGTCTAAAAAAATACAAAAGTTGAACAATTTGCCTGATATAGACACTCATTTTCCATATTTGGCTAGATCTTTTCCAGGCATGCCTTGCTGCATTGCTCCACATTTGTAGTTCTACACGTTGAAATTACTTTGCCAATGTATTATTATGGTTAGGACATTTGAATGCTCTTGCTGCATCCCCTCCCTGTGATTCGAATGCTTCAAAGACATTCATATGATGCAAACAGTCGACTTGAATATAATAATTTATCACCTATTGTGCTTCATCTCAAGTACAATCACATCAAGAGACATTGTTTGTAGCGTCCTTGTTAATCTGCTGTAATTTAATTCTAGTTGTAGGTTTGCAACTTTTTTTTATGAACGAAATTGCATAACTGTTTCAAATAGTTATTCATGGGTACTTTCCAATCAGATTCTCAATTCTGTTTTTGTTTGATGATTGTGTGGTCCGTTTGTAGCGGTTTTCTTTCATTTCTTTGTTATTTGACGGGAATTACCTTCAGACAAGAGTTAATTAGGTTTCTTTGGTCGAGATGTTCATTCTCGTTTCAAGCATATGGACGGTTAGATTATATGCTTGGATTTAACAAATGAACTTGCTTGCTAGCAGATCTTCATATTTACTGGCGTTTAATCTGATTGTGTGGCGAAGTTTGTATTCTAGGATGACTCCATTGAATGAAACGAATTTCCATTCTCAGATACAATGATGAAGTTTGCATCCTTTGAGACCATTGTGGAGATGATCTACAAGCATGCATCCCCACACCCAAGGACCAGTGCAGCAAGTCACTCCAGCTTGGTGTGAGCTTTACTGGTGGCTATGTAGCTGGGTTCTTCTGTGCCATTGTCTCCCACCCTTCTGACAATCTGGTTTCATTCCTCAACAACGCCGAAGGAGCTACTGTTGGTGACGTGAGTGGTCCTCTCAGTTTCCCGCTCTTCCCCCTCCCACACACACTTGTATTTGCATTGCTTGTGACGGTGCTCGTTGCTCTATCTTGCTTAGGTGGTCAAGAAGCTCGGACTATGGGGCCTCTTCACTCGCGGGCTTCCCCTGCGTATTGTGATTATAGGCACCCTCACCGCTGCTCAGTGGGTAATCTATGACGCATTCAAAGTCTTTGTTGGCTTGTGGGTTTCTCTCGATCAATCTTTCAGTACGGCTTTTCAGAAAAGCGTGGAGAGAGTATAAACTTTGAGTGTTCTCTATTTCTGATTCTTTCTTGTCTTCTGAACTTTCAGACCAACCACAGGTGGAGTCACGCCTGGTCCTGGTCCTGCTCCAGCTCCAGCTCCAGCTGCTTGAGGCTCCCTAATCTATGGGCATGATAATTTTTTTGGAGCACCAAGTCTTTATCTGTTTCTGACAACAATTTTGGAAAGTGGGCTTCATCGATATCTAGGGTAAATGCAAACTACTAGGTCGTATTAGTCTTGATCTCATTCATTTGGAAGGGCCCTTGTGAGAAATGGGTACCGAATGATTGGTAGGCAGCAGGCCTCTGTCATGTACCATCTTACTTGAAATGGGTCGCATCATGGTAGTCGGTCTTAATCCGCTCTTAGCTTCACACCATGTATGAAGTTTCAATATTTAAATACCATAATTCAAGTATTGGGCTGCTACATCTTTATTATTATTATTTTTCTCAAGTATCAGTTATTGCTTTCTATATATTCGAATCAGGTGCTCACAATGTCACTTGGGTGCACTTTATTTTCGCATAGTGTGAGATATACGATTCTTTTGGATAACACATTATCATTAACTCCGTCTGCCATCTGTTCCTCTGGCTTCTGTCCTCTAACTTCTACAGTGCCTGGCATGGCGGGTTCGCCGCCACCCCCACCATCTGCTCCACCAGCATCGTCCTCAGCCTTGGATCTCTGGTGGGCCTCTCACTATCGACTATTCCGGCCTTCTCTATCTCCTTCTAAGCTAGTTCGTTGCGTCTAAAATTCCTTTCGTCAAGAGTCAACATCTGGGTTATGGCAGGCGCTGAATCCGATCAAGGACCTGGTCTTCCTCACCTACTGCCGTATTCGAATGAGTCGGCCATCTCTGATGGGGAGTCAGCATTGCCGTCGCGGTAGCCAAAGAATTCTCCTCATCTGAGAATAGAAAATTCAGACCATTTCCTAAATCGGTGGACGACGAATTATCTTCGTCATGCAGGGTTGTGCCGTCGCGCGCGCGTCAACACCCGCCCTGTGCTTATTCTCTACGTAGAGGGTGTTATGCTTCCTCGATGTCCTACGGGCTTTCAGGCCGATCACATATGGCCTCCCCCATGCTCCATCATCCTGAGGCTCCGACCAAACAGTTAACGAGGATTCTTTATCATTTATGTCTCGGGGGACCTTGGCGGCCGGAAGGTACAAATGGATTTGATAATGTTTTAGTTTGGATAAGGTTTCGCCATGAGTTTTCCCCGTGAGTTTTTAAGATATTTGAAGGTTTGGTGAGATGGATCCTGTTGAACGGTAAACGCGGATCGTCATTCTTAGACGGGGTCGACGAATTGAATTCCGCACCAATCCCCAGGATTACTGCAGCTAAATAATCCTTCTTATGAAAACCTTGGAGAGTAACCCAAATCCTAAGCTAAATGTACATCTAATGTGCAGCGATTATTCTCGAGCTTAATCGCAATTGAAGGGCCCACATGACATCCTTTTCCGTGTTGCAATCTTGTGTACCATCTAATATCTTGTTTTGTCAGCTCCCATCAGCCATTAGCATTGATATCTAGTATCTATATTTCACTGAAATTTTTAATTAAAAATATATATATATATATATATATTACTTTTTTGGGTGGTCATCGTTATATCATCTTCAGTTACTTGGTAAGATAGTGACCGTTTCCTAACATTATATAGCTAATATCGCATCAACGGGTTCCTAGGAAGGATCCCCCTTTATCGTTGGGCATTTTCGTTACTCTATCGTCTTCATCTTCTTCGTCCGGAGGTCGGGGTTCTGTTAGGTAGCGTTGTCAACCGGTGTCTGAGTCCACCGCCCTTCTTCCTACGACCGGGCAGGAGACGCCTATAAACCCCCTTGGAAAACTTCCCAAGAAAACATGCCGCTTCATTTCCTCTGCTAATTTACGCGGAGCCACCAGAGCCATGGCGGGGCGCCATATAGAGGCCCAAGGTAAGTTCATACAAGTTTGACATGTTCCGCATGTGACCAATCAGCTAAGTATTCGTAAGTTTGAAATAGAGTGATTTACTATTTCGATTCCGCATTATGAGTCTTATCAGTGTATATTTCACCTCACTATCATCATCCACATCGTTGATTTTCTATTTTTTCCTTCTCTAACATTAAAAATCCTTCTTACTTGCCCTTGCCTCTCTTTTGAGTTCCTTTGATTTAAATCTATCAATTAATAGAATAGTAATTAATTAACATCTAATCCTCATTCTTTGTTGATCGACCTTATACTTACCATAGTAATTACCTATTTTAGTATTTTAATTTGATAAATTAAGGTTTTTTAAAAAAATTATTAATTAATTTTGGAGCTTTTTAACAACCCTCGATTTCGTTTTATCACCACCCATGTTAGGACACCTTAAGATGAAATTAAAAGGAGGATTAGAGTGCCACCATCATTGGTAGAATCTAGGCCATCTCGCCCCCCTCTTAGAGGGCTTTTTTGGTTCTCTCTCTAGCAGTGGCTAACCAAAAGAAAAATGAAAAAAATTAAAGCCCGATCAATGACATTCTCGTGCTCAAAATCATTGTGGACAACAATTTGGAAAAGTGGGTTTCATCGAAATCTAGGGTAAATGTGGACTACTCGGTCGTAACAGTCTTGATCTCAGTCATTTGGAAGGGCCCTTGTGAGAAATGGGTACCGAATGATTGGTAGGCAACAGGTCTCTGTCATGGATCATCTTACTTTAAATGGTTGTCAGTCATCTTACTCTGGCAACAGCGCCCTTAGCTTCACGCCATATATGAAAATTCATTATTCTCAGCATCGGTCCCCACCAGCATCGTCCTCAGCCTTGGAGTCGTTCTCGCTGTCGGCACCAGCATTTGTTCCTCTTTTCATATCTGTATGTCTGCGACGGCAAGTTCCGAGCTTGGTTTGATCATAATCCTGGGATAAATGCGACCAAACAGGCAACGAGGATTCTTTATCTCATTGACAATTCGAGGGACCTTGGTGGCCGGAAGGAACAAACGGGTTTTCGTAAGGTTTGGGATAAGGTTTCGCCATGAGTTTCCCCCGTGAGTTTTTGAGATATTTCAAGGTTTGGTGAGATGGATTCTGTTGAACGGTAAACGCGGATCGTCATCTTAGACGGGGTCGACGAATTGAATTCCTCACCAATCCCCAGGATTACTGCAGCTAAATAATCCTTCTTATGAAAACCTTGGAGAGTAACCCATATTCTAAGCTAAATGTACATCTAATGTGCAGCGATTATTCTCGAGCTTAATCGCAATTGACGGGCCCACATGACATCCTTTTACGTGTTGCAAGCTTGTGTACCATCTTACATCCATCTAATATCTCGTTGTGTCAGCTGCCATCAACCATTAGCATTGATAGTATCTCGATTTCACTGAATATATATATATCTATATGTTACGTTTTTGGGTGGTCATCGTTATATCATCTTCAGTTATTTGGTAAGATAGTGACCGTTTCCTAATATCATATTAGCTCATATCGCATTAATGGATTCCTAAGAAGGTTCCCCATTTATCGTTGGACATGGTCGTGACTCTATCATCTTTATCTTCTTCGTCCGGAAGTCAGGGCTTGGTTAGGTAGCGTTGTTGACCGGTGTCTGAGTCCACCACTCGTCTTCCAACGACCGGGCAGGAGACGCCTATAAACCCTTTTGGAAAACTTCCCAAGAACACATGCCGCCTTCATTTCCTCTGCAAATTTACGCGGAGCCACCAGAGGCATGGCGGGGCGCCTGATCCTCTGGCTGCTCTCACTTGCGCAACCTTTACACCTAGATTTCTTTGCCCCCCCACTCGGCGGAGCAGGCGGGCCTTCCACCATTGCCAACAGCTGCGCCATCACCTCGATTTACAGCCTCGGGGACTCCATTGCCGACACCGGCAACTTACTTTATCTCGCCCAGGAAGGAGGGCGCTCGCCGTCGACCTCCCTTCCCTACGGCGAGACCCTCCAGAAGGCCACCGGCCGATCCTCAGACGGCTACCTAATGATCGACTACATCGGTAATGGCAGATAAATTTTCTCTGTAACGAGCGGTTCATTCTGTCATCATCTGTGTGTTCAAGAATCCAAAGTCAACTCCCCGTCCCTCACCCCCCCACCTTTCCGACAGCCGCTGCGTTTGATCTTCCCAACGTGCCACCGTACATGGATAAATCGGCCAACTTTGACTATGGAGTCAACTTCGCTGTCGGCGGAGCTACTGCACTCAATCAGTCTTTCTTCCTCAAAAGGGGTATCTCGCTACCAGTAACGTCTTACTCACTCGAGCTGCAGCTCCAATGGTTCAATGCCCACATCAACCATATCTGCCTCTCCAAGGAAGGTCCTGCCCTCCCCACATTTCCCCCTAATCGTATCATCTCTTGGATCATAGGATTTATTTCTGACATCCGTTTATGAACTATAGACTGTTCAAATAAGTTCCGAAAGGCGCTCTTTCTAGTGGGCGAGATTGGGGGGAACGACTACAGCAATTCCTTCCGGGCAGGCAAGTCCATGGAAGAGGTGAAGACTTATGTGCCACAAGTGGTGGGAACCATCATAGCTACTGCTAAGGTACTGAAAGTTTTGTCATATGAGCGATTAATTAACCTCAGATATTATAAACTCAGTAGGTTAATGACGTTTACAGGCATTAATCAACGTCGGCGCCCGTCGATTAGTGGTGCCGGGGAATTTTCCGATCGGCTGCATGCCGATCTACCTCACTCTCTTCAAAGGCCGCGGCTTGGTCCCTGATGAGAGGGGCTGTCTGAAGAGCCTCAATAGCTTCGCTGAATACCACAATGAGTACCTGCAGAAGGCCATCCGGGATCTGAAGAAGACTCACCCTGACATCACCATAAGCTACGGAGATTACTATAATCCGTACTTAACATTGATTGACAAGGCTCATGATTATGGTAAATCTAACAGCCCCATATCATATCTATGAATCATGTTACAAACATGCATGACATCTGAATGGTGTGGTATTTTTCATGACCAGGGTTCGAGAAAAATTCTCTTCTCAAGGCTTGTTGCGGAAGCGGGGGAGACTACAACTTTGACTTGAAAAACAAGTGTGGGAACCCTGGAGTTCAAGTGTGCGTTGATCCAAGCCGGTTCATCAGCTGGGATGGGATTCACTTGACACAGGAGGCTTACAAAAACATGGGAAATATGCTGATTT